GTAATAAAAATTTAAAAGCAGCGCTATTATAAATTTTTATTATTTTTTTAGAGTAGGAGTATTTTCGCTACGCTAAAAAAAAAAACCTATAGGACGTTTGCGTAGGTGGAAAAGGATATATTAATTATATTTATAACGGTAACCGGGTAAAGTATTTTAATAATATATATTTTAAATAAAGGTAAACGGGCGATTTAGCTAATAAAAAAAAAAATACCTAATAACGATAGCGATAAAAATTTAAAGCCGCAGGTTTACAAAGCGAAGTTTTTTTTAGGTTAAGGGGCCTCTATATTTATCTATCCGATAGACGCGGAGCGGCTAAAATAATTACGCGTTATAATAGCCGTATAATAGGACGATTTTTTATAAAAAGCGTAATAAAATCTATGGCTATTAATTATAATAAGGGAGGCGGAGGATAACCGAAAAATAATAATTATGGATAATAAGGGATAAAAAGGAGGGAAGAAAGAGGATTATAGCGGTAATAGTTATAATAATAATACCCCGGTATTGTTTTTTAATATAATAAAGGCCGGCGATAACGATAATAATAATAATAACTAGAATTTTTAAAATATGTTAAGCTGGGATATTACGAGTATTTAATAAATTGCGCTATATTAATTATTTTTTATATAAATGCTATTTATATCCGTAATATTTGGCGAATTTATTATAGGCTAATTGGTTTTGCTACTAGTATAATTTGTGAAGTTTGGCAAATCGCTTTATATTTGTTTTTGCTTTTTGTATAATTTTTACCGCGTTTATTAGCTTTATAATAGCTGATTTTAATCGCTTTTTAGCTTTTTTAGGGGGGATTAATAAATCGGCTATTTGCTATAATAATATAAGATTTTATTTTAATATATTTATTCGTTTTTTATATTTATTATAAATATTTTTTACTTTACGGAATTTACTATTTACGAAGCAGATTTTATATATGGCGCGTTGCGCCGCCGCCGAGAATAGCTGTTTTTTTGCCGCGTATTTTGCGGTATCGCTAATATATATTAAATTATTAACCGTGCGGTATATAAACGGGATATTAGGTCCGTAATAAGGTAATAAAATATTATGCCGGTATAGCGGGTATTTTTTATTATCCCGAAATTATTTCCAAACGTAACGCTTTAGAAATTTATATTAATAAAGGAATATAAAGATTTTGCTTTTAATAGGATTATTTTTTAGGCATATAATATATTATTTTTATATATTAAATAGGAATAATAAAATAAAGCGAAATATAATATTATTTTTTTTAATAGGCTAAAACTTTTTAAGGCGGTAATCGTAAAACCCCTTATAGCGATTTTAAACGTAAAACCGTAGTATTTTAATTTCGGGTATTCGTCGAAAAAATTAGATTTGGCGAGTTTTAGGGTTTAGTATTATAATATTGGCTATATTATAAACGATACATAGCCGGGATAAGTTTGGCTTAGTGTAAAAATGCTTTTTAATTAGTATTAAATCGACTAATATGCGTAATTTTAAGATCCCGTTTTAGTTAGCTAATATAATAATATTGGCAATAATTATAAAATAGCCGATTTTGGCTTTATCGGGAATTTTTACTAAGTTGGGCCCGCCGGAATAGGCTATTTCGAAAAATAACGAATAAGCGGTGAATTATTTGGGTTAAAAACGCTAAAAAATATTATTTAAAAGCCGTTAATTAGTAACGAATGGAAATAAAAAATATTTAAAATAGAAAGCGGCTATAGAATATAATATAATTTTAAAAGCTTTATTTAAAGTGGGATAGAGAGGGATATATAGTAGTTAGCGTTTGAGGAGCTTTTTAGTTATAATTAAAAGGTGTAGGACGAGTAATATAATATAATAAAGGGACGGGTATACGAGAAAATTACGAATTAGGGCGGACCGGAATATGTTGCTATTAAGGTTTAGGGACGTATAGTTAGAGATTATTGGATTGGTGCATAGTTTTAAAGCCGAATTTAGAATAAGAAGCGAGACGAGTTTTTTAGATTATGGCGATAATAAAGAGAAAATTTTAATTTAATTAAATTGTGTGTATAAACGGGAGGTGAATTTTGGTTTATATAGTATTTAGGTAATATTAAGCTATATTTGCTATTTAAAGCGTAAAGCTTTTTATATTTTGTTTAAATAAAGAATTATAAGTAGTTATTAAAATAAATATAATAAAAAGTGTTGATTTTGGCGTTAGGATTTATTAGGTAAAATAAAAACGGAGCAATCGGATTTCCTGGGCCGGATTTTAAGGCTTTGGAAATAGCCGAATAATAATTTATATTAAAAAAGTATATATTTATATATATAATAAAAGGAAAATAATAAATTTAAAATCCGTATAAAAATATGGTTTATTTTAAGTAGTATATGGGTCGTAGGTCGATTTAAAGGGTTATTTATAAATTTTTGCTGATATTACCGCTTTCGTCTTTTATTAAATTCGGATTAGCGGCTAGCTAAATTAATTTAAATTAATTTAAATTAATTTATTTTAGCTATTTAAATTAATTTTTAATAAAAAATTAATTATATAATAGTTAAGCTTATTTTTATTTTTTATATATAATATAATATATATCGCGCGGCGGCTAATATTTATTTTTTTAGCTTTTTATATAATGGCTTAGCGGGAAAATAGCGGAGTAAATTTGCGTATTATTATTTACGGAGGTTTTAATAGGTCGTTAAAGCTTTTTCGATTTCCGTGGCGTTAGCTTTAATTCGCCGCAGCTTTTCGGCCGCGGACGCAATCTTTTTATAAATAATATACGCCTTCCGTTTGGTTTTTTTAAAAAGCTTTTTAAGCTTAATAATATTTTTTTAATATAGCGGTATATCCGGATTTTGCAGCTATTTTTTAGTTTAGTAAAAAAGCGTATATAACTTATTTTAAAATTTAATTATAGACGAGGAGTTAGCGGCGTTTTCGGAATTTTTAGATCCGGTAGCAGTTTTGTTTTTTTTGGCCTTTTTTTCTGCGGGTTTTAGTTAAGAGTCGTTTTTATTTGTAGGTCGCCGATTTATTTTTTGGCTCGCTTTTATTAGCGGCTATGCGTTTTTTTTCCGATTTTTCTTTTTTTATTTATTATAATTTTAATGGTTTTTTTTTGGGTTTTGGACGGTATGGTTTATTTACCTATTAAGCGGCGGTAGCTTTATTTTTTTGCTTTTTTTTTTTAATTCCGCTATAAGCTCGAGGCTTTTACGGTATCCTTAAAAAGGGGTTAATTAAAAAAAACGAATAATAGGTATATAATTTATTAGGAAATTATTTAAATTTAATCCCCGCGCTACGTAAAAGGGGGCTATAGTTAGTTATTGTAATTTAAGTATTAGGTATTATATCGCTAAAGTTGGAAATTATAATAAAAAATAGTAAAAGGGTTTAAATTACTCTATTATAAACGAATATCGCGGGTTTTTTTATAGTGGTTTTTAATTTATTTTGCCTAATATTTAATATTATTATTTTACTCCCTAGGCGACGCTAATTAGATACTTGATATTTGTTTTTTAGGCGTCGAATAAAAGCGTTTAGTTATATACTTTTAATATTCGAAAATATATTAATATAAATAAGGTTTATAATTATATGCTTTATATAAATGGCTTATTTATATTGGTTTTTTATATAGGTTTATAATTATAATATTATAAAATTGACTTTGGTTTATTTCCCGGGCCTAATTTGCGGCCCGGGTAATTATCGGCAATGGTTAATTTAAATTAATTTAATTTTATATTTTATTTTATATATTAGCAAGCTGGTTAGGCTTTTTAGTAATAGTAAATAAAAGTATGCCTAAGCATATAATAATATATTTTAGGTATGACACTAATTAAGTAAAAAAAGCTTCTTTAAACGCGCGATTTAGCTGGCTAGGCCTAATTATACGTTAAGAGAAAGGTTTATTTTAATTAATTAATATATTATAATGCGTAATCACGGCAAGCGCTAATTTAGCCTATTAACGTAATAATAATAATAATAATGGTTAAATATTAAGCTATTTATTTAATAAATAGTATTATTTATTTGTTATTATTTTTATAGTTAATTTCGCATTTTGTTGGATTTTGCGATTTGTGAAATGCGATCGCGCTATACTTAGGAATACTTATTTTAAGCGCTTGATTTTATTTTACGGCGGGCACCGACTGCTGCAATTAATTAATGCGCCTTTAGCCCATTATAATCGGGGGAGGGCAGCGCCGTAAAATAAAAATAAATCGCTTAAATAAATTAGGCTTAAATTTTAATTATTAATTTATTATATTTAATAAATATTATAATTGCACGGATAAACAGATTTAGAGCTATATTTATTCGTATTAATTTTAAATACCCTTTTTAACGCCATATAATAGCACTAAACACCCGGCTTTATCGCGCTTAAAGGGACCGTCCTTTCCGACGCCCTCGAGACACCCTCCAAAATCAGGGGGTCCCTCCAATTGCCCTCCAAAATGCCCTTGCGGCTTTTATCGGCCCTTATCGGCCCTTATCGGCCCTCATCGGGAGAGGGAAAACCCTCCTAAAACAGCCCTTTTAAGGGCCAAAATTACCAAAAATGGCAATTTGCCCTCACTGATAGTCGCAGTGTGCCACTTGCTGCTTCTTTGCTCCCCGGATCCCGACTAGATCGTGCGGCCCGAGACTAGGTCGTATCTTTACTTGGCCTAAAAGCTTATGCTTAGTCATTCTCTTCCACAGGGACATAGACCTTGGCCCTCGAGTCTCGCTTGACAGCAAGGTATGTACCTACCTCATGCTGTGCTTGGGCCACTCATCCAATCAGTTGGCCCTCCGTCGACGACAATGTCGATGGTGCCTCTGCATGGCACTACTGTCTAGAAGCGATATGACGGGACCACTGACGCAACATTGCTGTCACAGACTCACGGGTACACGAATCAGGGTTGGCGTATGCTGCCGCACGCTGCAAGGCCGTTCTTAGGTCTCTGTGGCCGGCAGCTTTGCTGCCATGCAGCCGATAACGCCCAGGAAAGATGCAAACACCATCTCCTTCAATAGCCTCTTGAGCCCTTCGTTTGTCCACAACTCTGGGGTGAAACCAAAGTTTCAAGAATTCTCGTCCAAATACAATCTGCAGCTTCGCGTTCCAGATGATGCTGAGCTGGGACGATCACCTCAAAAGCAACGAGAGTTAGATGTTCAAGGTTTGCTGCACCCAGATGCAAAAGTGTTCCGCCGATTCGGCATACACTTGAGTAAGAAGACGCTCGATTCCGTCCTCAAAACCTTTGACGAGCGTGCGCGTGATCTCTGTAAGAAATGGGTGCGAAAGCCTCGAGGAGATCCGAGCGTCACTCCTGCCATTACAACTCTGCCCAAGGCGACCAATACACGGGAACGTGCTGAACTGCGCAAGCTACTCGATCAGGTCTTGCAAGAGCACAATCCCCTCCTTGCACGTCGGACGCCTGGGCCTGAGCCGGATGAGACGACTCCTCAGCCACGCCGCCCGTCAAAACGTACCTCTGATGAAATTGTCCCAAAGCTGCCTAAACGTTCCAAGAGCGAAGCCTCCATCTCTCCACCAGATGACGCCGTCACTGCCGAGCAAGGCGTTCGTCGGTCTGAACGTCTCAACAGACCAGATCGGAGCTTTTATGGCGTATCTACTAATGTAAGCCGCGAAACGCTTGTCTTTACCGATAATGGCCACCGCGTCTCGCAAGGAACGCAGACCACGATCGAAGCGGGTAGTCAAGAAAAGGCTAGATGGCCACCAGCTCCGTTGCCTATTTCTCAAACTCAAGATGAATACGCAATCTCTTCAAGTTCCCTCAGAGCTTTAAACGAATCTCTCCATCAAATCGACGACGCACAGCGCTACGACAATGTACGGCAATATCTGGATAGCAGCTCACCGACACACACGTACTCAGACTTTAGCAGCCTTCTTCCTGACCATGAGTTGGCTCGACTTGAGGAGAGCTTTCTAGAGTCCGAGGCCGAAAAGACTGCATCACCTGCCATTATCGAGCTCCAAACACGTTTGAACTCCTCCTGGCGTAAGTTTGATCCAATCAATTGCTCACAGGAACTAACAAGACTCCCCTGTTGTAGCCCACATCCCACCTGGTATAGCAAAAGCACCATTTGCTGTGATTTGGGAAGTCCTTCGTGCCTTGCTCCACTGCAAGATTGACACGGGTCTTTTCGATTTGGAATTCAACGACTCGTGGAATAACCCGACCAGTCTCTGGCATGCTCTCCAAAATCACAAGGCATTTTTGGGAAAGACTCTTCCGGAAAAGTCAAGCAAGGCCGCTTGGGATGCCGCCCAAGCCAATTTTCGCTTGCATAAGCAAGCCGTCATCCTCGTCATGACCTTGACTCCATCGACCCGTACTACTGGTCCATTCTTTGAATTACAGCTGCACCCACTCAAGATTGATCACACTCATCGCCTCGCCCGTCGCTTTGGTCCTGATAGGTTCATTGAGATGATTGTCCCTTCGATCGACCCGCAGAACGTACCGGTACTTAAAAAGTTGTCTGATGAAGCTATCAACTATGCAAGGCGTTGGCTCTGTACCAATCCGCATCCATTAGCAGGTCGATTGTGGAAGCCATTTTTTGTGCGCTCTTTTCGTGACGGACCCGTTAAAAAGTCAAGCAAGAACGACTGGTTTGAGCCAGAGCCCAAACAGGTTATGAAGGACCGCTTCAATCTTTTTGCACAAGATGGAAATGATTTTCGACCGCCAGAGGAGCAATATCCTGAAAAGAACCAGTCCATCGACAGTCATACAAAGATGAGCGTGACTGGCCTGATACAATGGCTTCTTGAACCTTCCGATAGCGCGAAACAGCCAATCTTGAAGCTGTTCTCACGTATATCGCTCGGCCTCAGTCGTACAGAACCGACCATTGTACTTGAGAGGAGCCAATTACGCCATATAGAAACCGACATTGTGTCTCCGGCAGGCAATGTCATGAACGACGGTATTGGCCGCATGTCGCCACTACTTGCGCGGAAAATTCGCGACTCTATGGGATTAACAGAGACTCCAGCTGGGTTCCAAGGTCGCATTGGAAGTGCCAAGGGTTTCTGGATAATCGATGTATCTGAAAGAGGTGACGACCTTTGGATCGAGACATATCCGTCCCAACGAAAATGGAATTGTAATTTTGAAGATGAGGATCATCGAACTTTTGAAGTCAGCAGTTATCCTCAGCTCCCGGTACCAGCCAGTCTCAACACTCAATTCCTCCCGATTCTCATGCACCAAGCACCATCGAAGCAGCACAAACAAGCGCTGCAAGCCCATCTGAGTAATCTTCTACTGCAAATCCTGAACGAGGAGATAGAGGCCCAGCGAATCGCTATGCAGGATCCCTTGTCGTGTTCCGCTTGGGTTGAAAAGAGCTCTACTTCACGGCGGATTGAGCGCTTGGAGGAAGATCAAATTCCACGGCTGGGAAGTGTACCTCGACACGATGAAGACCGCATTCAATTCTTCTTGGCTGCTGGCTTCCATCCGTTGGAACTGAAGATGCTATGGGACATGGTATGGAAGCTATGCAAAGAAAGGTGCGAGGAGCTCAAAAGGCGCATCAACATCAAAGTTGGCCAGTCAATGTACGCTTACATGGTCATTGATTTCGAGGGAATTCTTGCAGAAGATGAGGTCCACGTCAGCTTCTCATCTAGCTTCAAGGACGAATTATCCGGATTTGCCGATACTCATTTGCATGGAGTAGATGTTCTGGTTGCACGTTCCCCGGCTCATTTCGCTAGCGACATTCAAAAGGTCAAGGCTGTTTTCAAGCCAGAGTTAGGAGCGCTCAAGGATGTGGTTGTTTTTCCGAGGAGGGGCAACTCTTCCCTTGCTGACAAGCTTAGTGGTGGAGATTACGACGGTGATATGGCTTGGGTGTGCTGGGACCCTAAAATCGTAGACAATTTCGAGTCTGCACCTGTGCCGGAGGAGCCAGATCTTCTCAAAGAAGGCTTTTTATCCAAAAGAACTGGTAAGTATGAAGACCTCATGCGCGACCATCAGGACAGGGCCACCCTTAAATTTCTTGAAGAGGGGTTCGACTTCAACATGCAGCCCAAGTTCTTGGGCATGTGCACCGTCTTCAAAGAGAACCTGTGCTACAAGAGAGGGTCAGTCTCGGACTCGACAGCCATTCGACTCAGCACCATGTTGAGCAATCTCGTGGACCAAGGTAAACAAGGAATTGTCTTTACGAATAAGAACTTTGCCAAGTTCAAGAAGTCTTTTCTCAAGAAAAGCGAGCCAGAACCTGCTGCACCAAAATACAAACTGGACTCTTGGACAGGTAAAGGACGCCCCTCTCATATCATCGACTTTCTCAAGTTCGAGGTTATGATACCCAAGGTCGACGCAGAATTGAAGCGTCTTAGTGAGACAACACAGGGCGACAAGGCAGGGATCTGGGACAAAGATCTTGCATTTCTCTGGGATCATTACAATAAAATGCGAGTGGACAAGAACAAAAGAGTTGGCCACGGCATGTACTTGCTGCAAACCGACATTGAGAACTTTCAGAAAGAAGTCGAGAAAATCAGTGGCAACGAAAGCATCAGCTTTGATGTGAAAGTCGCACACATGCATGAAAAGTTCCAGTCGATCGAGCCTCGTGGTTTCAGTGGCACCCTCGAGAAGATCATTACCAATGCGCACCCAAACGCCAAGCAGCACACAGAATGGACTCTGCTCAGAGCATCAACGTATTACAAACTATACTACAAACGGTCCACCTTTCTCTGGTGGATCATTGGATCCGAGCTGGCGGCGCTGAAGGCCAAGGCGTCCCAAGCCGGTCCCCTTGTCTACCTCGTCGGAAACTTCTATGGGGCCATGAAGCTTGATCCCAAGTATATCAAAGCCCGCAACGCAAGGCGCGAAGGCATAGAGGACCCGTTTCGCGAAGACCAAGAGCCGTACGATGATGAATGACCCTGGTGACTAGCGAGAGAGAAGGAACCGCTGATTCAGATAATAAAAGTACCATCCAGGGTACTGGACGCTCAATCCCACCCCATCTATTTGCTTAGATATATTTCACACGTCGGAAGGTATTTGGAGATGAAGGAGGCCATGGACCCATTTTCAAGCTTTGTTACGCACGAAATGTTTGAGTTTATTTTCTTGCTCAAATATCCCTATAATGAGCGTTTTTGTACTGCTGTCCTGACCAATATTACACGACCACATGGCGGAAGACTTGGTGAATTGAGAGGTTATTTTCGACCACCATGCAATGCACATGTTTCATGATTGAATTGTGATCACTGGTAATTGTTTAGGTGGTTGGTAAAAAAGAGTCATTGCCAACATGACTAATCGATTAGCGGTCAGACTAAGTACAAAACGCCAACCGACCTGATTCATAATAGTTGTTTTGTTGTGTTTTTCTCCTCAAAGTAATTTCATACTTGCACATCATAGGAGTTGCGATGGTCTCAAAATGATATAACACTTCGTACACTCGTGTGAAATATTTTTCTCTTCTTGTTTTTTCTTTGGTTTAAACAAACTGATTAATGGACACTTCAGCCGCGGCAACTGCAGCGCCGGTGCCCAAGACGATCCACAACCACTTATTGGTCAGAACGTCGGCCTTGGGCCAAAACGAGTTGTGGCTCTGTTTGAAGCGCTCAAAGTCGGCGTGCTTTTCGAGACTCGACTGGGAGTAGCGGCGGTGCTGGTGGGCCTCGGTCTGCTTGTCGCCGCCGACGTGGCGGAGGAAGAAGTAGTTTGCGATACTGCCGAGAATCTCAATGGGCGCCAGCAGGTCCGAGCCGTAGAGCAGGACTGGGAAGGAAAAGTGGATGAGGGCATCGCCCAGGTAGTTGGGGTGGCGCACGAGCGACCAGACACCTTCCTTGCACACGGCGCGCTCGTCGTTGGCCGTCTCCTTGTATGCCGAGAGCTGCGTATCCGCCAGGATCTCCAGGGCCAAGCCGGCGGAGAAGAGGCCGACGGCGATGCTCTGGACCAAAGGATGGTAGCCGCTCAGGACCTTGCCCTGGTGATGGTATGGGGCCGTAAAGGGGAGTGTGATGATAGTCTGGATCAGGGCCTCGGGGAGGAATATGGTGAAAATAGCCCGATTCCAAAAGTCAGGATCCTTCTTGGCATCCTCCCATCGGGTATCATCCGTACCCTTGCCGGCTTTGCGGCGCCTAATAGAGCGGCTGGAGATGCGGTACAAAAGTCTGCCACCCCAGAGAGTGACACCGGTCAACAGGAGACGTTCCGGACGTGAGAGCAGCGATAGGGCCTGACCCAGCGTCAGACCTCGCTGGACCTTGCGGCCAATGGCTGACCACCAAGCATTGGCGATGGGCGCCGTAGGCCACAGCCAATTCTTAACCTCTACGGTGTTTGTAGCACGGCCAACGCCGTATGCGACCAGGGCAAGAGATCCATGAAGGGATAGACTAGGAAAGATGGTATCTTTGAAGATGCCAACATCGAATAGCTCGCGGTGCCAGCTCTGGTGATAGTGGGGAACCGAGTTATGGTGGTGTGGAAGCTGAGAATCGAGGGCAGCTGCCGGAGAGGGCGAATCCGAGTAGCGAGGCGAAGATGCCGAGGCGTTGAACTGAATAGTTCGACCGCCCAGCAGCGAATTGCGGTCCAGGTCGGGGTTCGACATTGTTGAATAGAAGCTTGATCAACACTTCAACAACAATCCCAAGACAAAGCCAAGTTGTTGTTGTTATTGTTATTGTTGGGTGTCAAAAGATCAATTGGGACTTGGAAATCCGCGAGCTCCTAGAGGTCGATGAATCCTTGCGTGCGTGCGGGGGAAGACTCGAGGTGAGGGGAGGGATTGAAGCTCGACATCGAGGCGGCATGACATCACAATCTCCAACTCTAAATTGCAGTTTGACGCGGAAGGTGTCAATGATATTCGCGGGGAATCGTGCCACAAACAGCTGAGACAAAAGGTTGTATGCAAGGGACGTTGATCCATGTTTCCGCCCGCCCCCCACAAGCAATTGCTATTCTAAACTTGTGGCTGTGGCTGTAGAAGAGAAAGAAACGAGAACCATCTATAGATTGACGGCTGTCATTCTCGGATCATACAGTAAACTTGTGGTATGTATAGATGACTGTCACTGGAGTATGAGTGGGGATTGAGATGGTAGGTAACCTATTAATGTGACCGACATCATTGATGATTCTAAGTTTGATCTTGCAGCCGGCAGCAACGGCTCAGCCTGCACATTGTTATATACTGTGATTGAATGGAAATTTGAGGCGTAGGATGTGCTAGGAAGAAGATATTTTGCTCGCTTCTTGCTGTCGCTCATTGCCGAGAGACATATTTCCCATTGCGTCAAGTCTTATGTGTAAGTATCAGCAGGTTCCCTCAGCTTCCTCACGCTTCTCACGACAGACGGGACAACCCGCCCTGACTTTGTCTCTCAACAACCTGGCACGAGTAACCTTGCTGCCCACAAAGCGACCCCCTCTAGTTCTATCCTCGTCACCGTTTGCATAGCCCGTGAGACTGGGATCAGGCTCTTCGTCTGGGTGCAGGTACTGAAGCAGATGGCTCGCATGAAAGACGTGACCACATGCAAAACCCACGAGGGTCTCCATTTCCCATTCCGTAAAGGGTTCATGGCATTGTGCGCAATGGCCTGGTTGGGGAGTACGGTGATCATGCGCCGGCTGTTGTGATTTGACTCCACCTACCGCGGCATGCGCCGTGGCCGGATCCACAATCTCCGGTACAGTCGGCGTATCGGCTCCGCTCATCTGTGGCGCGGCGCCCTTTGTGACAATGGTCGGCACTTCCTTGACTTGCACGTCTACATGATCTTCTGATTTTACCAGCACTTCGAACTTGATACCCTTTCTCTGGCCCATTCGCAGCATGTTCTGGGCTGCTGCCACCTCGGATCTGAGGACGCGAGCAACTCCAGATGAGATGCTGTATTGAATCTCATGTTCTTTCATAATGTGCTTCAAGCCTTCTCGCAAGCCCGGAATCTCCAGGCCTTCTGGTATCCGACGTATCAGTGTGATGGGATCGATTGCTGTGCCAACTTCCTCTAGCAAACCCCGGATAAATCGTGGCTTGTCCATGCTATAGTGCAGAAGATCTTCCCATAGATCTGGGTCGTCTTTGTCTTTGGCAAATGCAATGGCCTGAGAAACGTCACCGAGTCGGTCGATGATTAGATACAACGCACGCTTCATCTGCCCTGTAATCGAATACAGATGGACCAGCTCCGGGACGTAGTTGTAACCTTCGCATTCTTGTACAGCCTTTTCAAAAGTGTAGCTGGTAGACACTTTCAAGAGGTCCATCAAAAGCTCCCGGTCGAACGATGCAAAAAGATGTACCGCAAGGTCAGCAAACTCGTCAACAAGGCAGATTGCTTCGTCGGGATCTTGTTCGCGGTATGTTTTCCATAGCCCGCGCAGGTAAAAGTAGAGGTACCGGTTCAAATCTTTCTTCTGCAGTTGCCGAACAACCGTCGCCGGTTTGATGAGTCCCCGCTGAGCCTCTTCGACAAGGAGTGCAATGGCCTCCGAGGTCGCTTCTTCGAGTTCTTCGGCTGTCATCCGATCAAGTTCCGCTTCGGGCACTCTAAGCGCAATGAAGCTGGCAACATCATCTGTGACGGCGTCCGCTAGGTGATTCTCTCTTATCAAGCGCATAGTGGAGTCGGCGTCTTGAAGTTTGATGTAACACCGCAGAGCATCGCGATATTTCCCATTAGATTCATGGAGCCATGCAAGAGACTCCACGACGATTCGCCAGTCCCGGCCCTTTTCGCCGTCGTCGACGCTGTCCTCACGCACATCGCGATATGCGAGCTGGTTCTCAAGAGCCGTTGTGATGGTATGTGTGTCAAACAAGTCCACCTTCCAACGGTCCAGAAGCTTCTTGAAACGGAGCTTGTCGGTCTGGAGGTAATGGTTCAGCAATATCTCATAAACCGTTCCAGGTATTGCAGGGCGCATGGGCTCTGAAGGCACCAAATCAACAATCTCGTCAAATCTCTTGGCACCAGCAAATGTGTAAATCCATTTCTCCCAGCGATCCGGCGTATTGAGGACCTTCGCGGCGATTTGACCAGCGCGACTCCATTCACCAGCTTCAACCAATTCTTGTATCCACAACTCTCCGATCCTCCGCTTCTCCTTCTCGGCGGAAGAGTACTGCGATCGAAGGTGAGACTCGGAAACTGAAGCATCATCTTCAAAGAAGTCATCGCTGCCCTGCTGAGATTGGCTCGGCGTCGATGGCACCAATTCAGACAGTCTTTCAGGGGGCGAAACCATGATTTCGGGATGGTCATCCAAAAGAGCCCATGCCGCTTCGTACTGGTGATGTTCAAGAAGCCATGTCAGGTGATCTCCCATGTCTCTTTTAGTAGCCAGTATACAGTCGTACGGACTGTGAATGAAGATCTTGGCACCTGGTTTGACCAGGTTTGGGTGGACCGTTTGTGGCGCTGAACGCGGGATAGGCCGAGCACTCCCCAATGTGCTTCCAATGCGTGAGCTTGACGCGCCATCGTTGCTATCGCTCTTGATGCTGGCCCCAGAGCTGAACAGTGACTTTGGGTTAATGGTCGCATTCCACATATCGGCACCAAAGTTGGTCATGGCCTCCAACACGCCACGTGATTCTACAACTGATGCCGCATTCTTGGCTGGTAACACGCCGAGATGATAATCATTGGACTTCAGTCGCTCATAACGGCTGACAGTCAGACTGTCCTTATCAACCTCGGCCTGCGACACGAGATCGATCAACCGAAGCTCTGGTGCTAGTGCATTCGGGTGGCGTTTTATGCCCCCTGATGGCTCGCTTCCCGCTGAAGCTGTAGACAGTTGTGCCTTGTGCCCCTTCGCGTGTTTGATGTCGTCTTCCTCATCTTCGTGATCTGGTTTACAATATGCTAAAACAAGAAGTAGTCTCTGGGTATATAACGAAATGCCGGAAATAATACAGTCCATGCGTAGTCTGCAATGGTTAGCTCAGGCATCATGCCAGGACTGAATCGGACGACTTACTTCTTCGCAATTTCTGCCCTGCCAATGGATTTCTCGCCCACGTTGCGCCCAGCGCCGATGCCACCAGCATGCACGTGGATTATCCATATGGTACCTCCCCACCCAACCAGTAACCTTTCAAATTGTTTTTCATGTTTTGTCGCTTTCTTCGTTGCCGCAGGCGGCGGGCTCTCGACTCGCTCTGTGGGTGCATCTTCCTCATCCGTCTCAATGGCCTGCTCGTCAATCCACTCGGCTCGACCCTTCCAGACACCAGCCATTTCTTCCCACTCGTCCGTCTGGGGCCTGTCAATGTGGCCGATCCGTTTCCAAGCATCTTCTGCATCAGCAGAGTCCAGGTGTAACTTGGACCGCATAATCTTGATACCATGCTCATTCAACCAAACGACATATTTGCCAGAGAGCGACCACTTAATCGCACTAATGGTTCCTTCACCCGAATGAAGGACTGTGTCCCTGCCGGTATTGGCTCCTAGACCCATGCTACCGAGCCACCCAGAAGCGGCTGCCGCAGCGGTGCCCACTGTCGAGGATGTGCTTCGACCCTGCGGTGGAGTGACGGTGAGAACGAGACTTCCAGAAGTGCCTCCAGAAAGATAGGTTCTGTCATTCTTGTAATCCGGCGACAACGCAACAGCCTGTACAGGCCTCGCAAAGTTCCTCAAGGATACATCCTTGAAATCCATAAGTGACTGCACACAGACATGGCCATCCATAGATGATGTGCCTATGAATATGTTGTTAGATGGGATATTCGGTAGTGGTTCAGGCTCGCGAGATTTCCGAGGAAGGTCTGCTGTTGTCTTCCTGGAGGGTGCCGCTGCCGACATGGCCTTTGTGGCCACCTCAGACTTGAGAGACGTTGGCGGTAGCGGTGGTGGGAAAGGCGATATGGAAAGGTTCGATACGGAAGCTTGATGAGCGTGGTAGTTTCGCAACGTTTGGAAGATGGGGAGTTGAACAACGTGCTGCACAGGTATGCATTAATTCGGCGCACACTATTGAGAACTTGGCATATTCCCTTACAATATTTCCTGCGTCAGTGCCTATGATCATTTTGTCACCAGCAACAATGAACGCAGTTGTCATATCTTGTCTATAGACGGCATTCAAGTGTTGCGTCAGGCGGGCATATTTGAGCTTCGGTTCATCGTCTTCATCGTCCGTCTCGTCCTCATCATCGTCATCGGAGTCATCCTGCTCTGCGATCTCTTCGCCCTCTCCGCTGTCGTCGCTCTCCTCCGATTCTTGGGCCATGGGGCTGTCCTCTTCGGGCCGCGGCTCGACCTTGACGAGCTCCGGTCCCGAATCAGATCCAGTTTCGTCGTGTTGGCGGTCTGCATTGTCGCCCGGGGCGGATGGAGCGTCCGTCATGATGGGCAGCTCAAGAAAGTCCTTGGCATGGCTGGGAAACGGCCAGACATCCACTCACGCCAAATCGCGAATGAAGTTGTTGATCACTCTCGTAGTTCTGGGGGGGAGCTTGCCCGGTACAAGGTAGCTTCAATCAAGACTCCGAAATGAAAGCAAGCTACGTCAGCCATCCATTGTCTTGACCGTACAGTATTTTAAATTATGGCACTGTGCTGTCGGCACTTTCTGGGGGGAAACTGTGGTGGCGCCCAACAAGCGCGTACAGTGTGTGCGCATAACTTTGGCGTGCCCCTCACTAATAAGGTAGATTTTAGCGTCTGGGAATTGGCAGTCGCGTCTCCCATAGGAATGTGGTTCGGATCCACGCGCGCTTCATGGCAATTCAGAGCTTGATTCTCACGACAGCTCCTGCAGCGACACAATAAAACCGAGACAAGGGCTTCAGGTTCGCCCACTACGAATCAGAGCTTGAAGAGGAGCCTCAATGGAGCACCTGTACCGACAATGGCTGCGGTGACATCCCTGGGGCTGCACCAGCCGACAGCACTTCAATATGCCATCCAGGAACAGCTACTGAAAGAGAATGCATCGAGCACGGATTATACCTGGGATAGCTTTGTGAACCACAGCGGCGGCGACATTGGCGAGGACGAATTGCTGGTCACTAAAGAGGCAGTTGTCTGGTCTCGAGGCAACATTTTTCGCAAATGCTTTGGTTTCAAGCTTGAGAAGGAGACCGTTACCCAAGCATTATTGACATATTTCCCTACATCGAGCCAGTCCTTGCAGAGCAATACCCCGAACACGCCCCAGACCAAGCTCTCTCCCGATGGCCGCCAGCTCGCAAAGGCCTTGGTCGTCATCTTGAAAACGCAGGCTCACGTTTACTTCTTGGATGGTACCAGTCATGTCCTCCATCTGCCGTTTGAGGTGGAATCTGCTTGCGCCGCACCTCACGGTGTCATCATGCAGCGCAGGCAGAGAAACGACGTTGCTTCCGTCGCCAGCATCAAGTTTCCTCGAGTACCGCCGAACTCGTTCATATCTACTCAGACTTCCCCTGCATCAATGCGACTTTCGCAGCAGTCTACGTTCACGACCGAAACACTCGGCAAGCCAAGAGCACTACCATTAAGGCTCAACAACAATGGACATGATATATGGGACATCCCGAATGAGAGAGAAGACTCACACTGGCCTCGCCTCGTGTCCCTGACCGATCCTCTACTTGATGTGGGCTTAGTGGTTACCCAATCTGATAAGAATATAAAGCAAAAGGGTCGAAGGGTCTCGGGCAAACCACCGTCCTTTCTTGATCGAGCGGAAGAAATTCTGCACATTGAAGAGATCCCGGCGTCGACTTCAACATCTAATCAAAGATTACAATCTCTAACGTTGGCTGTGACCATCAATCGAGAGTCCAGTATGTATACTGTCTGGCGAATGTCTTATCTTCAAAGAGAAGATCCCTTTCGCGCACCCAAGGCTGCCAAAAAGAAGACGGATCGCCGCCGTAGCTCAATGCAGCCAGGCCAGCCAAGTGGTGTCACATCTCCAGTTCAACAAGGCTTCCAGGAGAGTTTCAGCACCACTCTTCCAGGAAAGCGGAGCCGAAAAAGTGAAAAGCAAGGAAAGGCCGACAAAGCTTTGGAGAACCTCGAAACTTCACTCGGGCTCGATAAAGATGCAGCAGCGGGTCGGCGAACTTCTCGTCGGGTGAGCTCCATGCTTGCAAGAGCAGACCTTTCAGCATCTCAAGATCGTGCAGGTTTCAATGACCAACCCCAGGTCGTCAACCTTACTGGGGGGCGTAGAGAGACTTCTTATGGGAGTACGCGTGTACGAACAAGTGGTGTTTTCCAAGCTGCTAGCTTTGGCGGTCCGGCAACGCAGTCTTCAAATCCTCTGGGCAGTTTCCTAGAACCTCCTGTAGACTACTTACTGGAAGAACTACGTAATAGTGGCGACGTTGAGGGCTTTCATACTATGGGACTTGATGATCATGATTTCGACGGCTTGGCACGCGAGATCTTGTTCACCAAAATTCACAGTGTATCAGTCGACAACAGCAATGTCAGATATTCGCTCTCCAGGGTCCCCGCAAAAGAGCATTGCAAGGTTTTCTGTCTGGTAGGCCCCGAGTCCATAGTAGACGAACAGCATCGCCGTCAGGTCCTTGTCGGTGTACAAGATTCTATGGAAAAGCGGCTTCAGTTATTAACGCTTCACCTGCAAACGACCACCGAATCCGCAGCACCTAGTGCTGGTACAACAAATGTCACGTTTGGTCAGCTGCGAAAAGCACAAAATGTGATCGACTGCTGCAAAATCACTGATCAAACTGTGTCGATGATCCTAGTTCTTTCCGAATCTGCGAATGGGGACCGGGAACTAAGTCTCCAAGCGCCTTGGAGTGAGCTTACATCGGTGCAGCTCCCAGCAAAGCTACTCCTCTCGAATTTGCGGAGCTTGGATGAACATGGCAGCCTTGTGACAAGGGAATTTGGCCTGCGGAGAGCCGTCAATCCTGCTCTGGGTGAACTGGCCGGCGTGCGGTTCCCTAGACTGAATGGAGTAGTTGATATCTTTGGAGAAAATCAACAGCTTCATCAGATAAAGATTCAGTTGCACCCATCACGGCCCCAAGTCGCCAAGATATATGACATTCTTAGAGCAGCATTACCAATTCCGACAGGTGATAAGCTCCTTGCTGGATGGTGGCACACTATGAATTGGCTTCGCAGAGAGAACGTCGAGTGCGCAGATCTCGAATGGTCCGCCTTTGCTATACAGCTTCTGTCCGTCTATATGGCACTGGGTTTCGACGAGATCCCTGTCTCTTCAAACTCTCTAGCTGGTCATCGACGAAAAAGGAGCCTAATAAGGTCCGGTAGCGGTGCGCAGGTCGATTTGAGTGACTGGGACGCCATGAATCTAACCGAGACACCCAACTCGGCTACGCATCCACACTGGATGCAGACTCGAGGTTGGCAATGGATCATGGAGCAAGAGGATGCAGCAAACATGTTTCAGCCCACTCAAGGGAGGCAGGAAGAGCTCTCGTTCGTGTTGTCTCACATCAGACATGCTCAAGCTTTCATGGCCTCCAATACTGGAGAGGCTGCTTGTGGCCAAGCTGGGTATTTACCCACAGCTGCAGGCCATACTGAGTCAAGTCGAATTCACTATGCGCAAGAGATATTGAGCACTCTGCACTACCTGCTGGAAGAGCAGAAGCTTGACATCAGTGCATCTCACAAGATATCTCCTGGCCCATCGGATCTGCAAGCGCTGATTATGCAAGTTGTCAAGTGGCTGCGCTGGAAGACTTGGGTGTTGGCATATGAGCTAGAGATGCCCCTTGATCGCCCGGATTTCCATGACAGCCTCAGCAGCGCCTCTATCTCAGAGCGTGTGCCGGAACCGCCTTTGTGGAGTGTTCTGGAATGGACACAAGCATGCCTAGCACACGACGTATCAACCCAGATTCCACAAAACATGGCAAGCATACCAGCTACAATCCTGCCGCAAACAAAATTGCTTTCGCGCTTTTTTGAGGCATTGAGGACAAAGACGTCATCGCCTATCCATTTTGTCGAAGCAATGCATAGCAGTGGCATCACGCCTGCCAGGTTGGAATCCTTCCCGGAGACCGTTCTTGTTCCTCTGCAAGATGCAATTTCTCAATGTCAAGCTCGTCCACCACCTTCTTGGTCCAAGAGCCTCCTCGACTTAGTCGATCGTGGTGATATTGGGGCCGTTCTTTCGCCGCTTGATAAGAGCCATTCAGGCTCTACCAGTCTTAATGTAAGTAAAACGATTTCTTCACTGGAACAAGTCGCTAATGGCCTCCTAGGCTTCGTCGCATGTGTCATCGTGGGATTTTAGTTCTCTTTGCCAGAACGTGATGGATTTCAACGATGCTCCAGCTGAGGATAGTGCCGAGAGCGACAAACAAGCAGTGATCCGCGCTATTTTCAAGGAAGACCGACGGCTCGAGGAGACAAGACTTATGCTCAACACCACCAGGCCCAGAGCAGTACGTCTGGACCCCGAACCTGAATGGACGGAGCCCTTCTACCTTGAGCAACAGAAGGAGCTCGTGACGCGCTTAGCCACCAATACCTTGTCCATACCCACTAGCCGAGGACTGCTGAACTATGGGCTGCGCTTCCCGCTCCTCACGCAAAAGTATCATATCCACGGATTTGTACTCAATTGTATCGTCAAGCCAACAAATGTCACGGTTGGGGTTGACAAGTCACTTTTCACGGAAGAGAAGATTGCTTGGGCCTTTTTCCACTCGGGTGTCGCTGCAGGCCTCTCTATATCACGACAGGCAAAAGGTGTCGACACATCCTGGATTCTTTACAACAAGCCTGGGAATGATTTAAACAACCGTCACGCCGGGTTTCTTCTTGCCTTGGGTTTGAACGGCCACCTGAAGGGGCTGGCCAAATGGGTTGCATTCAAGTACCTGACGCCGAAACACACAATGACATCAATCGGACTGCTCCTTGGGCTAGCAGCCTCATATATTGGTACTATGGACTCGTTAATTACGCGTTTGCTGTCTGTACACGTTACGCGTATGCTACCACGCGGCGCAGCTGAGCTTAATTTATCACCGCTTACCCAGACGACCGGCATCATGGGCATTGGTCTCCTGTACTGCAACAGTCAGCACCGACGGATGAGCGAGATCATGATGTCGGAGATACAACATGTCGAAACCGAAGACGATGAAGAGCCACTACGTAGCGAATGCTACCGATTAGCTGCTGGATTCGCACTAGGCTTCATCAATCTAGGGAAGGGTGCAGATCTGAAGGGTCTTCACGACATGCGAATCACGGAGCAATTGTTGACACTTGCGTCATCCACCAAGAACATCGAAGTCGTGCACATTCTTGATCGATCTGTTGCAGCGGCCGTAATGGCAATTGCGCTGATATACATGAAATCAGAGGACTACATCGTGGCTCGGAAAATCGACGTACCAGATGCTCTACTGCAGTTCGACTACATTCGTCCAGACATTCTGCTTCTGCGTACTGTTTCGAAACACTTGATATTGTGGTCTGCAATCCAACCGACTCATGCTTGGATTCGTGAGAATCTACCTGCCAGATATCATAAACGAGTGAACCCCCCCACGCAGCCTTTCGACCATGCTGTCCGCGGACCGCTCAACAGTACCGACCTGCCGTTCTTGACCATACTTGCTGGCCTTTGTTACGCCATCGCGTTACGATACTCTGGTTCAGGGGATGTGCATGTGCGTGACTTGCTGCTTGTGTATCTGCAGCGCTTCTACGGATACTGCCGCTCTGCATCGCCTAGTGCAAACTTTGATGAACGCACCGTGCACGTTACGGCCCGTATGTGCCTGGACATTGTTGCACTGTCAACCGCAACTGTAATGGCAGGGACTTGTGACCTGAAGGTTCTTCGGATCCTGAGATCACTGCATGGAAGAAACGACAGGGATACAACCTACGGTTCGCACATGGCAGCACACATGGCAATCGGCGTCTTGTCTCTGGGGTGTGGAACTCAAACCTTCAGCACATCCAACTTGGCCATTGCGTCCTTGTTGGTGGCGTTCTACCCAGTATTTCCAGACCAAGTGCAAGACAATAAGAGCCACCTACAGGCTTTCCGACACTTTTGGGTCCTAGCTACTGACCCTCGATGCCTGGTGACGAAAGATTTGTCGACCAACACGCCTGTCAGTGTCTCGATTGTCATCAAGTTCAAGGACGGTAAGCCTGAGCAGGTACAAAATACCCCTTGCCTTCTACCACCTCTTGATGACGTGGCAAGCTTGCGTACGAACAGTCCGGAATACTGGAACCTTGAACTGAACTTTTCTGGCCCCAATGGAGACCAGATGAAAGAAAAGTTTCGTGAAAATCAGGTGTTATGCCTGCGGAGACGGCCAGTAGACGGCACTCCATTCTCTGCGACAATGCTTGCACTGGGCCGCCAAGGAGCTGCTGCAGGTCCGAATGAAGAGGGTGCTCAACCGTTGACATGGTTGTTTGATGCATCAGAAAGTTTAGGCAAGCTTACTCATGCAGAGCGTGATATAGCGCTCGATAGCGGAGTCGGCGGGCCTGACGTTGGTCAAAGTAAGGCGAGTGTCGTGGATACAAGGCTCATACTCGAAGAAAGCATCAATTCTAGTCGCAGAGACGATCTCATTGGGCTTAAAGGTCTGTTTGAGTGGGTCGATTGGAAGGCTCGGAATGTCGGGGACGACAAACGTGCAAGCACAGATGGTCAGATTTGGAACACTGAGGGCTGGCTCAGAGAAAGTGTAATTGAAGACCTGAAAGGAAAAGTCTGGCTCGCGGGACGCGAGAATGATTAGAAAATAAGTAAGGGTCCAAAGGGTCCTAAGGGTCTTTCTTATCACCTGGACTTAATGTTTCATGACATCACGAAGCAATGATGTGTCCATTTGTTGGCCTGGCGCAGGGTTATAGAAAAGAATTATACCATGAGTTATTGTCCTTGGCAAAGATTGCCGTGTAACAAGCCCTGTTTATTCGGGATTTATTCGACGTATCAAATGATGGAAGACGGGAAAAGTGCATGTAAGTGCTACCCGTCCACGGCTGCACTCGATAACAAGGGTCCCTTGTGTGTATGTGTGTGTGTGAGTGAGTAAGTCGAGTGCACTTTACAGAATAGGCATTCATGCATTGAAATCCAAAATAACGGGATTGCCAAAAGTTTATCCCAAGTTTGGTAGATTTGCGATTTTAGCTCCCGTGAACGGTCCAGGAGAGCCAAAAGATCCCATCCCGTCTCTGTCAGCTCACGCCACCAGCTGGATCAGCATCATTACAACAGATCTGCATTGCCTGCCATAACGGAAACAAAGACATATAACTGAACAGATGAAGTATCTGGGGTCTCTTTTAACTAACATAGTTGCATTAACACTTGCGGGAAAAGATACGTTCACAATAAAAAGCAGCAAGTCGTCACATATTTGTTGCGTATCAACTTGTGCCCAGGTTCAACACCCAATAGGCACGATATGGAGCTGGGGCTCCAGGGCTGTTGGTGGGGTCAGGTGAATATAGTCGGGCATGTCGGGTTAAGCCAAGACCCTAAACTAGTGTAAAGCTTGACACTTTGTATTCTGGGTTTTGAGTTGTTTGTTTGTATGTATTCAAATTGCCAATTCGAGGTTGACAAATGGGCTAGACCCTGAACTAGACCTAGAGACATATATGTCAGTCATTATCGCGAACCATGAATCAACAATTGTAAAAAGTTAAGGAGTAGCCTCTCGTTATGTTCCAACGCTTGAATTGAGCGCAATCTTTCCGCCAACAGGGAGGGGGGGTGGAGCAGTGCGAGTCTGAGGTGACATCACCATGTGTCGCCTCTATGTATGTCCCAGCCAGCAGCAGCAGCCCCAACGGCTTACCAGTGCCGCATCCTTCCCTCTGTACGTCACTCATCAGCTCGTTCACTCATCAACTCACCACACTACTGGAATTTTCGGCCCCTTTCGGGAACCGAAGCAGATAGTACAGATCATCACCCTCATAACGTGTAGAATGAAGAAAAGATAAACCCCGGCGGAGATGCTGAGCTTGTGCGTCATTGGACATGAGAATAACGCGACACATTTTCCCTCGTAGGTGAATGCTTGGCATTTATAAAATTGTAGTACCCTCTAAATCCAAGCCTTGCGTGTCTAAATGCACCATTCTTCAATAGACTACCAGCGACCATCCATTCCCTTGGCAACTGGGCGCTCTATCTATACCTGACAGGCTGGCTCCCAAAGTTGTAAACACCAAGCCCCAAGCATTGAGAATCTATCATGGCGAACAACAGGAGCCCTAGCCGCAGAGGCTCTGATGATACATTGAACGATACCATGCGCGTACTTGACGCCGAGGACGGGACGTTTCATTCAGCCCGGCACTACAGACAACCACATCGATCTGTTGGCTTCTGGCATCAAGGACTGAGCAAAGTAAGGGCAGAGGTGATCAAGAAATGGGCGCTCACTGGTAAGTCTATCGGCCAGAGCAAAGAATAACTCGATAGTATCATATAACTAACACTATCTTCTACTCCAGTGCTCATCCTAATAGTCTTCATCATGGCTGTACTCGCCCTATACTGGGCGGTCCTTTCTCGTGTGCAAGATAATATGCGCTCCCTGACTGTGCAAGTGGTCGATTTCGACGGCCAGGTTGCTCCGTATGATAGCGTGGTGCCTTTTATAGGACCAATGGTGACCGAGCTGGCTCAGCAGACCATGGACATGGTGGACGTTCCCTCGGTTGGGTATGAAATCGTTCCGGTCCGCAGCTTTGACTGGGATCCCATTGCGGTCAGACAATCCGTCTATGACTTCCACAGTTACGCGGCCATTATCGTCAACCCCAACGCAACGGCGCTGCTGGTTGATGCTGTCGCGAGTGGAAATGCCACCTATGATCCGACGGGGGCGATTCAGATGATTATCTTGTCGGCGCGGTCCGAGTCCACGTACTACAATTATATTATACCGCAACTCCAGGCGTTTACCGATAAACTCATGTCCCAGTTCGGACCGGCCTGGACGCAGCGTCTCGCGAGCAACGACTCCGTCACCAAGGAAATGCTCAGCGCCGCGCCCACGGCCGTCAACCCGGGTATCTCGCCCTTGATGATCGACCTGCGGCCATTCCAGCCCGCGGCGGCCACGCCGTCGGTGAGTATTGGCCTCATCTACCTCATCATCATGGCCTTTTTCTCCTTTTCCTTTTTCCTGCCCATCCACATGCAGTACATTCAGCCCGCCGGTCACCCGCCGCTGCACTTTTGGCAGTTCATCGTCTGGCGCTGGGTCGCGACCGTGACCGTCTACTTTCTCGTCTCGCTGGCCTACTCGCTCGTGTCGCTAGCCTTCCAGATTCCCTTTTGGACGCCGCCCGGCAGCTCCGTCGACGTGGCTTTTGGCGCGACGGCCTATGGCCGCGGCTCGTTCCCCGTGTACTGGATGATCAACTTTGTCGGCATGATTGCCCTCGGCCTCGCCTGCGAAAACGTGGCCATGATTGTCGGCCAGCCCTGGACTGCGCTGTGGCTTATCTTCTGGGTCATTAGCAATGTGTCGACGGGCTTTTACAGCCTCGATCTGGCGCCCGGCTTCTTCAAGTGGGGATATGCATGGCCTCTACACAATATTGTCGAGGCGAGCCGATCTCTCCTCTTTGATCTGCACTCGCGGATCGGGTTGAATTTTGGCATCTTGGCGGCCTGGTGCGCAATCAACACGGCCCTCTTCCCGCTGTGCTGCTACTTTATGCGCTGGAAGATGGAACATGGTCAGCGAAAGTCGCAAAAGGCCCAGGATCGGTATTCCGTGGATACGAATAATGGCCAATTGGAGTTTGCAAAGGAGCAAGGACAGTTGCCGCCAATCCGAAAGAGAGGATTCCTGAGAGGTGTATAAGATGCAACGAAGCACGTGTAAAGTAGATTTGCATTTAGCGAGGCGTTTGTCATTCTGCATTAATTGTATTATATCATCAAGATCTCAGTCATCGCTACCTTGAATATCGCCGAAAAAGACTGTGTCATACATCATCAGGTCCAGCCTCTCCTAGTCGTTGCAGACGGGTTTATAAAATTCTGTAACCCCGAATATTCATTCATGATCGGGGATACCCCGAAGCTTTAAGAGACAGTGCCCGAGTTGTCGGCGCAGTCGAAAACCTTGGCAATCAAGCCGGTGGCATACGCCTCTTGAATTGACAAGGCAACACCATATCTGGTTCTACAGTCAGTACATGCATGCAAGGGATAGGGAGGAGAAAATCATAAATGTGACTTACGTTCCGCCAACCACCATGAATAGTCCAATGGCGATGACAAGTGCATGAAACCACCATAGCGCCTTGTTCTTGCCAGACAAGGTCTTGTATCCCTTGAAGTCGTGCATCCAGAACAGCGCTGGGAAGATGAGACAAAAGGGAGCCGAGAACAGACTACCAGCGAGGCCGAGGAGGTAGTTGAGGATGGGCACGGCCTGGCTGATGATGAAGGCCAGAGTACCCAAGACAAGGTTAACGCCCAGCCAGGTGCTCCAGTGCACGAGCGTGTCGGCCTGCAGATGGCTGGTGTTGCGGAGGAGGCGCACAAACAGATACTTGGCGGCCACGTGCTGGTAGATGCCGTTGCCAATCACCAGTCCCGGAAGGGCCACGCCGTAGCTGATCTTCTTGAACAGCACGCCGGCGCTGCCAAATGCCGGGGTTGTCAGCCACTGTCCGCAGTAGCGGTAGATGACCAGGCTGAAGACGAGGTACATGGCGCCGACCAGGACGCCGGTCACGTAGCAGGCCTTGCGGTAGTCTTGAGGTCTTCGCATCTCGGATATAATTGGGAGGTACACTGAAACACGCTAGGTCAGTAACCACTCCGGCGGATACTCTGGGATAAAACTTTATAATTTGCACTTACTCGAACCGCCTGATCCGCATAGGAAAATGTTTGCTGAAGCCGTCATACCAGCGGCAAAGGTTGGGTACGCCATGGACCTGAAGCCGAGTTCATAAGGGCCAGTCTGCGGTGCTGCAGCAGGACGGTCTTGTTGCGTGACGGCAATAACAAAGATGAACACTGCGATGAAGAAGGTGATGAATCCAGCCCTGTAGAAAGAGTATCAATATCATTGGCCTTCAAGATACTCATGTAAAAAACGTACCAGGTGAGCCAACCCAACCGTGAAAATGTTCGTACGGCAGAAAAGCCAGTAATGAGAGCAGCAGAGACGAATGCAAAGACTACAGTACAAGCGCCATGGTCCGAAAGTGCGTTGAAGGCCGTGTCAGTAGAGACGATACCAGCCGCCGTGATGAGCACCTGAGCAAGCAGGATCATGATTCCGCATACTTCGCGGCCCAATGGACCCCAGAGGATGGCACACGCATCGGCAAGTGCTGTGATGGAATCAGTCGGCCGTCATGCTACAGAATCGGGGGACATCAAAATGGCTTACTGTGGCACTCGGGATGGCGGTTTCGGAAGTCTCCGATCAATATCGCAGTGTCTATACAAATCAGCACACAAACACTTTTATGCATTCGCTACATGGAGAAGAGAATGCTTACAGGTATTCAACGCCTCCCAGCCCACAATCGACAGAGCACCTCCTACTGCTCCCAACGTGCCCAGTGATCCCGGCACGGCGAGAATGCTCATGGCAAAGTTGATCTTGAGGAAGATGACGGTAGCCCGCTGCCAGCTCACGGTGCGAAAGTCGACACCATCCTCGGTAGGCTTGAAGACTCCATGAGCCTCGGGTGATTTCTCCATCTCGCCCTCTACAACATCGTTGGCGGACCAGCCCTCCGCCGGCTGTATGGTGTCCTGGCCGATACTGGATACCTTCTTTTCGGAAGACATGGTTGGTAATTCCTGATCTGGGGACTCGGCTCTGCCGGTTTGATCGTCCTTCAAGTTTTGTGATCTGCCACAAAACACAATTCCAGAATAATTATTTGGAGTTCGTGGGGAATGGCGAGCGCGCCAATATGTATGTGTCGTATAGTCGTGCATCTTATCTCGCCTATCTTCAGGCCGTTATCACGCACTCTGCTGTCTTCAGTCTAGCTTGAATTTAAGGTTGCAGCTTATCTGCCCCCAAAGGTGAGCGGGCCGCGCACCCAGTCTTCTATACTACAACTGTTTCGGGGACCAATTGCCGACCCACACACATACCAGCCTTTATTGAGAAGTTACCCCGGATTTCTCCTTTCTGGTCCCCTGGTCAGCAAACTAGGGGGTCTCGATGGGTCGATTGGATGTTGTGCGCGTGGTTGTAGCCGTGCTTGGAAACCCACGGAGTAGATTGCTTTATTCTCAGCGTCATACCAGAAACAACATAAAACTCACTTGTTGGCCAATAGCGTCGATGGGCTGATATCTCTAGATATGCCACAGCAAGACGTGGTCGGACTGAGCTGAAGATTCTGACTTTAGTCTGGTTTCCCTCATGATGATAACACTTCCCGACCTAGCGTTCGGATCACTGTTCCGTCGATATGTAGTGAGGGCACTCTCCAAATCTTTCAATGGTAATTTGGAAGCAGACGATTTGATATCTGCAGAACGCAAAGGAGGACCAGGGCTCATTGTATGTCCTGACTGACAGAGTAGACGCCATGTTTAGTATGAGTTGTTGTTCTATCGTGTATCTAAACGGCAGATCAGGAAAACATGATTTGGTGATGATGAATTCTCTTCATTATGTATGATAGACTGTCTTGTAGTACCCGTGCCTCCCACTGCGGACCCCCTTTTGATTTTTATTCCTTCCGCCAATGTGAAATAAGTTAGCAGAAGTCTCGGTACCTCGGCTCTACGGTAAAAGTGCATTATTTAGCAACAGTTATTCTCTCTCTTCTTCTTGGGAAAAAAGGAAGGGAAAATTGGAGCAAAAGAGAAAAAGGCAAAGACAGAGTGTAAGGGAAGAAAGTCAAGGAACTGGGGATGAGATTGTCAATCGAGCTGTGTTGGAGACTTCTGCTAGTACCCAATGCTCTTGCGAGCGGAGTGCTTCATCACTAGTTTTGCTAATTTAGCCATATCGTCGCTCTCGCAAGCCTCCTCACCGGGTGCCCGGTTGTGTAGTAGGCGGAACAGCCCAGAATTGCCATAAAGACTGTTCAAGGCCAGAGCCAGCACGAGCAGAGAGTAGAGCCACCCGCTGAGCTGCTTGTAAGACCAGTACAAAACAATAAGCGTCAGCCCATTCATTACGACGAGAATAACCGCATTCAGACTCGAAGGGGCCACGTCGACACTGTGGGTCACTGCTTTGCTGCTCTCTCGTTCCACCGCGATGGTGTGGCAGACGAGCTCAATCGCTCGTCGCGTCACGATGTGATCGAACGCTTCCACATGGATATTTCCTCGACCCGTGTACAGCTCAGAAGAACTGGTCACGTGCTGGATGCGTTCCAATAACCGGCTGCAAAATGTCTGGCAGTTGTTGTTCATGACATTGTAGGCGACTGGCATGCTATGGAGGACTTGGCGCGCTGGATGGCACTTGATTAGTTTATTCATCAAGTGGGGGTATTCTGTACAAGCTGATCGCTTACCTTGATCCCTGATCAGGTTGTTGGAACACATTGTGAATCCAATAAACCTCGCATTTTCCAAGACACCTTCCTCGAGTGTAGGGTTCTCTGTTGCATCCAATCGAACACGGCCACGAGAGACTGTCAACTGGCAGAGTATCGATTCTCTCAGATGTCCATCATCACGCTTGATCAAGAGTGCCCAATGATAAAATGTACCCAAAAGGCATCCCTTCAACCGTGCAGAGATCAAATGTGGGCTCTCCGCTCGTGGAATATCCATCCTACTAAGGAATGAGGCAGATCGGTCTATTCTTGTAGCTAAAAGGTAGACGCGCCGGCGTTCAGAGACTAATCCATATTTCAAAGACATCCACCTGATGAACGACGCTGTCATCATGCTCCATAGGACCGGTTCGTGCACAGCCGGGATGGAGAGGCCCTTGTTCAGGGCGGGCTCGATGGCAATTTCTGCAACTAAATGACTGTAGAACTGTCCGCCAAGGCTGTCTATGAAATCTGTGATTATGTCTTCGTGTCCGTGTTTGAAAAGGTCAAGCCTTTTTGGGTCGTGAAGCAAGGAACCGCTTGTTTTAGCTCTTCGTAGAAGATCATGGCGAAATTGTGCAACGCATCTTAACAAAGTAGTCTCGGACAAGCGGACGCTCATGCTCAATCCGAAAGCAAAGAGAAAATACTCGTCGCGCAGGCCAATGCCGTTGAAAAGGCAATCAAGTAGAGGCGACACCTGATCCACGTGATCAAGTCTGAATTCGTCTGTTACTGTTATCTGTGATGAATAATTCCACAGGGTGTGTCCCCGGATAGCTCGAAGATACTAGAAATCGAAATAATGAGTATGTCAGACGAAGGGAATATCAAGAAATAAATGCTTGCGTAATCGGACTCACCGCTAGAAACCGAAAACCTGGATCCAAACACCAAGATGGCATTCCGAACGTGGGCTTTACTTTGCGGCCGCTGATGGGATGTCTCGATAACATTGTCAATTTGCTATCAATTGTGACTTTCAATTCAACTCTTATCTTCGAATCCATTGGCAACTCGAGTTTCTGGATCTGGTGCGTTTCGAAATAGGTAGAGATATGTTACTCAAGAGCGTAGGCGGTCGGATTCTCGAGGATCAAAATGGTGAAGCTCAATTAATCCGTCAAAGTGAGAGTCTTGACTAAGCCACGCCATCGGTTTCTATTTGAAAAAGAGAATTTGAGAAAGAAAAGAGAAAAGAAGAAGTATAATAAGAAAGAGAAAAATTGATCTTCAATTGCCCTTCGCGCGTTCAGTCTTGTCAAGGTGGACATCATTTTGTGGCACTGCGATGCTGTCAGATCAGGGGTCTACCGGATGTCAGATAGTTGGCCAGCTGATGCATGCGTGCCCGAACCGCCTGTATCTGACCAGATTGTGAGTTGGGGGCATCTTTTACCAATAGAATGTCGTTGGTTAATGTGTTGTGCTACAGCCAGCAGCGCCCGAAGTACACAGCCACCGCCCGCGGACAGTGAAGTAGCCTGCCATTGCTATCACCGCGTTCAATATACAGGCTGATTGGTCGACTCATGAATGATGGCCCGACTTGATACAAAATGGCTATGCAATTGTAGGCAGTTACTGTCGCTCGCTCAGTAATAATGCTATTTCGTTTTATTATTCGTATTACCAACCAACTTTTCTTCAATTCACAAAGCACGATGATTGACTGGTTGACAGGCCTATATTTCTAATCGTCGATTAAGCACTGCCTGGAGCAGAAGTCAGCCCGCCGGCAACCTTATCCTCACTTCATATACTGGTTTCAACAAATATCACAGATAATCATGAGAGACGTTTCGCGACAGCGATGTTGATTAGAACTGGAATGAAGTCTCTTCAAAGCGCCCGAAAAGTGTGCGCGACCGTATTACAAGTCATTTTTGCACCGTGGCGAATCACTTACGATCCAATCGCTGAACTACTTCAAGCGAATGATGCCGCCGCCGATGCCGCCGCCGATGCGCAAGCGACAATCAATAGCTCAAGCCTGTCGAAAGCCGACATCTTGACTTCATCTTGGATAGATCGTAAATTGTCGGAGCTATCCTGGGTGGGCATCACGGTTCGTGGTTTTAACTCACGTTTGATGGTGCCTCTTGACTGACATATTGCTTCTCCAAGTGTGCACTACTCGCCGGTGTAGTGAGTGCCGTGTTTTCCTGGAGAGATATCGATCAGATGTTTTGGGCAACCAAAGGCCTATGGTACGGAAGTCTCATTGTGGACTTGACATCGATCAGCCTCGCGATGCAGCAATCTCTGGCTTTGAATCGAATATGTTGCGGCTCCGACCGATGGAAGCGAATCCGCACAATGCTAGGAAAGCGAACGGACGACCGGGACATCCCCAAGCCTCGGTGGGCTCAAATGTACGTGTAGCAAGTTCCCATAATGTTGCTGAACATAGGATTGATCCTATTCCTGGCGGGGTTGGTATCGGAGATCTTCGCCCATCTCGAGTTTCCAATGTCGTCCGTTGATGTCAAGGTACGTTTGAGCACTTCCCAAACCATGAACGTTGAACTCACAGAATTGGTGTGATAGTACTTAGTTTTATTGGGTCTGGCGGCCGGCTTTTCTGCGATCACATACTTGGCAAGCTCCGCTTTGTTATATCACCAGACGTTGGAGGCCTTTTCCAAATAAAGTAACATGGTAGCTTTGGCCACAACTTCTCTCGAGTCAATTAGATAGACATAACTTATAGAATCCCAGGGTGATAAGCTAATGTCAGGTAGGGTGATACGCCTTGTATACCTGCAAAGCACCTTCGATACTTTGAACCAGGCCAAAGAAGACGGTGAAGAAAATAGCAATCCAGAATGTCCACCACTGTACCCCGTCCCGCCGATCATGCCACCACTGTGTAACTGTCCGCAGTTTCGTGTCATCGAAAGATTCCTTGAGCTGGACCAAGCGATCCCTCCAAAACCTGTATTTTTCTACATGTCTGATTGCATGACCGCATCTCAAAGCTGACATGTCAAGCTCGTCGCGATTGCCTTTTCTGCGATACCATCTTTCGACTCTCTTGTCTCCCCTGGGAAACAATAGTGCAATGGTCTGTAAAGTCTCCTCGACGAAGCCCGGAGGGAATATTGTGGAGATTCTGCATATAAAGTCAGCATGGAGGAGTGTTTTTTCTTCGTATGTATGGAGGGCAATACACCCACTCTCTTTGATGCTGCAAAAATGTTGCATGATGGAAAATGGTGACACGTTGGACATCTTCTCGAACCAGCAGATGATCTGCCAAATTGGTGGTGAGCTGAACATCGAACCCGGCGAAACGTTCTAGGTCGACAACATTGAAACTCGCCTCGAGTTTGAGGCCTTCGCATGGTAACTCTGGTTGGCCAGTGAAAAGGTCCAATGTTCCCAAGAAATCATCGATAGTACCAGCCTTCCAAGTGATTGTGTCTCGCCCCGTATATGCGTACTCAAACATACCAACATCAATCATGAGTAGAAGACGCACGGCCAAGTCGATTGAGTTGTGAATCACGTTTTCAACACACGTCGGGTGGTCGGCCATGAGCCCTTGTGTGATGTCTGCGTGTGAAGTTCGGAGGCGGATCTTCTTGATCAGATCGAGGAGCTTGACATGATTGGATACAGGGAGATGCTGGCCATGATGCATGGACATGGTGGATATTTGTCTGCACTGGCGGCTATAATAGTGAAAATACGGACTTAGTTGACTAGCCTGAACCGAACCAAAGATTTCTTCCGCAACCAGGGCTTGAACCTGCTGCGAGAGGTTCTGCGCTCTCAGTTCAAAGCTTTCCACCACCATGACTGAGAGTTTGAGCTTCTAATATCGCCTCGGGGTTGTCTTGTACGCTAATACTGGAGTTTTTTTTGAGGTCTGTCCCAACAGCTTCCATCATAAAAAGAATATAGCAAGTTACCAGGACATTGGAATCAGGCTAGAGGATGCCAACAATACCATGGGATTCAGCTCGGGTAATCGATACCCTGCTTCTAATTGGTCTGAAATGACGTCCGTGTAACCACCTGAACAGCATGGGGGCTGCGTGCCCGAAAAGAGGGGAAAGGAAATTGTGCATGAAGCTGAGTCTGGCTTTTTGGTGGTCATCCTTGTCGTATTCCACGCCCCGAAGACGCCCAGCACTTTCGGTATGAGGCGCATCGCGAAATATTCAAGGTCGGAGAATTGATGGATATCATTCCGGACCTTGTTGGGAGTAATCAAATCTGGTCGCCGGGACTCCGATGCTCTCCATCTTTCCGCAGCTCCGGCGGCCCACTTGGCCACAACCACAGGACTCGATAGGTAAATCATTCGGACCTTTCAAAGACTCCAAGATGTCTTACTGGGAAGCCACGGGGCCAGCCTTGGAGGCTTACAATCAACTGATACCAAGAATCTACAAGACCCTGGAGGAGAGGCAGGGGCCTCTCCCCAATTCAGATTTCATTTGGTTCGGTCTCTACATGGTTGGGCCCGACATGGAAACTGCAATGCCGCACATCATGTTTACAGGAGAGAACAAAGTTGCAAGAAAAAGAGCAATGAAGATCATCAAAGAGAGCAGGCTGTTGGCCGAACACCCAGGGATGCACGTTGGCCAATGGGCCGAACCACCACATATCGGAAATCAGACACTTTGTGGTGGCACTACAAGCACAAAAGCTTTCAACGGTCGAAATTTGGATGAGAGTCGCCGCTACTGGGTCCAGCTTGAACAGTTTCTCACAGGTTCACGTCGGTCCACAAGCCTGAAAATTCACTTTGACCACGGAACAGTATCTGCAACCAGCGGCCTCGGTTGGGAGCTCGACGACGTCCAATACTGGCTGACCGCAGCTCATATATTTCGCGATCCACGACTCTGGGAAAATCTCCACCATAATGAGTCAGACACAAGTTCCTCGGAATTTGAATTTGATGGATTCAGAGACTATGACGTGCACATGAATTATGATGCCACGCCAGCAACTGAAGGCCATCCAACCATACTCTCAACGGACGAAGAAGGCACCGTTCATCCATTGTCTCCCAGTTCAGATGTAATCCACAGAGGTTCAAAATCACATACAGCAGAATCTCAAGGAACAAAACATCTCAAGGCCCAAACGTCAGGTGCATCTACCCGAACAATGCTAACGAGCATTCACATAAGCTTAAAAGACTGCCTTTTTACCTCGACTGCACTCGACTACGCTCTTTTCAAATCACCCTATGGGAGCTACCATAAACCATACCGCGGCATGGAGCTTCTGACCTCGGCTTTGATCGTTGAGCCTACAGAGCAGGGGAGCATAGCTCAGGTTCACTCGTCCCATGGAATTCTGTCAGGCACTATCAAAAAAAGTGCCACACATGTACTGCTCCCAGGCAGCACAAGATACCAAGAGGTCTTTGTGGCTTACCTAGACTCGGGTGTTCGCGCCGGGGACTCGGGAGCTGTAGTCGCCAACGAGACGGGCCAGGTGTACGGTCATATAGTGAGCGGGAGCTCCACGTCGGTTGCATTTGTAGTACCGCTAAGCCATGTCTACAATGACATTATCCAACAATCGCATAACAAGTCACATGCTGGCTGGAGTCAATACATGAAATCGCTCGAGGGTCTCCCTAACCTGGGGCGTGACAAGTACCCAACCTCGTGGGCACAGATCATGCTTGATAAGAGGTGGATCGCATATTTGGGGACGCTCAAGGGCCACAAGGGTCTAGTCCGCTCAATGGCCATGTCGGCGAATGGCCAATTCATGGCGTCGTCGTCGGCAGATGCCACTGTGCGGATCTGGAACATCCAAACGGGTGCGCAACAACAAGAGATTGCCAATCGCATGGGCCGATTTCCCTCGCTGGCGATCTCCGCTACTGGACAGTTTGTGGCGTTCACGACCGACGATCATTTTGTGCAAACCTTGGACGTCAAGACGGGCGCAATACAGTCAGTAATCGGGGTTGGCAGCGCCGAAGGTCCTGTTTCGTCAGTGGCAATGTCGGCCAACGGCCAATTTGTGGCAATAAATCAGTATGTGGAACTACGAACGATAACAACAGACAATCAATGGGTAGGCACCGTCAGTATCTGGAATATCTTCACGGGCACCAAAGAGTATGATCTACAATGGCGATGTTCCAAAGCGTACGCGTACATTCCAATGGCAATATCATCTAATGGGCAATTTGTCGCCTTGGCGTCGAGCCCAGATGGTGTTGTACGTGTTTGGGATGCTAAATTGGGCCAGGGCGAGTACCTATTGAAAGGCCATAGGGGTTGGATCAACTCATTGGTGATTTCCCCCAATGGAGTATCCGTAATTTCGGCAGGCAATGATAGGACAGTACGGATCTGGGACGTCAAGACAGGTGCAGAGCAACGAAGACTTGTGGGCCACAGGAGTCCGATCAAACTGTTAGCAGTCTCGACAAACGGTCAGTACGTTATCTCGTCATCTGAGGATGGGATGGTGAGAATATGGGACTTCAGAACGGGTCAGAAAAAGCAGACGGTGCAGGATCTGAGGGGCCGGATTCAAGCGGTGGCGGTCTCCAGGACTGGAAGATTTTTAATTTCTGCATCAGAGGCCAATTTACTGTTTGTTTGGCAGTGGACTCCAATTGAGCGAGCTTCAGAGGCTTCACGAGTATAGAAGAATATATTTGTTCAATATCAGCGGTCTCTGATTAGCAGCACAACTTCCACTATGAACATCATGTACTCTACTCTCAGCCATAAGATATAAGCGACATATGTGGTTCATTCGCAAGCAAGATATCATGACACTTGCAAAGCATATTTACCATGACCAATAAGCGCTGTGAAATTCGCCAAGCCCCAGGGCATACATTAAAGCTTATATCCTGAGTCTTATTGGAGAGTCGACTTCACTATCATGACGGCGTATTTCCCCTTCATATTCCGTCGGTGGCAGTATAAATCCAGACACGCCGACCCTTTTCATCCCGGTCAGAACTATGCACATGGCCTTCACTGGTGACGACGCCTCGCTCTTCACCGACTGGCAGAACGACATGAAGACCGGTCTTCAACCAAGGAGGCTCATATGAGCCTTGCTTCTGGTATGTTATCTTTACCTGAATGGCTTGAGCAGCCGCGGCATACGAGATGGTAACTGAAAAGAGATCTGCCTTGGCTTCAGGACTAATACCATCGTCTTCCAGCCAATCATTCGTAAACCATTGTTCTTGTGACGAGGATGACGACATGCCACTCGAAGCCTCTGCCCCGATATCAGCATGTCGAGGGCTGGGCGGGGGGAATATCTCCACGCCACGCCAGTCGTCCTTGGCCAGGTTGGGGAACTCGACATCGTCGCCCGCGACGCAAGTGGTCGGGACGGTCTTGCCAATGGGGATAGCCGACCCGATGCGTGCAATGACTGGGATCGAAGAATGCCAAGTAGACGATATCTCGTGCCACTGTCCAGCCGCCAAGAAATCGTACGGCGCCGAGGTGTTGAGGAAACCCGGATCATCACTACGCCCTGGGAGGTAGACCCTCGCCGAGGATACGCCGGGCTCATATACGCCAGCAATCAAGAGCGCGTCGCCAAACCAGTATTGCGAGTCACCTCTGGTGATCTCCTTGGACCACACCGTCGGGTCGGACTCATAGCCCCAGCCAGTCCATCTCTGGGGCGGAACGGCGGTCAGGGCAGACTTGAGCATCAAAGAGTACGTGTACGGCACAAGTTGGTATCGACGCTTGATTGCGGCCCGGATGATGGGGGACACGGAAGGGTACTGCCAAGGCTCAATGACGTCTCCCACGAGATTGTCGTTGGGGTTGGTTTTGTAGCAGTTGATGGCAAAGCGTGGGGAATGGATTCCCAATTGTATCCATCTGACCAAATGCTCGGGAGTCGGCTGTGGTCCTTCGAACCCACCGATATCATGGCCGTAGCACTACAGTCTATATCAGTATCATTCTTGGACTGGCCAAATTATTGACTTACTTGGAGAAGAGAGAAGCCAGCGTTCAGTGCAAGTGCATTGGCACCCTTCATGCCCTCCCAGCTGGTAACATTATCACCACTCCAGGAGCTGGCACAATATCTCATGGTGCCAGCCGTAGCAGACCGGGTCAAGACCAGGGGGCGCTCTTTCGGCTCTGCTTCAACCGTAGCATCATGCGAACTCTTTCCCATGAGCTCGGTATTGACCGCGCGGCCCCAGAGTCCAATGTGCCGACGAGCCTCACCTTTCGGAATGTCGATTGTCTCGAGCGAACACTCCCAGTCATCACGTGCAATGTTATACTCATTGTTATCGTTCCACATGGAATCGATACCAACGTGCTTGAGATCGAGAACGCCCTGGTACCACCAATCGTAACCTGCCTTGGAGGTAAAGTCAATGTGACTGCCCTCACCACTCTCACCGCCTCCCGCACTCCACAGCCTGGCAACGGCCGTTTTACCAGTCCCGGGGTCCTTGAAGAATGCGCCGGCCTCGGCCAAGGCGGGATAAGCCGGATGATTGGCCAAGACGTATGGCTTTACATTGGCAAGCAGACGCACACCATGCGCGTGCGCCTCGCGCGTAAAGGCGCGTGGATCCGGGAAACGGTGGTAATTCCATGTCATGACATTGCGAGTCTTGGGCTCCGTCTCGGCCACGGTGTAACCGGAACTCATCTGGAACGCAGAGCAGGGCATATCGTGCTCCTCGCAGTTGCGGATGAAGCCGAGGACGGCATCACAGGCCCGGACAGGGGCGTCCTCCATCGTGTACTTCATGCCGCCGCCAATGTAACCCATCATGTAGCGGGGCACCCACAGCGGGAAACCGACGAGCCGCGCGTACGACTGCACGACCTCGGCGACCGTGTTGCCGACAATGAGGTACTCTTCGAGGCCGCCGTAGGCCTGGCGGTAGACCTTGTAGTGTCCCCAGAGACCATCGATCTCTGACCCGATGGACCAGCTCCCGCGAGCATGCGACGTCGAAAAGATGCCGACGCAGCCCTCTGGCGTCGCGTTGATGAGCCACGGGATATGCTTGTATAGCGGATCCGTGCGGTATGCATCATAGCCAAAGGTGTCTGAGGCTGTAATGAGGAATCCTCGGCCGCTGAGGTCCATGGGAGCCGCCTTCTCTCCAAGCCCAACATGGAGAGTGTCCTTCTTCCAAGCTGTATAGTGCGCAACGCCATTCCCATCGACGGCATAAGAGCGAAAAGGGAGATCTCTATGCACGGGGGTGTCTACACCGTCAAGACCTAGGGAGACGGTGGGTGCTCCGGTCCACTCAATTGTAGCCTTTATTTTTCCGCAACGAATGATGCGAGATGTCCCATCTTGACCATGTGTCACTTCAGGGACATGATCACCAAAATCCTGTACTGGTTTCCTGGCAGAAGGAAAAGGGGGCAATGGATGATCAGGCGTGGTGAAAGTAGTGCGGAATATATTTGAGGTCACTGCCTCAAACGTCCACTTGTATGTCTGCTCATTGCCCAAACTTGAGTGAAGCGCGATGAAAGTGTCACTTTGACCACCCTCAGCGTCCGCTGCACGCAGCTCGTATTGTTGCGGGACGAGTTCGTGCTGATTTAACATATTTAAGGACGTGCCACGAGATTGCTACGAATAGAAAGGTTTTCACAGCAAGTTATTAAAAATAATCAAGAGTTCTTAGAGGATCATATATGTTATAATAGCTTCAATATTCTCGGGCATGAGTTGAATAAGTAGTCAACAGGAATGCTTGGAATCATGCGGGGTTTGGCTTCATGGTTCATACAAATTCGGCCGGTGATATCCCGTACGGTGCTCTGATTAAACACACCAGACGACTGACCCAGCAGGTTTCTCTGAGTTCAAGCTTCCGTACCATGATCTTCCCGCCTTTGACTGGTCCACATGATGCCGCATTTGAGTGGAGATCGTTGGCGCCCCAACGGATATCGCATCGCGGGGAAATCTCACGAACGTCTGTTAGCCAGTCACAGGGGAACGGGGGCTAGAGTTCCCCAGATTGGAAGCACTTATCCACTCTGGATACCGCAGCTAGGTATGCCCCCAAGCCTTTATGCGTTGGCACACACGAAACTCGGGACTTAGCTGTGGGCCGAGTCTTGGACGACGAATCTGCTTTGGGTTTGGCCTACACAGGCGGTCTCGTATACACCATTACCTTTTGTCTTGTCTCTTTGCAAATGAGTGTTCTCGAATCACTGCAATCACGTTCGTAGATAAATGGCATCATCTCGTATTCCGCGTCCACCATAAGTGAAACAATGACATATACCGAGTTGCAAAGGTGAAACAAACAATAATGATTAAGAAGTCTTTGTTAAGTTATGCTATAGTAAATCCAGTCGAGAAGGACACATCTGGTGTCTAGATCTTTCTCTCAAGATTGGGCACGGGATCAAACTTCGCACTGCAATTACATCTTCCGTCGTCACCAGGGTAATACAGCTACCTATCTGTCACGCCAAGTCTCAGATCAACAGGAACCAAGTTCTAGTCAAGGACTCGACCTGCCAGAGAAGAACCACTCTTGTCCTTAGTCTGCGTCTTCTTGAGAGCTCGGCCTGCCTGGATTTCGCCGAGGAAGCCGGCTGGTCTTCCGCCCGAAGACGGTGCTGGCATGTCGCCAGCAGCAGGCGGAGGGGGCGGCGGCGGGGGAGCCATGCCAGGAATAGGAGGAGGGGGAGGAGGTGGTGCATCGGGTGCGCCGGTTGGTGGCATGGGCGGGGGCGGGGGCGGAGGAGCAGAAGGACTGGCCTCGGGCATGGGCGGTGGAGGGGGTGGTGCGGAAGGCGACTCATCCGGAATGGTCGTCTCAGCCGGCGGGCTCATGGGAGGCGCAGGAGGAGGCGGAGGCGGCGAGGCGATCGCCGGCGATGCAACAGCGGGAGACGCAGTGTTAGACCTGTTCCCAGCAGCTGATAAAGGTCGAGGCGGGCCCATGGAGCCAAACAAGAGAGAAGCCAAATGCGCAGCACCAGCAGCGGGGCGGTCGTCATCCGAGTCCTCCTCGTCATCATCGTCGCCGGAACCCCACTCATCATCCGTGTCAGGTCGCTTGCGGGAGAAGTTTCCAGTAGGCTGAGGGACTACAGGAGCAGCTGCAGGAGCAGAAGCCTTCTCCTGGGTCATACGATGGAAGGGGTTTGTGGACACCTCGGGCTGAGCAGGGGCTGGCGGTGCTGGGGGAGCAGCCGCAGGAGCGGTAGTGTTGTCGCTTGACATCATGCGGTAGAAGGGGTTCTTGCTCTCGGTCTCCGTCGGAGGACTTGCCACGATGGTTGGCGGCGCCGGGGCAGCTGGAGGTTCTGGGGCTGCTGGAGCAGGTGGCGGGGACTTGTGCTCCGGTTCGTGCGTGGGTGTCGAGGCCTGGGGTGTGATCTGTTCAGGTCCCTCATCATCAGACGAGGAATCATCGTCGTCCATAGCATCAAGTTGTCGTTGAAGTTCAAGTTCACGCTGGCGCGCAGCCTCGATCTCGGCACGACGAGCAGCAAGCTTGGCCTCCTTGTCCTTGGCCTCGGCCAAAGCAGCCTTCTTCCGCCTCTTTTCCTCTTCCTTCTTCAACTTTCCTTGCTTCACCTGCTCCTCCAGGGCTTTAAGACGAGCATCAGCGGCATCTCTCTCGTGAGCAAGCTCATCTTCTTGCTGCTTCGCTTGTGACCTAGGGCACGATTAGACTTTGCTGGGAAATGATCATTTAGGTCAATAGAATGCACTTACTCAAGCTCTTCAGCTGCCTGTCTCTCCTCTTGTTGTTCCTTCTCGAGTCGTTCCTGCTCAGCCTTCTTCGCGGCTTCTTCTTCAGCGACTTGCTTGGCAGTAGCATCGTCGGCCTTTCGTCCTCTGGATGGAGGTGGCGGTGGCTTTTTGGCAGCAGGAGGGGGTACACCTTGCTCTTCAGCAAGACGTGCCTGTCTCTCGGCTTCGCGTTTGGCATCTTCCTCTTCTGCCTGCTTGAGCTTGGCAGCGCGCTCGGCTTTCTCTCGCTCGCTACGCTGTGCCGCAGTCTCGCCAGGCTTGGATGGCGCCTTGATGCCTAGTGCTGCTAGGCGCTCGGCCATACGTTGCTCTGCCTGTTGCCGAATGAATGCAGCTCGCTCCTCGGGAGTCTTGTAGGACGAGTAAGACTTAGCTCCTGCTCCTGCGGGAGGAGTCTCTGTCCGTGCAACGGAGCTTGGGCTGTCGATTCGGGGTGGCGCCTCAGCCCTCACGGGCTCGGCAGTGGCAGGTCGACCACCGCTACGGTCCTGACTCCGAATGCGAGCAGCACGGCTGGAACGCTGGAGGTCGAAGATAAAGTCACGGACTTCATCTTCAACGCCCAGAGCATCCTCCCATCTTCGCTTCTCGTGCTCATTAGCAGAAGTCTGTCCACCTTCCTTCAGGCCGTCTTCTATGCCACGGGCAAAGTCTCTGACGCTGTCTTCAACTTCGCGAACCAAGCGTTCATTGTTTTCTTTCTCGGTTCTAATCTTGATATTCTCCTCTTCCAAGCGCTTAGGGGCATCAGAGTCGTCGCCGCTGACATCAATCTTCTTTCCAGTCAGTGCAGCAGTGCGCTGCTGCATCATGGCCTTGGCTCGGGCCTTGAGTCTGTCTGACTCGGTAATTGCGCCACCTGGTCCAGTTCCTACAATATTCGAAGCGCTATTCGGGTGTGCCTTGGCATCCTTTAGGCGGAAAAGCTCTAGCTTGGCATCAGCAATGGCTTTCTCAACCCTACGAACCTCAGAGGCCACTTGAGGGATCTTGTCAGTGAGATTCTGGAGCTGACGCTTCATAGAGCGCCTCTCGGCCTCGGAATCTCCGCTAGCCAAAGCTGCATCAGGATGACCGTCAATATCATCCTGAATACGCCTGATTCTGCGGTAGAGCTCATCAGCTTCACGGCGATCTCTCCTGTCAAGAATATCGTCTTCCTCGAGGGCGGACTCATCCTTGAAGTCCATAGCATCCAGAAGGACTTGCTTCTCCTTGATCTTCTTCCGGAGCTGATCTAGACTCAGTTCATCGTTCGAAGTAACAGATGCTGGTGATTCGGGTCTTGGTGATTGGTTGCCCACACGGCGACGCGCTGAAGACTTGTAGCCAACATTGTCGTCATCATTCTTGAAGACGGTAGCATCCTTGCGTCCAGCAGATCCAAACGAACCAGGAGTACCGCGCAGTGAATGGCTCTTCATGTAGCTGACTCCAGTCTTTTGAGGAAGTAGAGAAGCACCGGAGGTCTTCCTGAAATCAGCCTCCTGGTTGAGCATGCCTTTCATAGTGCCGAGGGCTTCATTGAAATTCCTTGTGGATGGCGGGACCAATTCCGGGGGCAGCTTGTTGGGAATAGGGTAGCCATTGAGCTTTCGGTATATCAAGTGCATGGCCACGGCGAATTCGTCGAGGTCTAGCCGACCCTTGTTTCCATGATCTGCCAGCGTCCAAATCCGTTCGAGGTCTGGCTTCTGCAAACCACTCTGTCCCATGATCTCAATAGCTACGTCTCCACCAATATAGCCCTTGTGGAGACCGTCCCAGGCTCGGAACAATTCATCGTAGAGTTTCTTCTCATCTTTGGTGATGGCCCAAGGGATCACAGCATTGCCGGATAAGCCTGCAGTAGTAAAACCGCCCTGCTCACGACCCTGCTGCGGCATCATTTGAGCTTTCAAGGCATCAATGTTGGGCAGTCCACTGGCAGGAGTGTTGACTAGACCCCATTGTCCAGGCATACCAGTAGGCTGGGCATTGAGAGGCGCCGCCGGTGCGCCTAAACCACCAGCGAAACCAGTGGGCATGGGCGGCATGGGAGGAAGGGGTCCGTTATAACCAGTAGCTTGGGGGTTTGTACCCGGAAAGCCGGTCTGCTGAGGCTGCAAGCCTTGAAACTGACCTGGGTAACCAGTGACCTGGCTGCTCAACTGGCCGCCAGGGAAACCCGTCATCTGAGATTGCAGCAGTTGAGAGTTGGATGCCTGCGGCTGCGGCTGCACAATCGTCGGCGGCGCGGAAGTATTGGTCACCGTGAATTCTGGGGCATTTGTAGCACCAGCCCCTGAACCTGCAGCATCGTCGGCGATGCTGAAATTGATGATATCTACCATGCTAGAAACCTCGTTCTTGATGTTGTCGGGCAACGTTGCAGGCATCTGCTTGCCCACCATTTTCAAATTGCACAGATACATGGCCAGAGCAAACTCTGGAAAGTGTAGCTCACCAGATCGCGTCGTATCGGCAAGTGTCCAGATGTGCGACAATGAATCGCCATCCAGCCGCGATCGGATAAGCAGATCTCTTGCCTTCTCTCCCGACATGGTAGTTTGACCTTCGCCAACTGCCGACTTGAAGAGGGTCTCGAATTTGGCTTGATCTTGCGCGGTAATAAACGACAACCGAATGTTGGGGATCTTGTTCGAGGGCTTTTTCTCGGCTCTTCGGCCTGTCGGTTGACTCTGAGCTCCGCCGGTCTTGAAAGAAGCTGCCATGGCGGAGAAGCCAGTCGGCTGTGCTGTCATGGGCTTGGAGGGAGGGGGCGGGATGCCCGGCGCCGGCTGAGGAGCCGGCGCAGAGAAGCTGCTTTGCGGCTGCTGCTGTTGTTGCTGCTGCTGCTGCTGGTTGAATTGCTGCTGGTACTGCTGGGGAATCTGTGGCATCGGAGGAGCGCCGGTCTGGAAGCTCTGTTGCGGTTGAGGTTGGCCCGGATAGCCAGTAAATTGCGGCTGGAGGCCTTGCTGCTGCTGGGGCATACCGGTCGCCTGCGGTTGCATCATGCCACCTGGCTGACCCGGAAAGCCAGTGTACTGCTGCGTCAAGGGAGCTTGACCAAAGCCCGTGGGCTGGGGAGCAAACGGACTCGGCTGCTGTCCAGGTTGTTGTTGCTGCTGCTGAGGCTGTTGCCCCATACCGAAGGAGCTGCCATACTGCTGAGGACCGGGGCGCAGACTGTTGCCGCCGCCGATGAAAGAGTTGGAATTGGAGTACATGGTGTCGGGCGACGATAAGTTCGACAAAGGAAATGCACTCCGAGCTTGTAAACAATGCAAAAGAAAGGGCGCGATTGGAGCGACGAGGCTCCTCAAATTGATGATGGAGGCAGATATCTAAGGAAGGAATTGATTGCAGGTCGAAGTGCAAGCAGGTGCAAGGTGTAATTAGGTGCAGATGACGACGGTCGGTAGGACAGACAAGGAGTGGCTTGGGCCAATTTCGCGCGCGTGGAACCGAGAGAGAGGACCAGAGGCTAGAGCCGCTAGACAGACTTCCACTTAATAGAAGGACCCACACTAGCCAGGGGGGAAGGCAGTCTCGACAGTGATCATTGAACAAAAAAGTGGTGGAAACTTGGGCTGCCTCCGGGGGGCGACTGGAGAGGTTGGCGCCTGGCGGCCTGATGTCAGGCCTTGAACAGGACAAGGCACCAATCAACGCCCGTGCCCCTTGCGCCTAATTGGGTGCCACTCATTACCTATATATAAACTGAATCCACTATCTTATGCTCCGTATACTCCTGATGCGGTACATAGTATATGGATTATTGGATTGCTCGGACAAGTGCAATCATACTTACTCATCCATTGCCCCAAATTATTAGAAATAAGATGCATCAAGCAGTATATATATATACTCCAATGTTTATTAATATTACCATCTCATTTCATCGTGAGCCAAGTCACAACCTGGGGTAGCATGACCAATTGATCTCTTCTACCCTCTTCTTCTCATTCTCTGAGATCGATTGATATCTATCTTTGAACCTCTGGGGACTCTACAATGAAGTTTCATTGGAACTACGCATATACATCGAGTCCCATGGCCACGACGCTTTTGTCTTCAACAAGGCAACCCAGTGGAAAAGCAGATGCTATTTCTACAGCTCTCTCAAACATTCCCAGAGTTCATGCAAATGTATCATGAGCTGATGTCTGCCAGGCATTCACCATTGCACCTACAGAGCGGTGCTGGTAGGGAACAGGTCAGCATTCTGCTTAGCCCACGATGTCAAGTCAAGCTTGGACTTTGCTGCTGCAAGAGCTCCGCTCAAACCATACTGGGATTTGATACCCTCAACGCGATGGGTCGAGTTGATATTCTTGACCAGCACAATTTGGTAGCAAGTAGCGCTACCCTGGCGAGAGATGATGGTGGAATAGGCGAGAAAGTATTCCCAGATCTGAGTAAGCGTCAGTCTCGAATTCAATTTATACTTTTCTGTCACGTCGAGAGCTTACGCGGTACCAGCGGTTTCCGTACTTGGCAATGACTTTGTCCTTGTTGGCCAGCCAATTCCTGTACCATCTCCATAGGGTGGCCGAGTAGTGAACACCAACGGTATCGATTCCTTTGATCTCAAAGCCGGCAGCTTCGAGCGAATCGACGAAAAATCCAAGAGGCGTCGAGGCATCGGCGCCGGGGAAGATGTACTTGTTCATAAAGAGACCCCAAACGAGGTCTTCGTACTGCCAGGGCTTACGAAGACCTGCAATCTGAAGAAAGAAAGCGCCATCGTCGTCAAGCATGTCGTAGACCTGCTTCAGAAACGTTTTAAACTTTCGTACGCCGACGTGCTCAGCCATCTCCAAGCACGAGATTTTATTGTAGCCGCCCTCCGGAACGGGGATATCACGGTAATCCATGCAAAGAATGTTGCTCTGTTCTTTGGAGATACCAACGTCACGAAGCGCCTTATTGCCCCAAGCAGTTTGATTTCGACCCAAAGTAATTCCAGTAGCCCGGGCATCAAAGTTCACACTGGCAAAGCGTGCAAGCGTTCCCCAGCCGCAACCAATGTCAAGGAGGGACTCCCCCTTTTGAAGCTCTAGCTTTTCGCATACAATGGCCAGCTTATTATCTTGAAGTTCCTCCAGAGTTTCCTCCTTTTCGATGTCGCTGATAATGCCAGATGTGTAGATCATGCGAGGGCCTAGGAACCAGCCGTAGAAATCGTCACCGCGGTCGTAATGGTCGCGAACCTGCTCCTCGTCTGCGGAAAATTCATAGTCAAAACAATTGATCAGTTGTTAATGCAGCTGGTGATGAACAGACCTTGAGATCGAGAGTGCATAATAACCTCAGGAATCATCTGGAAGATGAAGAACTTGCAGAGACTCCAAGTGAAGCGGAAGCTGGCCCAGTCATGTCGGTACTCCATTACCTCGAGGCAATCGCCGTTAAAATCAACCTCATTATCAAAATACATCTCACTAAAGGTTTCGAGAGGGATCTTGGTTTTGCCTTGGTACTTGAGGCGGTCCGACTGATTCTTGAAAGTGAGATAGTGCTCGATAGGACGGCCTGGATACTTGGCCTTCTCATTCTTGCGGGGGGCAAGGGCGGAGGCTGTGATCCAGAACCCAGAGAGAATCGGGACGAATGTGAAGAGACTGAAGAATATGGCAGTTTTTATGCCACCCCCGATCTTCCAAGAAAGCCATAGCGGCACGCCGGCAACGGCGGTAATCAGCGCGATGGTCGAGAAGCTGTCGCTGCTCGCGGCATCGGCCGGAAGAGGGGCATTTTTGATAGAAGGGTACTATTCACAGTGTGGTTAGGGAATGCCCAAGAAGAAGCGCATTTCAATCGTGCACACAATGTATATTGGAGGAGAGCAAGCATACTGAAGTGGTCCTCACTCCACAGTCCTCTGACTTCTCGAAGGCAGGAGTGGGAGCTCTCGGGGTTTCGACGAACTCAAAATCGGACTCGCTTCCGTTGGCGCTCGCGGGCTTGGACATCTTGAGGAATGTAGCCCCTCTTTCCAGCGCATACAGACAACAATTTGCTTTTTCGTCCTTTTCTTCTTTTACGCGATATGACAGAACATCATGGAGACAAACATTAAAGGGTGGTAAGGAGGGCATGCGAGACAGATACCATAAATGTTCTTGGGTCCTATTAACCAGGACCCTTGTAACGTCGACGTATCCGGGTATGAAGCTAGCTCTTTCTTAGCGCATGGCATGTGGTTTCTAGAAGGGTAGGTACACCGATGGTACTTGTCATTTTGACCGCCTCGGCCTGTTATCTTACATTCGATCTGGGATCTTTGAGTGGGTGGATGGCGGCAAGTATCACCCCCACTACATTATGGTCAAAAACCATGTCAATTCACTGTTTAATTCACTGCGAGAATCAAGAGGACTGATAAGGGAAGAAGAGGTCACAACACGTTCTCAAACCAGAAGAACAACATATATAAGAAATTGTCCTTGAATGATGTGGTATTTGCTCACCATTGTTCATCTTGGACCGTTGCTACTATTGATTCCACAGCATCCGAATTGGATGCCTTTTAACGTAGAGAGGGTGAGCAGAACGAGCAAAGAATCGATTAAGCCCTGGATTAATGCATGTAGCTTGGGGCTGGGGCCGCTATCATGTCTCATGGCAGTCCACTTATGAATTGCAACGTAACTTGTCATGCGCATAATAGTCGATAAGACGTTGATTCGTACCAAACAAACAAGAACTGCAAATGCTGCATATGGGTTTCTCTAATTTTCAGGCCAGTTTTTCATTGGCATATATCATTAGCACTCAATTGGAATTATTTTGACACTTTCGAAGGGGCGGTAAGATGGTTGTCGAAATACCTATTCATTCATACACAACGGGATTCATTGGTACGTGTTTTCCTCCGTTTCAAGTACCATTTAAGAGCTATCTTACTTGTCCATTATGTTTACAAGAGCAGTTTATTCAAAGGTCGAAAAGTGAGAATGGGACTGATTCAAAAGATCTGTATTTTATCACATGGCGAAACCCACACGCCATGATAGCATTAGATTCATAAGGTCACGTACGTAGTCTACTCAAGCATTTACTCCGTTTTCGCTAAAGATATACAGCTTGAGTTTTGTGAGAATATTTTCAAGGACCTTCGCAACATGGCCTGAGTAGAATCGCGATGTTCGGGCATACAAATGACACAAGTTGATAATGGAGAGTGGAAAGACTCAAATCAAGGATGAAAGAAAAAAGTACTCACTTTTCATGTTCGAGAGGTGTTGGTAGATCACACTATTGCGACTGGAGTCTGAAATAGCTATACACGACAAGTATAATCTGGTTGCGTATCATCGCGGCGAATATATATCACCAGCGGATTTAGAGCGATCGCCGAGGTATACCTTTAAGTACAATCAGAGATCTGGATAAGCTCGCAGCTACTACGAGTGCCTATAAACGTCTCGGTAGCATGATTATAGATTTGTGGTGCGCTTGCATTCAGGTTGTGTCGTTTCTGGAAGGCACTGGGACCTGAATAGACCCAGCGAATAGTTTGACCTGATGTTTCCTTATACTCTGGTTGGATGCTGCAAAACTCCACTCCCAGGGCCACGGAGAAAGTTATTTTGTTCAATACGCTATTTGAGCTGTTGTCAGAGCTTGTGATTCCGCAAAGAGGATAGGATGGGTTTCAGCTAGCACCAGGGGGGGGGGCACGGTGTAGTTTGATTTTCCACACATAACAGGTAAAGGTGGTAAAATCCGGTGAGCTGGTGGTGCTTGGATATTGGGCAGCCGACAGTCACATATTCGACGGTTGATGAGTTAGAGCGCTCACGAGAGATACGGCACTGTTATTCACATATGCTCGACGCCTTTATTCTCAATGCACGCATTAGTAAGAGTGTCCTGCTAAGCGCAAAGGTTTTAGAACAGTGATTACCTCGTGGTTGCTCGTAATACTACAAAACAACGTAGGTACAACTCTATGGACCCAGATAACGTTTTCAGCATCACGGCTGAGCTGTCCGCCGGGGATATGCCAATCAGAATGGCACTCGATGGAGAAGATAGTTCGGGTCGTAGAAAGGGGTTCTGACAACGTGGCTTCAACGCCGCGAGTGCCTATCGCGATGTCGCGAACTTTCTCCTTCGCGGTCGCGATATCGATCGCGCGCACGATCCCGATCGTCATATTTTCTGCTGGAACCATGACCTGATCGCTCGCGATCACGCTCATGCTTGTAGCTGCTTGAGTATTTTTCTTCACGCTGCTGTCGCTTTTCGTTTTCGCCTCTTCGGTATTCATCGAGGCGGGGGCGTCGCTCGCGATGGCCGTGCTTTTTGGCCAATTCAGCCTTTTTGATCTCCTCGTCCTCTTTGGCACCTAGGCCCAGTAGCGCAGGTCTGCGGCGAACGTCCTTGGGTCTCGATGTTTGCTTCGATTCATCGTAGCCCATACCACGAAGCATGGCCATTCCGAACTCGCCATCTGGTATTTGGTCGTACTCTTCGATAGTTGAAACCTCGCCAGCTGCTTGCACAGCCGCCTTGAATTCATCTGTTGGGGTCTCGGATCCTGAAATGACCAGCTTCTTCTGTTTATTTGTATCGATACCTAAAAGCGCATCCATCGCATTTTGCTCCACTGTTCTTGGAGGGCTATTTGGCGTTTTTTCCGTCGCAGTCGCGGTGGGTGAGCCGTCCAAGGGATTCCCAGGCGCATCTCCTGTCGAGTCTTCTGCTGACGACTTTTTGGTGATTGAAAGACCCCATTTGATATCTTTCTCGTGGTCTGCTGGCTCTGTTTCCCGATCCTGGCCGCTGGAATTATCCTCTGGTTTGCGTCTTGCGGCTGCCTTCCAACTGCCTTCCGTCTGGCATGCTATTACCAAGGGTCGCCCTTCGGTACGAGCAGATTTGGCGTCTCTTTGTCGGTCATTGACATCATCCTTGCCCCCAACGGTGGTCACTGCTTCATGGCGTCCATAATGACTGTCCTCATCTTCTGAGTCTGAGTCGTTATTCAGTGCGTGCGATCGGGGGCGTTTGCCAAGAGCAGAGGGTGGAAGCAGCTGTCCAGATTTCCTTGTGCTACTGGCGGGCTTTGTCGAATTTGCTCTGCTTGAGCCAAATTTGATGGCGATGCGCGGTGCTTGGGGAGTCTGTGTCGGGTCCGCCATAGTTGTGGGTTGCGCAAAAACGAAACAGAATCAAAATCAACTGTTCGTAGTCATTGCAGAAACAGAGTTATCGGCAGTAGGCAGCCCACGTGCGAGCTCATCAGTGGTTAGTGGCTGTGCTCTTGTCGAAAACGCTGTGGCTTAGCTTATTAGCGGACCCATGATTGTGGCGCAACCCTCGTATTAGTTTGAGCTACCGAACTCACATGAACACCAATACCTAATAGCAAGCAGAATACATGTACCTAGGTTAGGTGATTTCTGATCTCGCTGACCTTCAAAATGCTCTGGTATTCCACACATCCTCATAGTGTTCGACGGTCCTTTTTTGCGTAAGGCATCTTGCAATATTTAACAACACGGTTCCGCGTATCCTGGCCCTCACAAGTTGGTAATGTGCTCGCGCTCTTATATTACGGTCAATCATTTGCAGGCGTTTTGGCTCAAATGACGTATAGAGACTGAAGTTCGCCCACCACTTCGACCAGGGTTTCGGTTCTCGAGTAGGTCCTCAGAAAAGATCGCAGGAATCTCTATGATGAAATACTCACACCAGCGCGTCTTCCAAGAGAAGCCGGCTCTCGCTGATCAAGACCATACTTGCTTCAATGTTCACTCTCTTTCGAGGATATAATTGACTGACGCAGAGTGCTCCCAACGAGGATGGCGGTGTGAGGAGTTGTGACTATCTGGAGAAGGCTGGAGAGGTAGGTTTCACCAGAAAACAAAAACGGCCGTTACCTTCTTTACGACTGAAAAGTTATATCCATGAGTTTCCCGCTCATAGACTAAAGTGTCCAGTCCGAGTTTACGATATAGGTTTCTGCCTTATTATACACAATGCAGAGAAGGCGGGTGTTGAACGCGGCCTCGTCGACTCCCTGACTCTTGTCAAACCGTCACCATCTCTTCGCGACCAGGCTTTCGGCTGACTTCGTTGCATGCATTTTCCTGCTAACCCCAAGTCATGCTAGCAACTGCACACGACAAGATGCGCACAATTTCATACCAGGCAGTAAGCTGATGGTTGGCTATCTACAACACCTACTTCTAGGTACTGCATATTACCTTTTCCCCCGAGGCTCCGTGCTCTACTCCCTTGTCGGACAAGACACCTCAGGAATGAGGGGCAGCAGCCAGCCAGCCAGCGAGCAAGCAAGCAAGTGTGTCGATTACGTACAGATCGCGCTCTCCCTGGCCTGGTCACTGATAATGCACTACCCGGAAGGTACCTAGTTCAGCCAGCTATGGACGCTTGGCAGTAGTAAGAGGGGGGTTTAGCGAGTGGTTATTTTGAAATTTGCAGCCTACTTTTTAGGTACAACAGCATTGTCCAGTTCAGTGTTAGCACTTATCGGGCGTCAGGAAATCGCATTTCCCTACCAAAACCCGCGCGTTTTACACTGTTTAGCACCCCAAGCAGCGGCGAGCATCACCACATCACCGATTCTAGGTGGGTGAAAATTCAGACTTGACAACGCCTTCATCAATCCCCCACCCCAACGCCGCCTATTTCATTGTAAAAAATTACGTTTTCCATCTAAACAAAGTCCATTAAGCTTGCTTGCATCATCCGCTCGTCAAAAAAGCGGATGTTGCTGTCGCCGATGCTATGACTTCGGTCGTGCCCGCCGACCGCGCGTCACTTATTCAACGGAACCGGGAAATATGCGGGTATGTAATGTATCATTTTGTAGAGCTCGTTTTTCCGATGCGAATGATGTATAATGTGCAATATTAACGATGTGCAGATCAATTGGACAGTCGCGCAAGAGAAAGTTGAGGGAACTATATGCGGTCAACACCATCCTAGATGACGTCCCAAACTTCCCTCTGGGACAACTCGACACCGCATCCGTCGACGATGCCGAAGCCAAGTTCCTTGAGGCCAACGAAATCTCAAAGTCCGTATAACCCGACCTGCACCTCCTGCTTTTATTTCCCAATCGTCGCGTTGAAGTCGCGTCTTTCCGGCGCTCTCGCGCGGCGCATTCACGTTGCCAACTAACAGCTCACTACTAGGGGACGCAAACTGAATATACTCACCATTCCGCCACGTCCCAAGTGTCCATCAGGGTCTTTTCTGCACCATGCCACCATTGATGTCAAGGAGAAGATTGCGACGCAGTCGAGTCAAGTTGCAACCCAGGATAGCGCGAACCTTCTCAAGAACAAACATTCGGCTTTACATTCGTCTATGAACAATGGCCAACGACTTCCAACCTCGCCATCGACAGTACGCCCACCAAGCGAGGCCGCGCCTAAGCAGTCTCCGAATTTGGCAACAACGTCAATACGGCCACAGTATTCGCCACAGCCAAACCTGCATCCACCTCAAGCGATACCCGCACGAGAGATCAAGACAACTGCCGAAGCAAAACCTCCAGGTAGCCAACAACGTCCGAGTGCAGCCACATTCAACAACAGAGATGCGCCCCCTGCCTTAGGATCCAAGGCAGTACCTCCAAGTCGCCGTGATGACATGTCCGCTCTTGCTCCTGAGGCACTGAAGCCAACGCAGACTCCGAATGTACGACCAACTCAAGCGCGATCAGAACACCACAAGTTGTCCAATCAAGCTATACAGCAGGAAAATGTCCACAAAATACAAGGATCTGGACAAGTATCTTCGAACGCCACTACTGCGAATAATCTGAAGACCATGGGGACTCAGCCGCTTATCACAGGACGAGAGCCGACCCGACCAGCCGATACGTTGTCCTCTCCGAGTTCTACCGTTCACACGGTGACTACACCCGCAGTCTTGGAGACGCCCACTAACACAAGCCCCGAAAGTAACGGTTCGCACTTGGAAGAGAGACCAGCCGGCGCCGCAAAACCAAACGTAAAATCTGAAGGAAAGTCAGAGGGAGTTCCATCGGCGCCCGGGTCAAAAACATCTGCTAGCAATACCTCAAAAGAGCTGGAGGCACAGCTTTTGCAAGACTCTGCTGATGCTGCTGCTGCGGGAAAGTCGCAGAACCCACCACTGCTTGTCGCTGCTTCAGATGCAATTCCCAAACCTGAAGAGAGAGCCCCAACAGAAAATGCCGTTCACGTGGTACCTGCTTCGTCTTCGATTGAGCCTGTCAAGGACAAATCTACCACGACTACCAGCATTGATTCGCAACAAAAGCCGTCGGATGCGAATGACGAGGAAAACGCTAGATCAGTATCAGATCGTGATGCTTTGGACACCCATCTACCAAAGCGAGAACAGCCGCAAGTCTCCACTGGAGGAAGCATAAGACAGAAATCAGTCGCCGAGATTTTGTCTGGGCCGTCCTCGAAGGATCTATCAGTACCACAGCAGATCAGAGCAGATCGCCAATCTCAGGTGCCCATCACACCAACATCACAATCACCGAGGCCCCGTGCCAGGAGTTTCACGGACAGACATCGACTCAAGGAAAAGAGCAGGCTGGCAGGTGTGATTTTTGGGAAACAGCCACACTCAGCATCGGACGCCGATAAATCTTTGGTTCATGCTCGAGCAAAATCTACAGGTCATATGCCCACTGACGACTATTTCACACCTCTTTTTGTCCAAGGGTTTTCCAGTGGATCGAAATGGATGAAACCACTGGAGCAGATACTCCATCATGCTCACAAGACAGTTTCGACTCCAGATGCTTACCTGCATATTAACGAAAGCCAAGCATGCAAGGTCCTTAAGAGAGTCTATCATTTGCAGCAGCAGGATAAGTGGTCGCTACGCCAACCGAAAAGATGTCCAGAACCAATCAGACAGACAAGCCAATGGGACGTCCTCTTGCAGGAAATGAAATGGATGCGGACTGATTTCCGTCAAGAGAAGAAATGGAAAATGACTGTTGCGCGTAACCTGGCGTATGCTTGTGCCGATTGGATTGCATATCCAGAGGAACGGACAGAGCTTCAGGTCCATGCCGTTACCCCAGACTTTCCTCCCAAGGCAAAGTGGGTCAACAGCGAGCTGGTATTCGATCGAGATATCACAATGGGTAGCGGTGATGGTCTGGACATTCCAGAGAACCATGGTACCCCTGACTTGATCTCCTCGGCAGATAGCAACTCTCTTTTGGAGCAAGATGAGGAGCCTCACGATAACATTCTCGACACCATTGCGCCTTCAGCGATATTCACACTCGACGATCACGAAGTAGTATTTGGGCTTTCTGCATCTCCACATACAGATCGGCTTCTGGAAGAGTTGCCGCTCTATGGAGCGCCACTCAAAATTCCCGATACAGATCTCGTCGTACCCAAACATGACCCTGATGCTCACTGGAAACGGGAGGCTTTGCCACTGAGCAAGTTTGTTGAGGGACGCCTAGAGTTGATGTCAAATGAACCGCCTCGCAAGCGGAGTCGATATCAACACGCACAGGAGGATAGCGACGAAGAGCCGTTGTTTGACCAACCTCGTCCTAAAACTCAGCTTGAGCCTGAAAACCCCGATGTTGCATTGTTCCGAAGCGATAGTAAGGCCATGCGAGACCGCCTTCATGCTGGTCATCAATTCCGCCCCCCTAGTGAACATACGATGCCTTTCCAGACGTTTTATGAGTCTAGAACATGTTCGCAGTGGACTGTCAGTGAGGATGATGAACTCAGAACCTTGGTTCGTGAGTATTCGTACAATTGGTCGCTCATCTCGAGCATTCTTTCGACCAAGTCCATTTTTCCTTCGGGTGCAGAAAGACGGACTCCTTGGGAATGCTTCGAGCGGTGGGTCATGCTTGAAGGGTTGCCGCATGATATGTCCAAGACACAGTACTTCAAGTTGTGGCAGAATCGTATAGATCAAGCTCAACAGGTCATCAGACAACACAATGCCAACGCTCTCACCCAGCAGGCACAGCAACAGCAGCAGCAGCAGCAGCAGCAGCAACAACAACAACAACAACCACAACCACAACAACAGAGCGGTTCCGCTGGGCCAGTCACGCCGATCATTAGGAAACGGCTTTCGTTGCCAGTTAAAGTCGAACGACGCCGTAACCAAAAGCATCTCACCATGATTGATGCGATGCGGAAACTAGCCAAGAAACGAGAGACGGCGGTGACAAAGCAACAGCATGCAGCCAATCTGGCCCAGATGCGCAAGCAGCAAGAACCGGCTCAACCACGTGCAGGCCCCATCAAAACTCCCCGCGAATATAGCATCATGCGATGGGAACGAGACCAAGCCATGGCAGAGAGGTTGGCTGAGCGAATGGCAGCGCATCAGCAACAGCGCATGGAGGCTCAGCGCCGAGTACGAGCAGCCAACACCAGTGTCCCAACGATCAATGCTAACCCTCCATCGCAGGCCGCTTTACAAGCCAGAGCACAGCAAGGTCAAGCTGCACAACTTCTCAGCGGGCAAACTCCTCAGGCGCCACAAAATACACAGCAGCTCGGCGCTACTCATCCACTTGCTAATGTGAATCGCATGAATGCGGCCAACCAGATGGTTGTGAACGGTCAACCCAGACCACGGATGCCAATGCAGCAAGCTCCTACCAGCAATGCCACTATGGGTCCTCTGAATGGCGGACTTGTTCCTCCTGTCCAGATCAACGGGAATGGTCAAGTTCAAATGCCCGTTGTTAACGGCCAAGCCAGAATGACTATTCCCACCCAGCCAGACCTGAATCTTGTAATGCAGGCGCAACGAATTTCGGAACAGCAGCGCCAGGCTGTGCAGATGCGTCAAGTCCAGCAGCAAAACCACGTACCGCAGCAAGGAAGTCCTGCTCTGCAAAATTCGCCGCCCGCGGCGCAAATGCGAGCAGCGGTCGCCAACGGCGTGAATCAGAAGAGCTTCATGAACAATGCCCAGACACAGGCTCTCATGGCACAATTTAATGGTGCAACGAACCCAGGCTTATCAACGCCGCCCGCTGCAGGCTTAAATATGCCCGCTGGGCAATCTTCTTCGCCGAGACCCAATACCAACATGACTCCACAGATTCATCAGACATACTTGTCACAACTTCAGAATGTGGAGAATCAGATTCGGCAGACGCACCCCAACACTCCTCAGGATGTTGTACGGCAGATGGCAACACAGATGCTGCAAAATCGTCACAATAGCCTAACACAGTCTGCCATGAATGCTGCAGCCGGAGGCCAGGGTCAGGCTATTGCCAACGGGCCTCATCAATACGCACAGCTGCTCAGAGCTCAACAACAAGCTCAAGCGCAGGCAGCGGCTGCTGCCAATGCACAACAGCAAGCACAATCACAGCACCAACGTGCCTCGAGCGGTGGCAGTGCGACACCACCAGTGCCGACCATGCCTAAATGAAGCACGTGAATGAGCGAGCTGCTCAAGAACTACGTCCTTGCTGCCCTCGGCGGCTCTCGAGGCTGTCATTTCTTTGAAGAATTGTGACATCATGGCGCAGTGCTAGAGACAGTAAATACTGTAGAGAATGACCTGCGATGTGTTGCTTATAGGACGGTGTTGCCCATGTCCTGAGACCATGCGCTGAAGTCATGGTCATGTATACAGCATGCCAATTAGTAGATAGCGTGGCGCAGAGAAGCGCAAGCACGTATTGCATGATAAGGACAGCGACGAACATGAATATGAATACATTGTCAATACAATCTTAATAATAATCACGACTCTCTGTATCACGGTTGTTATGCCACTTTTCTGATACGGCAAGGAATGTAATCGAATATGTTAAAACATCGAAGTCAATATTGAAAGTCGTAGATCCTCTACAGTGGGGCTCAAGGAATGCGATAAGAACATATCAGTCTTATCGATTATGACGGCGCAGTCCGGGCGCCCCACCCAACTTTTTTTTTTCCTACTTGCTGCGACAGGCTGTCAGCTTGTGATTTTCAGGTCTTTCTCGATTCGAACATTGAAAATTCGCAACTATAATACAAACATTACCCGTCGCAAACATGGCCAACAAAAGAAAGAGAGCAGAGCCTAACAATGGTACTCCCAAAGAAGAATCTTCGGTGGCGGTCACCAAAAAGGCCAAGAAAGCAGAACCCTTTACACTCCAAATAGTAGCTGGCTCTTACGACAGAGTGCTTCATGGTATCACGGCTACCATTACGCCCGGCGAAGACAAAGCAGACTTTGCCGACACTTTTCTATTCAACGCCCATACTTCTGCCATCAGATGCATTGCCCTCTCCCCACCCTCGGCGCCAGAGCCTGGCAAGGGCCAGAAGGTTATGCTGGCCACCGGCAGCACGGACGAGAGAATCAACGTGTTCAACATCTCGGCGCACCCACCTAGCCAGAAGTCAAAGGACGAGCAGGACCTGCTTTCCAAGATCGCGCCCCGCAAGATCCTCGAGAACCCCAAGAACCGCGAGGTCGGCGCTCTACTGCACCACAGCTCGACAGTTACCAAGTTGGCTTTCCCGACAAAAGGAAAGCTCATCTCCGCGAGCGAGGACTCGACGATTGCCGTGACGAGAATCCGAGACATGACAGTATTGAGCAGTATCAAGGTACCGATTCCCAAGCAGATGGGCCGGCCGAGCGGTGACACAGCGGCCATGGGGGGTGCGCCTTCGGGCGTCAACGACTTCGCAGTACACCCGAGCATGAAGCTCATGATTAGTGTCAGCAAAGGCGAGAGGAGCATGAGGTTGTGGAATCTAATGACGGCAAAGAAGGCGGGAGTGCTCAATTTTGGAAGGGATACACTAGCTGCCATTGGAGAAGGGAGACATTCATCAGGCGAAGGCAGAAAAATTGCATGGGAGCCACAAGCGGCAGAGGAGTTTGCCGTAGGCTTTGATAGGGATATCTTGGTATTTGGCATGGACGGCACACCGAAGTGCAAAGTCATGCCCGACTCACGGACAAAGATCCACGAGTTTTCATATGTCCCATTGGGAAGCAAAGAAGGAGACGGTTCCCTCTTATGCGTTTCTACAGAGGACGGAAGAATCATGTTCTTCTCTACGGAAACAAACGATTTAAGCGAGGCAGCCGACGACAAGAAGACAGAATCTTTATCAGTCGCCCAGTTTGTTGCGCAGCTAGGCGGAAAGGCAGCAGGAATTCAAGGACGCATCAAGGACTTTGCTGTACTCAAACCCTCAGATGACAGCGATGAACTCTACTTTACCTGTGGTAGCAGCGACGGCAAGATCCGGGTTTTCCGGACGAGCATTGCGGAGCTCAAAAAGGCCAAAAAGGTCCAGGACAAGGAGAAGAAGCAGGTGGGCAAGCTGCTAGGAGCCTACGAGACGCAAAACAGAATCACTTGCCTGGAGGCATTTGTTATGATACCCAGACCCGATGGCGCAGAGGATAGCGAGGACGAGTTTGAGGATGTTTCCTCGTCGGATGATGACGACGAGGACGACGCGGATGAAGACTGATGGTAGTAATTGCCAATACATGACTGGTTGAATCAAAGACTACATGTGCCCCATACATGCAGATATGATGAAAAGCTGCTGCCTCTTCGGGCATTTTACTGGTTTGTGGCTGCACTTGAATGAGACATGTCACCCTGGACAACAGGGAATTTATCCGGTGAGTGGTTGCACAACGTTTGTGAGGGCGGTCCACGGCCAAGCTGCTGGGCTTTTTTGCTTGAGTCAGGACAGACTGGCGAGTTGGAAGGTAAGAGTGGTAGGTTTTCTTAGGCAAGATGCTCGATACGCGGTTAGGGCAATTTGAAGCATGACATTGGACGCAAAAGCGGCACGACACGAGTGAAAGAGATAATCCTATATTAGTATATGTGATTTGCAAAGCCAGGCCTTGGTAAAACAAGATGATCATCAACCCCTCAACTACCCAGATGTTGCGTTGCAGCAGGAGATCGAAAACAATCGGCGGCACCCACCCGGACAACATGCGCCGCGAGAAGCGCTTTTTCGCCCTAAGTACCGGTCAAGAGTGTGGGGTAGCGCTGCACATCAGTGGGCAGCCCAGAGTCATGCGCGTCGCCCGGACTGGAACTGGGGTTACCTAATTTGCAGGGGGAACACTTGGGGTGGGCCAGCATGTGATTCTGGTAGAGATTTTTTAGTGCTGTAGCGGCAATAGCAGCAGCCTCAAAGGTGGAGTTGGAGCGTCTACCACCCACCGAATCTCGTGTCCCTGAGACCACTGTTTGTGTGCCGGGGTGTGGTGGTTCAATGAGACCACTAAAGCAACAGCTCATGGTCAGCTCAGGCTCGAATTGTTTTGTCCATAGCCCTCAAACAGGCAAGGTCGGGTCTTATGGCGCGCGCCTTGTCTGTATTTCCGCCGAAGCTTCATTCGTGCCAGTCAAGTAATAAAGTGGCTTAGAACACTGAGCCAGTAATGTAGGTAAAAGGTAGGTAGGTAGGTACCTTGATAATGTAGAATGCAACCAGACCCCTACACTGTATGTACTATGGCAAACCCCTCTCCAGTTCAAATCGATCAATGCTTTCCATCATTCGTTTGGCTGCTCCACTACTCGAGACTAAGGTGTCTCAACCCATTTGCGGTACCGCTTGGATGCAAGAATGAGGAGAAGGAGAAGTCGCAACGAGGAGGAGGAGGAGGAGAAGTAGGCGGTTCATTTAGTAGGAAACTCTCGCTTCTATCTTTTGTCAACACACGAATTCAACCTTCTTTCACACTTTACACACACACGCACTCTACTTGCCGCTGATTACCATCTGGTCTTTTCTTTTGCAACCCGCTTCTGCTGTGTGGGTCGAGGGACCTGTCATAGTGTCAAATCCATCCTCATTCTATTATACGGAGTAGGTATATCCCTACACACTTAGCGAACCTAACCTAGTACTGTCCCAGCGTCGAACAAAGCTTTTCTTTTCTTTTCTTCCCTTTCTTTTCTTCACCATCGGATGCAAGTCAGTAAGGTTCTCGCGTGCAACAAATCGATCCCGCGCACTCGGAACCTCAGCCGATAGCCAATTCATCTCTGCATGTGACCCAAAAAAACAACATCCGAGCTACCAATCGGCCGAGACATACAATACAAGCTGGCCAGAGAAGAGGAAAGCAGCAGTAGCCATTGTGCACAATCGCAAGCTTCTTTCCGTCACAACTCTTTGCTTATGAGAGCGAAGAGGGAAATTGCAGGAGTCGACGTCAACATACATACGCAAGGGTTTCACCAAAGCTGCTTCGCGAAACCCAAAGAATCAGCAAACAGCAACAAGCCGAGCAACCGGCCGAAGAGCAGACACGAGTAGAAAAGCGACAAGAGATCAATTCACGAAAGCCATGTCTGCGAATCAAGACGGTCCTCCGTTATTGCGGCCAATCCCCCGCCGCCCTTTCAAGCTCAACCTGTCGGGCCCAACACCCCCGGAAGACGAAGATGAGGAACCTCAGGTTCTAGCCCACAGCCCCGAGTCCAGTTCCAGTGGCTTGCTCAACCTCGACTTCCTCAATAGACGCCTCTTGGACCCGAGATCGAGTACGCCAAGGCAGCATGAGCCGGGCTCTGCATCTGCCGACATCAGCCGCGCGCAATCCTACATGAACCTCACGAGCTCGACTTTATTTGGCATATACTCGCCGACGACGTACGGGCGGGATCGGTACGACCAGGACGAGTTGACTACTCCCTGGGGTACGGGAGCCGAAACCCCGGCCAAGAAGTTGAGCCTTGACGAGCCACACTATGACATTCAAAAGGAGCGAGGAAGGCCGATGCGCCGCCGGTCTTCGTTACATCCGACAGCCAGGCCAACCCCACTGTCGACACCTGCGACAGTCTTTTACTTGGGTCTCAGGTCGCTGCTACTGTTTGGGCTCGGTATACTCTACGGTCTTATGATTGTCAGCTTTCAGGATAGGCACAGACTGGGGAGGCTGCAAATGGACGATATTGGCAAATCTACGGCATCACATGTTCAATTCATTGCGTTTTGGGGCGTCGCCGGAATCGCCCTTGGTGCTTTACTTCCTTGGTTTGACGGCGTTTGGGAGAGCGTTTTTGGTCAGGAGGACGATTTTGAATCGGCAACCGAGCATGCAATTAGCTCCGAGGAAGAGGAAGCAAGTCAAGCAACCGACTGGGGCTTGGCTATTCGAGGCATCGGTGCCTTTGTCGGTATCGTGTATGCCATTGTAAGTTGACGCATCTTATGACTGGTTCCACATGTAATGGAGACTATTGTGCTAACCACGGTTGCAGCGGAAAACACAATGGGCATCCACCCTTCAAGTCTCTCTGAGTCTGGCCCTGGTAAACCCCTTTCTGTGGTACTTGATCGACCGGTCCAAGCCAGGCTTTCTCCTATCATCCACGGTTGGGCTTGTGGGCTCCGCCATTGTAATGAGCCTCAAGCCAGACATGGTTCCCGCCCCCACCAGTTTATTGTCATTTGACAGCTACCAAGCGAACTCCTCATCGAATGGGGTGGACCCGCCCACTATGCTTGGGGGACTAGCGAGCCAACCTGCCGTTGAAAAAGGCATTTGGATGCTGAGTATCCTGTTTTGCTGCTGTCTTTGTTTTGGTAACATTGGGCGGCGTTTGGCATTGAATCGGTCAGCAAGCACAAAAGGGAGGTGGGCCGAGCAAAAGACTGGCTGATCCTGTACATGTGAGACAACGCAATGATACCCCAGAACTCTTCTCTCATGTGCATTGGGTGGCTTAAAGGGGCCGTTAATTCAGGATTTAATCATCATCCGGCTTGCGCGTTACGACATCGAAAAAAGGATTTGGTATAAAAATAATTTCTGGGCTTATTTGGCAAGGACATCGGCATGGTCTGGAACTCGTTTTTATATTGGGTACTGGTATGGATATGGGCACTGATAGCAGCACAGGCATATGGTAATTTGTATTCTGATATCCTGATACTTGGTATTTGGGGACATGTTGGCCACAAATCCAAGGGTGGCAGCTACCTCTTCTTGGAGTATGTAGTTTTCGATTGAGAAGCATGTTTCTACAATGTCAATGTTTGAGCCTCTCAAAATCTCCACGACGTGACTTGGTGCTTCCTCCCAATTCTGTAATGTCCCAAGTGTTGAGGTTCGCTCGCCGCCATGTTGTCGTGCCTGACTCGGATCTATACACCCTTGATCAGTTCTGCGTTCTGTGCCATGATCTTCTCTTGATGCTCTTGCCTCATCATTCAAACATGATGTAGCAACAGTAGGAAGTTTTCAGCTGTGGCAACCCCTCAATTGCGCTTGAATCATGATCGCCACGGAGGAATCAGTCAGTGCGTCGATACAAATAAGATATGGTTACTTTGCACTCGAGTTATGCGTAGTATCCTATGACAAAAAGCCTCGTAGCTTAGACCTCTTCAGGTTCAAGGGAAACTCACCCTTGTCTCTAGTGCGAACGAGGATATTTTCAGCAAAGGGCGGTTTTGGCCATTCGCCATATACCCCGTCAACACATTGACATGTGTCCTTTTTTTATCATCCAAGTCTAATACGAGCAAATCTAATAACTAGAATATAGCATTGGAGAGGCTTCTTTTGTAATCAAGCCCCACTATTCCCTCGGAAAGGACGTGGAAGCCCTTGCCTTGTAACACTGGGTAGCCTCCACGAAGCTCTATACACGGATAGCTGCCCGGATCAGTCACGAGTAGCCATATCGGGGCCCTGCTTGATGCGTCCAAGGCTCCGGGAGGATTCTCGTATCATTCCAGGTGTGTTGTGCCATGCAAATACAAGTTGTTTGCAAAAACTCCTACAGTAGACAGAGCTGGTCAGCCGTATTGTTTGCTATGGGATAGTGTCAGTGGAGAACAGGAACATGTCTGCATTTTTTTATCACTTTTTTCGTTCTTCGTTTTCACGGATTCCGCTCTTTGGCTCATGGGAGAGGCTCAAGCATCTGTGCTGGTCATTCATTGGGGGATGTTCATTGCCTAGTAGCTTGTTCACGTCGGGGCATCGAGGGCAAAGGTTAAAAGGCAGGGACTGAAGCAAATTCTGTCATGACTGCCTGTAAATTCAAAAGAAATTTTGTAATGAGTATTATTATATCTATCATTTTCGGTTCCACGTCTGTGGAAAGGCCTTGATACAAAGGCTAGACTTCAAAACGTCCATGTCGGCTTGCCGGCTAAGCTGGCAAGGACTTGATCAGAGAAATGAATCCCCATTTCGATATATACAAAGCTCATACGAATTCACATTGAATTCCCTTGGATGAACCGCCAGCACAAGTTAATGACATTCTTGTCTACACTCACTCCCTTTCTCCAGCCTACAGTTTAGATTTCCATGAAGGTTACAAGGCGTTGCATACTGACTGCTTAAGTCGTATTCGGCAGAGGTACTGCCAAATCCCAAGGATTGGGACGAGAAACAATCACCTATCAAGGAACAGCTCGTCACAATAGATATCTCCTTATCTTATTATCTGGGAATATCTACTGCACTACTATATATGTTACCATGACGAATAGTTCTAACAGTAAACGTAGGCTCATGGGCATAGACCGTACGCTTCAACAAATGATAAAAAAATGTCCGCGCAGCCAAGACTTTGATATTCATCTTTTGCAATACTTGATACATTGTTTGAGGTCATCAAAGTGGCTGTAATTCACTAATTCTAAGCACGACATGTCATGATCATCCCAGCCCCTGGAGGACTGGTACGATAATAGCCTTGACCAGGCATCGTCCTGGGGCTCTGCTCAACTCCGCCCAGCAGCAGGACCCGTACACCCTAGAACTTGATCCTTTGGCTGAATTGATATCATCGGCTAGTAGACGGGGATATTCGTGCTATTGGGTTAGCAAAGGCCCATGGGCAATTTGTTTTCTTTCAATTTGTTTTCTTTGCGGATGGCGCCCCGCAAATCAAGTCCTTGGATACCTCGCCACCGTATATCCGAGACATTTACATCGTGTCGTAATTTCAAAACCAAGATCAATTTCATCCCAATTGATTTGGAATTTGTTGCTTAACTATTTCAATTTGGGGGTGAACCAGTTTCCATATCGAGCTGGTAGGCTGCGGAAATAAAGGTCGGGACTCGGATACTGTGTCAAGCTGATGATGACAGGGTACCTAGAGCGTCAAAATAAAGGTGAGGAGCAATCATTGGTTGCTGTATCTCTCCATTGCTTTTTTGAGTTGTCTATGATACGATCACTAGTTGGAGATATCCAAAAAGACCCATCGGCAGTCGTGGGAAGAATTTGGGGGTGCGTATCGGACTAAGCAGAATGCAATAGTCATGGACTTGCTTGGATCTGAGACATGGGAGCCACAAAATTTCCTGGTAAGTTTATTGTTCCAAAGAAGCAGTCTCAAAGTTTATGCTTGCAAAACGGTGAGAGTGCGAAGAAGCTGTTTGAACGTTGCCCGGCATTTGTTTCTAGACCTTTACGAGTCTCAGTGTCTGTGACACCAAATATACGGGATTTTGAGTCAAGGTTTACTTTTCAAACAACGAGTAAATAGGAATCTAGCCGAGGTCCATTGTAGATAACATATCTCCAAGATAGCATGAGCCTGGGGTTTATCGTGACAAGTATCCCATACTGATCCGGTGTCCGCTGACTCCCGACGCTCGGTGCATTCTAATCGGAGCACGGGATGGACAATGCATGTGTAAAACAACTTCAACAGGCAAGCGGACGACAAAACAAGAGCCGAGAAAGCAGGACGGCGCTGTGCTAAGCGCCATTACTCTCGAGATGACGAGCAAAGTCTTTCTTGCCAAAAAGAGAGAGCGTTGAAGTCGGTGGTCACTTTCGCTTTCCTTTGCCGCGTGAAGTCGACGCATCATCACTGACCCTATTTAGAGCTGACACTTTGATGAGTGTGGAAGTGCCACGCCAGACCCGACAAAGCGTTCGAATTCTATAGGTTTAGCTAAACGCCGAAAGCTGCAAGGTCAAGCCACAAGGCTTATTGTTGTTCCAAACAACCAACCATCGATATGGGTATTCAGTATCATGTAGGTAGTGTTCAACAGCCTTGAGGATATGCAGCCCTTGAAAGTCCTCAACGCTGTGGCTTGAACCTTGGGTCCCGGGGAAAGGCTGGTTCTGCGTAAAGGCATGCATTTGGTGAGCTAGATAACCTAGGTTAAGGCGGCTGGTCTTGAGAAAACTAGGGGTCTTGCGCCAAACACTTCTCTGGAGACCAGCCGTGCGCGGAAGAACGCCGTCGAATTCCATTGGCTCTCGGCCGAAACCAGGAATCAGTATCCGAACCGCTTACACACGATGGCCGAAAATGTCGACTGTGTTTTGGCACTCAAGACCATTTGTCATTTAGGCGGCCTCTGTTGACCATCCAGGGCGAGATATGACTCGCATACTTGGGGAATTCAGGCGAGTGCCTGACCAATGGCGGGCGTAGAAGGAGGTAATAAGGACACGAGGTAGCGATTCCATTAAGATGGGGAGATCTAGGAAGTCCATTCAAGCGTCATAGGTGAGGCTGAAAGGAAACCCCTCCCTAATGTGATGGAGGGTGGCTGACCTTTGGACTATCTGGGTTAGGGAAGTAGCTTCCATCACGGGTCTTGCGGGACATAGATCAGGACACGCGGCCACTTGAGTCTGTTGTTCTTCTGGTCTGTTTCTAGGATAGATTCCTGCCGCCGTCGAAGAAAAGAAATCTCACTGCACACATACATCGTGTGGTTGCGACAGTGGGTGAATCTGCACGAGCTGGGGGGCGACGATTAAGATTTGAGGTACTCAAAGATGATAGGTGCAAGGACGCGGAGCACGTGCCGAATGAGGTATCAGACTTAGATCTATGAGCTAATAAAGCCCGCTGGCGAGGACAGGTCAGGGTCTATTTTGCTTTGGGGCAGGGGATTCAGAAAGAGAACGACGGGCCGGCGGCATGTTGTTGGGTTCGGATCTCTGTGCACTGCGAGATAGATCAGGGCTTTGAACAATAGAGGAAGAAGTGCCGTTAGTGGTATAGTCGCGATGAGGCGCGATGAAGCTCGATTGTCCGTCAGCGGCTCGGCCCTGGGAATCAGAGCAACAGTAGAGGATCAGAACTGATTCCTTCGCTATGCCTTAGCAGCCGCTAGACTAAGCGGAGGCTGAGAAGTCGCTAGCAGGCCATTCGGGAATGTCAAGTGCTAATGGAAGCCATGTAGCGGTACCTACCTGTCGCATTCCTGGGCAGGTTGACTGACGAAGCAGCTCCAAGTCGAAGGTCTACCGCGCAGCCGCGCATGCGGTAAGCCAGAAAGCGCTAATAGCTCTCTAATGATGTGCTATCATGAGCAATGTTGCTGATCTTGGGGCACATCTAGGCAACGGGCTTGCGCCAAATGGATCTACAAGTGTACCGTGTCCAAGCTGATGATGAATTTTTTTTCTTCCTTCGTTTCACGGCCAGACACATGATTGGAGATGCCATTGCCGTGCTCTCAAGCAGGGAAGTCTTTGCGCTTTGGCATGGTGATATGACAGTAGCGTGGCTAACGAAATGCGGCGAATGGCTTCATCGTGCTGTTGAGAGGCGGCGCAAAAAGGTGAAGCTCAGGAAAAGTCGTGACGCATGTAAGTACAGGGGGGTCCGGGTCTAGATGGTTCAAGTCCATACAATCCATGTCAGCATGGACTTTTGAGAGCTCAAACCCTAAAAAAGGTCCCTCTCGAGTGTCTGGAGAAGGCCGCAAAGCTGTCTTTAGTGTATGTAGTACAGCTCTCTCAGCAGGTGTGTTGGGCAGCGCTGCGCCTGTTTTGGCAGATGGAATTGATGACAACCGCCATCACGACAGTGGCTATAGCCATTTAGTATTGTTTTCTTTTTCTGTTTTCTCGCTTTCTTTACTTTTTATGTTCTAGATTACCCCTTGCATCTTCACAAACGGTCAGAGCGGCTGCATTTTTATGCAACCACAACTATAATTATCCTTCCCTTCCCCACGCGTCCGCCGAGCTCGCAGTCAGCCAATTACCTACGTCACACCCCCGGGGCTCGACTTCATGGGGGCGGAAGTCAGAGTCGATGTGTATGTATGTAGTGAGTGTACCAGAGTGCTAGACTGCACAACAGGACAAACTAGCTACCTAGCTCATAATCCTCCATAATATATTTGCTTGGACGATAATAGAAACCAGCTCGTGGCTCACTGTTTTCCTGCATTGCCTTTTGCAGCAAAGCAAGACTGAATCTTTTTTTTTCATCATCACATATCATCTTCTCGTGTACACATGTGTGTCTTTTAGATTGCAAAGCTACTTTAAGTACGGGAAGATGTGGCGGCCCGGACGGAGGATTATGAAAGCATTCAAGGGCAGGCCGACCGAGGAAGGAGGAGGAAAGAGCAATTGATGATGCATGCAATATCCATTTTGTTTAACAACATAATGTTATTTATTCTTTCCTCACATGAGTCGCAGAAACGTGAAACTACACTATCAAATGCTGTTAGATATTCATCTCTGCGTATCCAGATCCTTACATTCAGTTGCCTGTTTGGAACAGGTCCCTCAGTGTTGGGTTGGATTTTTTTTTTATCTTACCAGAGTTTCAAACCTTTTTTTTTTTCTTTCCTTCTCTGTCTCTCTCTTTTTGACTCTCGCGTGGGCGATTCAAGGGTCCTGCAGCCAAAAACCCGGTAGCTGCTCCACATTGTGTGTAGATTCACCATTGTCGACTCGGGCGGTTTGGCGGTATTTTTGGAGGGGGGCGGCGAGGCGGTTTGCAGTTCTCCCAATCAATGCTTGGCAAAGAAATGGCAGAGCCAATACGTACCGTAGCCGCAAATCTCATCGAGATCGCCGGCCGTCTTTTTCTTCTCTTCAACCAATGGCATCCAGCCAAACTCGACAATGGCCGTTGAAGTACCGGTACTGACGCATTTCTCTCGTCGGTCTCGCGAATACGTACCTCTCTCGTCTCCGTCTCCGTCTTCTACTTCTTCTTCTCATGGCTCACCACTCGGGCTTGCTCAATTGCCTTGAGACAAGCAGCAGCCCCTACCTACACTAACTACCCTAGGTCCCCTCCACACCCTTCTGTCGGGACGCAACGCACTTCTGATCTGCGCATACATGTATGATGACCTCCTACATCTTGGACAACGCGCCACGCTCCGCAGAACTCTGTTTGAACCAAAATTTCTGTTACCATAATTCCCCAAATGCTCTGAAGGCTCGGCTGTCTGCACGCCCCGAACGCTATTAGGCGTCCCAGTTACCCGTTTCTCCTGCTGATCCCCAATCAGCCTTTGACCAACGTTGCCCCATGTGGATACGAATAGCATCACCACCAAGCTGTGACGGCGATTACTATCCTTGAGCTGCTACTGCCTCTGATCTACACCAAAATCTACCACTTCACCATTCCTCTTCTAATCTGAAGACCACCTCGGCTGGATCATATCCGTCTGGCGCATTTTCAGTGTCTATGCTATTAATTAACTACTACTCGATACTCGTGTCTATCCTAATACACTGCCGTCATTGCCACTGGTCAGCGGCCATATACTAGGAGCAGCTCCAGAATAAGCTTGTCTGGCTTTCCGTGGTTTGACTGCATACATAACCGATCAGCGCAGAATTGGGTTGTCTGCATCTGTGGTTTTCTTTGCAATCTACACCACCCTTTACATATATCTCTTGTGTTGATCGGAATCGTGCATCGTGGCGCAGATACTCGGCCTCGACTCTAGCACACCTGGCATACGGGCTTGGGTGCCAAATCACTTTCATGTCCTCAGCTCAGGCACGCAACAGCCCGCCGATACCAGCGCCGTCTACGTCGTCCCGAAGTCCCACGTCGCTATCTTCGCGCTCCGAGAAGAGTGACTCGCCGGTTGGTAACCCGGCCGGGACCGAGGATGTCGCCGCGGCCTCTGCTCTACTATTGAGCGGCGCCAAGGATGTTCGTGAGATCATCAGGCTGGTTCAATGCGGCGTGTGTTCTCGCATCTTGCAGAATCCTACTACCTTGTCATGTGGGCGTAGCTGCTGCCAAAGCTGCATTCCGCCGACCTATCTGCGGACAAACATTTCCTGGCCCGCCACCGCCAACCGCCTCTATGGCTTCGAGTGCCCATTCGAGGAGTGCAAAAAAGAGCACGCGATTGGGGACTGCAGTGTAGATGTTACCCTTAACAAGGTCCTCGACATTATCCGCACGGCCGTTGAACAGGACCGAGAGGCTACACTGCCGCAAAATGTATCAACCCGGGTCGTCACCCTCGATCGGTGGAGCGTTGCCGGACTGTCGTCGATGGAAGAAAAGGGTGTCACGACACAAGTAATCAAGGGCGGACGAATTGTGTCGACTTACACCTTGGTCGAAAATGGAAAGCTCGATTACAAATGTGAGGTCACATACGCTGCTATCGGGGCAACAGAGGAGGAAGTGACTGAAGGCGACGTTGCTGCCTTTACGAGCCTGAAAGAATCGGTGCGCACGGAAATGGATTGCCAAATTTGTTATGCACTGTTCCTCGACCCAATAACAACGTCCTGCGGTCACACCTTTTGTCGAAACTGCCTTCACCGGACCCTTACTCATTCGGAGCATTGCCCCATCTGCCGACGAGCATTGTCCATCCAACCACATGCGCCCTCTGGCTCGGCGCCGTCGAATCGACGACTGGCGAAAATAATCAATGGGTTTTGGGCCGACATCATTGCGGTACGAGCGCAGACTGTCCGCGCTGAACTACAAGCCGAATTACGCGGCGACTTTGATATACCAATTTTCGTCTGTACACTCTCATTTCCAGCCATGCCGACATTCCTACATGTTTTCGAGCCCAGGTACCGAAGGATGATCCGACGAGCCATGGAGGGGGATCGTACGTTTGGAATGGTGCTTGGTTCGGCAACGACCAGCCCGGATGGTCGCAACTTTTGCGAGATTGGAACTCTACTCCGGATTGTTAACATTGAATTTTTTCCTGATGGTCGCAGTCTCTTGGAGTCAGTCGGTATCTCGCGGTTCAGAGTTGTTCGACATGGCACTTTGGACGGCTATGTCGTGGGAAAAATTGAAAAGATTGATGATGTCAGTCTTGCTGACGAGGAGGCCATGGAGATTTCCGAAACTATGCATGGCCAGGGTGTTCGGGATTTTATCCAGTCCAGGAGCAACGAAACGTCAACCGCCACCGACCAGGATCCCCCTCAACAGCTGGAAGAAGCAAACGTGCTTACCGTTCAGGACCTCGAGACCAAGTCTACACGCGAACTTTTGGAAATTGGAATCACCTTTGTCACAAAGATGCGCGCACAAAGCGTATCTTGGTTGACCGCAAGAGTTTTGGCAGTTTTTGGCGACTGTCCAAACGATCCTGCCTTGTTTCCCTGGTGGTTTGCCAGTGTTCTCCCCGTTAGCGACGAAGAGAAGTACCGGCTACTTGGAACGTCTAGTGTTCGGCAGCGCATGAAGATTTGCTGTCGGTGGATTGTTGAATGGGAAGCAAGTAGATGGTGAGCATATCCTTTATGGTGCTCCTCTCGCCATACAACCCCCTCTTTTATCTCCCCCTTTCTCATCTCGTTTCGACTTTGGACTTTCTCCCTGCCAAGGGATACCCAGCGGAAATTCGAATTCGGGATCATACCTCTCACTCAATTCCATTTGGAAACACCTTGTGTTGACGGATGAACTCCAGGACCATATCAGATTGTCTCGTCTTATGACTCGCCCCCGTCGGCGTGCTTGTATTTTTGGTCCTCGCATTCATGTTGAGCCCCGACGCACGGTAGACTTCACACACAACATTGGGAGGTGTTTTTGGCGTTCAGATTACGATTCTCCAAGGGCTTCTTGTTGCATTTCAGAAAGACATCATACTAGTGATACCTCGCAGCGGATTTTCTAGAACCGCTGCAACTTGCATTGTCTTTATTTCACTATTACAAATTGCATATATAGCGCTGCATGTGGGGGCAAATATGTGCTCTCACAGACATATCTTTCAGAATAAGACTATATTCGTCCGGTTTAAGTCTCTATTCACTTGACTTTGTCATTACTTGTTATCGAATCGACATGCCAACAGTGCCAACCCAACCCGATATTGTAGGTTCATTGCTGCGTCCAGGTGTTGAGGTATCCAAGCATAAAAAATACCCTAGTTGACTGACGTGACTTCAAATGACGCGCCCGTGAGACAAGGTGGGACCAGATCTCGTCATGCCCTCATCCAACCTGCTAGTCAGGACTATATAACGAGAGTTTGTATATTGCACTGCGATACGCAAGCATATGTGACTGTCAACATTTGTTGAAGTGAAACTCGGACGGAACCATTCAATCGCGGATGTAATCATTCAACTCTTGTCATGCTCGGAGCCTTCTAGAGACATTACCTGATGCCCGCACTGTGCCGTTTTCTTCAATGTTGATGGGTGAAAGAGCGGGATCACCATAACGGGGGAGGGATAAAGGGAATTCGAACAGGGGAACCAGGACCGACCAAATGCACCTTGGTAGTGCTATCGACAAACATGATTTCAGATTCGCGCAGCGGGTCTGGACCGTGGTGGCCTTGCGTCGCACTGGACAGACTCACACTGCAGGATTTCTCAAACATGTCACTCAATTGACCCATTGAGAAATTGGACCCGTACGATGATATTGATAGGCCAGGAGACGGGAGTGCGCTTGCGTTGTGGTCTTGAGGTATGCTCCTTGTGTGCCTTTTCATGGCCAGTGAAACCTCATGTAGCCGTCTGTAGGATGAGTCGGCGGACCGGAGAGACGGCGCTATGGTCGGCGCAAGGCTTTGAGGTCTCTGACCGGGACCCGACGACTTCTCCAAGGAGGGTTGCTTTGATACGGTGTTGGAAGAAGACTGCTGTTGTATGTCTTCTCTTTCGCAAAGCCTGCGAATAGCAACACCCAGAGACTCGTGAGGTTTCTTTGTCCTCTCATATAGCCCCCAAGGTTCCTGGACACAAGCGACGGGCTCCTGAGGCATTTCCGTCCGTTCGTAAAGCCTGCGAAGGTAATGCGTAATGAGATTGTCGTCCTCGACCCGAGTCATCTCGAGCACTTCGGAGCATACGTACAGATGCTCCGCCAGTGGAACTCCAAGATATTCTTGTGCTTGGATCAGCCAGGATGAGGGGGCCAGGGCAGGAACAAAGGCTCCATGCCACATCTGCCAGAGGCTCACAAAGGTGGTCGATTCGCCAGAATTGCTGGTGAGTTTTTCAGGACAAGACTCCTGCCAGGCAATGACTCCTTGGCACCAGCCGAGGCTCTCTCTGAGATAGCGCGTTACGGTGCTCGCATGGGAATCACGCACCGCAAAACCTTGTCGTTTCATCGCGGAACAGAATCCGAGAAAGTCCGAATGGCTGATTGCCGGCCCTTTTTGGGACGTTGAGCCCGTGGCGACAAACGGGTCCTTGTATCCTGGAATGAAGGTGTGATCAAGGTGACAGAACCGTTTGTAATAGACGTAGACCAGCACATCAGACAAGTGGCTGTGGAGAAGATCGCCATTGTCAACAAGCTTATTTGCAAAAGATCGAGCCTGTCCAAGGTGGTGGCCGCTCTCCGAATGTTTGCGTTGCCGTGAAAACAAGTTTGCTAAGAAAGCGTGGGCCAAGAACTGCTCAGCTGATGGCCGAGTCACTCGATACCGCAAACGGCTGACTACTTCGGACAAGATTCTCTGTATAAATCTGCAGTCAAACTGTGACCTCGCCGACCGAGCGCACAATATCAAGGACGGCGACGTGTAGAAGTCGTCGCGAAACGCGCCTCGCAGCACTTCGCTTACAAAAATGATCGAGGACAGATTAGCGGCATCCTCAAACTTGCCGCTGGCGAACAAGTACTCGGCGATAATCTTTAGTCGATTTTCAATGGCAAACGATAGCATAGGACCATAGCGCGGTCGGCGAAAGCTCCCGATTTTCTTTGCCACCTTGGAGCAGAAGTCAAGAGTGATGCTCAGGGCAAATGACTGGTTTTCAGGGGCCGGCTGTGTCAGTATGGACTCCACAATCCTTTCAGACAAGGGGCAAAATGTCTCATTCTGCAAAGAATTGGATGATTGACTCCGTAATGAGTGGTTACGAGTGATGTCTATAGGATCAGAAGAGCCTTTTGCGCCACTGGACTTTGCTGGCTCGGCGTCGACAAGCATAGGATAGCAGCCTCCTGACGATGTATGACTACGGACGCGGTGTGGAAGTTGTGGCCGAGGGTCCGTTTTGAGCCTCTTTGCAGTCGTCATTTCCGACAGTATATCTTCTGTATCGTAGGTTTCGGTGCTCGGTGTGCTCCTTCGTCGCTTTGAGTCAGCTCCAACGTCATCGAAAGTTGTTTGCCTAGTATCGTGGTGTTCGAAAGGTGTTGTTTCTTGACCGGTCTCGACTGTCCCGAGTGCGAAAGATGCCTTCTTGGTCTTGTACTTTTTGAGTCCCCAGAGCTCTAGTCGGGCCGTATACTGGCGTAGACTTGGAACTAGACGTCAGTGTATTTCCTGTAGGCTCTCAAGCGTAACATACGTTGCCTCAAATCCATGAGTGCGTCTCATGCTCGAAGCTAGCTCTTCAACCGTCATCTCGCCGTACATTTCCCGAATGTCCGTCTCGAATTCGTTCCATACTTGGTCGGGTATCTGTCGCGCCTTTGCCCGCTTTGGGCCCCCGTTCCACCTCAATTCCACGCTCTCCTGCATGGTTGAAAATTGAAGATTAACTCTTCATACTGTGCGCGTATTGCCTTTGGGCGGTATCGAACAAGGCGTGGTGTTTCTCTGGGGTCTGAATAATTACAGGCGACCTTGAGCTCCAAATATGGGATTGGACCTGTGACAGACAAGTGCATACAAGAGCAGTACGAAACAGAATGTTAAGTAACGGCCGTAGCGAGAATGAAATATCTTGGGTTGGAGGCCTGTTTTCTAGTAACGCCAGGGCACTGCCACTGCCCCGGTCATCACTTTTCGAAATCGAAGGAGCCATTCGCAAGGCTGAGCGAGCATCAAGTCTGTACTCTGCCAATTTCCAAAGCCCAAATTAGGACTAGTGTAGGACTGAGCCTCTGCAGTATATAATTGGTTCACCACTCCTTGGAATCGCACCATGCCAAATGCGGTCTTTGGGGTTTCGTGATAAGATTCTGGGGATGTCGTATGCATATCATATGCCAAGGGAACCGTTGTCGATCTCCCACGTTTCTTCTGTTTACGCCATGCCAAAATCGGCCTTTGTATTTTCTCCTTATCTCAACATAAATACTGTAATTACTGATTTTATTGTTTTGAGGCCATCAGCTCAAACGACTGTACCACTTGAAAAAAGAAAATCACGGTCCGATCAACATGCCTGCTTTATCCGATATGCCCAAAATGGACTTTGTAAATGCACTCAAGTGAGGCAAGATTTCGGTAAACGACCGTGTCGAATGAACATTCAACATGCTGCAATATCGCAAGATAAGATCCTCAGTTTTCATCTCCGCAAACACCGAGCTCACTCAGACTTATGGACAATTGGCTTGAGGCAAGGGAAGTATAAATATGTCCTTATTCGTCGACGTTGTAGTTGATTGATCATAACCCAAGCCCGTGTTGTGTCTGTAGTTTTGCAAAGGCAATACCACATCCGTTTCCTACTCATCATCACTTTCTGCTCTTGAGATCAGAACTCCCCTGCAGCTTTTCATCTCAATTTGAGGGACTTGACCCGCAACATAACTACTCAGCATGCCTGGAACCGTTGATTTCACAGCTCCGGGGCAACCTCGCCAAGTCCTAGTCAATCATGACCTTGCTCATATCCGCGTTTCGGCAAAGCACACGAGCTGCAATCATAACGTCAGTAGCCAAGACCCCAGTACCTTCGCATGTAAAGCATTGACTCATCGTATACAGAACAACGATTCTCGTCTAAGTGCAAGTAATCTTGTCGGGCTGTCCACTACATCAATGCCAAGGAATATGCAACAAGCAAACGTCTCAATGAAGTCATTTCATCAGAGCTATCAGATGCAAAGGTGGCAGCAAGAGACTAGAAAAGAGAGTTTTTGGACAAGTGCATAAGTCAGGCATAACCAGAGCCGGAGAGGAAAGAGGCGAGGAGTGGAAAAGTGCAACAGCGATAGTGGTATTGTTTGCTCAACTATGATTATCAGTTACCTTCAAAGAAATGAGCATACCAAAGTAACGAAAGTATTTTTTGATAGTCCTTCCTTAAATGCAAGCCATGCCTCGTAAATAAATGGAGAAAGAGAAAAAGGAAGAGGAGAGAAAAGAGAGAGGCTGTTATGTAAGTAGCTGTGCCTGAGCAGTAGCAACGAGCTTGAGGTTCAAAGCATGAAGCAATAAGTGGTGCTCTAGTGCGGCAAACACCGAACAAAACTATCTTGTAGGGCGTGATTTATTATAATGTGATATGACCAGCGTCTAAAACAAAGAGACGAAATCAAAGCTGGTCTGCGTCTATGAAATTGATGTGTGTACAAACAGATTTGATCACCCTTCCTGTCGTGTCACCCGTAGGGTGCCACACTAGGCAGCTGTGGCTGTGGCTCATTATAGTGGTTGTATTCGTGGTCAAGCTTAAAAGATAATAAGAATATACGACGACACATGTTGTATGAGTTTCCTTCCCACCTGTGAGCAGCAATGTATGCACACTTACAATCCAAGATGAGCAGCTTCTTAACGGACCAGCGAATGTGAAGTATTGACACAGTAACTATAGGCATTATTCTGACTAAAGCGAATGCTCAGAGTTGAAGCTCAAAATTCCCGACAAGGTAAAATTACTATGTCAAGTGTTAGCGTGGGGCAACATCTCACGGTCGCGTACCTCGTGGCCATGTCCATTTCTCGCGGCTTGCGTAGCAGCTGCAACTCAACAAAGTTGGGTATGACGGCCATTTGTGATTAGAGGCCACTCTAATTCTGGGAAATATTGACTGAGATCTCGTGGATAGATGTCACGATCCATCTTAGTACCTTCATCAAAGCACGTGCTGACTGAAGAAATGGCCTGCACCGGCCAACACACGCCAGGCTGTCTGTGACACCTTCGATATTGGCTTCTTCGTTGCTTTTACGCGCGCCAAACTCTACCTGGGCTTTACCTGAGTGCGCCAATCCTTGTGTTCACCACCTTGCCAAGCGAACAACCGAGTTAAGAAACTAGGAATCCATTCCGCATGCGTAATAAAGCTATGTAGAGACTTGATTGTTACAATTAGAGTTGCCTTCGCCTGCTACAGCAGGAGGGTGATAGCTACTTACTGGAGGAGGATTAATACGTGTAGAAGCAGCATAGATGGACAATAGGAGCTATAAAGCGCGATAGCATTTAAAGGGAAAGTACCTTGTGATGAGGCGGCATGGGCAGTAACAACTACCTTAAGTTGGCATTAAAACCAAAATATGGTCATCTCATTGGCATTTCCGAGGAATGACTTAGGCGTGCCTCACCCACATTGCTAGGTGCTCTAAGACTGCTCTTGTGTATGAATGCATGAAACAATCCCTTTGGGATCAAGCGGAGGCTTGATGAAGCACTTGTATTGAGTGGATACAAGTAGTGCGATGGGATGATGGCAGTGCCGAGATTTTGCAACTGTCTATCTTGGGCAGAAATGCCTCAAGCGGAAAATTTGGCAAAGATATCGCTCTGGAGCTGGCCAAGACTGAGCTGCCCACGATTTCCGAGAGCGCCCTCTACGGAGATAACAAATTCCAGACTAGGTGGGAGCTTGAATGGAGAGGAACCCAAAACAGTACATACTACGTGTAGCCAAGGCGCATAGCCAGGAGGTACCTAGGTGTGTATTGTGCTAAGATCATGTCCTTTGAGTATTTTTGTTCGCATCCGCCTTAATGATCTCTTGACTGTTCCTAGGCCGGCCCTTCTTGCAGGAAGAATATAACCCGATATGACTCGCGGCGCAATGCAAGATCACGCGGTTGATATATATGTACCACTCAATTTTCAGCTGCAGAGAGTCTTAAGTCTCAAAGTCTCGAAGCAGTCAGCCTGGGCGGCACGCCGTGCATGCCACCCGGGAGTAAGACAGGATACCTAGGCGGCTGCATGGACGCCAGGCCCGGATGCATGGGTCTCAATGAAGTATTGTACACTGGGGGAGCTGGTGGAGGTGCACACCGGGCCTGTTAAATCTCGCCGCAAGTACAACTTTCCTTCGGTTCTCGCTGCTTTAAACCATAAGGTTGCAGCGCATACCGTCCGCATATCAAGACTCGTGCTTTGATTGGGCTGTTTAATCCGAACACACATAATTTGAAGATACATCATTTGAACACACCACTCAGCCTGCGCGCTGCTATTTCTACATAGAGACAACAAAATCAGCATGTCTATGTTCTTCCTTGAAAGAATCCCAATTGATTCATTGTAAAGGCGGCTTCATTAGGCAACCTACTTCGGTGAAGAGCTGGTGTTCGTTGATATGCCACGTAGGTCAACCAAGATGTCGCCTTTTTCGTTTCGTACATAGGAGGGCCAGGGCCAGTGAGCCGGGAATTCAAGCAACAACTGGCTTTCTACAAAAGATCTATAAATTGTCCTCTTTCGGTGCCGTCACTCAATTCGGATCCACGACTTGATCCAGGACACTTTCCTAAGTCTAGCATTGTCCATACACAAGTCATCCTCAACGCCGGGCTTCTGACATCAAGTTCGCTCAAGCATCCGTAACCTTTCGCCTCTGCTACTGTACATCGCCATAACTCTTCCCAAGCATCATGTCACAAGTGTGCCAAGGTCATGCTGGCCATGACCTTGCTCATATCGGTTCGTGGATCATGGATTCAGACTACGAACATAATGTAAGTTGTCGATTACTAGTCATCGTCATGACATGAAGACCATAGACTCATTTAATATCATAAGAATCACCCCTATCCAACTCGAGCGGCTTCGATCAAAGTGTCTTCGGCACCCATTTCGTCGACGTCCAAAGAAGTCCTTCAATACAAGGCCATGTCGAAGACGTCCTACCAAGGCTACCAAATGGAGCGCTGGGAGAGAGAAACGAAGAAGGAGAGTTCTTGGACCTCTGAACAAGTTTCCTCAAACTAGATGCGAGAAGGTGGACAGCGAAGAGTCGGCAAATAGGAAAAGAATAATATACCTTCACAATCATGGAGGGCTGGTTCGGAACACACTGGGCCAATACATGGGGGATACACATAAGTCTTTGTCTTAACGGCCACTCCGCAACGTGGAGATCAAGTCTAAATACAAGCTATGCTGGAACAGGATTGATTGTGCTTGAATATATCTTGAAATTATTCATAAGGATTGAATTTGTCTTGCTACTATTCTGGTGCTTCCAACAAGAGGCTTTTCCTCTCCTGTCCCATGTCTCAGAATATAGTCAGAAGAACCAAAGAGGACTTTCAGGTCCCATTTTGCGCATCAAGTGCGATCCGTTCTCAATATCAGCCGAGACCCACAGCGAGCCTCCTGGGATCATGGAGGTATTCACACTCACGGCCCCAAGCATCTGACACCACCTTACGAAGCCCTGCATTCATGTCGGCCGCGAAGCAAAATTATGTTACATAGTACTTGATGCAAGGATGCTTGAGCCAACAATCGGTTCCAAATACTCAGCTTGTAAGAAGTCAGGTGGTTTTGAATGCCAATTAGAAAATATTAAAAAAAAAAAAAAAAATCCAGTCTTGTACTCTTTGTATTGATCCTTCTCGTCGGCAAGGGTTTGTACACCGGGTTCTCTCGGAAATTCGTGCACCTACCATAGCGTGTTAGAGACCTTTACTACTTTCCGGCGACTTTGCTAATATAGTCTCGGGCTGAAAAAGTGCGTAGTGGACTTCGCTAAAGTACTTCAGACTATAGTGAAAGCACGAAATTTGGGAGAGAAATCGGTAGCTCTGTTGAATGTTCATGGTGTATCAGGAATGGAGTGCTGTCAATGTAGGCGATACTGTTCATGTGGCTAGTGTAGTGTCGAATACGGAATCTAGGGTGGGCTGTCTGGTGGTTACTTTGCTCACACTACTAAGAAAGATAGCAGGCAGGCGCGAAAAAATACGCTATGGTTGGAGGCACAAAGCGGGTCGGGGCCTCCGTGGGCCAATACCCACGAAACTAGGTAAGTACCTCTGTACCTACCCACGGCAACCACTACTTATTTTTCTTCCTGGCGGCCAGACTACCTATATTCCTGCTGTACCCTGCCTTACCTCCTATCATTTTTTGTATATAGCGAGCTTTGCAGTGATTCTCGGATGTTGCCGAGCCCCAGGCGCGGGATGAGTGGGAAAGTCTCGGGTGGGGCGTTGGGGAGTTGTTACCAGGTCGATTGCCAAAGATATTAGTAGATGATCATTTCTCACTTGTTTTTGGATTATACATGCTCCTTGACACGCCGGTAATAAGGTTGTCGCGTTCTCAGGAACACTACTGTGATTGAATTGCTATTTACAACAATTGTTTACAGTTGTCGCTGGGCCAAATGCATGCCCACTTTTACCTAAGCACTGCACCAAACGAAAGTTGAATCAATAAATCAAAGTCACGAGCATTGACCTTGCAATCGTTCCATTTATCAAGACGCCAACGAGTAACTGTGCTGGTGAGAGTGATTAATGGTGTTACGGCATGTGAAACAACTGAAGATCCAAGACTTGGCGCAATTGTTTGTGATTGAAGAGATACGCATGTCCCCGCCCTCGGCTGGTGATAATAGACTAGCTCCCGAGCCGGTGGTTCCCATTAGCTAAGAAACCACATATAGCATTTGATAATCAAAATGCTTTCACGGAACCACAAAGGTTTCCATCCAACACGGCACTTTGGCGGAGTGGTTAACGCGCTGCCCTGCTATACTCTCGACTATAGAGTCCGCTAGGCAGTTCCTTCGGGAGCGAGTGTTCGAATCACTCAGGTGTCGCTGTACGGGATGAATCAACTATATAGGTTGACTCACATTTTTGTGTTTTTGCGTTAGGAGTCTTGATTGCTCCTATTATACACAGTATAGTGAAGTGAGTGAGTATAATCCTTAGGTGTCGCAGGAAGGAACGACCGACTATAAGTTGGCTCATCTTTTGGCATTGCTGTGTGGGGCCACTTCTCAGCACCTCTCTGACCGCTCCCATTATACATATGGAGGGTGTCCCGTGACCGAGTTTGAATAGGTGATGCGACCAAGAGTTGCATTTAAAGCATCGCTTCAGGACGATCCGTTCCCTCAACGGCAGTTATGGTGTATAGGTGGACACTAACCACCAGATTCAGTATGCGCTGTAGCCAATTGCCGACGTCGACGACAGGGGCCAAGCTGGGCGACTAGGGGTCGCTGTCCAAAAGCAACTGATCTCCGCGTCTAGTTCAAGAGAGGACCATGCTATTCTCATCTTTCTGCTACAACACCGTCACAATGGGTCTACTACCAGCAAGGATAACTTTGGTACGGTCACAACTCTTCCGCTTATCAAGTTGCATGATTGTATTTAAGTTGGTTGCAGTCAAGCTTTTTGATGCGACATTTTGATATGAACAGCAGTCGACCTTAGCCGAACACATGCTGGTAGTCCCTGGAGATCCATTTGACATAAAGTGCCATGTCTGCTCTCGAGATCGAGTTTAACCTTTCACTTCTGCTGTGCTGTATTAATCCAAGATTCTGATAAACGAATTCGTTCCGCTAGCACAAACAGACGTCACGATGCTACCCTTGGTACTGCTCACCTTCTTGAGCCTTGCCAGCCAGGCTTCGGCGGCAACATGGTACTTTCTCCGATACTATACGCCGTCCGGTGCCAAGTTCACCTCCTTCTCCGGAGAGATGGTGATTCCCGCATTACCACAAGCAGGCACATACTATCTCTGGCCCGGATTGCAACCAACCGACAACAGTGGTGTCTACCAGAACGTGCTCGACGGTCGAAGCGGCACCTGGTGGATCGGTTCTGGATGGTATGATTTCTTTTTTTTATTCCTGCTTGATTACGGACATTCAATCTCCATTGAATGCGAGATAGAGAGCCCGTTTCAACTGACGGATATCGGCGCACTAACACTGCAATAGGTGCTGTAGCAACCCGAGTCTGCCCTGGGGGAGCGGTTTCAACACCTATGCCGGAGAAACCGTGACATTCAGCAATACGCGTAAGTATTTACTTTGCTTTTCATTGTCGAGTCGCCGACTCCGGCTAGCATCAAAAATGCGTGCCATCTTGAGCTTTGAATTGGCAATGCACAAGCTTATAACCCATAGTCTAACTACTGAAATGCTAGACGAGAATAATTGCTAACATGAGACCACAGTTAAAAGTGACAACTCTGGCTGGACTTCCACCCTCACCAGATCTGCCAATGGAGCTAGCGTCACCGACACCTTTGCTTTGGGTCAGTTCTACAGTCTCTCCCAGAAAGAAAAGGCGTACTTTGCCTATGATGCCATTTCCCACTAACTGTATCATTTTAGCCGACAAATCCTTCAACCAAGTCTTGTTCGCAATTGAGCTGTGAGTTCTTCCAGTAGTGGCAGGCTAAATCTTGATTCAGCTATACTAATCTCTACTTGCAGGACCGGCGTGAGCTGGGATTTTGGACAACTCGCCTTCAAGAACGTCAGGATCGTGAGTTCATATCTAGCCATGTTCAAGATTTTTTTGCAGCTGCTGACTGATCATCTCTGTATAGACTAGCACCGGAACCGACTCTAGTTGGTGCACTTCGAGTCCTGAGAACTACAATAGTGCTACCACCTACTCTATCAGCGGCGTCTCAGCCAGTGTCAGCGGCAGCACTGTCACTTGCACCATCAGCTCTGTGATTCTGCAAAAGCCAGCCTAAGCCGACGTCTGCTTCCGGGACCCGCGTGTAGCTTGGTCTTACTGGCAATATGCACATCACGATTTTATGGTTATACTATCTTCAATCGGTAACACGAAGTCTAGATACTATGCACAATGCAACGCGAAAACATGATTTTCGCTTATCCATTGCCATTTCTGTATCAAGTCATTGGTGTCATGCTGGTTTCTATGGTGCGTGGTTTCGATGGCGTGTGCGTCAAGGCCGTGCTAGTATCAACTTGCCGCTCGCTGGGTCATACAACACTTTTGGGCGAGAGAATAATCATCTACGTTTCTGTATTCATACTTCATCATAGCGCTGTAACGTAAACCCAACTATGCGCCTATAATGGATGATCAAGGGATTAATTGAATACATATCTTTGTTCTGGGAATGCGCCCATGTGGCACAGCCGAGTTATGCCAGGATCATTGCCTACCTGTATGCCCTACCGCACAGTACTGTGTACACCCAACCCCAGTCGCAGCTGGTGCCTGGCGCTAGACGTCAGCCCGCATACCTATAAATGCGCGAGACACGCCAACAATCATCATTCAGCCTTTTCTCCAACTCTTCTATGTGAGAGATCCGCGGTTCACCCATTCTCAATCTCTAGGATGTGGTGACTACGATAGTTCCTGAGCAGGAGTGCAAACGCTACAGTCCAACTTCTAGGCCATCCAGCTTGGCAAGTCTGCAGGCGGTAGAGCTTCATGCGGGCATCGCCAAAATGAGTTCTCTTGACACACGAGATGCCAGAGCTGCTCGACGAGCCCGACGGGATCAGTCTTCAGCGCAAAACACTTTGGGTCCTTCGCGACTACACTCTGATGCCATGCCGAGGAGCCTTGGTGAGCAAGATACGCAGAATGCCAATGACGAGGAGGTGAGCGAAGACGATACATGTCCCATCTGCCGTCTTCTACTCCACGAACCCGTGACTACTACGTGCAACCATACGCTCTGCAAATTTTGCATGGCGCAATGGGCTTCCGTCTCGCTGGCAGCCCCAATGACCATTGTGGACGTCGACGAAGAACCAGTCGAGTTTGACGCTGTATCCGAGCTCGAGGCGAGATGTCCAATGTGCCGAACCATGACCACTGCGACAGCAAATCCGGCCCTCGCACAGGAGCTCAAGTCGAGATATCCATTGACGCATGGCGAGCGAGAGGCAGAGGCACATGCAGAAGCCGACGGCCTCGGTGGAGATGCCATCCACACCATTACTGTGTACATTGGCAACCGCCATACCCGGATCCCGCCGTCACCAGGTTCCCCGCACAACATACATGACTGGACATTCTTCGTGCGCCCGAGTAGAACCGACATTGTCGAAGAGGTTCACATCTTTCTGCATCCAACCTTTCGACAGAATCGGGTCGTCAGACAACGCCCTCCCTACCAAATCTCGCGAGTGGGCTGGGGTATCTTTACCATTACCGCATCTGTTGTCCTCAAAGCGGGCTACTCCTGGGTCTCGGATGACGCCCAGGACTCTCCGGATGGCGCAGTCAAGGGCGTGTTGCCCCTCGAGTGGATGTTGGACTTTGATGGCTTTGGTGGCAAGGGAAGCATGGGGAGGTGTCGCCTTAAGGTCAAGAATGACCGTGACTGGGATGGTGTTAGTGAAGAAGAGGAACGGGATCAAAGAGAGTGGGGCAGGATGATTCGCCAATATGAACGAGATGGACGATATGAACCATGAGGGTAATAAAGTGGATAATCAAGTCGGACCGTTCTTGACTCCCATACAAATTTCGCTGTTCGGCTCAAGATCTTGCCACTGAGGGAAGTGAGAGAAGACTTAAAACTAAAAACTAAAACTTGGAGCTCATGAGCCTTAAGAAGTGAAAGGTGGACTTGATCCAGTGCATGAGTAAAACATGATGTCAAATTCACTAATCGGGTCAATACAGAACCTGGAAGCCCATAATTCATGTAGCCGTCTCATACCACGGCCATCCTCATCAGTCCAATAATTATCCAGCCTTAAGCTTCCGCACTATCCATCGCAAGGCATTTACCAGTCTTGAGCCTCCAAGAACGGGTTTTTCTTATGCCTTCGGGGTATGTCCCTAGTCGTGTCTTTGCTGCCATCTAGTGATTGCGCTCACCGAGGTAGGATTGCATCTCCATCACTTCCCGAGTAATATCCTCCAACGTGTGCTTGAGATAGCGACGGTGCATCTCGTCTTGGCGAATGTAATGCTCAATCTCCTCAATTGTCTGTCTGACACTCCCCGTTGAGGATCCGAATCGTGGAGGACGCGGCATACTCCCTAGGGGAAGGAGCTCGACTCTTGGGGGGCCTGGAGACTTGGTGAAGGGACTTGCAACGAATGAAGCACGGTCACTCAAGTTGTTGACAGGAGGACGCGGTGGACCATGCTCAAAGTCAAGGGTGCAGGAGCTGGCGCGAGAATCGATGGGCTCGATCGCCAAGCCAATTGTCAAGTCGTCTTCAATGAGTATGGGGTTCTCTTTGGTCATGCCGTCGGCTAGGCGCTTCTTGCGTCTTCTTTGACGACCACTAACATGTCTGATCTGACAATCATCGCTGCTTCCCTCTTGACCACTGGTTCTTCTACTCTGGTCATTGGCCGGGTCAGCCCGAGGGAAAGGCCGAAGGCCTTTAGGTTGATGGTAAGCTTGATAAGCTTCAAGTAGACTTGGAGAATGCGGTTGCTTTGCGATCCAGGATATCCAGGGGAAGTTTCCATATTGGGATGGATCATTTATAGGTTCATCATATGGTGCATCGTGCAATGGCGTCTCCTGTAATGAAAAGGAGGTGTGTGTCTTGTGGCCGTCAGAAAAACCTGGGTAAGTGCTCATGGGGCCAAGGCTGCTGAGATTATTGGAGTCGACGCTTCGTCCATAGTAGGGAGTGATGAGATCTATGCGCTGATGGGGCCAGGGACTGATGGGCAACACACATGGGCGATGGTAACCCACTGGTGGGCGCGATGAGCCCAAGTCTGCTGGACCACCTTGGCCATTGCCGTGTTCGTCTCCTCGACTCTTGTTCTTATCACCCTTTGGATCTGGGCAATGCAGGTCGAGTAACTTTAACACAGGATCAGTGTCATCATCGTCTTGGGGGTATACGAAAGCCATCGCTGTTGGATCACACGAGAACCTGTTGGCATAGTCTTGTGTCCAAGAATCAAGAAAATTGTGGAAAGGAAATGATATAAATATAATTAAGAAAAAGACTAAATGGCCAAAAATTGTATTTACTCAGGTTACGATTGTTGAGGCCTTTCTGAGGCGCCAAATCATTTCACCTAGTTATTGCCCACGGCTTTAAATAGACGTCTTTGCTTGGGCATCAACAAACCAAGCAGAGCCTCACACTAGAGGAAAAAGCTACCATCCCGTGCAGAGGCAATGGATATCTGCCGGTTCACGGCTCATAATAAATGTAAAAATGTAAGTCTTATATTAGGCATTGAATTACCCTCTCTTTAAGTAAATAGCCGCCTAGAAAAGATGAAGGAAAGGTAACAGAGAAAAAGACATTCTTCTTCCTTGGCAGAAAAAATAATGATGATGACTGACATTGTTGGCCCTAGCGTGAACCATCAAGACTTCTCATACTCAAGAAAACTTGCAATTCATCAAGTAATTCAGGTCCTGCCATCACTTGGACTGGTAATCGCATTATTTGGCATTCACACGAACATAGAACTCACCTGGCAACCCAATCGACGGTCAGTCACACAATCATACGAACTAAGCCTTTAATTTAACATGAACACAAGAAAATGAAGAGTTGAAACTTCAGTTGAAGGCCGAGGTAGAACTGAGGGAAGGGGGAAAAAGCCTTGCCTTCCCTACCTCGCGTATACCATTCGTCCACCAACAGCGTTAATCCTTGTTATGTGACCGTGACTGCCTTTCATATATTAACAAATGGAACGGTTCGTGCTAGGCAACAGCCACTTGTTGCAGCAACTTCATACCTGCTAAAAACTAGACGCATTTAGCTTGAATTAGCTGTCTCTCACTCGAGCAACCACTTTAAGGCCCGGCCTCAATCACATGATCTGGCGTCAAGACTAACACGCGTCCTAAATTTCCAAGTTCTCTTTGTTCACGCAAACGCTGGGATAATTTTTTTTGTTTCACGCCTCGCCTGTAGGCGAGGAAGTAGGCAACTACACTTTCCACCACTTGGCTCTGTTCTCAAATTATCCCAGCCTGCAACTCGAGAGCTTTCGAGGTTTGCCCATAACTACGAAGCACCGACCAATCGGTATGATTTTGTTGCACAATGGCGGCCAAGCCAAAATCGGTCCAAGCCGCCGAGAAAAGAGCTTATGATGGCCAGAATGAAAGTCAAGACTCTCAGACCCTGATGGAGAGATATCATAGCGAGCATGGGATTGGAACGGTAAGAAAAGCATTAACCGCCTCTCGTGCCGCCCATGTTGGCTAATTTGTCGCCTTTGTAGCTAAGCTCTTCGCCAATGATACACCACGATCCAGTTAGTAAGTATTTCATCAATTTTACGTTTCTACTCAAATCATATTGTCGCTTTTTGTGCTTGAAGACCGACCCCATGTTGAACAAGAGTGCTGGTTCGCTAAACTTTAAAGATGTGAACGCAAAAGTCGAGTCAGCGGCTCAGTCTACAAGGGTCGGAAAGGTAAAGTACCATCCCCTGTTCCCCGATCGGCGCTAGGGGTGGCACTGACAGGAAACCCCCACAGTCCACTAAATTGCCCAACGACGACGCGCTGGAACCCGAAACGCGTCCCATCGACAGTCTCCCTCTCGCTTTCAATTCCGACCACAGGCCATGTAGTAGCTACAAAGCCTCATCCCCTCGTTCATCGCACGCTCTGGAGACCGGCAGATCGCAAGGGCAGCTTCAAACTCTACGTGATGCTGGGTTATTTTCCGCCATTGTCGATCGACCGAGTCTGTTGACGAAAAATGGTGTTCTTCGCCCAGTTGCGCCACCCAAAGTTGCCGGCCCACTGAGGACAGAGACCTTGAAGAACAGGAAGATGGACGACCTTTCGCCCGAGTCTCCGACTCAATCAAACGATGGCAGGAGCTACGAGCAATACCGAAGCTACTATGAACCCGGCCTTGCGTCCTCTCAACCATCCAAAGAGCAAGAACAACAAAGGCCCTCCGGGCTTATCGACCAGGCAGAGTCGCAAATATCCCGGGCAAGCAGCTCACACGAGCACCGAACATTACATGAAGACGAAACAGGGGCTGTCAAATTTGACTGGAATCCTCTCGAGAATGATGGCCACGATGAGGTCACACCATCAGAGTTGACAGGCACGTCGCAGCCAAATGCTATTGCAGGGTCGGCTCTTGAACGGGGTGGTATGCCGGCGCCGACTATGCTTCCTCCAGAGACACCGCTGGTCCCCTCGCGAATGTTCCAGTCAAATGGAACAGCCAGTGACTTGATGGGGGCTTCGCAGCTCTTCCAGCAGACGCAGTTCACCTCAGGTGCCAAGAAGTTAGCCTCGCCCACCTCTTCGCGACCGTCGCCCATGATATTCAATCATAATACAATTTCTCCGAATAATGCCTCCTCTCCTCTTAAAGACCGTGGATTACGCACATCACCTCTACAAGGCCCAGTTACAAGTCCGGCGTGTTCTGCCCCGGCTACTTCATCGGTTGTCAAACCACGCGAACAACAGGAACCGGACATTGTCCTAGAAACTATTCCAGGATCGCCTAATGCATTTCAGTCGAAACTGAGACACCGGCCTGACCCCATCGGTGACTATGCACCTATTCGAAACTCACCAGATCCCTACAATACCCTAGATAGGTCTCAAGACCAGACAGATTCGGATGATGACAATTCACAAGAGCGCCGTCGGCTCGCGAGGCAAAGACAAGAGAGGGCAAACAGATCTTTGACAAACATCACTCTGCCAAAGCAATGTAGCAAAGATAACATCGAAGTACCTTCCACCAATCGAAGGAAAAAGAACGCCCTTGCCCAGTCCACAGTCGCCTCGTCCATTGAAGTCATCAAGCCCCGTCTACGCCCCGACGTAACGAGTGGACACGACTCACAGGAAACTGTTGCAGATTCGCAGGAAGTTTCGGGGACAACTATCGGAGTGCCAAACTCAGAAGAATCGCCAGCCGAAAAGATAATTATAGACGTGGCGAAGGAAGATGTGCACTCGGAGCTTCCTTCTGCCCCCCAGCAGAGCGATGAGACGAATGAGACGAATGGAACCAAAGAGACCATTCCAGAGACCAGTCCTCCTGGCAGCCGGCTTCCAAAACGGAGCACACAACCTACCAAAGTCAATTCTACCGAACAGCGGACTCTACGTTCGTCGGGAAGAATTAATCAAAGCAGCCGACTCAGCTCTGAGGAGACGAGAGAAGTCCCTTCCTCGCCGCCACTCCCGGCACCAATCGCAGCTTCTACGCAGGGCCCTCCCCGCCGGTCGTCTAAGTCACGGCCTGCGGCCACTCCCATCCCTCCGAATTCAGCCGGCGCCGTCAGTGAAAATGGGCCACCCACGACCTCGTCTACGTTGACTGTCCTGACCGAGACACCGCAACCCACATCCAGTAGTACGCCAAACACAGATACAAACGATGTGCAAGAGTCTGAGAACAGGGACCATGTGCCTACGGCAAACAACCTTGACTTGTCATCACCAGCGGCAGCGAAGAATAGCCGCCAAAAGCCCACAAGGCTCAAGACCTACTCATCCCCGCGAAACAAACGCCACGCTTCTGTCTCGACGGATGAACTGGCATTTTCAACGCCAAACTCAGCTCTCGCAGGGCGGACGTCTCGCTCGTTTCTGCGCAAGTCAGTCAATGAAACACGACAGCATCATTCCAACGCGGGCCTTTTTCATGGCATGACATTTGCTACGTCCTTTCAGTCAGATCGGGAGAAGCAGTCGGTTGAGAAGATGATCACTGCAGGTGGTGGTACCATTGTTACCAAGGGATTTGATGACCTTGTCGAAGTTGGTCCCTTGGAGTCTGATGAAATTCCACGCATACGATACGGCCAAAACCTTGGTTTCGCAGCTCTCATCACGGACACACACTCAAGAAAGCCAAAATACATGCAGGCTCTTGCACTGGGTCTACCATGCTTATCCTGGAAATGGATATCTGAGTGTACTCAAGAAAGCGAAGTCGTAGACTGGTCCACGTACCTGCTCGCTGCTGGTCACAGCCAAGTGCTAGGCACAATTCGTTCCAGACCGCTAGACTTGTACGACGCCAAGACCACAAGCATCGAGAGGATCATTGAGAAACGGCCTAGAATGCTGATTGGCTCAAAGATCCTATTGGTGATGAAGAAATCAAAGAGAGAGGAAGAGAAACGTATGCAGTATGTCTTCCTCGCTCAAGTTCTTGGAGCTTCTTTACACCGAGTCAGCACATTGGAAGAAGCAAGAGCAGAGCTCAAAAAGAACGAAGACGCCGGAAATGCTTTTGACTGGGTCTATGTTGATGGACATCCTACCGAAGCGGAAAAGATCCTATTCGGTCAAGGGCTACTGCCTTCGAAGAAGCGAAAGATACAGAGCACGGTCGATAGCGCAGAGGAGCAGCCATGCCCAAAGCGAGTCAGGACTCTTACAGACGAGTTGGTTGTGCAGAGCCTCATCCTTGGGAGAATGGTCAAGGATGGAGAGTTGGGTGCTACGTCGTCATGATGCATATGCTTTTTCTGATTTATGATTTCCTATAAAAAAATGGCTGTCGAGCGTTGTTACCACTATTGAGATGTATTTGGTTGGAGTTCAGGTCTGCGCACTGGAGGAAGTGCTTACAGTGTACATTATCATATGTGCTAGTAGTCACAAGCTCTGGTACCGTATAAAGCATTTAGATACCACAGGAAGTACGCAAACAAGGCGGAAACCTCTTGTAATCAATTATATTCATCATGACAATGGTAGTGTGTGGGATTCATGTAGCTAGCAATTTCCAATCTCTGTGCTGCGCTCTTGGAAATCATCGAGGTCCATATAGCAGCCACGATGTAGCAAAGATTAACCAATGCCGGAAAAACATCTGCCATGCTTTCTATCGACTAGAATGACATGACTTGGCGTAGATTGATGCAGAAGATTGGACGACGGGATTCTATAGTCTCATGCCAAGCCACTGCCTAGACAAACCTTATCTCAGCATGCACGCACGCGCTCAGGCGATTTGCAACCACGAGGGTAAATGGTCAGATATTCCCAACCGATCCCCCGATGCCCAGCCCTTGAGGGTTTTCACGATGATAAGAAGAATCAATGGTTTTACATGGTAGAAAAGCCAGAAAAAGGCGCGTTTGTCCGGCCCTTTTCCACCCCCCTGTGCCATGTAGCAATAGTGCCCAAGCGGAGCGCCGACGATACCGCAAGACGTTCCATTGTTGGTAGGATGGAAGGGATAAGAAGAAAAAAAAAAAAAGTGTTTACTGCCTTGGTTTTTGGTGTCCATTTTCCTCTTCCTTTGTCGCCATCCTCCGCTTGCTACCTAGAACTTACCAATGGCTTACATGTCCGCTACCGCCACGGGGCGGCCAAGATGTCGTTGGATGCGTGTAAGCTTGCAGAAGGGACAGGGTCTCGAGACTTCGGCAGTTCTTTTTGTGCATGGTGTAAATGGGCATTCAAAAAAGTTAGGTGGTAGGGTTTAAAAAAAAAATGCAAGATCACGATACACGTTGCGCCCAGGTTTTGGGTTAGAGGGGGCATCCCGCCGCCCTCTCGTCTATTGTCTGCGTCGGAGCATTAACACCTCGCCAAAGCAAGCAGGAAGCACTCGCAAACACCTAACGGGATGCGGGCGGAAGGGTGGTCCGGAGGAAGGCGTGAAGTGAGTAGTACGATGTACATAGTAGGAGGGAAAGAGGAAAAAAAGAACAAGACTAGGGGCGGAGATCGAGATCCTTGGAGAGGATCGGAAAATATTTGCTCGGTCCTTGGCTTGGGTTTCTTTCTATTCTTTCCGCCGGCCCTTGTTTTTATGGTTAAAACCGTTGCGTCTCAGTAAGGAGGAAAAAAAGACTCCTGTCGTGCTGTGTGAACCAGACCAAACAGTGGGAAAGGGAGGACAAAATCTTGGAAAAAGTTGGTTGTTCGACACTTCAGTCCGGTCTTGGCTATGCCGCGTTTGGCCTAGTGCCAGGAACGTGGTTCCCGCCGGAAGAGGCAACATTGAATGTTCGCGCGGAATTTTGGTTGGCGCAAGGGCAAGGAGTGTTTGGATATAGGCTTGGCAACGCTGCAGCTTCCATCATTGCCCATAGTTCATAGCCCGTCACTCCCCTAGCATTATCAAGTCTGGTAAGGAAATATGTTGCAACAAGCCGGGCTCCTGGAGGATCGATCAGCACGGATGAGTGTCATGTCTTTCCCCCCCTTCAGGAGAACCGAATTGGTCCCAGGCACGGGCCATTCAACCAGAATTGGCTTGACGTGCTCGATTAGCAGATTGGGAACCGATCTTGTGGCAAAACCGTTGTGCAATGATTCAGGAACAGGTCAAGTTCGCGAAGCGGCGTAATATGAAGTCATCCCGTGGGTGATGTGCAACACTAAATTGTCCAACGCTCAAGATGTACACGAGCAAGAACCAGATCGAGTGAAGATCCGCTCTATAGTTGGCTGCTGCTATCGGCGTCAACCGCCAGGTTCCTCGGCTCCACGGCCGGACTGCGGGTTGACGCTAGAAACCGTCCGTCCCTTCTCTTCGGAGGAAAATACACGGTAGAAATTTTCTGACCTCTCGTCGACGTTCCCGAATCTTCTTGCTAAGCAGCAGGCAGGTGAAATATTAGACTAAATTAGATCCGAGGACATTCCTTAGTTTTGTCGTATCCCCCCATGCGCCATTCGTCAGTGGAGGTACGCGGCGTGGTTGTGATGGGACATCAACGATCATCGTCCTGAGCTAGGACTTTTATCCGTTTCCATGGCCCTCTGGGTAGAGTCAGGAAGCCGAGGATCGTGCGCTGGACGATCTGGACAGTCCCTATGACGCGTTCAATGAGTAGACGGAGCCCGCAAACCACAATCATACGCGGGAATAAGACAGCATTCGGCGGTGTAAGAGAATTGCTCCAGATTCCCGTCAAGCCCGTTCGCCATGTCACAAAAAAAGATCTAGGTCTCCCTTGGCCAGAGCCGCATTCGATATTGGTGGGGGGTTGTCAAAGTGTGTTTTTCTGATTCCCCGGAAGTTCCGACAATTCTCCTACCTTCTAGTGGCTCCTGGGTACGGGGAACTGGCGTAGTGTAGTCTCGCCGCATTGCATCGCGGGATGCCGCGTTTCTATATGCTGGCCAACATGCCTACGTATGTACAATTAGCGCTGTCCCCAATGGAGCATATGCTGATGCGTAGCTCTGTGAGTTATGGAACACAGGATTCCATCCTCCATTCAGGAAGAAGAGCTGTGGCCCATGAAGTTGTTTGTTGAAGTCTCGGCCTCCATAGACTCTAGGTCTTGCATGCTGTACCTACATAGGGTGACTTTTGCAGGATGCGGATGGATCTCAAAGGAGCCATCGGTGTGCGCGTTGCATACATAAAAATGTACACCTATGTGTGCTAGTTGCATGGTACAGGGTGTAGGTACTTTGTGGAATGCATATTGTACCAATGCATGTGCAAGCGTGGTAGTATCAGGAATTGGTGATGTTTCCACTGCGGTCGCCTGTAGTGCAGCTTGTGCGGGTGCTAGTTCGATCTCTTGTTAACCAGGCTTAATTCGACGAATCCTCAAGGTCTCTCCCCTGCAGACCATTCCGGCAATTTGCTCAGTACGTATTCCGTAGAACAATCAAACGCCTCAAGATCCCGGTAAAAGATGACTTACATGGTTCAAAATCCAGTCTCACTCAAAGTGGCGGGCCAAAGCATTCCGGATCAAGGCGAAAGCAAAATCAATACCAAGTCGTCTTGGTCGCCAGGAGCGGTATAGGCACAAGATCTATAGTTGATGGGTTGATGTCGGTCATGCTTACATAGCTACACGTTCCAAGGTCGGATTGGTTTCATTCTTTCCCAATCGAGTATTACAATGGCCTGATATACAGGCCTACCCTGTTTTGCTCAAGCTGCAAGCCTGCAATGACGTGGGGAACAGGGAGCCTTATCTTGCCAGGCGAGCCAGGGGCTTGTGCCAAACTTGGCAGAAAGCAACAAGTTATTGTTGTATGTACTACCCAGTTGTCGAGAAACCTGTCGTGCATCACAAAGCCCTAAATGAGCCCTGGAAGAGGAAAATAAGACGACAATGCAGATTGGAACCTCATGTCGGCAATAGACAACAGCCCCTGGCGAAGAAACCTGAATCTGAAAGGGCCACAGCACTATCACAGCCGTTTAAAGCTGATGTGCTGCTCACGGCCATCAGTGCGTGCTTGTGAGACGGGTGCCATTTTTTCCCCCCATCCCTCGCTCGGCCAGCCATACCAGCTTTGGTGGACGGATTCGGGTCTTGTTCTAGTCTCTCTCATACGCACGCGCTCAAGCCGCCGGTTTCTGTCAACCTGCCACATTGGCTAATGTGTAGACGCGGGTAAAGGATTCAAGAGAAACAAGTGATCAACAAACGGCTGAATAGAGCACGACTGTTCCCGAGGTGAAACCGCCCAAAGCAAGTTGGAGTTGTTGGATTTTGACAAGTCCAGTGATCGGATTGCAGTTGCCAGTCGTCCAACAAAGCAAGGGTTTGGCTTCCCCACACAACCGAACGGCGAAGCTCCAGTTGCTGCTCTCGCATACATCGATACATTACTGGGCGTGATACACAACTACCTACCTACCTACCTACCTGGACCTTACCTGGGCTCTCCCTGCTAGCAGCTCGATATAAGCGTGGACCAAAGCTTTTCGGTCTGCGCAGTCGATCTACAATATTTGCTCGAACAGCCTCGTTGTTTGGACCCTGAAAAACAGAGGGAAAAAAAAACCCTTTCGGCCTTTCGGGGACCTCATCTCGGTCGTTACCGAGCAGCGACAACCACAAGATTTCGTGTCGGGAGATATTCCGGTGGAGAAGACTGCCCGGGAAACGAGGTATGTGCTGATCTCTCTCGTAATCGCGGGGTCCAATGGGCTCAGCTCCAGGGTCTCTCGCCTGCACTCAACACGCCATTACTGCCAGTCATGTTCCCAGGGTCTTCCTTTGAATTGCCGTCCCAAGCGAGAAGGCGTTCGTTGACTTGGGGGTTTTTTTTTTCTATCTCTTCCCCCTTGGCAGTCTTTTGCAATGAACATCTGTTGTACCTTTTTTGCATGGCGTGAGTCCATGTCTCATGGTGCCTCAAGTGTCGGGCCGGCTTTGAAGTATAAGGCGTCAATGGCGGCTAGATGGGAGTGATAATAAAGGATGCATCCTATGCCTACATGTGCTTGCTACTATGTTCACAATCGTGGTGGTTGAAACGCTGCTGACGAGAATGGCCCGGAAAGCCAAAAGAGGCAAGCAGGTCATATAAATTATCACAAGACGCGCCTATAGCGGGTTTGAAACAGACTCTGGCTTTTGGTTGGACCGAGACAAACATACAGTACCTCGACCACTACGAATACCACGGGCAACGATAAATAAATCAGATGCATATGTGGTGGTAATCAATACATTGCTGCCGCCGCTGCTAGCTCCAAAGATCCCATTGGCAAATCGGAAATCCCATAGCGCCCACGGAGTCGTTCGCACATTGCCATGATCCTGCAGGCATAATCGTTGTCGCTTCTCACATCCCCAGCCCCCCACTCAACCATCGCACTTCCAGGTTGGCTGCAACGCCAACCCACTCAAGGCATTTGCATAAGCTTGCAAAAGGCCCGAGAAAGAGGGACGGACTACGGAAGACAGACATCCATATCAACCATACCAACCTGGTAATAAACAACCTCCATCATCCAGGCCGCGGCTCGCATCATCACATATACTTACACACACACACACACACACACACTACCCAGTCAGATAGGCAGGGAAAACAAGGCGACAAAAAACAATTGTCGTCTCACCTGGCTTATCGCAAGGCGCCATCTACTGGCAAAGTGCACCATCGCTTATTACACTTGGGCTTGATACATGCTGCCGTGATCGCCTGTCTCGCTAGAAGAAGAAAGGAGAGCGCCACCACTGGAGGAGAGACATCAGATTGACAAGCTCAAAATTCAGGGTCCTCCTGCATCCATGCGGCATAAAAACATTTCTTTACCTTGCGACAAGCACTAAGAGAAAAGAAGGGCATAAAAAATTTCCTCCCTTTGGCGACCATTTGAACTACTATTGTCAGCCTCAAAGCCCGTGCTTCTGCTGATCATCCCTCTATTTCGTACTCTTGGCGGTAGCCAGTGTCAATTGGCAATTGGCTGTGATTGAGCCGCCCAGCCGCCGCAGCACAAAAGAAGTTCTCACCAATACCTACATTTGGTAACCAGGGAAGGGGCAAAAGTGACTTCAAATGTAACGTGCATCAAACCCCGCTGCAGCTGTCAACACTCCCGCAAACGTCACAGTAGCGAGATTGTGGTGATCTCTGATTCAGCACGGATGGTGGAAGACCCAGCGATTACATCAACCGTCGTACCATTTCAGCAAAATCATTGGCCGATTACCGGTTCAACTCAGTGGATTATTTCCCAAAGGTCATCTGGAAAGTAACTTTACCCACAACTCTCACATCATCGCCTCTCGGCGGGTCCCAACTCCACGGAACGCAGTCGCGCGCTTGTGCAAAGCCAAAGTTAGCAAGCCAGCAAGGTGGCAGCCAAAGCCAGCAGCCGTCTCATTCCGCCTGCTTGCATTTCCTTCACACGTTCCTCAGCTCTTGTGGGTGTAGTGTGGTGTGGTGTGGTGTACCATAGTAGCTTTGGTCTTGCACAAACCACTTGGCGACTACCTACTTATTATTGCACACTCCTGGTACCCGAAGCCGCTACCTATATCTAGGTCAACTGGCATATATCCACCAAGTGCTTGCGGCATCGCGGCAAAATCGCATAAAATCTCCTTTCTTTAGGACGAGACAACTGTTTGCAAAGACAAGAGACAACAGGCACGATTTCGAATTAATTGTGTCCCGTCCAATCTTGACATCGATACGCGGTCTCAGGTTAACGGCAGCGGGCTTATTTGCTGGCACTTTCACTTTTTAGCAACCAGACCTGCCCTAGCTAGCACTTGCAGCTTACATCCAGTACCTCGCGACTCCACACACCCTGCGAGCGATCTACTACTTTCTTTACCTTCGCCCGCGTAGTTGCTGCCACCATCCCAGCCCAAAGACGAATACATCCGCCGGGCAGGCTTGCTAGCTCGGCTTTAAAGGCATCAACCGTCCCCTCCAAAACCCCCCAGATAATCTAGCGAGAAAGATCGTGAGGCATCCAAAGGATTCAGGAAAATTTTTTGGCAGTCGTTGGTTTCCCCGTCGGCCATCCTGTCAAGTCCTGTCCTGCCTTCACTACGCTAGATTGACCCTGTTTTGTCTATCTTGTCTGCGAAAATCAGTCTGTTAGCCGGTTACGTGCCACCTTCTCAGACTGGCTTCTCCACCCTCGTGAGAAACACGGGCATTGAAAACGTGCCCGTCGTTGCTCCTTTGTCGTCGTCAATTACATTAGCAACTACAAAAAACGAAATTCAAACTAATTTGGTAGTTGGGTACCGAGGATATCTTTTCTCGCTTTCTTCTCGCTTGGGGTATCTAAGTTGAGAAGAGCAGAAACTAGAGTTCCCACCTGTTGTAGCGGGGCCTAAGTACCTAGCTATCTCTCTTTTCTTCGCTTTTCACTCTCTGTTTTTTTTTTTCTTCACCCACTGCCTGCGCCCACCCGCTGCGACTACGGGGCCCACAGTAGCTCGCTGCTCTGGCGCTGGGCGACGAAATACGTGAGAAGCATCATCCATGCAACGTTGACAAGCGCGGCATTCACCCCCAAGATCTCACTACTACTACACTACTATTACTACTGGACATAGCTGCTACTGCTTTTGTTCTTAACCAAGCTCTCAGCCACGGACCTTGTTCACCAACCTTGTTCTCCATTTTCGTTCGACCTTGTCCAACTTGTCGAGAAAGCAATAGGGAACTGCATTGTTTTGTTGTTGTGATTCACTTCTTGCTGCTACCTACCCCTCAGCAGCCCAATTGCTGGCTGTCCGTCTGTTCCACCCCCCGCCCGTCACACAGCATTGGCCCGCTGGCTGCTACCTGTGTGTGAACAACGGACGCTTTTTGGCTGGCGGCACGCTATTGATTACAATTTCAATTTCCCAAAAAGCCCGCCGTTATCTCACACCATCGTCATCCACTCAAACTGCAGCCCACGCGCAGCAGAGACCAGCGATCGCCATCTCACCACGCACTACTACAGTCTACCGCTTGGTCTTGCGCGTGTGTTTCCGAACCCGACCTGCCGAATCGCACTACTGTACTGCCCGCCTGTGTACATACACCACGCGCAGCAGCAAAGCACAGCACAGCAAAGCACACGCCTCCAAATCCAACTCCTGGCCTTGGCCTGGCCCTGCAGCCCTGAACCTAGCAGCAGCGGAAGATAGCCAACCAAACGGCTAGGCCAAAGTACCACATCACATAATAATTACCACCGCCCACCCCCTCCACCAAAACCACCACCACCACAACATGTTGGGTGAAAGCCATTTGAGGAGGAGACCTCTCGATCCTCCTGCTCAAATTTACTCGCACTCTCGAACCAGGACAACTTCGTCCAACATCTTTCCCCCACAGCAACAACAACAACAAATACACGCTCCTACGCCGATGCACTTGCAACAACCCCCGCCAGGCATGGGCCACACGCGCCGCTCGCCCTCGGTGAACACCTTCAGCACTGTCTCGACAAATCCGCCCCCTCCAGCCTTCCGCACCTCTCCGCCGCAGACTGACCTCCGCCGCAGCACGTCTTCGCGCTCTGGTGGAGGAGCACCCAACAGCTATGTTGCCCTACTCAGAAAACAAAAGGCGACAGTCTGGTGCGATAGGGCACAGTATGAGGATCCCCGCATGCTTGCACAGCAAAAGGCGGCCAAACAAAGGGCCAACATGGAGATGCATGGAGGACACGGAACCATGCGGACCTCTACTGGTATCAGCAGCGCTGGCAAGGTGGCTGCCAAAATCAGGCATCACGGAAAGCCCGGAGTTGTGGGCTACGCACCAGAAAACAACTACATTGGTGTCGGTGGCGTGCCCATGCGACTCAGTGCAACTGAAGTCGAGGGAGAGGACAGCGATGACGACGAGACTATGCAGCGCTTGCACCACCGTAGGACAGGGAGCAGTGGACGCAGCAGTACCGCCAGTGGTCGTCGCAGCATCCCATATCGAACATCTGGTCCCGTAGGAACCGGAAAGAAGTGGAGCCCTGCAGATACACCAGAAAGAGCAGGCAGCATGGTCGACCCGGCCCCTGAATACTCAGTAGGCGACGATCGTCAACTCAACCGAGCCGAGAGTACACGCAGTGGCAGCAGTGCTGAACGTGCCGACGCGCTACCCGAGCTGAGCGTCACCAGCGCAGCCAAGCTTGCTAGCAATAGTCTGCTCAATGCAGCTCTGACTAGAGAAAAGAGCGTAAAGAACCCAGAGGAGTTGAGAAGGAGAGGCAGCGTGGATGAGCGCACCGCAACTCTGACCAGCACTCGTCTGTTTATTGCCAACCCCGACTGATGCACGTCTGCATCTGTGTACAACGAAGAGTCCAGCCACAGCATTGGCTGGGCCGAAAGATCAGTGGATTGATAGCGTGTTCATTCAGTCTTTCGTTTGGAAATACCGGAGTTTCTGTCTACATACAAAGGAGCTGCCTACCACGATACCACAAAAGCAAGGTAGAAGCAAGCTGGTTTGGGGGATCCTATCATTTGAAGGCGTCTTTGAAGGTTTTGATTTATATTTCCTTTTTTTGCTCCTGCTGCGGTCTGAACCTCGCGTCTATGGACAGTTGCATACTACGATCGTTCATGGGTCTATTTCCTGAAATCTCTGGTTGTTTATAGAATCCCCATCTACGCCTGGCTAAGAGGCGCCTCGAGGACATCGCGGACAATTGTCACGAACGAGTCGCTTCAGCAATACAATAAAGCATTCGTTTGAACCATTATTATTTTCTGGTGCCTGCCTGCCTCTCATGTGACTTGTGGAAACCCAATACAATGACACTCACTTTTGATCACATGCCAATGATCAGGCGATGGGCTCTCCCATCCTCGTTCCTCGTAGACGACCCATCTCTATCAACAGCTTAGTCCATCATCATATAGACTTGCTGTAAGTGACGTCCTGCTGCTAGATCGTCTAGCAAGCGGGAGATCTTCAGCTGCGAGCGGCACAGATGTCCGCGGACTAGGCCATGGCAATTAAGCTTATTAAGCCTGGGGTAGGAAAGTAAACCCCAAATTTTTGTTGAATGCCTCCTGACCCGGAAATGCCTACCTAGCCTGGGTAATGGTTGTCTGATTTGTTTTTTTTCGGTCACCAAGAAAAAAGTCAATTACATGGCGTGTTTCGAAATTCGATTTTTCTACGGCATGGGAATTAGAAAAGGTAGATATAAAAAAACAACATTCGGATCTTGACGACACCAAGAGCGTCTAAAGCGCATATCTTTTCGCCACTTGCCATGTGCTTTGAAGTTTGCAGGATACACATGAGTGAGCATGGGGGGTTTTTTTATTCATAATTTTCTCTTATTGTGGCAAGTTGTCCAAACTTGGGAAAAGTAATGCGGCCAAAAAAACTCTCGTTGGGCCCAGCAAAGGCCAGATGAATAAGATTAGTAGAAGCTTTTGTTATTTCCCCCTTCAAATATCACATGCACGTGGTACTTTGGCTCCGACGGCGTGGCCGATTGTGGGATTGCGGTGAAGAATGCCGCAAACTCTGTTCAACGTGAGAAAGGGGCAATTCGGGGAAAGGACATGAAGAAAGCAGGGCGGTGGCGGATTGACTTTTTTGGAAAAAGATTTTAAACTTTTTTCCCCCCATGCTCATCTTTTGTTGGAGAAAATGAAAGTGCTAACATAGAGTTTCCCGCCGTGGAGTGTGGATTTGGTTTTGTTCATTCTATACTCGAGTGGTGAAAGCTGGTTGGACAGAGTAAGAGGTTTGGACAAAAATCACGGGCTTTTTGAAGGGGGGGAAAGCTATGCATCACGAGATCGTCATTGGCTTATCTCTTCAGCCCTGGTCACCGGTTCAATGAGCGAGTCAGTTGAGCCTTTCTCATGGCAGTAGTGTTGGTAAATGGATTTAACCAGCTCTGTGTTCTAAAGTGTGGGCATATCTTGTTCAATCTGCCGCACCAGCGATATTGCAGGGCGTTAGGCAAAAGTCTATTCAAAGCCTTCATCTGAGAGCAAGATGATGCGGCTGAACTACATGTTATTTATTGGTGAAGGACATTATCAAGTATCTTTTCATTTATAGCAGATTATTCGGTAGAGAGTAGGTTTTTTTCTTTTTACTACGTTTGCGCCGGCACAAAAGTGATCAAGTCATGATGTTGATGCACAATGGTAAAATCTTTGTCAATTCGACTAAAGTATATCAAGTGATTCCACTCCCACTATCCAACGGCTTCTAGACTACAAACACATGCGTGTCTAGTCGACACGGGTCTACTTTGTGCATCCTGGGCCTAAATGAAAGGGGTTGTCATCAGTTCACTGCTTCAAACTCACTGCGTCTTTCAATAACTCTAGAGAACTTAAATGGTTAAAAAACGTACATTCATCGACGATTGCCTCATCAACATTGAGCTCTCGTGCCGCAATTTCTATGCCATTTGTTAGTGGGAGATCCCTACTTTTTAACCAGCACACTCCGACATTCTACTTACCATTTGTCACTGGCGAGGCCAGGACCTGGGCGATATTGACCGCTAGGAAAGTAACCAAGAGCTTGGAGAGGAACATTCTGATGGTTTTGTTTGAGAGTTCGAGAGCGAAGAAATGTGTTCTAGGATTTTGGCGAGGAAGAAGTAGTCTGTGAGTTCTTGATAAAAACCATTAACCTGAACGCGCGCTCTTGGGACATATTTATATTCCACCTTTGACTTGTCTTGGTTCTGTGAAATGGAGCAGACCGAAACACGGTTACATTTAAAAGCCTAGGACTATTTGACGGCAGAATCGATAGACATGCACATATAGAAGGTAGTACGCAGGAACATGATTTTGCAACATAGTATACAGACACAGCCGAGTCGCCTGGCTGCCTGGGCGCTCTGGAGAATCCAAAGGCATGGAGAACCATCAACCGCCAACTTTGTCCTTTGGAAATATGCGTCCTCATTGGTCCTAAGATATATGCAACATGCTCAGCCTCGTGAGTTTCGCCCATGAGCTCTGCATCACTGCCAGACCAGATTCTGCAGGTATAGCTTGGCATTTTCGGGCGATACAACATTGACTTGCTCTATTGGCCGGGTCTTTAGTACCCATGGCAGACTCACCGAAATTTGTGACCAAATATATTGGCTCAATAATCCTAGAACGTCTATTTGAGCTACACGGGAGCGACAATCAAAGGTTGGTTTTGCGGAGAGCCTTATGCAGCGTGACACCACAATGGAGCAACGAGGTGTTACAATGGAGCATTCGCTGTTACCCCACGATGTGACACTCTTTCGCATCACTTGACTGAAGTCCTGGCTGCCTTGCCTTGAATATCTCAATCTCAGCCTTACCACCATACCTACTAATTGAAACACCACTTCTCCTTATGCTGGAAGCCCGTAGAAGTCCCGGGAAATGACAAATCAAACAACCACGGTTTGAGTAGCTTTGAAACGATGCCATTGCAGCTCTCTAATCGCATAATGGTTATCTAGATCCTATGTAAAGAGGCATGCAAGAAAGTCCCAGAGCGACCCAGGGAGCGGTCTTCTAGACCTTGGAGTAAATCCACTATGCCTACCTAACGCGCCCGAGGCTTGTGGAACACAACCCAAGGTAACTGGGATTATTGGGCTACATGCGACCTTTTATCTGCACGCATCGATGGTCTGTGGTACATCAATCGGCATGGGGTGCTCAAGGACGCGATTTTGGGGAATTGATAGTAGGTAGTTTGGTCTCCCTGAAGCCTCCTTGTCATTCGGTAGATAGTTCGAGGAGTTCTACATCACGATTGAAAACATGAAAAGCTTAGTGATTATGCTTTGTGGGCGACGCCAGCATGATCACTCACATTATTTGATATAGGCTCCTCAAAAGCATAATATTGACTGTTAGGAAAGCAGTCAAGAGGTTGGACATATTAAGGATCCCCAATACTAAAGGCTGACTTGTAGAGCTCTGGCGCTTGACAGTGCATCTCCCACGCCTCTTCGTACTTTATAGATTTTTGAGCGCATTGGATACGTTGTTCAGAGTGTCAGACGTGCCTGGTGCATACTACCCATCATGTCTCATGCGAAGGCCTGTTTCTCTAACACTATAATCAATCTATTGAAGCTCCCTGCCCGCATCTATAAGTCGCTGTGCGCAAAGTCCATGTTACAATGATGTAGCTAGTACCAACCGCTGATCACCTGCCCGGGTATATCAGATAGCTCTTCATCACCTCATCATTGTAGCTCGACAAGATCAACTCGAACCTCTTTCACAAGCGCCTTCGCTCACGTCCTCCCTTCGTGTCAAATCTCAGTTTAAAGATTGATAGGATACCGAAAGCATCTGTCTCATTCTGCAATTATGACAGCCTGGCTATCCATACAGCTCTTATCGAGCTCTGTACAACCCTCAGGGCCGGTACTGGTAGAAGTAGGGGACCCAAAGTCTTGCGCACCGAATTCAATCAGCATCGCTTCAATGTCACTTACCCTCGCCTCGCGTGACTTCTTAATGTCGAAATACTCATCTATCTCCTCTGGTGCATAACCGGCATGTCGTAGTAGATGGAGAGGGCTTGCCGCCCACCAGCGATCATCAACCTGGTAAAGGTGAATTGGAGTTGACTTCCCATCGGGAACTCCAAGGCCATTGGGATCTGCGCCTGATTCCAGGAGAGCCTGAACAGCATCCAAATCCCAACAGTAGACAGCAAACTGCAATGGTGTCAAGCGATGCTGCACACCGTCGCCGTTCTTGACATACTGGCGCAACATCCGGGTAAACCGACAGTCATCGGCATTATTAGATTTATAACAGCCGCAATCACGCCCTGAAATCGCGTGTAGCCCAACGCAAATAAGGGCAATTCGGGTACTATCAAACCACTCACTCAAATACTCAATACAATCTAGGATGGGGTAGTCGGTGAAATTTCTTGCGGTAGGTATAGCTGCAGCTTCGATAGCGGAGCCAAATTGTGGATATTGTTTAACGAAGGATAAACGAAAATGAAAGGGTAGCTCTAGAATCTGAGAGCCGTAATGTGAAATGAGTTTGTTGGCCAAGATGTGGCATGAACCGAGAAACAGGGAAGCGAGTATCCTCGGTGCAAATGTCTGCACGCTTTCCGCGTTGTGCTCTGGACTCAAATAGAAAGCGAAGTTATTTTCTGGAAACTTCTTTTCGTCGTGAGCGTAACTATTAGTTGCGTCTTGGAAAAAGGATGGATTGTTTGACCAAATATTGATGAGATTTGTCCATAGAGCTGGACTCTCCACTAAATCTGGTTCCCAGGTGAACGTTGCCAGCCAAGCTGCTCTGGCGCAGTAGGATTCAAATGACTCCCAATAAGGTGGGCACATTGCATGCGAATTGACAGTCTCTGCCACTGCAAGGGTGTTGCCGACAAATGTCGTGAAAATATCGTCATTGGACAGAGCAAAGTATTTCACTTTGCTGTGCTTAATCTGCTCTGAGAAAAGGAACTCGACAACTGTGTAATGTGCGCACCTGGCCGCATCAAGCTCTGCCGAAAGCAGATTCGATCCGAATTGACTTGAGCCGACAGTGATCAGGCAGCTGCATATTTCCTCTACGTATCCCTTTCCATCCTCGGGCAGGGATATGGCGCTTCCCGAACCATTGTTGTTCAACACGGAAATAAGCGTGCTAATTGGGATTGGTTCATTGTATGGTATCATATCGTTTCCACAGATCCAGAGGAAAATGGTCCGCGCAGATTGCCAATCCTGGTCGTCGATCTCCAGCAGGATCAGCTCATATGTTTCCTCTATCGTCTGTGGCAAGCTGTCGAGTGAGTCTAACATCTCCGCCTGGGTTCTTTTTCTCGATATTAATTCGACGTGGCAGAAGGCAAGGCGGAACCTATTAGCGAGTTAGTTGGTGATTTGAAGTGTCGTTTCAAGGGTTAAGCAAATTGCGACCAATAAGATGAGTCGCATGAAACACCGTTGCATCATTTGCACGGCTGTGCGGCAGCATAACGTTGATTGATTTCTGATACATACATTCCTTGGGCCTTTGATACAAGGACTTCTAGGATGTTGGTTTTGTACTTGGCGCGCCAGCCCGTGAACTTAACTTCAAGGCGTGCTGCAAGGAATCTGCGAATGTCTTTATCGACCTCTTCATTGGACATGGAGATTGGAGAAGATAGTCGCATCAATACACTCGTGATGTCGTGGTACTTGCGGCTCGTGGCGAGTAGTTGTATCCGACCAAAGCTGGGATCCGTGACCAGCTCCTCGAGAAATATTAGTAACTCTCCTCGCGGCTGGCTTTCATCTACCGCATCGACAATCAAGTAAACTGTCTGCACGTGAACCAGAAGCTCACATAGGGCGTCTTTCATGGTGTAGAAACCTGGTTGGTGATCCTTTTCGTAATCAGCATGAAGTTGATTCGGCATATGCCTCGTGATGCGGATTAGCTGGGAAACCAGCCAGCGAATCATTGGTAACGTTTCGTCTTGATGATTGCGATAAGAACAGTAATAATAGGTGCATATAGAAGGTTTGTCGCTAGAACCATTGCAGTATGACTGGCATTGCTTCACCAGGTATGAAGAAAGCACTGTCTTTCCCGCACCTGGGATCCCGTAAATCCAGAGAAACCGGTGTGAATTTTCTCCTCGGAGCCAGGATTCCCACTGAGGCAATCGCAGGACCCATTGGCTGGTCTCAGTCTCGTGATTCTTGAGCGCAGAATTGTGAATGCTGGTAGGATTTGTAGTTTGTATCCAATCACATATTTTGCGCCTCTGGTCATCTGTAACGATGGTAATCCGTCAGCTTGATGTCTGGTAAACAGATCCAGCCACATGTTGAATTCATGTTCTTCCTTTTCGATGGGTGATGCAATGGAAGCGTCTCCGAAAATCGTGTTAAAGAGCACTCTGAAGACAGAAAAGTTCTACTCGTACTGCAAATGCACCGCTATATGAAAGCCCGTGTAGTGGGAAATACTTACTGCTTACTGTCCCTTGGACGTCCTGTACCGCCAGTTTCACCTCATGAATCTCTCGCCTGCATTGGTTAGTGTTTCGGCTGAGACACCATGATGGAAGACTGGACTTACGAAGTTTGTGTCAGTAATCCCAGCGTTATTGTAGTCTTGTGCTGCAGGACATCGTTGATAAGCTTCCTCGCCGTGGTCTCATTCCAAGTCCACGCAATGGCTGCCTTGATCTTGGCCCTCTTCCCAGGTTGTGTCTGCCGCGAGTCGCGAATCGTCAGATCTCCAAGCTGCTTCACCAAATCACCGATCGTTTCTTCGCACTTGTTGACGGCATTCCCAATCCCTTTCTGATTTGACACCTCTTCGGCAAAATCATGGTCTATCTTGGTGAGGTAGTCCAGGTTCTCGAGGGCTGCTTTCAGAGACGAGACCTCCACCAATATATTTCTGAGATCTTTTGGTGCATCTCTTGCCGTATCAATAATGTGCTTGCATTGTTTTACCGCCTTGGCCGAGAGTTCGATGACGGTGATGATGCTAGACGCAAGACCTAGAGCCTCGGCCATGCTTTTTGTCTCACGAATCCAGCGGCGCCTCACTTCACTTGCAATCTTCAAACCCCGACATGAAAAGCTGCAGTTCCCTTGTCTGTAACCTGTATAGGTAGGAAGGGCAGTGATGGTGCATGCAGAGAGGGAATTGAAAGGTCGTCTTGCCAACCAACTGCCCCAGCAGGTTTGTGAGCGCATTGGGAATTCAGATTGCGCCCCAGAGCTGTTGGTATGCCTGACGCCCGGCTTATGTGGTGGCGCCTTGGTTGCATGCGGGTGGCTTGATATGCGTGGTGGAAATACCCCCGCACATGCTCTTTTCCTCATTGGCAACTGGGCACTCAGCGCGAGACGGTACTTGTCCGAAGCGCATTTGACACGCACTTCTGCGCAGTCTGGTTACACGGTAAAAGTAAGCACTTTTGCATCATAGGCGCCAAGGCCTCCTGCTGGGCGCACTCGACAGTGTCGATGGACCTCGAGTAATAGATAGAGGCTAGCATGGGTCTGCCAGAATCAACAAAGCATCTACGACTGGACCACGCATTTGTGCGAGCGTTTCAATCGGATAAAACAATGCTCCAACTAAGCTAGTGCACAATGGCCGAAACCTCACATTCATAGAGAATGGCCTTCTTTGCCAGACTCGCAACTCCCACGACCGTGTCAGGAGGTCGATGGCCCTGCGCCTCCCTGTCCATGAATTCCATCCATGCTTCTCCCCAACCACGATCCACCACGCCCAGACGGTCCGTCTCTGGATCTCCAGTCTCCTTGACAATGTAGTGTCTGACGTGCACGATATCGCGAGGCGTCGCACCGGCCGCGGCGAGACAAGCCTTGATGTTGGCGTAGGCCTGGGGTGCCTGCCCTTTGATTGTTTGCGAGACGAACGAGCCCGTAGAGTCTACGCCGATCTGGCCGGCTAGAGTGATGAGCTTGCTGGTTGGGAGGAGAGGCGTCACGGCAACATGCTTATATGTTGGAGGGGGTGGGGATACTCCAGCGGGGTTGAAGGCGTAGGGTTGACTGTTCTTGCTGGCCATGCTTGCCTTTGTCAGAGTATAAAAGCTTGTGCAGCTACCCGAGGCACAGTCTCAATTTGTTTCGAGAAGATGTACTAGGTTATATAGTTTCAAGGAACTCCTCATACCTTTGTCAGATTTGTCAACTGCACCTACCAGTGTGAGACTCCGCTCGCTCTGAAACTCTCCACTGCCGTATGATATGTCATCATTTTCAAACTCAAGCACCGGTCTGGTTTACTCATGTACAGTCGGGTGCATACACGGTCAGAGCAATACTGCAACAAGAAAGGTTCCTCAACTGCACGGACTCAATTGAATTTAAGGCGGGCTTGAGTTATCCCGCCCAATCGATGTGTTTACTTAAGCTGCCGACATATCAAAACTTAATACGTCCAGAGCATGACATGGTTGCTCTGATACACGCACTACTGGTAGATTCATGCTTGACATGCTTTTATTTGCCCTTTTTGAGCCTCGCGCCTAATTTAGCTGCGCCGCTAACATTGCAAGCTGACTGTAGGTACATGATTATAACCTCGTCCTATTTCTCCACTTCTATACACAAAATCCCTAGCTACTGACCTTGACACATCTTGAGACTTCGAGAGCGTCCTGGAAAAAAGTATTAGACGTGCACCAATATGATCTAACGACAGAAACTCAAGAAGTGACATAAGTGGATGAGAAAAAGAAAAGAAAAAGAAAACAAAGCCATCGATACTTACAGCTAGTCCACTAGGCTCCCAGCCCTCGATGAACTGGTTCTCATATACAAGGTCCGGATTTCCCTTTGGTCCTTCTGTTGCAGCATTATAACGCTCTCTCTTCTGCTCCACCGTGCTTCGAACGTACTCGAGGTAGACGGGATTGCCCGGTATCACGACTTACGGATTTTTGATTAGTACAAGCTATAAAACTGAGCAAAATTTGGTATCTCACCATTATCCGCTACACACACTGATCCGGGCTTGACGAGACCAAGCTCTTCAGCCACTTTCAGGTCGGGCGTGTACAAGGGCTTTGTATGGTCAATGAAGAGAAGATCAATGTGCTCAAGCGTCTTGGTTTTATGCAGTCGCTTGAGAGCGTCGCCGCTCGACTCAATCACGATCTTGACAAAGTCGCCGAGCCCAGCCAAGTCGACGAGCAGCGTGGCAATGGCGCCGAACTCGGGATTCTGCTCCAGGCTGTAGTACCGCTGGCCCCCGGCGGCCCGGGCGGCGGCGCCAAACGCAATCGCCGAGTAGCCGACGTAGCCGCCGAGCTCGACCATGGCCGCGGGCTTGACCGTGTTGATGATGTCAATGACCGTCTTGGACTTGTACTTGCCAACGTTCATGAGGTACTTTTCGGCTTTGCCGTACTCGTCAATGGCATCCAGCACCTTCTCTGGGTGGCCTCGCATTTCTTCGAGTTTTGGGTGCTTGAAGATCCAGTGAAGAAGGGCAATCTCGCGGCCGTCATTGCACTGATACGTGGAACATAAGCACGAATATCTGGAATGAGGGGGTTCATGGAGAATGGCGTACCCATACGTTCCCAATGGGCTGATACATCTCGCCTTCAGAGGGTCTTTGCTGAGGCTCGGCCATTTTCAAAATATATCCCTATAGTTTCCGTACGTGATGATTTCGTTCTGGCAATGGCAAAAACGTAGCTACGAAAGTGGGATGTGGAAGAAGAAGACGGAAAAGCTATTACGGCCGTGGTAAGCCGTTATGGCCGTGGGGGTGTTGTGCTGACGCCAAGCACGTGACAAATCCTACAAATGGCAAGGGGACAATGTGATCTCTACGAGAGTCAAAAGGACATATATTTCATCAAGCTGTACGGTAGGTTGTTTTGTCTAATCATATTCGCAATTCTGGCACATGATGCCTAATACACCTAATGATGTTTCCACCAAGAAGGAATGTAGTGTGTCCCAGGCAAGGACTTGATGCAATACAACACTGTGTTGGGGTATTGAGACACTGAAACTACTTTGCGTGCATGCCCAGGTTCATTCAGTCGTGGCTTGATTGAACCGTGATGTTCGTCTGCATTGAAGAATTGGTTGGAGGTTCTAGAAGAGGCAGGTCTGATTGTGATTCGTCAGCTTGCAGGCCAACTGCCGTGAAGATCTCAAGCACATGAAGGGTTCTTAGGTAAGACTAGATGACATTGAAAAGCCAAGAGAATAAACATTTGTTCTTATTCAAGAATCGAGATCATTGAGAAGTGCCGTCAACTTGTCGGTGGCAGCGTTGAACGCTTGCGCAAGCTTGTCCTGGCGCTGGAGTCTCTCTATTGCGCGCTCGTTACCAAGCCTGGAAGGACAGAGTGCGTCTTCCAGCTCCATCAGCTGTCTCAACCTGTCAATGCCGGCGATGGAAGCTGGCCGAATGGCACCTCTCTCTACCAGTGCCGCGTTCCAGGATTGAGCCACTTGCCACTTATCCTTGTCCTTGCCGGAAAGAGAATCATCGATCTCGTCGAATTTACCAGTCAAAACTGCAGTAATGATCTTGTCGTTGTCTGATCGTAGACCACCACCAATACTCCACAGCCCCGTGAAGAATTCGTGCGAAGGATGCGAAACCCATGAGAAATCAAAGTCCAGCAATGCTGTTATGCGGCTGGTGGTCTGGTCGTAAAGGAAGTTGTGCAAAGCTATATGCAACGTCAGTCGTGGGTTCATCATGACGAAAGGAGATATTAAATATGAGTTGCTGAGAGGATGCGTTGGGTGTCTTACTGAAATCACCATGTATCAACGTCTTTTGGGTAGTGTCCACACCATCAAGTAACTTGGCCACTTCTTTAGCATCAACTAGTCGGTCAATGCGGGCACGAAGACCGCTCTTCTCCCAGCCCTTCAGCACGGAGCTCTTGTCGGCATCGTGCAACTGCTGGCGAAACCGGGATACCCATAGATCCGTATACTTGGTCCATGGCCCGCCGGGCAAGATGGACATTTGCCCACCAATGATCTGACCTTGGCCATCAAAGGTCAACCCACCGAAATGCCCTTTGAGCTGGGAGGGAAGCAAAGTCTGCTGGACGGCGGCAAGGACATCGGCGACTTGTTCAATCACATCGAGCTTCTGTGACAGTTGCATACCCTCGAATTGTTCGGCGAGGTTTGCACCTGGCATGAACTCGCATATTGTCCATCCAAATCCGGCCTCACCAGATACCTCTGGTTGTCGGCATGGCTCCCACGCATAAAGCTCAGGTATGATATGGGTCAACGTGGGACGATTGGAAATGAGATGCTGTCGAAAGAGGGCTTGCGCAGCGACTTCATTCTCTACGCGGTGGGCATTGTTCAAGCCATTGGCACGAGGATTGCTCAAACGAATGATAATGGCCGAGACATTCGGCTTGGAGGGCGCTGATGTACCCGGGCGCGGAGTTCCAGCACTGAACGTACTTGGACCCAGAGGAGAAGATAGCTCTATCTTGTATATGAAATTGTTGTATGGAAAGGGGCAGTCTTCTTCATACTCGACGGGCGTCACCGCTGTAGCCTGGCGGACCTGTCAACAAAAGTGATCTCTCAAGACTAGGGGTTTGACATCTCACTTCAAGTTGGTAAGAGTTCAAAATAGATGCAATGACATCAAGGCGGCGCTGGAAGCCTTCTTGATTGATATTGTCGATAGACATTGTGGAAGCAGAGGGTGTATAGCTGTTGAGCAGTGTCTAGGGTGGCAGATCTACGCAGGTACTTATACTCCCTCGAGATCTATAGCACTTGGATGCCGGACCAAAATTGTAGTTGACATATATGTTTGTACGATGAGAAGAGGAAGTGATGAATATCACGCTAAGCAGTAGAAAGGGCAATAGAAGACTGTGAAGAAGCGACTGTGCCTTATGATATACCCCCGGCATACTAATTACGAGCCCTGATAGGTTAGTAGAATCAGGCACCAACACATGGTTATTGAGTGGACAAAAGGACTGGGAAAGATCAGATCATGATGCAGCGTAGTGCAACCAACCGAAGGGATGCATCTCACCCTGGCTGCTGGGCGGCAGAGCATTTGCAGTCGAAGCCATAACCTACCCAAGGCAGAGAGAGAAGGAGAGAGACTGCCAATGAAGTACGTTGATTTGCATGATGTCGGTTTCGCAGCTTCAAAATTTGAAAAAGTGTGATTCTGGTCAAGTACGAATCAACACATCATGATACGGGTTCAAATGGGTTTGTTGGAGGCACTTAACCTTGCAAGGTTGAAGCACTACATGTAGGTTTCTCAGTACGTACCCAGCTGGCTAGGTACCCGTAGTAGAGCGGAAAAACCTATGTCCACCTTTGGTACCCCACGATTCCATTCAGCTTATGCTATTTCCCCCCCACCCTCCACAATTCCACATTTGTCGAAGCACCAGTGTGCAGCCAAAGTAATCGCGACCAGGAGGAGCTTGCGACCACGACGATTCCGACCACGTCGCCATATAGCAACACCCGACTTCCTCATTGCTCCCCGTCCTCGGCTCCTAAATCATGGTTCTTCAAGATCTCGGCCGGCGCATCAGCACGGCCTTGCACGATGCCACTCGTGCACCCAATCTCGATGAGAAGGTATAGTCTCTTGTTGAGTTGATCCGCCACCCAACTTTGCCCCTCCACCTACTGACCCATCATGTGTGTCCTCGCAGGCCTTCAAGGCTATGCTCAACGAGATCTCCCACGCCCTCCTCGAAGCCGACGTCAACGTGAAACTCGTCAGCAAGCTATCCAATTCGATAAAATCACAGGTCAACTTCAAAGACCTGCCCCCCGCCGTCAACAAGAAGCGCCTTATTCAGAAAGCCGTCTTTGATGAGCTGGTCAAGCTAGTCGATCCCCATGCCGAACCTTTCAAGCCCAAGAAGGGCAAGTCCAACGTTATCATGTTTGTCGGTCTGCAAGGTGCTGGTAAAACAACGACATGTACAAAGCTGGCGCGACACTACCAGGCCCGTGGATTCCGCGCTTGCTTGGTGTGCGCCGATACCTTCCGTGCCGGTGCTTTTGATCAGCTGAAGCAGAACGCCGTCAAGGCCAAGATCCCGTATTATGGTTCACTCACGGAGACGGATCCCGCTGTCGTGGCTAGGGAGGGTGTCGAGAAATTCAAGAAGGAACGCTTCGAAGTCATCATTGTCGATACCTCTGGAAGACATCGACAAGAGTCTGCGCTGTTCCAGGAGATGATGGATATCCAAACCGCCATCAAGCCCGACGAGACCATCATGGTTCTCGACTCGTCCATTGGTCAACAAGCCGAGTCGCAAGCCAAGGCGTTCAAGGAAGCTGCCGACTTTGGAGCCATCATCATCACCAAGACGGATGGTCATGCCAGCGGTGGTGGTGCTATCTCAGCCGTCGCTGCGACACATACACCAATCGTTTTCATTGGAACCGGAGAGCACATGTTGGATTTCGAACGTTTTGCGCCACAACAATTTGTCAACAAGCTATTGGGCATGGGAGACATGGCTGGGCTGGTCGAGCACGTTCAGTCTCTGAAGTTGGATCAAAAGGACACCATCAAGCACATTACCGAGGGTATATTTACAGTGAGGGATCTCCGGGACCAATTGGGCAACATCATGAAGATGGGTCCATTATCCAAGATCTCAGGCATGATTCCTGGAATGGCCAACCTGCCTGGCATGGATCAGATGGACAACGAAGAGTCCAGCGCCAAACTGAAGCGCATGATTTACATTTGCGACAGCATGACGGAGAAGGAACTTGACAGCGACGGCAAAATGTTTGTCGAGCAACCTACCCGAGTCGTGCGTGTAGCTCGTGGCAGCGGCGCCAGCGTAAGAGAAGTAGAAGAACTGCTTACTCAACAACGAATGATGGCCGGCATGGCGAAGAAGATGGGAGGCAACATGAAGAACATGCAGCGCGCACAGCAGGCCATGGGTGGCGGTAACAAGGCACAACAAATGGCGGCTATGCAGAAGAGGTTACAAAGTATGGGTGGGGCTGGTGCTGGAGGTATGCCAGACATGGCCAGTCTAGCCAAGATGTTCGGTGGAGGCGGCGGCGGTGGCATGCCCGGCGGAATGGACATCCAGAACATGATGAAGTCGATGGGTATGGGCGGTATGATGGGAGGTGGCGGAAGAGGTGGCAGAAGGTAATGACTTACCGAGTCTCTGTCCCTAGCCTCTGATGATGATACTGCTTCTGAGGATCCTCCACGAGACTTGATGGCTAGACTGGTTCAATGATAGCATGGCATGGCGTTACGGGTCGTTTATACATGACGAGGCAAGAAAAAACAAATACAAAATAATGCTCTATCCAAAGTTCTATTTTTAGCTGAAGGAATAGGTCGACTCTGTTTATTTTACCGCAAAATGGCGGCATCTATTAGATGTTGGTCATCCTGAAGATCAATCCACTCGACTTCCCTCGACCGTAGACACCTCAGTCCCAGACACCCGCCGGTTGCCTGGTTCTGAGGCTCGTGTCCGTGCCTGTCCTAATGCTGAGTCAAGTGCCAACAAGGTTGTTCCAAACTCCTGCTTGCGCCTTTCCTCCCCCTTGACCGAGAGACGTTCCAAGTGGCTCAGCTTTTGAATCAAAGCTGTCGGGTGGCGGTTCGAAATTAGTGGGCGCGGCCACCATTTCGAAAAGTGCAATCCATATCTCCACAGCTTGAGAAAGGTCCAAAAGGCCAACGCAATAACGTGCTAGAAGATTTGTCATTATGACATTGACGAAAACTACAACATCGCCTCTCAGACTTACAGGTCCGTATGCCACCACGACCATGTCGAAGCCGGCACCTTCAGTTCTGGTCCACCACGTTGCGCTGAGACAGGCAAAGATGAACAAACATCCGAGCAGAGCGAGGCGGGCCGTCCATGGTTGAAGCCAAATAAGCACGTTCCAGGCTTTGTACTTGGGATGCCTTCGGATGAATCGTTCCATTCCAGCCTTTTCCAGGCCCTGGGCGCATGACGATGTCCTAGGAAGAAGGGTTTGTTTAGCTTAATTAACAATGTACACAACCTCGCTATACTCACCAATGATCGTATCGCAAGTAAGCAATCAAAAGAAGTGTCCAGGTGATGACACAAGAGATACTCGACGTGAGGGATACGATTTGGATCATCTGTCCCGGGTTAGCAAGCCGTTGTCATATCTGGAGGATTCATCGAGTCAAACGCACATCATCCAGCGCTCCAGGATTATCCCTCTTCAACCCGAGACTTAGAAACGGCAACCAGTAGAAAGCCACCAGACTGACCAACAAGGCCATGGCCGGGACCCCCGTCGAAGTCCACACCTGGCCAAAGGTCCTCTTGAAGGACCGACTAAACACGTGGTTATCCCGCAGCTTCTGCGTCATTCCGTACAAGGTGCGACTCGCGACATAGAGGGCCGTATTGGCCGAGGACAAGACGGCAAAGATGATGGCCCCGTTGGCCACGTCGGCCAGTCCCGGGTTCACGTCCCAGATGGAGATGATGGTGGCGCTGTCCGTGTGCGGCGACGACGCGGATATGGGCTCGCGCCCGATGAACTTCCACACCCCGGGCAGCCGGCAGTCGTCCCACTTGACGCCGAGGATGATGCCGAGCGTGACCATGAAGTAGAGCAGCAGACAGGCCCAGTGTGTTATCTGCGAGGAGCGCGCAATCGATCTTGTGCTCTGCGCTTCGTACGCGGCAATGGCCGTGGTTTCCACGCCCAAGAAGATGAAGGCGACTGTGGGCACGACGAAGCTGTTTTCTTGATGATTAGACGTGGAGAGTATGACGGGAGGGGGCCGGCGAATACTGACCAAAATGCATAGAACCCTTGTCCCTGTGAAAAGACATTTTGATTTACTTGAATGCCATCGTGTATTGCTAATTGATGATTAGCGATGCAAAATGACACCTATATAGCACAGACGGTCTTACGATTGCTAGGAAATTGATCATGTGCTTATATCCTTGTGAGTCAACGTCAAGTCTTTGAGAATATCAACTCGTACCTGCAGAAATATTGTACCATGAACAGGTGCTATTAGCATCCCTGATGTCTAATGTTGCTGTATGGAGGTCAGCATGTCTCATCCGCCTAGGTTTCTCAGTGAAGCTTACGGTCTGATTTCCCTTGCTCTGGATCTAACATTAGCAAATTCGACTACAGATGGGAAGGGCTGCGATTTACTCTGGATGGAAACGTTGTACAAGACACATGATATCGCAAAAACGACAACCACTAAAATACGTGTCAGTCCTGCGTTTCTTATTGATTAAAGGCAATGGAGCCAATGCAAGGATGCAAATTCGCGTTTGACTAATAGCGAAGCCCAAGGTACAGTCGTAGAGGGTCTTGGGACACAGAATATACAAGTAGATGATTCCAGGAATAGACGTACTCTTGAGCGCACCGCCAATGGTCTCAATCCAGCCAAAATACTGTAGTGTAGTGAGCGAAGCAATTCCGTGGCGAATTTTCTCAGAGAATACTCACGTCAACGCCCCAAAGGTTGATGGCAAATAGAACCCAAGGCGTAAACCCATAAAAGGCCATGGGTCCCGCAACATCGTCAATCTTGGGCCAGTATTCCAGTAGCCTTGAGGCGTTGAGCATTTGCACTGGTACAATAGAGGCCCAGCAATACCTGCAGCAGCGGATCAGCAAAAAAAAAAAAAAAAAAGGGTCGGACGTTGCCTGGATTTCTCTTCCTTTCCAACATCTTCTCACTCTTTCTTCTTTCTCTCCCTGCCTCTGTTTTCGTGTAGCTTACCAATGGGCAATAGATGCTACCCAAGCAAGATCCTCGTCCACAAACTGTTCCACGTAGAGGTAAATGGCATTCTGGGCCGGAAACACCTGCACGAGCTCGCTGACACTCTCGCCAACAAAAGCAGCCAAGACACCATTGAGCAGCACTGCCAAAAGCAGGCCTATCGGACCCGCCACTTCCAGGACAGAACCATTGTAGTTAAAGACTCCAGAGCCAATAACGACACTAATAATGATAAACTAGAAAAGCAACATGAAGTTAGTAGACCCGAACATAGGCATGTCTGTTTACCTGTAAAGAGGGAACCAACAAATATTTGGAAAGCCTTTAAACGCTGGCTGGAAATAGGCCGAATCAGCTGGTGTGCTTTTGCATAATGCCTTGCAGGATCTGGGGGTTATCAAGGGAGGGAGGGGAAAGAAGGGGCTTACCGAAGCTGAAAAGGATCAAACGTCGCGCCACGACCAGATTCTGTATCTGAAGCCATGCTGTTATCGACCTCGACCTCGATCGCGTTTTTCATGCGAACAAGGACAGTAGCAAAGAGAAAAGAATAAATATGCTCTCTATCTTGATCAAATGATGGCACTTTTATTTAGTTGCGCATAATGTAAGCAGTTCATCAGCAAGAAGGAACAAGGCTATTTGGAGTAAAACGCGGCTGCGGCTGGGGGATCACTTTTTGTGTGCGTGTGCCACACTGGGCGCTGATGATCCCTTAAAGGCAAGCATGTAGGACCAGCCTGAGATGACACAGAACTGACTGGGGGAGTACGTGTACCCTTAGGAGGGCGGCATGTGATTCATTTTGTTGGCGGTTCTAGGCATCTGCAACGGGCAAGGCTACGCCCAAGGTTTAAAACCCGTATGAATGCCACGGATCATGGAGATGAACATTCTCAACACAAAAAGTTTTACATTGTGTGGCTAGAACTGAACCTAGTGCGCCGCCATATGGCCAATCATGGCGGAGTCTTTTCATCATATCCTTCCCTCCAAAGCCTCGCGCTATCTCGCGATCAAGGACGAGCTTGAGACCTATCTGAAAGAGATGTACAGTGGGACGGTGGATGATAATTACGACTTTTCTGTAAAAGTAAGTCTACAGATTGGGGCCTCAAATTCCTTGCACGACTTGTTGATCAAAAGGCAGAATCGAAATGATAGATGGTGCTTCGATGGACCCGAGGCATTAAGCGAGGTGAGTGTACCAGGAGGCTCCCCAAATTTTATAAAAGAAGGCAATTAACAATGGTTCGCACAGAGACGTCTCAAGTATGATTTAACATTTATTGCACTTGAAGGAACTGCGGACTGACCAGCGTTAATAGAGACATAGTGCGCGAGGTAATGAAGCGCAGCGAAGCGGCCAAGTAAATACGGGACGTGGGCGGATGACGGAGGTGGGGGCAGAAGGAGTCGTACTTTAGCTCATGCTGGTGGACTAAACAGGATGGATTAGGTGGCAAAATTTGCCCAGTCATGGTCGAGATGAAGGCTTGGAAGGCTATGCTGTGCCACATGTACGAACCGTCTATCCCCAAGGGCTGTGATGAGCCGAAAAGCCAGGGCAGCGGTCTGCTCTTCGAGGAGGGCAATCATCAGATCATCGGGGCTTTGTCTGCTTTTTTTTGTCTTTGCAAAGTAAGACCCATGTATAAGACGGAATGACACCAGGATGCAAAATGCATCGAGGTGCTGATTGACCGTCAATGACATTTGTAGAACAATATACTTGCTTTTTCGATAATGTGGGGTGTCGATAATCCTTGTTCGCTTATACCCGTACTTTAGCGTACAGTGGCTGTCTGGACTGTTCTTTAGCAACAGAAAGCATGTTACAATATATGTGCCATGGTAACCAATATTTGCTAGTATAACAAAACCAAATGGTGCTTGAGCGCCAAGAGGCCAAAAATCATCTTTTGGGCCTGCATTTGATAGCGTAAATCTTGCCATCTACTTGGCAGATGAGAATAATGCTCGCAGCTTCATCATTGCAGAGAATGACCTGCATCGCTGACCCTTCCTTCAATCGCGAGTCTAGTCGGCAGAGGGTGCTCTCTTCTTCAAACCCACCAGTTGGTCTGACTGGCAATATGTGTACCAATGAAGAAGAAGGAATCCGTTTCGAAGTGACTACAACAAAGGACTGGTCTTGATGTAAACATGCTGCTCGAATATCCAAGAGTCTAGGCTGAATTGGGAAAGCATAGAGTGTTCTTGGCGCATGATGGAGAATAGCGCTATCAGGAACGAAAGCAACTTGGTTGTCGCCGTCCGGAACGACAAGACACCCCAAAGCTTGGTTGAAGGGAAGTAATCGGGTCTGGTGCAGTTTCACGTGTCCTTCCTACAGTTCCATTAGTTTGGTTCAAATGGATAGTAATTGTAGTCTACTGACAAAATCGTAACGGGTTCTGGCCTCCAGCTCAATGCTAGGAAGCTCCGTAACGCGATAGCAAAGTAGCCAGCCCTTGCTGAGGCCCGTCGCCCACACATACAGAAGGTTCCCTTCCTCATTGAATGCAATATCTTCGATGTAGCAATTCTGCTCCAGAGGGACATCTCTGGAAGTGTGACGAGTGTGTATTTCGTTCGGGCTTCTGCAAGAAATAACAGTCAGAAGAAGTCTCTCACATAGAATAAGGGGCCTGCTTACCCAACATGCAATATGAATAACTCTTTCATATTTATTACAGCAACAAACCCTTCAAGTGATATAGCGATTCTCTTTGAATGCTCGAAATACCTTGTTGGTATTGGGATTGGAATAGGAGTAGCTCTGGCGTCCTGGTAGTCTAGCTTATATACATGAAGCTGGATATTTAAATTAGTTTGACCTTTCATCTCCATTGCCTTCACGAAGAGTACGGTGCGTTGAGGAGTTGTACTTACCATTGGTTCTGATGTTTTGGATTCCCCCCAAGCCGCAAGGTACTGCCCAGCAAGTACGATACCGCTACGATCTGTCCTTGCCTTGAAGGGTAAGTCAATAGCTCTCACCGTCTCGGTAATGTTATTCCCATCCTTATCTGGAAGGATCCTGGACAAAGAAATTGTTGATTTGGCGAGGTATGCAATCCAGTATTTCCCGACCGCTACAGCACTTGGAGTTGAACCTTTGATCTTTACTTCCCATGACATAGCGTGTGTCTCAACATGTTGCCACCCCATGGGTGGTATTGCTGGCGGACCATGTTTGAAAGAAGTTGAGAAGTCAGCTGAATCATATACGTGGCTCGATGAATCGTGAGAGGGTCCATCAGAGCCTGTGTCGAAGATGTCCGAATGTCTCACACTAGAGCCTATCGACATGTTACGCTGGCCCACTGTTTCGATCGATATATCCGGGACTCGTGGTGGTGGTGGTGGTTGTTGTTGTTGTTGACGATGATGCAACGTAAAAATACAGTCTGTATCTCTCTTTTGAATGATCTGGTCAATATGTTGAGAAACGTGCAAAACGTTGGCATACATTTTTTCGGCATCAGGTCTCGCCTCGGGATCCGCCACAAGCAAGGATTCGATACAGTATGCCCAGCAAGTGACATAATTGCGCTCCGGCCCTGCACTGTTCCGAAGCTCTTGAAGCCATTCTGTCACTTCTGATCTTAATTGATAGTTCTTGCCATGGTTTTGAATGCTTAGGTGAGTAGATTGCCTTGGGGACTCCGAGTAGAAGCTGTCATATGGGCCGCGTCTTAGATCTCTGAATTGATCTACCCCAGGCGGCCCCGTTTCGGTGAAAGTCAGAATCTCCGAGAAGATTGCCCCAAAAGACCAGACGTCACTTTTTCTGCCGACCTTGAATTGACCGCCCGAATCATCCCAGGCTCTCTCGATTTCAGGTGCTTGGTAGGTGCTTGTGGGTCGCCGCGCTCTCGTGTGCATTGTTGCGTTTTCCACATTACCATCTTTGCTAACCTTCTTGATCACAGATATTCCAAAATCGGCCAGCTTCCACCACCCCACAGGACCATCTCCTATGTTGAACAAGAGAATGTTATCCGGTTTCAAGTCCATGTGGGCAAGGTTGACAGAGGAAGCGTGGTCATCGGAAAAGCCAGCGTGAAGCCACTTCAAAGCATCGGCAATGGCGACACATTCCTTTGCCAGGGCACCAGCTAGCGGAGCGCCACGGTCTGGGAGATCCCTAAAGCGTTCATCAAAACTTTCCGGAGCAAGATTATATGTCCTAGAGCTGACTGCTGCCTCGGCGTGCAAGAATTGGTGGAGGTTTCCCAGGTCGGCAATCGGTAAAACAATCAAGTACCGAGAATCCTGCTCAATGATAGTATGATGGAGAGTGATGCGATATACCTCGCTTGGAAGGGTCCTCTTGACTCTGCAGAGTGTGTCCACTTCCTTTTTGGCGTCATCCAGCGCTTCTTCATCCCCTCGGAAAGACTTGACTGCTACAGCATATGGTTCATTTGCCGTCCACGGGAATTGGCTATATTTGCGACTTTGAATGTATCCAGGCGAAACTTGGTAAAACTTTCAAGACAGGTTAGAAAAGAAGGAATAAAACGAATCAAAGCCAGTCTTTGCAAGCTCACATTTATCAAGCCATAACCTCCCGATATCTCCTCCGTCGATCGAAATTCGAAAGGCATGCGGAGCCTCGAATCAATATTCTGGGTTTGAGGCTGATGACTAAAGTCGAGAATGGCTGGAATGAATCGGTATTGGTCCCCCAGGGACCTCTTGACCCGGCGAGGACTCAACCCCATGGAAGCAAGTTCCTCGGCATCGAGAGGAAGGTTCTTGTCGGTGAATCGTGTGATTGTGCTATTGGGAGAAGAGAACAGGTAGCTCTTGACAGTCGAAAACCAGTCCAACTCTGGGAGATCAGTCCAGACAATGAATGACAGGAAGCCCAGTAACCGGTTTTGTATAGCCTCGATTTGCTCGGTCGTCAAGTTGCTGTCGAAAAGCAGGCCCCGCAATTGTGACGTTCTCCATATTGCTCTCATGTCAGAACTGCGGCAAAAGGCCTTCTCTGGATCGTCGGCCATGCACATGGCATCTTGGATCCCATTTGCAATACTTTCAAAGCAGGCTCTTCGGCGCGCATGTTGGTCGCGACTATTGTTCATGTTGAGCCTATGCCTTGCTGCGACAGTGTACAGAGGCGCTTGATCGTCTGAACAGGAAGCCAGAGCGCCATCACTTCAGGCGAAACTCGGAAACAAGGCTACATGAGATGTTGTTCAGACTCAGAAGTGCGATATCGCGCTTTAGCGACAAGACGTTGTGTCATAAGCTGGACAAGATGGGGATTTGTTTTTTCTAGGTTGGTGGGACAGGTTTCCGGGTTGAGGCTCTGGTGCGACACACGTCATGAGATTGTAAGTCTTGGTGTACAAGATTCCAGGCGGCCCCTCGATTGCTTGGGCGGGAGTCGGGACCGGCGCCAATGACAGCGACAGCGACAGGGAAGAAGAATAAGGCAGCACCAGACACCACAATCAGAAGATCAGATGGACATTGCAGTGACACGAGTCCTTGCTGCACCTTCCAGCGAGGCTGTGACTGGGGCCCAGGTACATCAGGTCGGGTAGGTGGGAGGCCACCATCCATGATTCCCTGCCGTAACACGGCACAGCAGAGGAATGCTGCTGATGCTCTCCTTCACTCATTGGCTTGTGAGCTGAAGCCATGGCTCCCTCCAGTAAACTGCTGGTGGTGGTCGTTGAGACCGAGTACTTCTGGGCATCGCACTTGAGCTTGCGAAGCTCAATTCCAGCAGCGAGGGGAGTTCCACACCGACTCTTTCATGGGCCCCAGGAAGGAGGATGCATACCTTAATTCAGGCAAGGCCTTGCCGTAAGCCGTGTGTGGCAGCCCAACAGATGCAAGTCATCAAACGATTGACAAGACACTCATGTGTATTGCGGATTTTAGCGGGGCAATACCATACCTACCTACCTATAGATATAGTGGACCTTGCTTGTAGTTGAGCTTGTTATGAACAGCGACAGTCCTTTGCTCACTTTGAATTTACAGAAGGTCTAGGACTCTAGGGTTACCTGGTAGCGCCCCAAATACGCCCTAGCTAGCGCCATAAATGCTTCTTAAGCTTCCACAGATCACTTGCATATAGATAGTGACGAGACGTAACAAGGATTAAATTTACGTCTGCGGCCTGGATCAAGTAGATCGAAGACTTTTGATTCATTTTAATCTGCAGATGAGACGAACAACAAAAAAGTCGCGACTGATCCGATGGCAACAATATATATATACAAAGAAGCTTAGTCCATCGCCAAATCACACCCACATCTCGGATGTTTTATTTTTCTTCCCACTTGAAGCTCACCACGCATCTCCTTATGGCGTGTAGGTCTGCAGAAGCGAGTCGTAGTACTTGTAGGCAGTACCGCTCGGGGGCTCGAAGCTGTAGATGTAGTCACCCCACCAGGGACCGCCAGCCCACCAGAGGGCGCCCTGCCAGACGTCGCTATTGTCCTGGAGGTGGTCGAGGAGGCCCTTGATGGCCGTCTGGCACTGCGAGTTTGCGCCACCGGCGAACTCTCCCAAGACGCCCAGCTTGCCGTTCTCGCGCAGCCACTCGGTGGCGCCAATGACGCGGTCGACACCAATCGTGGTCGACACGCACACGTCCGACGTGCCCGAGTTGTCAGAGTCCAGGTACTGGTGCATCTCGTAGATGAGCTTGTTGGACGAGTCTGTCAGTGCCGCCAGGTTGGTGTTGGTCGTGTTCCAGACATAGGCACCCGAGTACGAGTTGCCCTCGGCAAAGATGTACTGGCTGGTGGCGCCGGCGCCGCGGATGGCGTTGATGGCGGCCTGGTTAAGGTTCAAGACGAGAGTCTGGTCCATGTCGTGGTACTCGTTGTTGGTATCAAAGATGACATTGGCATTGTCCTTGAAGGCCGTGGCAACAGTGGTCCAGAATGAGCCAAAGCCGCTTACATCGGTAATGATGTTGGAGTAGTAGCGACCAAAGTTGTGCGGGTCAAGCACGGCGTAAGCGCCATTGCTTGTGATGTAGTTGATGGTGCTGGTCAAGTTGGCCAGGTAAGCAGCATCGGCACTGCCAGTGAGTGTGTTGGGGACAAGACGTTCCATGGAGAAGGCAACACGGAAAATGTTGTAACCCTCGCCAATCAATGTCTATTCACATAGGTTAGTGCCGTGTTTTCTGATTTAGTGGCGAGTATAAGGAACTTACACCGATGGACGAGGTCGAGGGAAAGTAGAAGTTGGTTCCCCAGACACCCGGATACACACCAGATCCAAACTCAGCAACACTCTGGTTGATACCAAACCATTTCAGCTTGGCGGCAGCGCCAGAGGCAAGAGCAACGCCAGCAAGGGCGGAGCTGAAAAAGGACGGCTTCATGATGGTTGAATTTAGTTGTTCGCCCGTCACTTGTCACGAAAGAACCTAATGGTTGGAATATTCGAGCAGTGAAAGAGAAGAGGGATGAGAAGTTCTCATCATTAAGTATAAATGCAATGCCAAGCAATCTGGGGATATGTCACAAGCAGGGACTTGGTATGTATGGATACCATTGGGTCTTGCCTCCGGATCATCAAATGACTGTCAGGGGTCAAGCTCGAATCACATACTCGAAACAAGCAAAGGCCTAGACTGCTTTGAGGGGGACGGAGAGAGACAAGCCTCAGAACAGGTACGCACGTTGCATCCCCAATGGCCGTTGACCTACGTTCCGGGGTTCCGGAACGGTAGTACGGCCCTGGATTAGTGCATGGAGCGGGACGATCGTCGGCACTCTTACACGTCTTCGGCATGATGCGGCTCACTATTCGTTCTGAAAGCGTCACCTGTAATCAATATATCGCCGACGATACTAGCTGTTGTAGTATTCGTTTTTGTGAAAGGAGACCCCAACTAAGATTTAGTTGCAACGGCGCGAATGTCGACATGAGATGACCACGGAGCATCCAGCTCCAATGCGGCTATTTACTTGAAGCCGCCAGGACTATAGCGCCCCTTTTGTGCACGGTGCGTGTGCTGGCTCCGGTGTTTCCATCACTAACAACGAATAAGAAACAGACTTCTTTCTTCATGGCGCAACAATTTTCTGGAAATTGTGCGTGGCAATGAGACAAAAACACGACAATCATAGTGTTCACTTGGTCAGGTGGCAGCTGAATTTCCAATTGATGACTTGATACAGGGCCTTGGATGATGATTCTCCAAGAATACGCGTTCTTTTCTGCTTTCGCGTCCTCATTATATCATGGAGCCGGCAGCCGAGCTGGGTCACGGAGCTGTGTCCTCCGTAGCGGATCTGCCGAATTCGCCATCCCTGCCTGTTCCACCAATGAGCAGCAACGTAGGTACAGCATGCACCGAGTTGGTCAACTTTTGTCATTCTTCGTGCAATGTAAAGACATGTCTGATAGAGTCGTCCGCAATGGGTAGGGCGGAGCGTCGAAGCTCCATGACATCATCTTCTCTTAGCCAAATGAGGTCAGACTTTTTGAAGATTTGTGCTTCAGTGTCAACAGGGCGGTTGGGAAGGCTCCGCCAACGCAATCGGAACGCGAGAAACTAATAGAAATTGCAGTCTTGACCGTCGGCTATATACTCCCTTTTTGCTGTTGCTGGAGCATGCTAAACGCCGTTTCCTATGGCTTGTTCTCGTTACTTCCAGGCCGACACAATCACCAGTTGACGGCTTGGCTTCTCAAGCTTGCTTGGACCCGGCCGAGTTGTATCATGGGTACTGGTGCGCTGATTTTGACCTTATGAACTCAGCAAAAATGTCCTCTGCATACTGTGGCTTGAAACTCCTGCCATCATGTTGGGGATCTCGCTGCCCAGAGGATTTGGGCTTGACAGAGGAAGGAGGTGAGCCGGGTCTTGTCGAGTGAGCTCCTCCACCACGCCCCCTACGGGGGCTAGGTTCATTCTGCAAAAATTCATCCAGGATGTCGGGACCCCCTGGTTGAGATCTCATGAACTCGGCAAAAACAGCTGATGGATCCGAGAATCGAAATCCATTGGCTTCCGAAAAATTGAAGTTTCTCGGCCTGTCGTTTGGATCCCTCTGTTCAGCGAATCCCGAATCGGTGGATGCGGGATATTCTCGGTTTCTTTGTGAGCGAGATCCTTTGTTACGCTGGCCATCGTACTCAGGCCCCACCTTACGTCCGGTGTATGGGTGTTGAGGAGATGTTGTAGACGTATCAGGTGTCCCGAGATCTCGGGGGTCTTCTGTAGAAAGGTAGTCGTCTCGATTGCTACGGTACCGCAATCGATCATCTTGTCCTACTGGGTCTACCAGCGGTTCGAGTCTGGCGAGCACTGACTGCACCTGGACAAGTAACACTTTTCTTTTCGCCCTAACCTCCGCTTCCATCTCGTCATCTCCAGAGACAATTTCGTCCAGTTTGAAGAAAATCTCGCGATCCGCCCACGCGTTCAGCCTCAGATGTTCATTGTGACGGTCCTGGATGTCCCTAGGAGGTGAGGTTGAGAATGCAAGACATCGAGGTAACAGCGTGGTATTCCAATAACTTTCTATCGCTCTGAGCTTTTCCATAGCTGGGGATGTCGATACTCTGGCCGAGGTGGTTGGTTCCGCTGTTCCTCTCCTTGTCTCGGCCGGCTCAGCCCTATCATTGCTGCTAGGCCCATTGACCACGCGATTCGCTGCTAGGTCTCCGATGATAGCGGTCGCAGGATCAAGGCTTCTTCTATTATCTTTGTAGCCATGTCTGTAATCATGATCGCGATTGCGGCGAGAATTGTCAGTCGCAGCATCTATCGTCGCTGCACCGGCAGCTGCAGCCAGGATGCGACGCATTTTATCCCCGGACGATGAGCCAGGTTCCCTATGCACACGGAATGCTTCGGTTGCTCCCGCAATAATGGATGCAGCAGCAGCTTTCTGCATCTTATTTGAACCGTCTTCATATTTCTCTGGTTCGAAAGTCCCACTACGCCTCCTTGGCTCGTCATGAGTGTGACGCTGTCTTTCGTTCTGGTTCATGCCGCTTCCAGATGAGCTCCGCGCACGTGCTGGCGATGATCTGCGTGTTTGCTCATAACCCAGACGTTCCTCTTTTGAGAGTGGACTTGGAGGTGCATAGTTTCTACCATAAGATGGTTGTCTAGATTCCTGGGGTACACGCTCAGCGCTAAACGGTCGGAGAGGGATCGAGGTTCTGTTCATGGGATCGGTGATGGTGCTCCAGCTGCCTGATGGTTCTTCATCGCGATGTCGCGATAAATCAGTAATATTGAACGACGGCAATGGACCAGCGGGTCTTTTAGCAATTAGCTACACATCAGAGCTTTGGCATGAAATGGGTGGAATCTACCTTCTTGTTGACTGATCAGACGTTTGAGGTTCGTCAAGCTTCATCTTTAACCAGCCATGATAGAAAGCCTCGTGTACATTTAATCTCAACCTTGGCTCAGCTTTCATGGCACTTTTGGTGAATGATACGGAAGCTTTACTCGCTTCAATTTTGTACAGCTGTTCCTCTGGGAAAGGCCTAGTCGCAAGTTGATACTCCCGCACTTGACCATATGATGCGAACGTAGCGTTTCCGCAAAGCATTCGGTAGGTCATCTCACCAAGGCACCACTACAACAACATGTGTTAGCAATTGCCCATCAGGGTAGATAAATGAGTCTGAAGAAGCTCTTTTGGAGCACCAATTTGGGCAATGCTTGCTCATGAGACAACCAGAAAAGGAGAGAAATGACATTGGAAGTTGCTTACCATGTCAATCGCATATGGGTCTGCCTTCCTCGGGTCAGAGTCTCCAAACCCAAGAAGCTCAGGGGCGAGGTACCCTAGAGTTCCTTTGACTGTCGTTGAGTGCCCGATCACCCCTTCGATGCGCTTGCTCAAGCCCAAGTCGCATATTTTGACCCACCAGTAATCTTCTGGTGGAAGAGACTTGATCAGAATGTTCTAGCACTTGGATTAACTTTGATTCGCATATAAAATTAAGGTGGTGCATACTCCTGGCTTGAGGTCGCGATGTGCGAATCCTTCCTCATGCATAAAGTGCAGACCTTGCACCACCTGTGAAATGATCTCTTGCGTATCAGATTCTGGTAGTCGGACATGCTTCAACAGGTAATTCTGGAGATCACCATTCGGGCAGTATTCCATCGTGATCGACAGGACGTTGGGGCCCTGATACCAGCCGAACGACTGGACGAAGCAATGAGCATATTTCCTGGTCGAGAACTTGGCCAACGCCTCTAGTTCAGACTTGCAAATCTCCAAGATTGACTTTGATTCGGTCGAGGTGATCTGCTTTACGGCTCTGTACCCGGCGGAAGGATCCTTGCCGAGACTATCGAGCTGTTCCTCGAGCCAGACGACGCCGTTGCCTCCGCTGCCGAGGATGCGCTTCTTCTTCCAAGTCTCTCGCCGAGGTATAGCCCGGCGCCCTGGCCGGTCGTGATATATGTGAACGGTATTCTCAGCATTGAAGATGGTTTCGAGGCACGAGTCCCGGACCAGCTCCGGCAGCCTCAATGCCATCGGAACGGCTGTTGATTCATCTACACTTTGTACCTAGAATCTACCCGGACCACAGTTGCGACGGGCGGAGGCGACGTTTGTAGAAGTTAAAAATCGGATTGAATAAACGCTTATCTCACTATGTGTAAAAAACGCACTTTGCGCATGAGTTGATGCAAGCACTGCGCCTGTGTCCCCGGGGCTGTGCAGCCAGCCTTACACCACTGCGGCCAATCTTGGCCCCCAACCAACATGGGTGTTCATCACGGCGATCTGACAGCAGCAGCGGGGTAATGTGGACCCTCCAGACCATGAGGCGCAGAGATGTATACTAGAAAATGTGCGGGCTCCAGATCAGCAGCAAATAGTCGCAGAGCTTGTCTCTACATTAATAGGCAGAGTCTTTCCCGTGTTTTGGCCAAGGGGTCGACGCTGTATTTTGATGTCGGGCAAGCATTCAGCAGTGTTTGTAGCGTTTAAGCCGGGTGTCAGTAAAGGACAATATGTCGGGAGCCGAATTGCCACTCGCCATTGTCGGCGCAGTGGACCTCTGCATCAAGTGAGGCTCTCCTTCCACACTTCATCAACGACACGTGCTGACTGAGACTCGTGACTCAGATATGGATCCAAGCTCATGAAACTATGCGCGGCTTTCAGGGGAGCGAACAACGAAATTACCGAGCGCATCCTGCGATTGGAGACTGGTTGGTTCAAGACGGAACTGCAGCTAGACTTCATGCGACGCGTTCCATCTTTGATGGGCGGTTATCATCGTCAGCTCAACGAGAAGATCGTCGAAACCTTACAGATTAAATTAAACGTCGTCACGACAAAGATTGAGCGTGTTATCAAGTTACCTGAAGATGACGGAGATGAATCTACTGCAGGGCGTTCCAACTCGAGCGTAAAAGCCAAGAGATGGAAATACGCACTGTTCAAAGAGAGTATCGACGAAGCTATCGAGGAGTTGGAGTTGTGGCAGCGGACTGCCGATCCTTCTTGGTATCTCATCCTCAAAATCGCGAATTCCCAGGTTGATCAGGCGCTCAAAGCCGGAAACACTACCACAGCTGCATCTTTCCCGTCTACCAGAGCTATTCGCGCGGGTCTCCAAAGCGATAAGAGCAGTGAGGCTTCAGGAATATTTCTCCCGGCCCAAGACCTAGAGTCGATGACTGTGCAGCGCATTACATTCTGCGAGGCAAAGGCAGCCACGCGGAACAGTACTCGAAAAGGCCCTCAAAACTTTCTGCTCGCTCCAATGGAATGTCCGCCTATAGCAAATCGTCAGCTGGTCAAGCGCAACTTGCGCGATCTGGCCCGAAAGCTGCAGCATAATGACCCAGGAACGTTTGGACTTCTTTCATGCAAGGGGGTTGTTGAACAGCTTGATTCTACAGATACTGACGCACAGCAACGTGTTTCTTTTACTATGGTGTTTCGAGCTCCGAATAACCTTTCAAATCCGAAGAGTCTTAGAGACTTACTATTGTCGGACCGTGATCGAGTCGCATTATCCGATAAGTTCGACATTGCCCGTCAGATGGCAACGGCTATCAGCTACGTGCACACATTTGGCTTTGTCCACAAGAACATGCGTCCAGAGACCTTGATTTCCTATGTTGAACCACAAAAGTCTTCATCGCCAAACGTGTATTTGTTAGGTTTCGAAGACTTTCGCAAGGAGGAAGGAAAAACCTACCGAATCGGTGATGACTACTGGGAGAAAAATCTGTATCGACATCCGTCGCGCCAGGGGCCTACTCCGGACAGCGAATATATCATGCAGCATGATATATACAGCCTTGGCGTTTGTCTCCTCGAGGTTGGGCTTTGGAGCTCTTTCGTATTATATGATGCAGAGGCTGAAAAAGTCACTCCAGCCTCGGTCTTGGGGTTGTCGCAGCACGATGGCGAGATGAGCCAGATGGATTTCACGAATACTCTTCTTGACCTTTCACGCGGCGAGCTGCCGAGGTGCATGGGAAGAAAATATGCGAGTATTGTTGAGACGTGTCTCACTTGTCTAAATCCTGACAACATCGATTTTGGTGACGAGAGAGACTTCATGGACGATGACGGAGTGTTGGTTGGTGTCCGATACATTGAAAAGGTGAAATCAAATGCCCTCGCATACTTTCGAGGCACCACTAACACCAAGTACAGATTCTATCACAGTTAAACAGCATATGTATATGAATTGTCGATTGTACATGTCAATCGATATACCGCAATATGCAGGGGAACCTCGTGCAGCTTCGTTAAGACATTCTATGGCATGCTCTCGACAAAGGATAACATTCGTCGGACCCTCGGTACGCTCAAGAAGGGCGACATGATTGCCAACCTAATAAAAATCGATTCTTGGAAGTCTCGGAGTACCAAGCTCGCCACCCAGCCTTGCAAGGCAAGCAAGCAAGGGCTGGGCAGATGTTGGCTCGATACTGGACAATACAACCAAGGTCTCTCCCTCACGGAAATTATACAGGCTGCTCATGACTGTCTCGTCTACCTCAAAGATGGCGAATCAGGTACTCGCTAACCTCAATCATGGAAGTTGCTGCAGTTCTACCGACTTAAAGCTATAATGCTGATCCCATGCGGTATGGATACCCGCATCATGCTCCATCTCACACTCTGCCGGTCGCAATCACGTCTAGCAAAGCTACAAGACTCTATCTGCTCAGGGACTTACTACAGTTCTGGACTTGTGAAAGTGGAGAAGTGAGGACGATCCTCTGCCCGACAACACGTGTTGTTGCGGCGAATAGACAGTTTAGGCCGTGAGCGTCGGCCCAGGCAGATGGTTTGACGGGCAAGGAACTTTGCACCATTTTTATTGAACCATGGTCACTCTAGATTACAGTGTATTTGATCAATGATGAGCATGTTCCCTTCCTTTTCAAGGATTCTGGCCATCTTCCAAGCGATGATCTTTTCGGTCGAGAAGTCCACCACCTTTTCTAGCTGCCCCGAGATTGATGCGTATATCCTGGACTACCGGAAACGGGTCGACCGCTTGCAAATTTCACAGTATCTGAGCATCCTTCTAGGGTGGAAAATGGCTTAATGATAGGTCAGGGGACTATAAATTGACGTGGCATGTAGGGGCTAGTTGTGCTCCGAGGCAGTGTCACCTTTCCCTATGGGTTGATTGCGCCGACATCAGATTGAGCCGGCCCAGTTCGGCCCTACCAAGATCATTATAGGGCCAAGGCGACCGCGACATTTCCAGACATGTGCAAGAGTAGCACAGCCTTGCTGGGCTGGCTAGCGCCATGACCATCCTCCCAAACGCGTTTGCCGGTCGATCTCTTCTCACCTGTAGTTTTGACACTTGTCACGGCAGGAAGCACACCAGCGGTAATAGTCCTCCGTACACACTAGGGCGACTTGAGGAAGAATGGCCTGTAATTAGGTATTTGGCCTACAAGAGCACGTAGGATACTCCACATGTGCTTTATGCTGTGCACTCTGGAAAGATCCGGATTCCCCAGCCTTGCCAGCCAAGAATCCACGTTTTGTCGGATTTATGAGCGATGACAAATTGTCGTATCCTAGCATGATAATGCGTTCCTCTCAAATCCTATCTAGCTCAGCCAATCTGCTTCATGGGTCGTGGCCAACAGTAGTTGCTCGACTTCTGTCCTGCGAACGAGTTGATATACTCCAATCATAGTCGTTGTAGGTTGAGGACACAGCATATGAATTATGAACAAGGAAATGGATTATGGCAAAGATACTTGTTGAGTACCAAAGTTTGACCTGTATTACTACATAGATGTTCGCAAAATGTCTAGACATATAGGGAGCGGCCTGATTCAGCTATCTTACAAAGCGATCGGATCGAAAGATGCAAAGGTGCACTAAGTCGTAGATTCATGACTACTTATGCGACTATTTCGACGATAAGAGACGACACATCTACGATGTGGGCCAATAAGAAACGGTGGTGGCCGGCTGAGCAGCATTGATTGGTACCTTGGACAATGGATGGTTGCCGGCTACCGATTAAAATCAGGGGAAGCCGATTGACATTGATATACTAAAAGGAACGATGGAGTTTCTAGAATAGGACTGCGCTGCATTCCGCACTTTTTCCTCCAAAGAACCGCACTTAGCGCCATCACCAGTAGCAGACTTGACTGACTCGCAACGCTTTCCTACTCAGTCAAGTCGGTTTCGTGGCTTTATAAAACACGGAGAGCCCCACACGGGGATTGATGGATTATTCACTGGTTCTCTATCAGTAGATGTAAGAAATAAGGGTGCGGCCGCAATTGTTATCATCGTGAGTTGTGCTTGGAAAAGTACAGCAAGCTTGACGATGGACAAAATGACCACAACCCCATAGGCTTATTCAAGGCACCGTTTTGCGAAACACAAGTACTTATGCCGTCTCGAGAAAAAGAAGATGGTAGGCTTGGACTTAGTGCTTAGATGTGGCAAGAATGTGATGAAATCTGACAGCATCAAATCGAGTTGCATTACTTGAAATCCATTTCGATGTCAAGATGCATCACAATACGGAGTGAGAGCACCAAATGATTGGGGCCATAAGGAGATTTCGATAGGGGCATGGAAGAGAGGCGCCGCGCCCAATCCGGGGTAGACAATAACCAGTTGCTCAAGGTTGACAGAAGACTCAAACTCTCTCAGAATAATACCTCGCAGGGTCTTTGCCACGATACCTTCCTTTCGCAAAGCTAGTAATACTAGTAAGGTCCTGTAAGGAGAGAATCATCTCCGCATATAGTCATGCCAAGGCTAGTTTTTACCAGAAGTGGTAGTGGCACTAGACGCAAAAAGACTAGATGCAGCCGTGATGTCACACCTACGAAAAGGGCTGGAGTAGAGCCAATTCTTTTGTTTGTCGTAGGCCACACCGTCACAATCCCTAATAGCTCAACGTCCAACTGCATCTCAAGGATGCCTACTTTCATGAAATTCAGTATCTGGCCGGGGATTCAGGTGATACTGGTACGTAATTAGCAAGACTTGGCCCTTGACCATGGCGATACTAGGTCATGGTTCATACAGGACTTTCGACAATTGTTGGGCAAAGCCACCTGGCACCTTGGTGCAGAAACGGGTCGAGAAAAAACAACAACGCTGCCCATGGGAATGGAACGCAGTTAATCGAATTTGCAGAGCGCAAATTTCCGCAGACGGAATTTCAAAAAGCGATCTGTCGTCAGCTGACGACGTTGAAGCTACTCGTTGGATGATCGTGTCCTAAACCTCGTCGAGTCGTAACAAGCATTGCGGGAGGCCCTGTTGATCGACGCCTCTGCCGCCTCCAACGAGCTGGGCAAAAGCTGGGCATGCCCATGGGGGAACCCTACGAGGAACGGCGAGAGCGGGTTGACTGACTGGCGATCATTTGTGGTTGCGAGATTGGCTGCTTCGGCACATGATAGCGGTGGGCTCTAGTGTCTTTAGCAGACATAAGGCGGGATTATTCATTGGTTGACGAATAGGTGCCAATTGCTAGTAAACTAACCTAGGTTCTGCATCAAGGTAAGCAGGTAAGCCAGTGCCAGTGGCTGATCCACTCGGACTGAGATGTCCGGATCAGTACCTGCGTGTTGCTCGTAAGTGCGATGAATGCTTATCAAGATCATTGTACTGCACTATGAATAGCGATTCATTCCTAGCTGCTACTGGGGTCCAATACTACGCTGGCGACGAAACCGAGGGATTTCTAGAAGTCGAAATTTCCAAATGCAGTAATCAGACTGCATCTATAGTTGCACCACGAGAGCATTGTTGATCTGCTCTTCCACGTGGCATGACATTCGCCAGGCATGTTGTGCAATGCAACTCAGTCAGGCTGATCAGCCATTACCCCCTGAAGACTCCCGAAGACTATTGACTATTACTCCCGAGTAGTAGTATGTATGACAGATGCCTGGCAAGCTTGGACGAGGCTGTCCAACCAATTGGTAGGGCTAGAATTTTACTCTGCATGTCCAAAGTACGGACCAAAACCATCATCTTCATGTCGCCCTTAAGATTATAGCAAGATTAGGCACAAGCTATCCTCGGAGAAGACAGCCGTAAGTCGTTAGCTACCCTGTGCTAACAATCACGACCGTCGAGTGCTATGGCAGGCATAGAAACGCCGCCGGCGGATGGTGGAAACACACCCCGGTTGTTGGATCTCTTGGGGCTGGTGGAAGCATCGAAGATCAGCGGGGTCTGCTACCCCAACCGGCAATGCAAGGGCTCTGTTTCCGAACAAGGTGGGCTCTTTTCTTTTGGCTGGAATCCGGATGGGGTTTGATATGTGTAAGGGAATTGGCCCGCCCAACGGACCTCTAACCTATAAGACAATAAGAGTTTGACTCGGCAAATGAATTTGGTTACCATTGACTAACACGACCAACTAATATACTGCCAGACGACTACTATGTGAAATTTAAGCCCTGCTGCCAATCTCCAGGGGTGCACAAGTCCTTGCACAATTTTGCTCTTTGCATGAGACTATCACAGTAGCTTTGCCTACCCGGGAATAAGACATGTCAAGAAAACGAAAAGGAAGCAGGAAAGGAAAAGAAAAACCACGGTAGTCTCGAGGATCATCAGCCCTAAACCAGTCGGCCGGCCTGTGTGGGTAACCGGCAGCGCAATCATAATCAGGGGCACATGCTAATGACTTGCCTCTGTAAGTCCTGGAGTTTTCTAGTGCCGTGCAAGGGAGATTTGGCAGCTCGGACGATTAGGCTCCTGCGAGCAGTATATCTTGTAATGCTTCCTTCCCTTCGTCCGCAGCGCCCATAGCCGAATGGTTTTCCACCGCCCGTGTCCCCTCCCCGTTCTCGACACCCGACGCACCGGATCGTTCGTTTTTCTTTTCGGCGGAGCAGAGCGGTCTCTTACGCCCATGAGCTCTTGTGCCTATTCACTCTTTTCGTCTTCAGCCCTAGCCGCAGGCCCCATAGCGCGCCCGCCATGGCCTCGACGCCCACAGACAGCAATGGCGTTCCACTCGCCTACTATGAACCGCCTCATAGTCTGGTCAACATGAGCGACTCGACCTATGGTGGTCTACTCGCCATTGGGTTTCTGGCGACGGTATCCGTTCTCTTCACTTCGGTTCTTCTGAGCTTCATCAGCTGGCGCATGATTGTCTGGAGGTCTCACTACAACAGTTTCATCGGCCGCAACCAGTCGCTCGTGCTCATCTACCAGTTGATTCTGGCCGACTTCCTGCAGTCTTTGGGTTTCCTGATCTCCTTTCACTGGGCGGCAAACCGCGAGATCCTTGGGCCGAACGGAGCGTGCTTTGCCCAGGGCTGGCTCATCCAGCTTGGAGATGTTGCCAGCGCCTTCTTTGTGTTGGCCATTGCCATTCACACGACATATCAAATCATCTACGGCCGGAGTCTGCAATACAAGACATTCGTCGGCATGCTCATAGGCGTCTGGGGCTTTGCTACACTCCTTGCGAGTCTTGCACCCATAACCAGCGGCCGCTACGTCTTTTTGCGTGCAGGCATGTGGGTAAGTACGGAATAATTATTACTGAATAGGTAACTCGTTGCGCCTTTATTGAATTACCGCTAACAAAGTCTATTTCATATTCAGTGCTGGATCTCATCCGAGCACGAAAACCTTCGACTGCTCCTCCACTACCTGTGGATCTTCATTGTCCAATTCAGCGCCATCATCGTTTACATTGCCGGCTATTGGCATCTATACCGCTCTAGGAGGTCCGACTCCATCATGATCCATGGACCTGGCGAGGCCGCTCTGCGCAGAGCTTCAACAACCATGTTGGCATATGCCCTGGTATATACCGTCCTCACACTACCACTAGCGTAAGTTTATATCAGTGATCTTCATCTGCCCCAACGGCACTACTTACTAACCGAAATGCCAAACAGCGCGGGACGTATGGCTGCCATGTCGCACGACTCGGTTCCTGACCAATACTACCTATTTGCCGGTGCGCTATTCACTTCCTCGGGCTGGGTTGATACTGCCCTGTACGCCCTCACGCGCCGTACCCTGCTTTCTGCAGAACTGGGCGTTGCCGGCGGCGGCGGTGGTGCTGGCGGCGACAATCACAACGGAACGATACGTTCCCACAATATTCCAAGACAGAGCAGCACCGACAGTATCCTCGCACAGACTGGATTCGCCAATACCAACGGTATCGTCATGGACCGAGTCGTCAAGATTGAGCTCGATGACATGGAAACCGCCAGCAATGAGTCGGTGCGCAAGGGCTACTACGTCTCTGCCAAGGCGGAGAAATGATCAAGGACGATGAAAGCAGGATATAGGACGATTGGCATGAAGCCGGAGGGATATTTCTAACATGACATGTAACATTCTACTTTGTGACTGACTGATGAACCAGTAACCGATACCACATTTCTTTTTCGCTGTATATATTCTGTACATTCCATCTTCACAATATGAAATATATGGAATCATCCGTTGATGGTCTGATTGAGGAAAATGACAAGTCAGCTCTCTGAAGCCATCTCAGGTGTAGAGCAGTCAATACAAAACGTTTTGACATGCACAATGCCTAAGCTATGCAACCCCAGACCCCCCTTGCATCTGTAATGCAAATGCCCCTGCTCGTCGGCCATGCATGCCAACCCTTGGGTCAAGTTGTACCCTATACCAATATTTCGATGGATACAACTTGGTATGCACTGTATACCATACAGTCTCTTAACCTATGGATCCAGGCGAGGTCGTTCTGAGCGTATATGCACACCACATACACTCTGTCTCGGACCGATTGAAATAAAACGGCCTCGCGTAGTATTTAAAGCCTCCCCCGATCGTGTTCGGTGATCTCGGCATATCTCAAAATGGTCAAACTCAACAGCGCCCTTTTCGGACCGTTGATACACTCGTGCTTTAGCAAGTCTTGGATGCAGTTTCGTTTCATTTCAACTTTTGTTTCGACTTCTCCCGCTTCCAAGGTGAGTCATGAATACTTTACGTACAAAACAATGTTTTTCCGACACTCGCCTGCTTGGATTGATTTTACCTTTTGCCCGGGGCGATCTTGGTTGCGATAGCCAAGATCCCCCCCAAAGATTCCAAGGTGCGACTAAAAGCCGTCCGCTTTCAAATGTCTTAGCGTCCGAACGACCCGCTCGTGCATGAGGCTCGGCAGTGAGCTGTGGGAAAATCTGGGGTAAAAGAAAAACAAGATCACTCATCGCGTCCCTTACTGTATCGTCTCGGCCCTTGGCGAACCGGGGACTAATTAAGTTGTGCCAAGCATGAGGGGAAAGATTCTCGCTGGCCATTCCCAAGCTTTGCTTTAATGTTGTCGTCGTCACCATGGAATCATAGTCTCTGAATAAGTCTCAATAGCTCTGGTGCCTACGGCTTCAGTTCAAAAAGTCAATTCCAAATACTCGGCCATCGTGTGTCTTACATGCGCTGGATAGTGAAAATGCTGTTGTCGTCGAAAATGGCAGAATCATTACTATAATTGAATGGGCCACCCTCTTCGAGGGGTTCTCCGGCTAAATTGCATGCCTCCGGTGAAGCGCCGTATAATGTTCTAATAGCATTGACTATCGCCAAAGGGACCATGCTATCCGTGTATATATGGCTCGGCTTTGCCTTGGCGGCAATAGGTGAGCGAGTTATTAATACTTCTTTGGTGTACGGACAAGAATGAGAAAGCAGAAGGGGGAAAAAGTTGATGAAAGAGTTATTACCAGCATCGGGTCGAGAAATACTAATGGGCGCAAATTGATCTCAAAAGACCATCCACTAACAGAAGCAACAGCTCAAATCATCACACATGGCCCAATATCCGGTTCTGCAACAGATTACCCCACGCCCACACTGCCCTCGTCGGTGAATTACGCCGCCAGCGTCACGCCCAATGTAGATGATCCCTCGGCCCCCGATGCGCAAAAGCTATGCCCTGGCTATACCGCGTCCAATGTGGCAGAGAACCACGCCGGATTCCGCGCCGACCTGACCCTGGCGGGGACGCCATGCAATGTCTACGGCAACGACATTGCGGATCTCGTCCTCGAGGTTGAGTACCAAAACGCCACGCGCTTGAATGTCCGGATCTACCCGAAGCACCTCGTGCCCGCAAACCACTCGCAGTACATTCTCCCAGAGTTTCTCAGCCCCGTGGGCATCGTGGAGGCGGGTTCGACCAGCAATAACAGCGACCTGGTGCTCGAGTGGAGCAACGAGCCGTCCTTTCAATTCAAGGTATCACGAGTGAGCGGTGGCGATGTGCTCTTTGACACCTACGGCACCGTCATAGTGTTTGAGGACCAGTTTCTTGAACTCATCACGTCCATGGTCCCCGACTACAATATTTACGGACTGCCAGAAAGTATTCGCCCCTTTCGCATCAGCAATGACTACACCCAGACCTTTTGGAACCAGTATCCCGTCATGAATGATAATCCGCTCGACACGAACCTCCACAGTGTGCATCCGGTATACGCTGAGACCCGTTACGGCAATGGCAGCTCCAAGTCGCACGTGGTCTATGGCCGAAATCTCCACGGTCAAGAGTGGTTGATGCGGCCTGATAGAATCATCTATCGCACCATTGGCGGGAGTTTGGATTTCTACTTCTTTAGCGGTCCGACCGTGAACGAGGCGCTCGCGCAACAGCAGCTCGGGGTGATCAAGACCCCGGTGATGCAACCATATTGGTAAGTACCGAGTCATGTGGTTTTCTTGACATTTGCATGTTGCTCTGAAGGAATTTGATGTAGAGAATTTGTTTCCCAGCCCCGCATTCTGTCTTGGGAAATGCATGCATGCATGATTGTTGGACGTAATTCAATCATTCGCTAGAATTTTCTATAATATTAGGAGAAAACACAAGGCTAATGCATTTTTAAAGGGCTCTTGGTTTTCACCAGGTCAGTGGCTATGCATGGATTCCGAGGAACTAGAGGTGATTTTGGACTAACACCTGCCACTGGCTTAGGTGCGATGGGGATATCGCAATTGGACCATACTCCAAGAAGTAGTGGACAATTACGCAGCAGCCAATATCCAGCTCGAAGGCATCTGGAATGATTTGGATTATCTACTTCAGTATCGCGATTTCCAGAATGATGAAAACACGTACCCGCTCGCCGAGGGTAAAGAGTTTCTGGACCGCCTCCACGCGAATGGCCAATATTGGGTGCCCATCCTGGATCCCAATATTTATGCGCCCGACCCGACGAACGCGACAGATGCGTATGCCCCCTATGAGCGAGGCGCAGCGCTTCAAGCTTTCATACGCGACGGTGTGGACGGCTTTTACTACGGGGATCAATGGCCTGGCTATAGTGTTTGGCCCGACTTTCTGATTCCGCAGTCTCAAGAATTCTGGACAAACGAGTTCCTCATTTTCCACGAAAAGTTGGCCTATGACGGATGGTGGCTGGATCTTTCCGATCTTTCGTCTTGGTGTACTGGATCTTGCGGGACGGGTAATCTGGCGTATCAGCCTGTTCACGCCCCGTTCAAACTGCCAGGTGAACCAGGCGAAGTGTCCTACGAGTACCCCGAGGGATTCGAGATTACCAACGCTACCGAAGCAGCATCAGCCAGCGCGGCGGCAGCCTCGCAGTCGGCTGCATTTCCTTCCGTGGCAGATCAGGCTACACCCACTGTAGGCTTCACCGAGCCAACGCCGGGGGTGCGCAATATTAGTTATCCGCCCTATGTCCTGAACAATACCTTGACTGGACACGCCCTGGAAAAATCAGCTGTAGCGCCCTACGCGACGCATAGTGATGAATTCAACACCACCGAATATGAGATGCATAATCTTTTCGGTATACAGAGCTCCAACGCCTCGTACAACGGCCTAGTCGCAGTATTCCCTGGGAAAAGACCATTCCTGATTTCCCGGTCCACCTCTCCCGGCAGTGGAAACATCACGGGCCACTGGGGCGGCGACTCGAATTCCAAGTGGGGCAACATGTACTTGACCATTGCCCAGGCTCTAACCTTTAGCATTGCAGGCGTGCCCTATTTCGGCGTCGAAACCTGTGGCTTCAACGGCAATGCCGACATGGAGCTATGTACACGCTGGATGGAACTGAGTGCCTTTTTCCCGCTGTACCGAAACCACAACTCTCGGCCAGGCAACACCATTGCGCAGGAGGCGTACGTGTGGGCAACCACGGCAGAAGGGACGCGGCGAGCCATGGACGTGCGCTTCAAGCTGCTTGCCTATACGTACACGCTGTTCTGGCACGCACACACGGCCGGCGCGACGGTGATGCGGGCGGTGCAGTGGGAGTTTCCCGACGACAGTAGTCTGAGGGGTGTGGACAACCAGTTCATGATCGGCCCTAGCATTCTCGTCACGCCGGTTTTGGAACCCCTAGCCACGACGGTCCGTGGCGTCTTCCCGGGCGTGGCTAGCGGAACGAGGTGGTATGACTGGTATAATTATACCGAGGTGCAAGCTCAGCCCGGAGAGAACAAGACGATTGATGCACCACTCGTGCATATACCCGTCTTCATCAGGGGTGGTAGCATCATCGCTTCCCAGAAACCCGGCAACACCACCAAGACGACGCGCACCAATCCATGGAGTATCATTGTGGCGCTGGACCACGACCAACAGGCGACGGGAAACTTGTACCTCGACGACGGGCTCAGTCTCGTTCAGAATGCCACCAAGGAAATTAATGTGAGTAAAACCTGGCACCGTGCCAATGGTCCTCAGCGGTATCGCTTTCTGATGCAACTCTAGCTCTCCTTTACCAAATCGACGCTATCTGTTGCCATCGCAGGTGATTATTCAGATGAGAGTCCACTCGCAAATATCACAATTGCGGGATGGGAGGGAATGCTCCCCGGTATGAGCGTATCGGCGGGAGGGAGTGAAGTTGATTGCAGCGGAGCTAGCATCAACCTAGACGCGAACACCCTTTTTGTTCAAAATCTCTCAGGTATCCTGAAGAATGGCCCCTGGATGGAAGATTTCTCAATCCATTTTGGGAACGGCTCGTGATCTTCTGACGTTCTGTGGTTGTACTTCCCTCCGGTATATATATACTAGGTGCCCGCTGCTCGTATATTTAGCTGTCACGAACACGACCATGTTGAGTCAAGGTTCCGTCGTAGGCTGTTGCAATGTCGCGCCACCACAGAGATCAACTGTCGGATTGTTTGGCAGTAAGATTGCACTCATAGTTGAACCCGCGGCGCAAAAGCAAATGACCTCATGAAAGGCGATCAGAGGGACCAGAATCTCCCCTGAACGGTGCATTCTGCGCGGCCTCCTTCTCGTGTGATTTGTGTTTCCGTTCCTGCACGTAGTTGTCTAGAACTTCGGGTTCGTCGGTGCCAAGAAGTACCTTGACTTCGTGTTTGGCGCGTTGGAAAATAGATGCCACTTCATACTGGGGAGCAGCGGCCTGGCCGTCTTCGGGGAGATATGGATGCTCAAGCAAGCCCAGCTTCTTCATGGCACGTTCCAGAGCGGCATCTCCACCTTCCAGGTGTATAGCGCCAAGAATCGCTTCCACCATGGTGGCTTTGGGTTTCACCTTTGAAATCAAGTCGCGTGATAGTACCTGGCTTGGTTTCGTATGAATGCAGCGGTGGAGACCGTGTTTGTGATATACAGAGATGAGATTGTCGTTGCTAAGTAGCTGGGCGGATATGCTCGCCCACTCCTTTGAAGCTACAAATATGAGCAGGGACCTTGAATACTAGTCGAATGCAGATACTTGCCTGAGCTGGGTCCTTGACAGAGCCATAATTTGCAAAGAAATGTTTGTATGACGGAATCGCCGTATACGGCTAACCTGGCATTGTCGGGCACGATAATGCGTCGACCATCCAGGAGGACTGTGCAAGATGGTGCCTCGTTGCAAATGTTCACGGCTTCAGCAAAAAGAAGCCTAGACTTGATGCGATGTCCCGTCAATTCTTCGCAATTCCAAATTTTCGTAGCAAAAACCCTTTCAAAAGTTTTATATTTCACCTGTAGCGGCTTCGCCGACAGGAAGTTGGCGATTTTGCCGGATAGTAGTTGCGATATTTTCCCGAGCTTCATGATCTGATATTCGCATGTAAAGGACCAGACGAGAAAGCTGTTGATCCTGCATCGCATGCGTATGTTGCAGGTTGGTGATGTGATGTGCTCAATGGAAAACCTCCTATGAATCCACAGTTGATGCGCGATGCACCTGGCGCGTTTTTCCGCTGCTAGCCTAAGTCTTTTTAGGGCGTTTTGACCCACTAACGTGTTTGCACTATCCGCATCACGTGCACTGTGGCCGCTAATAGTATAGTAGCAGCGCGCCAGAAAGAAAGCACTATAGTACACGAACACTCCAGGTCCATACCCAAAGACATGATAGACATGTTGAAAAGCGCGATTGTCTACAAATGACAGCAATTTCTTGAATACTACAGGAAGAGATCAGAAGCAGTTCGATTCTCAATCTTTTCACCAGTATCGGCCAGTGCTCACTCCCTAGGTAGTAAACAGATACACCAAGAACATTGAAGTTCCCGATTGGATAAACCGATTACCAGCAGATTGGTAGGTACTAGGAATAACCCCCACTGTTTCCCATTTCGCATCATAGTGATCCAAGCTGACAACTAACGTGGCTGCATCCATAGTTTATAAATGAGTATCGGGAACCTTTTGTGCTTATGCAATTCTTGTTTTCTTACTTTCCCCCTCTTCCATCCAACATTCCACCGACATTTAGCTCCCCTGCGGACAACCTGTTTCATAGCGACGCCAGAGCCATTCGCCAAGCATGAATGAAATCTTTGCCAAAGCCATCAAGGACTCGGAACTCCTGAGAAAGACCGAGGTTCCGTGGAATCCGGACAAACCTTTTCACCAGCCATACAACATCTTTGATACGACAACTTCTTCATGGATCCCAGAGACACCATCTGACCAGTCAATACTGCATGATGGCATTGCGAGCATTGCACTTTATAGCTGGAACATTGATTTCATGCTACCCTTTGGAGAAGCTCGAATGAAGGCCGCCCTTGATCACCTCGGTGGCCTTGTTAAAGACCTGGCTGCAACCCCATCAATTGCCCCTGTCATATTTCTTCAAGAATGCACGCCCGAGGATCTCGTCACTATTTCCTCTTTCCCATGGGTCCGTAAACGGTTTATTTTGACCGACCTCGATGCTACATATTGGGCCACCAACCATTACGGCACGACGATTCTCCTCGACAACCGCCTGTCGCTCACGTCCGTCTTTCGCGTTCACTACTTGCAAACGCGCATGGATCGAGATGCTTTATTCGTCGATGTCGCCTTTGGGACCGGCAGCAAGACGCAAATCGTCCGCTTGTGCAATACTCACCTCGAGTCCCTTGCTTTGGATCCTCCCTTGCGTCCTGCACAAATGCGCATCATCGCTGAATACCTGCACGCCAAAGGTATACACGCTGCGCTGGCTGCTGGGGACTTTAATGCCATCCAGCCTTTTGATCGCACGCTGCATAGCGATAATAACCTAAAAGATGGCTTCCTCGAGTATGGGGGTAGAGACGACAGTGACGAGGGCTATACTTGGGGCCAACAAGCAGCGACGAAATTGAGGGAGCAGTTTGGGTGCTCGCGGATGGACAAGGTCTATTTTTGCGGCCCGCTGAATCTACTCGAGTTTACCCGATTTGGCCAGGACATTCAGCTCCCCGAGGGGACGAGTGAGAATTCGGAGGAGTCTCAAAAGAGGAACGAACTTGTAGCTCTTGGTTTCGACAAGCCATGGGTGACAGATCACATTGGGATTCTGGCCAAATTCAAGCTCGAGCCGCAAGACGAGAATAGAGGTCAGCTTTGAGCCGCTGGTAGCAATGGTGTGGGATTCCGTATCCATATGTTTTCATTTCTTTTGCCATCTTTACGACACCCAGCCAAGCAACCATGTACTCCAAGGTCGCTTTGGACTTGTCGGTTCCTTGAGCTTGTTGAGGCAATAGCTAGGATGGTTGCGCGTTGTGCGGCCGTCGCAATCGCATCTACATCCTATACCCCCCTTGACCTCTGGAGCCCAGGTTGACTCGGCAGCATTTAGAGTCCGAGACTCCACAAGTTGCCCTCCAGGCGCGTTTGTCGGACATTGATAGTACGAATCATGGCGATATGCGAAATCAGCAAAGTGGTGGACTTTCTCTGGCTCTACGAGCATATTGACGGCTAATGCGTGCACAGCAGCGTCTCCCCACTATTAGGTCATGTTAGTATGAAAACAAATCTTTGCTTCAGCAGTAATGACATACTCTTTCGAAGTAGAACTTTCCCGTCTTTTCCAAGTGGGCGTACAGATCCTTGTATGACGAACCGCGGAAAAAGTCAAGATCGGCGATTTCAAAATTGCTCCAGTAATGACATCGATTCCAACCGTCGCCGTGGCGATCTCGGTGAGAAAACCAACTAGAAAAGCCACGCAGCATCCAGGGCAGGTTGGACGGGGAGATGGAGGCTTTCCAAAGGTCGCTTGAGGCAATGTTATTCTGCTCTTTCCAATCCGAGACTTCACGAAAGAGAGTTGGGCAGGTATCCTTTTCTTCCCAGAGCGCCATGGTGTATCCATATACCTTCTTGTGCTTGGCCATTTCCACAAATGGATCGTAGGTGATGGAACATGAAAAGTCAACGTCGGGCTCGAGTCTCCAGTAGTACCGATGCTTTGTCAAAGCCTCGATTTCGTAAAATGCTCTACACCAATCCTTGTCTCAGCCAAGATTCTAATGATTAAGTGAACACACAAAGTCAGTTGCATACCCAGAAAAGAAACGGCACATGTGGTGGTACGTCGTTAGCCCGCCATACATGACACCGCGGTCTCCTTGTTCTTTGATACTAGCTTGCGCCTCATCCTTATCCATCCAGGAGGGAAAGGTCCAAGACTCTTGCGGTATGACTTCGAAAGTGGTGCTTGCATTCGTTGTTGCTCGGATAGCTGATATGAATTCATCGCTCCAGGGCTCGTCATTGAGAAAAACGTATGGGTACTGAAACCAGCGATTGAAGCGTCGTTCCAAGCTGGCGACTGAATTCCGAGCTTCTGCAAACTCTTTGTTGCGAGCCAACATTACAATTGCCGCATTCTCTCTCGGGGCGCTTGTGTCTGGCTCCTGGCATGATGTATAGAAGGGTGGATCGAGATCGCGCTCAGGTACAGGAACGTGAAATTTGGAGACGTGTATACAGATCTCGACCAGCAAGGCCAAGAGTACCCAGAGCAGAGGTGTCAGCTGCCGTAGCCGTCGGCGCAGGCGTGAAGGCACGACAGCCATGACGGGATGCAAAAAGATGCTAGAGCATCAGTACAGTGAGACGAGGCGGCGATGGCAATGTTGCGGACATCTGTGACGGCCAAGGAAACAATCAATGCCTATGTTAGAGTGTGTTGCTAGTTTCGACTTTCAACGGTGCTTGAGTGGAGCAATAGAGAACTTTTTATGCGAACCCTGCAGGCAACAACATTCTGCACCTAGGCTTACATGAGAAAACGATCGGCAAAACTAACAAATATGGGGAAGATGAAAAAGACATGTCGAATCCTTCCAGGCAACGTGTAATTCTGATTTACAGTGGCGGAGCTGTTGGTGCCTCAAGAATACAAGAGTTTCGTCAGACAAACAGGGATGCAACTGGTTGTCAGCGATGGACCATGATGTATTGTGCACACCCGCTGCGCACACCCGCTGTGGAACTATCAATGCAGAAGCGCACAAGATGCACTATATCTAAGGGACCTATCAGAATGAATGAAGTAGATGGTAGGACATGGGGAAGGCTTCATTTCATGTAGAGTACAGCAGTTAAAGCTACAGTAGTACAAAACACAGGAAGGCCAAGTCCAAATGTCCAATCACTTGCTTAGTTGCGCCACCGAGTTCACAATGTAGGTAAGCTACCCATCGAACCTTCCCTCTTCCCGAAGAACTGAGCTGCAACGACATGTCATGACATCTCTCGTCTTCCTCTTCCTTTCTTGCATTCCCACGCCGAGCTGCCGACTCATATCATGTCCAAGACGGCTCCCTCGAGTAGGCCCGTCATGCCTGTCCTACGGCGTCGACGACGGCTTGTCTTCCCCATCATCTTTTTGGCCGTCACTAGTACTTATCTCTGGTTTCCTCAAATCACCTGGTATGGAGACAAATACTCACAGACTGGACCCTGGTCGACGCAGCGTAATTTAGAACAATTATTTGTCCCTATCGAGGACGAGCTCGACTGTCTGCACGCCAAGCTGCAACCATCGATACACGATGAATTCAAAGCAGCCAATCCTATACCGAATCGTGTCCACTTCATCTACGGCTTGAGCAATCCCTACCAAAAGCCCGGCGCAGGCACTTTCGACTTCTTATGTTACCTGGCAGTCAGAAGTGCCATTATAGCACTACGCCCAGAAAAAGTCTCTCTGCACTATACCTATATTTCTGAGCCTCCATCACCAGATGCCAACGCATCTCCCCTCACGAATCCTTGGATCAAGCGATTAGAGGATGACATTACGCTCGTCCACCATGCGCCTGAAGAGGTTGCGACCCTCAAGTCAAGACCTGATGCTGTCTAGCAAGCAGCACATGTTTCTGATATCCTTCGCCTGAAGCTCTTGCAGAGTGAAGGCGGGGTCTACCTCGACATGGACTCGTTTGCACTACGATCTTTCACCAAGATATTGAAATCGCCGCGAGGAATCGTTCTTGGGTACGAAGGCGGTAATCGATATGGTCTTTGCAACGCCATAATGGCGGCACACCCCAACAGCACATTTGTTGAGCGGTGGCTCGACATGTATGGAGGGCAAGACCTCAGTCGTGAGTGGAATTACCACAGCGTGATCCTACCCGGCGAGATGCAGAAAGAGTACCCAAAGGAGGTCTGCGCATTACCCCCGACAACGTTCTTTTGGCCAACCTGGACATGGCATCACCTCGAGTGGATGCACGAGACACTGAATCGGCAAGAAGCACAACACTGGATCGCCGAGATTGAGAAGAATGGTGGAAGTCTGTTTGAGGATCAGCTCGCGTACCATGCGTGGAGCCAAATGGCGTGGAAACGTTTCTTGAAGGATCTCACGCCAGGTAACGTCCGGACAAAGAATACCAGATTCAATATCATGGTGAGACGCTTCCTCCAAGACGACCTTTGAAAGAAAATAAGGTTTCTCAACCTTGTACTGAGCAGTTGGGGGCTGGCCGATGCTTTCGTGGGGCTCAAGGAGATTGTGGATGATCACAGCGGGGGTTCAGATGTCTTCCCTAGGCCGCTAGCAGCTTGGCAACTTGGTTGGAGAAGTGCAAGTCCACAGCGAGCGCCTCCTGAGTCTCACAACTATATCGTATATAGTATCAAGCCTTGTAATTGAGGGCAATTATGTATGAAGCACGCTCATGGAATACCAACCACTCATCGGCACGTCCATCCATCACGTAGAAGCTGGCGATAGAGAGCATCCAAATGTTCCCCCGACAAGACGTCTTGGATTAGCGGCACGCTAAAAGCCGGTATCTAAACTTGAACCTCATATTAAGCTCAAGGCCAAATAGAAAGTCCACAAAGGCACGCCGACTCGCTTTATCTGAATATTGTGCGCGCATCAATTTCGTACATGGCTGCTCCATCAGCATCAGATCATCTAGTCAAATCACATGTAGAATCGATTGGGTTGCGCTGGGTGGTTTATTTTCTGCCTTGAAGGATTCGCAGATCAGGCGGCTGAGGCCCAGCACGGTCCAGGTCGAAATGTGGTTATTTCACGGACTAGGTAGACCCGTACAGCGTTTTTGGTCAAGAGGCCAAGATGATGAAGGCGAAAGGCATTTGAAAAAGGGTTGTAGGGAGAAATCTGGAGGTTCATGACTGGCTTTGATAAAAGATGTTTCCTTGACATTATACCAACACCGTTGTGACCAGATACTAAGACCCAGTGATGTCTAGGTGCCTAGTGCCGCTATGGGGCAAGTGCCACGGGCTTGCCAGGGCCCAGGGCCCATTGGAAACTATTGTAAATATAGTGATTTCCATGCTGAACATGGCTGCTTACCTACATAGCGGCACGGCACGGCTGACATACCACCTGGCAAGTGTCTCTCCATCTTGTCTTGGATACTCCCTGATGGCCCGCCTACATTCACCCCTCCTTCATGTTTGCAGCTAGATTGGATTCGTGGCGCACTGAGGCGAAGTCGTGACTAGAGGCTCTACTACCCACTTTAATAAGCAGCTCTTTTTTCGGAGCAAGCACTGCCGCAGCAGATCGTAGGCTTTTCTAGCCACGTTTGCTGACACCACCATTGTGCAAGTTAAGGTCTTATGTATATCTAATTCTCGTAGCAATTATCCATCTCGATTAGAAAATCACAGACTATTCAACTTATAAACAACATTTCAAAAGTACAAACCCGAAACAAGAAGGACGGTCAACGGTGTACAAGAAGAAAATAAGGTTTTTGGTGTCGACGTACATAAACTAAGTTATGGTCCCTGCATAATTTGGTCAGATTTTGGGTATCGTAATCGTACCACGGTTGCACCAGCACATCTCAGGTGTGCGCGTTGGCAGACGCAATCTAGCCTCAACGTTTCTTGCAAACATCTCTTTATTTGGACTCCCGTATACGACGCCAAATACCGGACTTTCCGCGCCCCTTTGGAGGATTCTGCCCAAAGGTCAGACTTGCTTCGCACCAACCCCTCCCAACCGGACAACATGGACAATGTTCAGCCCGAAAATCAAGGATGGAGGTCGCGCCTTTATTCACAGGTGCCATTGAAATCGAAAAATGGAACTGTTCGGTTGCTCACGATAGAGCCCCGTAGCCGCGTACGGTCAAATGCAGCCGAAGATCAAAATATCACGCAATGTTTCCTCAAGCTGGGGAACCTGAAGACCCAGCAATCAGCTTTCGTGGCGATATCGCATGCGTGTGAGAAGGGGGGAGATGAGGAGATCATGGTCAACGGCGCGCTGGTTCCAGTCTCAACCGATATTGCTGAGCTGCTCCGATCCCTTCAGCACGAGCATGATCCCGTGACGATATGGATGGATGCTTTGTGTATCAATTACAGCGACGTTGAGGAGAAGTCGGCACAACTGGCTCAGATGCCCCAGATACTATCGGCTGCTTCATCGACCCTTGTGTGGCTAGGAGGGACCGCAGATGGAAGCCACGGGGCAATGGATGCCTTGAACCGCCTGGACGAAGAACACCTTACCCCAGCGGCCCAGAAGCTTCTGCTGGCGGCATTACGCAAGACCCCTTGGATCACAAAGTTGCCGACTACAGTGACGCAACCAAGTCAACCTGCTAAAGAAGAAAGTCTCGAGGACCAATTGGACGCTCTAAGAACTTCGTTCAAGGCATTGATGAGCAGGCCATATTGGTCTAGACTGTGGTCCTTGACGGAGTTGGTGTTTACAAACAAGGGCACCGTAATGTGTGGAACTCGCTCGTTGGATCTGCACCGTTTCCACGCTGCGGCCAAAGCTCTCGACGGAGTTCTCAACATGGCGACATACTCAAAATGGCTCGAGGCCAACAAGACGACAAATACATCCGCAAACCTTGACAATACTGAGCCGGCCAACTTCTCTGCCTCGCCTGCACTATTGCTCCTTGCCGAGCGGGAGTTCTTTGTTGGAAGCCGCGGCTGGTGGTCATCTACAGAACATCCTCTGTTGACGATCCTTATGAGATATCACCTGAACCGCGCTGAAACTAGACTACACTTGAACCCCGATGAGCAATGTGATCTCATTTTCGGCTTCGTAGGCCTGTCTTCAGATGCCGAGAAGCTGGGCATATCCATTGACTATCGAAAAGACTGGGCGCAAGTCTGTGCCGAGACAACGACATCGCTACTCCAACACAATCCAAGAGTGTTGCAACTATGCCTAGGGCACTCCAAGGCAGATGATGGTCGGTCTTCATGGCTCGTGGACTGGAGCAAGATTGCCCTCCCAGCCTCATATGACTCCGGTCGATCGTTCAATGCCTGTGGTCCTGCCGATGTCCGATTCTACCGAGCAGATGCACAGGACGCCCAGATAATTACGATGAAAGGAGTTATTCTTGACATTATCAACAGTGTGACGTCGGTTTCCAATGACGGTGAGAATATCACAGAAGATATCAAGAAGGCGATAGACGAGAAATTTCAGCAGTCCTTGAGCATGGAGAAGTCACCATACACCCAAGATCAACAGCCCAACGTCCCAACTAGCATGTTGAAAGAGTCATGTTTTGTCACAGACAATGGATACATTGGATGTGGTGAGGGCCCTACCAAGGGCGATGTCGTTGCAATATTGTATGGCTCTGAAGTCCCTTTTGCTTTGCGGAAGCAGGCTGATGAAACGTATCGACTCATTGGTGAAGTCTACATTGAAGGCATCATGGAAGGCGAGTTCATGAAGTCGCATAGAGCGGAAAGCATCATCAAAATTTGCTAGTTTAGACATTGAATGACATTTGCGAAATCTGAAGATCAAAATTCGTACCTTCCTAGAAATCTTTTATGGTCGCGTTATTTCTTTTTCTTCAAACTGGGACTGGAATTCATTGGACTTTAGGAGAGAATGGTTCTTTTGCCAACTGCCGTGCAGCTCCACAGCGCGCACCTACCTCGAATACTTCAACTGCTGGAAGACTTTTAATCTGCTAAAACCCCTTCTCATCAGCAAACCGAGTGGTTTGTCTTCTTTTCATTCTTCTTATTCTTTCATATGTATGAGATGCGCATACCCGATCTTTTGGTGAAGCAAGTGGAATAGTGCAGGTCTCCTCTCAGAACCGTTACTGTGACGCTTGGAAGGTGCGCAACTCCTTTTACTCAAAGGCTCTGGTTTTTCTCGGACCTCTTCTAAATTCTTTTTTTTATTTTCATTCTCCTGTCAAAACGTGAGTCTCCACCTCTTCTGCTCACCCAAGTGAGTGCACGATTCCGACCTCCCTAGTCACTGTGTCGAAACTTACAGGGTTGTCGCATTCATCTCCACCACGGATGTTGCATCTGCACCATTTCAACGTCTCTCACTATTGTGCCTGCCCTATGTCACTGCAATTGTCCATTATTCTGGCTACCTCGACTTCTTCACACACCATTATCGATTTCTCCGACTACTAGGTAAGTACCTGGTAACAACCATGACTTGTTCCCCAATAACAAAAACACAGTCCCGAAACCAACTCAACTTCCTGTCCAAGAGTCTTCTATTTCTTGAATCAAGAGCTAACTAGGATTCAAGCAGAGAACATGGCTGTGATTGACGAAATTCCGGGGCTTGAGGTTTGGGTCTGTGTCAGTGACGAACGTGCAACTGAATATGAGCCGAAGGATGGGCCCCCGAAAGTCGAAGAAATGAATGCGCCTACTTCCACGAAATACATCGAGTCGATCAGTGGAGAGAACTTCAGTCTTCACTACAGGATTCATCGCGACTTTGAATTGGCCAAGGCTGTGGATAAGCGTCATCGCGGCATAGGGATCGTATACACGCTGGATGGAAATCCACATGATAGATGGCACTACTACTTCCCCTTCCCGTCCGGCACCAGAAAAGGTTGTCTTAGCTATCGCGAGTCAACAGACTCGCAGGGACGGAAAATACACCAGCCTCTGCGGTTTGCTACGATCACAATCCTTGAGTCCGACGACAAGGATCGCATAGAGAGGGAGAAGAAGTCTTCTGCTCAACTGGGAGTCCTACAAGTTGAATTCAGGCTCATTACAAAAGTAAAACAAGATATTCCCAGCGAAGAATCTGTTTGTAAGGAAGGAAACAGCACCACCGATGAGGCTGAAGCAGAAGATTCCGCAAAGCCGCTAGAGTTGGCCGAAAAGGCCCTCAAGGGCCGGGCAATATCTAATTCTACAAGGTACGTTGTGAAGAACCGCTTGGTAAATTATTGACCTAAGTGCATACCAGCCTTGGACCAGCTCGGGTTATCGGACGGCGGCCCCGTAGCGTCACTTCATCTGCGAACCCATCCGCGAAGAGAAAGCCAAAATGGCGATGGAAATACATCCTGATGAAGGATGAGCCCCCCCTTGCCGTCTTCAGATTCCTATACAGATCAATGGGTATGTTCTACGATCTAAGTTAGGTGGGAGGAGACTTTGTGGCATTTTGCTGATGTTCCACAGATGATCTGCAAAAGGAGCTGATAGTTCCAAGAAATCCTGCAGCATTGGTGGAGAGAAAAGAGGTTTCGATTGAGAATCTTTCAATGGAGGAGATCATGCAACTTGCACGAGAGAGACTCAATCAAAAGAATGTAAGACTATTGCTTCCCTGGTTCAAATTAATATGTATTAACTCGATACAGGCTGACACCAAGGTTAAAACCGAGGAGAAACCAACTCTCAAGCGACCACACGGTGACATCATTGATGTGGAGGACACAGGCTCAAGTGATGGATCTGGAAATTCTAGACAAAGAAGAATCTTCATTGATCTTACAGAGTAGCCATGGGGAGGTCATGTCCTATTTGCGCGAGATTCGGATCACAATCTGCGTTTTCTTTCTTTTCGATCACGATGAGCTTCTGTTACGTTGCAAGAAGCGATCGAATCCGCCACATCAACTTCATCCTCTCTTTCTTATGAACCTTGTCGCGAATTCATTACACGTCTAATCTCAGACTATATGTCAACTTTGTCCTGTAAATCCAACAAGGGTACACAGAGAAAGTAGCGGACAGCAACGGTCAGCGAGCTACCAACGCTGTATTCGCCTCATGATTTGGCATTGTCCGAGCGCATACCAATGTTTCCCTCTTTGCCCTGTCTGGAGCACCTAGGAACCTACCTAACCTAGTAGTTTCTGGCCAGCGAGCTCGACGGATTTAGCGATGGATTTTTGCAGCCCCTGCAAACCACTAGATACCTAATAGAAAAATCGATTCATTTCTTCGCGTAGGCATTCTATCATGATGAGGTACTTTTTTCTTTTCTTTTTTCAGATGTCTCCTAATGTGGTACAGTAATTTATCTTCAAGTTTGAACCGAGATTTCAGTTCGCTAGGAGCGACGTGAATAACACAAGCACTCATGTGAGTGGCTACGTGCTCAGGTAGATTATATACACATGTATGTAAGTGTCGGGTTTCCAAGGGACTATAAACTCGCCACAATCGACCGATCGCTTGCAAGAAGATAGCTCAATATTTTCAATCCAATAGCGAGAAATTGGTTGGCGATGTATGCAGAGCTACATGATGGTGGAATTGATTAATCGGGCAAAGCACATGAAGTATCGTTGAGCGGACGTTGTAGCAAAGCACCAACAGCACACCTGCAGGTATTGATAGCGGGCCCCCCTCCACTTCAGTCCAGGGAATGGAGGGCTACTTAGTGGCTCGTCCAGCACCGAAGCAATGGTTGTGTCCACTATAAATTCCAACCTGGCGAGAAACCACGAGGGTTGCAACCTGGACTACATACAGCCGAACCAACAATCTTCCCAATTATGGCTGTCATAGAATTATCTATTGAGCCCGATTTCCGGCTTTCCAGTCTCATAATTTTTGAAGCTCGGTAGATGTGATGATCTCAACATTCATCAAATTCGCTCGACTACCTATATTGTGTACAGAGTACATGTGGCTCAGCATCTTTTGCTTATAATCGGATAAGCAATGCTTGACCTCCTCGCGTGCCTACCATGATTTTCAAAATTGTGCTGCGAATCTTTCTCGCCAACGTGGTATGGAGTCTTGCATGTCTGGACAGGAACGTACGAAAAGCCCGCGCCCTCAAGGTTCCTTATATTCGCATTCCTTTCGATGAGACCAATGTTCTCTGGCTTACCCCGCAGCCCACTGTATGAGCCATTGTCGACAGACTGCCCATCCAGTGGTCGTCTTAGCCTGGTTTAATGCGCCTTTCTCACCGCGACTGGCAGTTTAGAGAAAGGGAGCACAAGCGGTCCAGTTCGGATCAGTCTGGGCTCTTGTGACTCCAGTCACTCTGTATCTGCAGTTTACCGACCCTCAGGCGATCAAGCATATTCTTTTCTCAGCCAGCTCAATCTCAACGCCCTGTCAAGAGAGTATAGTGAGTAGTACTACCATGTAACCACGTTTTGACACTATGCGTCTTACAATCCATTCACTTTGTACTTATTTTCACATCGTCCAGTTTGTTATTGATTTTCATTCAGTCAACTCTGAGTTTTTCATTGAATCTCCCATCTGCGCAATCTCTATCATCTCATTATCATACCCATCATCCAAAATCCATTCCCCTAGTACATTTCATAGCGCCAGTCCATATCCACCATTTCCTGCGTGACACCACCCTTGATAACCTTGGCAATGAGCTCCGAGTCGCCCGAATCGAGGCGCTTGTTCTCGCGGTGGACGACCCAGCGGTAAAAGGTAATGGTGGCCATGAAGAGCACGGCGCAGGCCATGAGGGTGCCAAAGGCGGCAAAAAAGTGCGGGGGCGCGTAGTAGAGGTACGAGGCCCAAATGTTGGAGGTGCCACCGAGGGCGTTGACGAGGGCCGAGGCGGCGGCGCGCTTGGAGACGGGCCGGGCGAGGTGCAGGTTGATGGTCTTGTAGAGCAGGAGCTGCGGTCCTACCGAGGCAAAGGGCAGGATCATCATGGAAAAGTAGCGCGCGCCCACGTTGGTGGTGCTCATGGGGATGATGTACATGATGATGGAGATGGACAGACACATGAGAATCAGGGGGTACACGGTGTTCTTGCGGTCAGAGTAGAACATGATGACATAGTAGACGCCGCCGGCCAGAACGTAGGGAGGTGCTGTGAGCAGCAGGGTGATGGTGCTGTTGAAACCGAGCGCTGAAACCAGAGTGGGAAAGTAGTTGGCAATGGAACCCTGAGCCTGAGAAAGCAAGTTGCAAAGGATGAGGAGGATGAGCTTAATGTCCGACAAGGCCTTGACGAAACCCTTGAGGACGCTTTCCTGCTCGTGACCTTCAGCGGCACCAGCCTCTGACTCGATACGCCAGACGGCCAAGTCACGCTCGATCTGAGACAGAATGCGACTGTTGTGAGGGAACTCGGGCATGAAGCACGCACAGACAAACCCGATGCCGACGGTGGCGCTGCCCTCGATGATGAAGAGCCACTGCCAACCGGCGATGCCATGCTGTCCGTTCAGCTTGAGGATAGCTGCGGCAAAGAGACCACCAAAGGCATTGCCAACCTGCTGTGCAATGTAAAGTGCAGCAATACGCTTTCCGAGCTCCTTCTTCGTGTACCAAGCAGAGAGGTAGTAGATGGCACCAGGGAAGAAGACGGCCTCGGCGACTCCGAGAATGGCACGCACAGCCAGCAGTTGCCCGTACGTCTTGACCGTCGCCGTTGCGGCCGAAATGGCACCCCAAATAACCACTGCGCAACAGATATACATGCCCGGTCGTGAGATCTTGGTGATCAAGAGGTTGCTAGGAATTTGAAATGGCAGGTAGCCAACAAAGAGGATCGAAACGGCCGTGGCAAACTGTTGAGTCGTCATGTCGAGATCCTCCATGATGCCCTGGAGCTTGGCAGCAGCGAGGTTCTGTCTGTCAATGTAGTTCAAAATGTAGAGTATACCAATCAGAGGCAGGATGATGAGATCCATCTTGCGGACGAGCCTCTTGTTCAAGGCATTGAACTCAGTCTCGCTCAGGTTCCGAAGCGATTCGGGCCTCTGTTGGTAAATCTCGCTGGAAAGGCCAATCTGGCCCTCAGCCGACGACACATTGTCGTCGATCTGGGACGAGGCTGAGCCTTTGACCTTGTCCATGGCGATGGTATTATCGACGGCCGACATATTGAGACTGAAGTGTCGAGTACAATTGAGGGTATCGATGGATGTTGGCACAGCGACTTGAAAATCGTACCACAGACGGGTTATGTGCTGTGATACTGTTGTTGGAGTAAAAGAGTCTGGGGTAATTGGCAATGTCCACACCCTGGTCAGGAGCTCCTATATCTGGGGTTGCCAATGGGCGGCCGTGACAATTATTGTAAACCCGTCTGCTATTATTGGCACGATGTCCTCGTGGACATATGGATGCCGAATGGAGAAGGAGACCAATGACAAAGATGTGTGATTCATGGCCTTTGCTTGCTGCGACCACGCTGCCCTTGAAGTACTCCAGTCTCAGCCGTGCCAGCCAGATAGGACAGCAGCATCATCAACTCGCTATCAAGGAGTAGTCACTATCAGGGAGGTTACGAGCGCTCGCTATCATGTCTCTTCCCCCCAAATCCCGGAAAATGGGTTTGAATCCAAGGCTGAGGCACTAACCCGCGAACGACTCGCGACTGATTACAGCCAATGACACGAATCGCCGATAAGCTGGTATCTCTACCGGCCGCTTGCATTAGCTTGGCTTTGTGGAGGATCCGTTCGTCAGCTAACCAAGTCATTTTGAGAGGGCGTTGGGGGAGCTCCTCCCGGTGGGGGCGATAGCGGACGTAGCGCCATCAACAGGGTATAGCGCAGATTGGGCGTATGACCGAGCCCATCTCGAAAGCCTCACATTGGTCAATGATGTTGCAATCGAGAAGTTGAATATGGGAGCTCCCAAAAGGATCGTCGTGGTGACCTTGGAGTTCGGAGCGAGGTGCGAATACTCTTGGAGGACAACACCAAAGTTTCTATACTACTTGAATGCGTATACTCCGGCCAATTTGATTGTCTCGGTATCAATTCCAGTCTCATTTTTATATTCTCATCTCAATAGCCGTTCTGGCCCAACGGGTATTTACAAACAAGATACTTGAAAACTTCAGTTAAATCTTAGACTTCCAGCTCTCAACTTAGCCCAGTCCTGATACCTGTCATCTCACAACCAAACACATCATCAAACAAATCAACCACTAAAATGGCTTACCCAACTCCCCTGACCACCACCATCGAGAACCCTCGTCTGAGGCTACTCAACAAGCTCAAGGCTGGAGAGTACCCTCTGATGACGTTCATGGCCATCCCTTCCGTACGCATGGCCCAGATCGTCGCCTTGACCGGCGTCGACGGTATCATTATCGACTGTGAGCACGGACACATTGGCGACGATGCCATGCACAACTCGGTAGCTGCTATTTCATCACTGGGCGTCTCACCCGTGATCCGTATTCGCGGCCCCGCACATGATATTATCAAGCGTGCCCTAGACACTGGTGCCCACGGCATCATGGTTCCCCAGATCAACACAGCTGAAGAGGCCGAGCAAATCGTTGCCTCCTCCAAATTTCCCCCACAGGGTGTGCGCGGCCAAGGCTCCGCCTTTCCTGCCATCGGCCACGGCCTCACTACCCCAGAATACATGAAGTCGGCCAATGAGACCTTGATCACCATGATCCAGATCGAGACCCGCGCTGGCGTTGAAAATGTCGAGGCCATTTGCGCCGTACCCGGCGTGGACATGGTCTTTATCGGCCCCAACGACCTGGCCCAGTCGCTCCTGGGCTACACGCCCGCCCGCGGCGACGAGCCCGAGTTTGTGGCTGCCGTGGACAAGATCATTGCCGCTGCGCGGAAACACGGCAAGTGGGCGGGCCGCATGGTCAACAATGGCACCGTGGCCAAGGAGTCCCGGGATCGGTACGACATGGTGGCCATTACTGGCGACACCAAGGCGATTCAAAACTGGTACATTGCCGAGTTTGAGATTGCTAGGTCATGATGTGGATGTGTAAAGGAAATCCAAATTTTATAAATAAGAAAAAAGAAGAAAAGCGGCTCTAGTAATTAAATAGACTTGTTTTGGCATGAATCTTGGCTTATCTATCCAACCACCCCTGATCCTTCTGCTTGTCTGTGCCCCTGACATCCATGTACCTAGTACGCGAGGAGATCTGCGAGTAAAATAGACGTACAGAATACATGCGGCATGTATCTCTAGAGTGTATGTTCCATGGAGCATTGATACTTCAGCTTCAGCTCCAAGTTTAGAGTCGATTTGTCTGAACATATGGATGCAGTCCTTTGGCATAATAAAAGCGTTACCAAATTAATGGCTTCTTGATTTTCTTTGAACTGTCTTGCAGGTCCCCCACAGTGTTCTTGACATGATGGTCTTGTCATAATAGAACAGAATGCTCGCAAAACTAAGATTTCTGGATTTAGGCAAAAGAGATGACAAGCATTTCTGAAATGTGATTTTCGAAATTACGTTTTTTTGCTTTGCCTTCCATGATATCCAGATACTTGATTTGTAAAGTCAGCTTTCATGACCTCATTATTCGTTCTGCCGTATCTCGGATCTATGTCCGAAGAGACACGTCAGTTTTTCATGACTAACAGCTGGAAATATAGTTTTGGTTGTCCAAGTCTAATCGACAACCTGACCAGAACGCGATGTCACTACCATTACCAAGTCTCTGTTGACAGCATCCAATGACCAGTCTGGAGTGGTGCCTGGGCGTATTACTATTGATGAGCCTATCTGTATTGTTCCATAGCACAGTCGTTAAGAAAAGGGGCAAGTGGATTTGCCTCACCGGTTCAGGCGTCACTGGTCCAGTTTAGACATTGTACTGTACTTGTCGTTGGTCGATCCCAAGTATCAGGAATTCTTTTCGGTATCAGCAATGTACCTATATGTGTGCAACTAACCGAGTAAATCATGGAGACCCAAGGATCACTCCCTCAATAGCAGCAGGCACACCTCTAACTTGACCCAAGGATGTACCTATACGAATACCAAGGGGAGATCTTGCTCGGCAGCAGGTGATGGGAACAAAGAGTACAACTTGTTACAACGTCGTAGCCGACTCTTGTATCGGTACACGAGGAAAGTGTGCATGATAAGCACCCAGCCTGGACTGATCCCTGAAATGTTTGCCTCAACCCCTCGAGGATTATCAACTTGAGATCATTACTTGTCCCACGAAGTGACTTGACACCTCTCGTCGGGATTTAGCTTGTAGTTAAGGGATTTTTCCGTTTTGCTTTCATATTCAGGGCTTGAGTCGCCCATGAAACGTGTATATACAGCATAAACAATGTAATGGGATATGCTTCGGGCTAGATGGCCAGTAAATAGAGGTCTTTATAGATTTCATGTTCATTATCCTTGAAGTGTACATTCCACCATAGAGCCAGAAGCAGAGGTTAAGGTCAGATATTGGTACCATCACTAAAGGAGGATAAAATTTGTGTAGGTTTCATAAAATCTCATTTCTGCTCATCTATGGTACCTAGAAACCCTTGCCATGGTCCTAGAGGATTCCCATGCATGTCTATCGACTAACCGCCGTCCAATAGTGGCCTTGGACTTTCCAATTGTGATGCATAATTGTTTTCATTTTTCCGTTGAATCCCGTTCATAAACTCATTTATACCCTTGATTTCAAATAGATAACTCTCTTAAGCCTGGGCAATGCACTCAATCTCAATGACGGTACCGGCACCAGGAGCCACAGCCTGCAAACACGACCGCGAGGGCATGGGCTGGGGCAGGAACTCAATGTAGGCCTCGTTCATGGCGGCAAAGTCCTTCATGTCGGCAAGGTAGACGTTGAACTTGACGACCTTTTCAATGGAGGAGCCAGACAGCTCGAGGACCTCCTTGAGGTTCTGCAGGCAAGTCTTCTGTTGGAGGGGGCAAAAGACCCATTAGCTTTTGCTGGTTTGCGGACTATAGAAGATTGGGTTTCCCGATTGGGGTTTGTCTTACCGTTGCTTGCTTGATCTCTCCAGTGGCAGTCTGACCGGCGCAAAAGACAAGACCAGGGACCTTGACTGCAGGGCCTGGGATGCCGGAACACCGGCCGTTGGTTAGTCTTCAGCTCGCTCGGACCATTCGGTCAAGAATGCAACTTACAGTTGTGAGGCTTGGTAGGGAACTTTTCGCTGGAGATGAGTTGGCGCGACATGGTTGCAGGTGACTAGGGTGTACGACAAAAGACGACTAAGGTTGCAAGGGAATGGATGATGATTCGACAGATTGTGCTGAAGATGGTATTGATGCTGATGGGACAGGTGACTTGGAAAGCTGGGGTGTGAGATTGGAAGGCAGAGTTCAAATCGGTGATAGAAGATTGAATTTATGCTATGTCCTTCTCGGCCGTAGATTTCTACCCGCAGCTGTCCAACAAGCCTCACTCCTCTCTCCTTGGGTCGACTATAGTCATCGGAGGAGCTCGAGTTGTCCATCAGGTTGATGCCTCGCTGATAACAACGAGGCTCAATCTGATTGGTCAATGCCCCGAGAATATACCGTATCTGGAACTCCAATGTTGTTGGAAAGGCCGGAGGAGCTCCTCCCACGCTAAACACCAACCCAAATCTTGGAACGTTTTCCCCCGCAATACGCTACTACGCAGCACTCGGGAATGCGAGACCCTGAAATGCCCACTTTCTCTTTCTCGTGCCACTCATTTTAGAAACGTTAGCCTTATCTCCCCAGTTTCCTACGTATCTTGCAAGTCCCCCAAGGAGCTCTCAACTTGTTGTTCCATAGTTTGGGAGGAGCCCGCACCCGGGGATTTCGATATTGGGCGCTAATGATATGATTATGGAGAATGCTGCGCGCGCGGGATGTGGATCAGATAGCAGACCCAACCGGCAAACTGAGCCGTGGGTATAGCATAGTACGTAGTATAAACGAGAGTACCTATCTATCTAGTCCCGATCTGATGGATTCTGGGGTCGATTACACAATTGGAATAGCCACTTATCGTATGCCCTGGCTTTTATCTTCTGGGGAATGATTAGCTTTGGCTCGAAACAGGTGGCCATTATTGTACACGACGCGATGTGTCAGACTTGATAGTCCACGCGATCACTCTCTTGGCCACAATGCAGCCCGTTAAATCTAGATCGACCAGCAAATACCCCGGAACTCGACGAAGATGGTGGAACCCATTGTCTGGAGTTGGCAAGGCGTTGCTGGCCACTCCGCTATCATATTCCTCGTGCGGTTGCTAATCGCTATCAATGCCTACTGGTAATTAGTCCATGTTTAATGACTCTAGTAAAGTCAACAGCTCGTGTTGTATGTTTCCCGGCCGGGCATTCTCCCTGGAGGACAATGCCAATCTGTCTGGTCTCAGTGCCCCGATCCGTCGATCAGTCTTGATTCCCGTGACATGACACGCACACACTTGCACGCAATCGCACATCTTATCTCTCGGCCAGGCTGAATAGTTCTCGTGTGGTACGACTATAGAAGCTATTGGTGTATCAATCGTCCGACGGAGGAGCTCCTGCTATAGCTACTGTCATTGGCTGGCCACAATGAACAGTAAACACCACCTAAGATGACCCAAGACTTACATTGTATATAGCCATGGTGGTAGTTTATCTTTAGATATAAGACGCCAATCGATATCACAGATAGTCTCAAACTCACATCTAAACCCATCACACAAACATCACTGCATCACAAGTATCTTTTTGACATAATTATTTTCCCGAGTCATGGCATCCGCAGCTCCATTCAACCCACCGGCAGCCGACCTGCCCGGCAAGCCTTTTGTGCCAGAGTGGATTCCTCCCCCAATCACTCAGCAAAAGGAGAACTTTGCTACCCTCAAGTCCATTGATCTGTCACTGCTCGACTCTGAGGACCCCAAGATTGTCGAGGACCTTATTCAGCAGGTCAAGATTGCCATTAGAGACGATGGTTTCCTATTCCTTGAAAACTACGGTATCTCGTTAGAGCAGGTAAGCAGGTTTATCATCTTTACAGTAGAGACATTTTAATGATTGCATGGCTAATTCATGTATCTCTTTCCAATAGCTCCACCGTCAGTTCGCCATTGCACAATACATGTACAACAACATCACCGAGGAAGACAAGGAACGCCTTCTATTCAGCCCTGACACTGGTGTGTGGTCAGGATACAAGCACCCATATGGGTTCAAGGTTAGTTACATCATCAATCACTGTATTTCTTTTACTACAATCGATCGTATCTAACACGTCTTGTACATACAGCGCCACCGAGGACCCCCCGATGGAATCGAGCAGTTCAACTGGTACAAACCCGACTGGGAGGACGTCGACAACCGGGTACCCAAGTGTCTGCACCCCTTCATGGACGAGATTGAGGAGTTTTGCAACTACCTGACCAAGTCGGTCAACCGAAGACTCCTGACGCTGTTTTCGCGCGTGCTCGAGCTGCCCGACGACTACCTCTGGGATAATGTACAGTCGCACGGCAGCCCCACGGGCGAGGGCTACTTCCGCCACGCCCTGTTCCGCCCTGTGCAAAAGGAGACCGAGGAGGCGTCCAAGGGCCTGCGCATGCACGGCCACACCGACTTTGGCCTGACCACGCAGCTCTTTAGCGTGCCCATCTCGTGCCTCCAGATCTGGGGCCGCGACGAGCAGTGGTACTATGTCCCCTACAAGCCGGGCGCCCTCGTCATCAACATTGGCGACACGCTCGAGATTGTCTCGGGCGGCCACTTCAAGGCCACGCGCCACCGCGTCTTCAAGCCCCCCGTCGACCAGCTCCAGTCTGAGCGCCTGTCTCTGGTGCTGTTCAACAGTTCCGTGGGAAGTCTTCCCATGTCTCCTGCTTGGAGTAAGTTTTACCAATTCCCCTCTCCAGCATTTCCTCTAGTGGCCCCACGAAGTAAAAGAGAGTTTTTAAAAGACTGACCCATCGCGTTTCTTTAGACTCTCCCTTGATTCAGCGCGAAGGCTGCATCGAGGAGCAGGGCATCTTCAAGGAGTTCAAGAAGCTCACCTCCAACGGACAAATCGTACCGACCAACAAGCAGTGGCGCGAGATCCAAATCTCCACGGCGACCGACCCGACCGACCAGGAGCACAACCGCGTCGGCGTCCACCAGGTGGTTGTCGACGGCAAGGTTATGCACCAACGCGAGTACATGGGCATGAAGGTTGTCCTTCCCGTATAAAGGTGGTGTGTTGGATGAGAGGGTTTGGAGTTGTATGGTATGGGAGAAGAGAGATGACTGAAAAGAATACCGACGTGAGAGGGTGGCATGATGCTGGTAAAAATGAAATAGGGTAGAAGCATTGCAAGCCACCCGACCACGACAGATTTATGTACATAGTTAGCGACAATATATTTAGATTTTATATTCACATGTATTTCTTCCGAAACACAAATGTGGAAATATCAAAAGATCATAATGTGTTGGTCCTGCAGTGATGGCTGCAGGGCTCCGGCTCCATGAGTTGTTGTGGTATCTGTTGCCACCCTCGCAGGATCAATCTCCTCCGCTATTGTACATAGATGTGAGTACATCTTCATTATCTCATTAGCTTCATTGTAATTCCGAGGGGTTTCCCTCAGTTTTGTATTGAATCCAAGCACTTCATAATCAGCTTCCCTAACTGCCAGCGTTGTCTCCGAAGAAAAACTTTCCTTGCCCATCTCATTGCTCCCTCGACATCACCGTCATGAATGCCGACGATTTCCATGGAACCAGGCTTGCCACCACGCACCAATTGCCAGGCAATTAAGAAAGCCTTGTATGCATACAATGTAACCCACGGCGCCTCGTACTCTCCCGTCATGGTCGTATCGAGATAACGCAGGAACCAATTCACGTGTGGTTGGACCGCTTTGGCAATGCTGGTTTCGCTCAGGAGCTCTACATGTGGGGACAAGTAGGTCGACTGGGTCAGAATAGCGTCTATGCTTCCCTCTACGATACCACCGACATGCGACGGCGACCACACCTGCAGCTCGATCATGGCGGTCTGCCAGGTTGCCTCACACAAGGCTGCATATGACGATGGTGTTGCATCCGGTTGTTGGCGTATATAAGGACCAAGTGCTACTAGAGACGACCGCAGAGGCTCGAACCGCTCAAGACTAAGCATTCCAGTCATTGTAGACCATCCGGATATTTCGCGAGCGCTCGAAATCAGGAATTGTGTAATGTTGATTGCGCCATATGGGTCAAAGGCTGGAATAGAAGCGACATCTGCTTCTGATGATAGAAATCGCCGAACTGCGTCTGTATAACGAATGGGCGAGTTGGACTGCCTGGCGATGAGCTGCTGGTGTGCCCATTCGGCAGCCGAGGATGCAGTCCAATGTTTCTCAGGGCATGGCAAGTCATGCCGGATTTCCAGATGCGATAGTTGGCGTGGAACCGACAAGATCTGATACCAAAGGGCGTCAATCTGATGAACTGCAAATACTGTCCTCTTGAGGGACTCCATCCCAATAAAATCCCGCCAAAGAGATTCCAAATCTCCTGCCGATCCCGAGTCATTTGGTGTCGGCTGCAACAAACCTCCTATTCGAGCATGACTGATCATTTTCGAGTGCATTTTGAGGCCGTAGGCAGAGTCTTTACCACATAAGTACATCATTGAGCATATTTGTAATAAGAAGTAGGCCTGAACCATGGTCAGGTGCGGCATTGACTCGTCTTGGCCATCCTCTTCGATGGACAGTAAAGCACGGGCCCGATGAAAGCATCGTATGGACAGGCTTGCTCCTGAGCCTGTTGCATCCTCGCAGTCTGGATCGTCGCCATATTGATAGGCAACACACATGATGCTGAATAGTAGATGGGGAGGGGTTTGACTAATGTCAAATGTTGCTCGATGCAAAAAGGGGATGAAATGCGAGATATTGGTAAAGAATAGACCGCAAGCCCTGGAAATCTGTGTCGAAGAAGGAGACCAGTCGTCTATAAGCTGTGGCGGGCTACTCGGTGAGAGCTTGTCTGCAATATCGTTGAAGTTAAAGTGCACTGCATTGGGGTTCAGCGACGTAGCTTGTTGGTCCGAGGCGACATTTGTGGTGGAAGTTGTGTGAAAGGCGGGGCTAGGAAGCGACTGTCCCAAGAGCAAGCTTTGGTGATTGCTGGTAGTAGTGGCTGTGGCAACGTCTTGCACCATGTTTTCAATGGACATCAAGTCGCTCATTGACTGGTCATCCGACAGTAAAGCAGTGATGCTATGCGAGTCGCCGGCACCAGTCGTCCCCGAGCCATTGTTCAGGTCAATGCCATCTCCCATAAAGTCGTGCTGATCGTGGTCGAGCTGGTGGCGCTGTTCCAGTCCCAGAGCTGCTTGCCAAATTCCATCTTCCATTCCCGATTCACACTCATCGCCCTTGCCAGAGCCGTTTTGGCTTTCCGCAGGCGACGATGGCGATGCTTTTCCCCTGCGAGATTTCCTGGCCCCGCACACCTGCGTCGCAGTCGCAGCAGCAGCAGTAGTAGCCGGGTCCTGCCTCGATGCCCTTGTCATTCGTCGCCCAATTTGTTCAGGGTGTTTTCTCTTCATGTGCCGACTTCGCAGGTCCTGCCGTGAGAATGTGGCATCGCACAGTTCGCAGGAAAGCAACGCCTGTCCCTGCGGGCGTGAGTGCAGCGCAGCATGTCGCTTCAGGTTCTCATGCCGAGTGAATCGACTCTGGCAGACAAGACACTGGTACGGCTGGAACGTGCCCGAACCACCGGCACTGGCGATGGAGACAGACATTCTGACTTCACGCGGCGGGGGTGGATTTGGATGGATTTATGAATGAAAAGGTCTCGAAAGACGAGGAAACTCTACACATAGACGTACAAAATGATCCTCACTCCCTCCCTCCTGTCTCGGTCACGCACCAGCAGCAAGCAAGTGCATAAACAGGGTAGCTGAGTCGCCCGTCCCTTCGTTATCATCAAACTAGTAAGTCAGCCAACCATCTAAGCGCGCCCACTCTGCCCCGCAACGAAGATAAGGCTAGGCACTGCTGAACAACTAGGATATCTGGAGTACGGAGGCAATTACAGGGCTTGTCATTGGCTTCGGTCTACCCAACCGATCGGTAGTTTTGATTTTGCATTACGAACAGAATGAAAATTTAGCGTCCCCAATTGGATCAGGTGCAAGTATAAGAAAACCCGGGGTATGTATTTCTGGAATAGTCACACAAGCATCAAGACAAGTTTGCTATAGGCAGTATAATCGTTACGATTTTAATTGTACCTTGGCCTGGCAACGCTCACGGTCACTAAAGAGGTAGACAAGACTTAATTCGGGATGACAGGCGGAAATACCTTGCTCACTTGCACAGGGTAATCTTATATCATTATTACCTAACCCAACGCCAAGTACAAGATGTAAACGATTAAACTTTTGAACAAGCCAAGTTGATCCCGTGGTGGTACAAAACAAACGCCCCAAAAACCACACCCAATGTCCCAAAGCAGTAATTTGCGGTAGGCATTACTTCATCTACCCGCTTGCGATATGTATCCAGATTTGTACAAAATTTAGGAGCGCTGGCCCGAACGCATCTGCTCCTCTGCAAATTCCCATGCACCCGCGAAAGAGATGCCAGATTTATCGGTAAGCTTTTTAAGTAGACCATTAACAACATTGCGCTGCTGGCTCTCGTGGAAATTTGCGTCATGGTACTCGTCGTCCAGAATGTCTTCCGTGTACGCACATGGGGGTTCGCCGGCCTCGACCTTTCCCTAAATTTGTAAACGAAAGTTAGCCATGGTACAATTCAAAACAATAGGCAACAAGGCGAGTGAGAAGCTCGATCGATGATATGGTATTCCGTTAATACCATTTGAAATCAATCGAGTTGTCACAGCTCAGTGTGCCGACTAATGATTTTCTGGTCACCAACCTTTTCCATCATTCTTCGACCGTGTGTCTTGGTCACGTCATTTATTCTCCTGACGTGGAGGAACATGTGACGGACGACATCGACGATGCCCTTACTGGCCTTTTCGAAGCGATCCTCGGCCTGCTTCAACTCCTTCTCGAGCGATTTGACACACTTCCTGGCCTCGTTATGAAGGCGTGTCTGCTTATCACAGACTTTGCGTTGCTGCTCGATAAAGGCGTTACGCTCTTTCAACTTGGACTGCAATCTCTTGATCTTGTCCGTTTGGGCCTGAATGATTTTGTCCTGGTCTTTGATTCTCTTGGTCTGCGAGTCATTGGTGTTGCTAAGCTGGACCGCATGGTCCCGCAAGATGGAGACCTCTACCCTTGACAACTCCTTTGTGTCAACGACGTTGACGGCGCGTGTGATGACATCCTGGCGAAACCGGCGACTCTCGTCGTTGCTTTCGTCCTCGCAGATCTTGATTGTTGTCATCTTGTTTGGCCTTGAGATTGCTGATCTTCCACAAATTATCGGTGTAATAACTTTGCAGAAAAGAATTATGTCAAGTCTGTTTTTCCCAGATGATCACGTCACTTTTCCGAGGCAGCCTTAGTATAAAGCATGAAAAATGTTGGTAGTGGTCTGAGAACTCACCTAATTTGTAGTTTGGTGGTTGACAAAATCAGTGCTGCGGAAAGGACCAAAAGTTGCGTGACGACTTGATTTAAATAGAGGACGGACCGAGGACAACAGATTTAAGTGATGGGAATGGAAAGACCTCAAATTGATTAGGTTGTGGCGTTGCTTTCTCCGACGCCGATGAACACCTTTATGAACACCTTTATGAACAATCGTGGGTGATTGCGCGAGAAGAATTTGCAAGAGTACCTAGTTACGCTTGCACAGTGGCGGCGACAATCAAAACTCTGATTCTTTTTTCCGATTTTTGTAGAAGAGGAATACAGAAATTCTGACGAATCGCTCTCAATAGAGTGCAAACGGCACCCTTCAAGGTGAAGAAGGTACGTGGTCCTGGCAAAGTTGGCAGGTTCCGTGTCCCACCGCCGATAGAAGTCACTCAAGGTCCGGAAAACACACCAACACGTGCTTGCAGAGAAGGTTGGAGACGGCTATTACTGCTCAGACGCTACGCTGGATTTTACTGGCAGAGAAGAATGGCTTCTGAAGCAGAGAGCACCTTAAGTCTCTCGGACGTAAGCACCTTTGCACTTCATCCTAGGCGGTCACCGAGGCCACCATGGTCATTCCAAGAGGTGATGACCATAAAATGCAATACTGAAAATTTGGGATTTGTTCATTGTTAGTATTTGGGCAACAGCGCAAAGATCATGGATCAATCTTGTCATGGCGTCCCAATGTGGCAACTACTTCTCTTGAAAATTCTTGTTTACAATGTTCCGTTACTCAGATTGACCCAAACGACCGAAAATTAACATGACGTAAACCTAGTTCAGATCATTGAGTAATATGGTGGCATATTTTCAATTACGAGGCTTTGATCACTTCGAATTCCTTGTCGCTTCATCTCGCTTCATCATAGTTGAGTGATAGAAATGTTTCGTCGCCCGAGTATCTTCCATAAACAGCCTCGCGAGGTTAGATACTCCCCAGGGCTTGCCGTAAATTTTGTACAGCAGATGAGTCATACGAAAAACGCTATTCTTTCCCCCGAGGTGTGGTATAAGGTGTGCCTTGCAGAATACCGCCGCAGGTCCCTCGGCGATACTACGCTTAAGAATAACCTTGTTTTGAACATATCTCCGCTAGCTTCGGGTATGCCCAATGCGGTTGAGATCTGTCTGAGGACCTGGCCGGCAAGAACTTGGTTCGTGTGATGTCGGCAATCAGTGTCGAATATCAAACCCCCAACTTGTTCATGATATGCTGCTTTCTGCCCCTTCTCTCACTGTCTTGAATATAGAATCATCTATGTTGATTGGACTTGTAAAGGGTTCGCACTGCTAACTTCTACTCTTTTACAAGGACAGAAAAGCTACGCGACCTTGGCTGCTTGTGAACGAGGCTCATACTGGTCTCATCACATCAGAAGAATACTACACAATATAGACAAAACCAGATGATGCAATATTTTTTGTCATATCATTTATATTATATTACTATGCAAAAATAATTTACGCCTCAGAGTCCTTGAAGCTGTCGAGCTTGAGCAGCTTCTTGGCGTTATCCCTGCCAATCTTCTTGTAATCCGTCTCGTTGAGCTTGAGGTTGTCCCACCAGTTGCAAGCATCACCAAAGCTCTCAAAGGGGTAATCAATAGAGAACAGAATACGGTCAGCACCGACCTCGGTCAAGCAGTACTGCAGAGTGGCAGTGGAAAAGTGACCACTGGTGGTGATCCAGATGTTGTTGGCAAAGTACTCGCGAATGGTGCGCTTGCAGGACAGGCCGAGGGGCTTCTTGACGTCCTCGAACCAGTGGTTGATGCGCCACAGGTCAAAGGGCAGGTGCTCGCCCAGGTGGCCAATGATGATCTTGAGCTTGGGGTGGCGGTCAAAGACGCCGTTGGTGACCATGCCGAGAATGTGCAGACTGACGCCCTGGGCAAAGCTGAGCGGCGGGCCGATCAGCCAGCTGCGCTTGGCCCACAGCTTCTCGTGAATGGTGCCCGTGGGGTTCCGCGGGTGCAGGTAAAAGGGCACGTCGAGCTCCTCGACCGTCGACCAGAAGACGTCCCACTCGGGGCCGTCGTAAAAGACCATGTCATCACCGTCAACGCCGGCGCGCTGGGTGTCGTTCACCAGGGCGCCCTTGAAGCCCAACTGAGTGACGCAACGCTTCAACTCGGCGGCAGCCTCGTTGGGGTCGTGCATGGAAAGGGTGCTGTGGATGGTCAGCCATGGAATTCCTTTGATTATTTGACATGGAAACTCACGCGAAACCGCCGAATCTGTCGGGGTGGCTCTTGATGGCACCGGCAAGGTAGTCATTGACCTCGACGGCCAGAGCCTGGGCGTCCTTGGGGTCCCAGATGTCTTGAACACCAGGGGCTGTGTAGGAAAGAATGGTGTAGCCGACACCGTGCTGGTCCATGTACTTGATACGCGTCTCAGCAATATCTGTGATCTCTGCGGCGTGCTTGGCCGGGTCGGTAGCGAACAGCGAAGCCCACCACCTCGTCTTCTCCTGGAAGCGAGGCAGGGCGAAAGCCTCTTCCAAAGCAATCTTTCCGAGCATCTTGACTAGTATCTGAAGAAAATGTGTAAATGATGATACTGGACAATGGCAAAGTTCCTGACTTGTAGGATAAAGGTATGGCAGAGAACTTGATGAACTGATTTATGATTGATCACTTCTCTGCTGTAGAAGTGACTGTTGTTTTAAACACATGGAATCCTCAATATTCGCCCTTCGCGCTCAACTAAGCCGGAACCTATATGATCCATACTTTGTAATACCCCATACTACCCCTTTGCGCAAGCCGTACTTTGTCGTTCTCCAAGGCGATAGGCGACCAAACGCACTCTGCTGGTGGCACCGATGAACGGTGTGTCGGCAGCGTTCCCAAGTAGAGCGATTCGCCAGAAGGAACATAGCCGACCGTCGTTCTGTAGGCGGCACCTCCCACCCACGCCGCGTCGACAAACTACTGGGCTAAGGTGTCTAGATCAGGGACCGTTGGCGGATGTCGTCAAAGAAACCATCGGTGCAATTGCCGCCCGCCAAGGGGAGCGCGTCCCCGCTTCCCCGACATCTTGTCAGGGCACACACGCGGGGGAGATGCAGCATCACATTCCCCCCCGCAGCCAGGGGGAAGGTTTTCCGAGTTCCGTCTTTCAGGACTCGCGCGACAAAGAGTAAAGCTACGGAGTATAGTCCGATTACTGTTCCGTCTCCATTTCGAACATTGTATGCATTCTCGAAGAAAATTTAGACTCTACCCGAGACTCACCATGATATACCACCAACCAGCATACTAATGTGCTTAGTGCACACCACTGACGGGACGAAGCGGTCAGTCATCAATTGGTCAACCTCCAACCAGCACAAAAAGCCCCGAGAGTTGGGTAGGTCTTCCGTGGGTAGTGATGGCAGTAACGAGATAGATAGGCACCTCCGGAAGAATGTCAACTCCATTGACATTGTCCATGCAGAGCGTGAGCTCCAGTATTAGCATCCGAGATGTCCGCATACTGCACTACACTAGGTTAGGCTGTTGCTCGGCGAATCTGTGATGCGACAGGCGGGGCCCATCTAGTGTAGCAGCGGGTGAATATGAACCCAGAGTATTCCGTGGCTAGGTGGCTATAGTGGAGCATGAACATCCCTATGCGGCCCCTGCTAGTATTTCAAAGACCTGCAGGCGCAGAGAGAGAAAAGTTCCGCATTGACATGTACGTATGTGACCCGCAAACATACATACCTGCTTTCGACATTTGAATTATCATCAAACGGTGCAATATTCTCAAGACTTGAAACAACTTTACACACACTCATTCCATTGCCGAGAGAAACCCGAAATGTCTCAGTACAAGGCTCAGTATCCTGCGGGTGTTACTGTCGACCCCGAAGTTGTGCAGTTCTTTGAGGACTTTTATCGGATTTCCGATACACCTGGAGTTCATGACGTTTACGTGGACCAGTTCACATCCGACGCGACTTTCAAGCTGGGGTCCAAGAGCAGCCAGGGTCGTGATGGTAATTCTTCAAACCCACGGCCGCGCATAGCGCAAGGACAATTTACTGACCAGGCTGCAGAGATCACAACATTGAGACATGGCATGTGGGCCGCAGTGTCACAAAGGAAGCACACCATCCAAAAGATCTTTCCGTTTGGCGGCGAAAGTCGCGAGGTCATGCTTTACGGAGACGTCGAGTACGAGCTCCGTGCTGGTGGCAAGGCCACTGTGGAATGGGGAGGACACGCAGTGCTGGAGAAGTCTGCACAAGATGGAAAGCTCAGATTGAAGTTCTACCAGGTCTACTTGGTAAGTTTAGAGGGATTCACACATGGATCAATGCTGACATTGAATATAGGATACCGCCGCAGCCAGCTCCAAATAATTGTGAATTTCCAACTAGCACTTACGCTATAGAAGATTAAATAAATATAAAATCCATTGGTTTGAGTAATGACAGTTCCCAATATGAAATAAAAAGATGATCACAAGCAAGAGTATATCGGAATTCACACGCCTGTCTCATTGATCCAAGAGGCATTATGGTTTGGTTTTCATAATAGAAGCACTATCTAAGTTCGCCTGCAAAAGCCTCAATGAGCTTCTCTACCTCATCGGCGGCCTCTATGCAATGCCAATGACCGACGCCTTCCAAGATCTCCAATCGAGTCTTGACACCAGTTCCCCAGCTTATGAAGGCTTATCAGCTTTTGACCAGAAATTTGCATGTAATTGGAATGAAACTCACCTCTTTTGGATATTTTGAGCGGCTTCTAGCGGGCTCGTCTTATCGTGAGATCCTGAAATGATGAGCAGTGGGCTCTGGCTCTGCGCATATTCCGGCTGCTTGGCATCAGAGATGGCCTTGCAGAGGGAGTTGTAGCCTTCGGGGCTCTGCGACAGGAGCAGGGCTCTGATAAATGCTCGCTGCGTTTCTGTCGACTTTGGGCCGGTTGCCGCGGCCGGAATTGTGTCTGCCATGGCGTCCATGCCGTCTATAACCCGTCAGCCACAATTTTTGCCAGAGCTGAAATCACGAGAAAGGGCACATACTCTTCTCCACGGTTGCTATCCTCGCGTCAAAGATGGGTGCCAGGCCAGGGTTTGGGTTGACCGGGCCGATCAAGACGGCACCACAAAGTCCTAATTGCACAGACAGCTCCGAGGCCACGATTGCGCCCATGGAGTGCCCGACCGCGATCAAGCGGCTGGTATCCAGGCTGAGCTGCTTGATCAGCTCTTTTGCATCCTCCACTATTCCGCCAATACCGCCGTACTGGCCATTGTACTTGGAGTTGCCGCTGCCTGCACCATGGTCAGCAAGAAAAACATCAACACTTGATGAAAAAGACTGACCGTGTGTGTCAAAAGCAACGCCAGTGTAACCTGCAGCAACTAGAGACGGTATGATGGTGGCATAGAAGGAGCTCGAAGAGCCGAGCCCGTGAACAAACAAGAAGGTCGTGCCGGTGGCGGCATTACCCTGCTCTGGAGAAACCAGACGGTAATAGAGAGACTTTTCTCGGAGTGTGATGTAAGGCATCTTGTTGATATGAGCAAATAAGGCTGTAAACTATGTGAAAAGTCAAAGATCACAAATTACACTGCTTGTTTACTGTTTGCTTGGTGCAATGATTCTAACCATACAGAAGATGATGATTGGCTAATCTTTTACAGCAGACGCTATGAGCTGCTGTTCGATAGCAGCGTCACAGCACAGGAAGTGCGGTATGAATCAATGTAGCCAGGGGATGCCCCGCCCCGCGAATGCCAGTTCCAGTGCTAGTGCTATTCTAGTTGGGGAGGGGCGGGTGATGCAATGGTGATGACGCTAAGCTAAGCGTTAGATTGACAGACAAGACGGGACACCACACACCCGTGGACCTTCAAGGAAGAAGGCAATGCATCCCACCAAGACCCCCCGATCCATCCATGACTAAAGGCAAGGTCGCAGCACTGTTTAGCGAGTTCGACGCCGGCAGACGGAGAGCGAGCAAGCCAGTCAGCCCACACCCGTTTTCTCAATGCTGGCGTTCGCCCTGCTGACCCAGGCAGACCCAGTGCTCGGAAAGACCCTCTTCTTTCCCATGCTCCATCTTTTCTTCTTGTCGCTCGACGGACTGGGGGGGCGGTCCGCCGTCAGTTTCCAAAGTGGGCTCCGATGTGAAGAACGGATTCAGTAAAGGGAAAACGGGCCAACCGCGTGCTGAGGCGCTCTCGTTCAGGCGCGGATTAACGGGTATAGCCTGGCCAGAAAGGTCGGTGATCCGTCCGCGCGAGTAGTACCCAAAGGCGAATGAATGGCCCTGCTCCTCGTCATTGTCGAAATCGTGTGAGTGGGCGGCTTCGGGCGGATTTCCCTTGCCATAGCGAAACATCAAGACACCAAGAAAAAAAACAAATCGCTGCAATTCTGGAGTTGCTGGCCCAGTAAATGATTTGAAATTCACCCTGCAGATATTGATTATTAGTCTACCTGCTTGGATTAGAACTACCCTCTTCATACGCATCTCCAGTATAGCAGCCCACTACTCGCATATACTTACAGAACCCCTGTCCGCCATGGGAAGCATTCAGGAACAATATAGCTCCCGCGAGGAGAGCGCCCGCATCGTCGGGCTGTTGTGCAGTTTGTTTGATCCCATCGGACTGCCCACCGAGGCGCAGACGGTCGCCAAAAATGTCATTTTCAAGGCTGAAAGGGATCAGCCCATTTTCCCGATTCCTTTCAAGGAGACCGAGACCACTGCTGCTCTCAAGGCGATAGAAGGCTCGGTTGCCAGCTTGTTGGCGGCCACACAGAAAAACACTGACAGCAACAGACAGGTTACTGTCAGTTTGGAAAAGACGACTGCATTTCTATTCCAGGCCTATCTGGCCACAGTTGGCGGGCTGGGCAAGTTGGATAAGAGTGTGCGATCGCTACTAAAAGGTAAGCAGGCGAATGAGGCTCCAAAACTTCATGTGCAAGAGCCAGTTCTGACTATACTGGATTTAAAGACACCGATTTGTTGCAAGCACAGTCAGACCCGTACCGCCGCATGTCGGCAAATTTGTACAAGACTGCAACTCCTGGACAGTATTACCACATCCATGGATCTCTTGAGGCTTCCACGACTCTGGGGTTCCTAGGACTGGAGCCTTTCCGGCCAGACCTCGAGACACACGAGCAAATCGTGGAGACTATCGAGTCGGCCGTCAAGAAGTTTACCCCTGAGCAACTCGAGGCCATGAATGCGCAACATCGCCAGGCTGGTGTGCAGGCACTCAAGCACGAGGAATTCCTAAAGACACAACATGTATGCTGATTTCTCCACATATTCTCACCTTGTACAATGTGTTGGTAATGCTAATATTGTGGCAGGGTCAAGTGAACAGCCAGATTCCTCCATGGGCCGTCACGTGCCTTGAAGACAAGAGCCCAAAAGTCGGTCTGCCAGCTGCTGATCCGAAGAGGCTCCTGTCCGGCGTCAAGGTGCTTGAGCTGTGCAGAATCATTGCAGGCCCGGTCGTCACGAGGATCCTGGGGGAGTATGGTGCTGATGTGCTCAAGATCACCAGCCCGAACCTGAGTGATGTGCCCTTTTTCCAGGTGGACGGAAACATGGGTAAGCATGCTGCTGAGCTCGATCTCAAGTCGCCAGAAGGACGCAAGAGATTCGAGGAGCTGGTGGCCGAGGCCGATATCGTTGTGGATGGCTATCGACCTCAAGCGATTGAGAAGCTCGGCTACGGTGCCAAGTTCTTGTCCGAACTGGCTGTGAAGAGAGGCAAGGGATTCGTCTATGTCAATGTGAACTGCTTTGGATACGAAGGAGAATGGGCACACCGTCCTGGTTGGCAACAGATCGCAGATTGCGTAAGTCTCAGGTCCCGTCGCCTAGCACGTATTTTTACTGACTGGACCAATAGGTGAGCGGTGTGGCTTGGGAGCAAGGAAAGTTCATGGGACTCGACGAGCCTGTGGTGCCTCCTTTCCCCATCTCGGATTACGGTACTGGATGCATGGGTGCCATCACGGCATTCATTGGACTGTATCACCGGGCTACCCGCGGTGGTTCGTGGCACGGCAAAGCCTCTCTGCTGCAGTACGACCTCCTCTTGTTCAAGGCAGGCTTGCTGCCTCCCGGTGTTCAGGAAACTTTGCGCAGCTGGACAGGACCGGAATTCCTGTCCCTGGATCATGCAAACAGCGTGGATCAGATTTCCGGAACTGCGCTCCGCCGCATGAGAGAAGTGTTCCCCGAGTTTGCGCTGGACAAGAAATACCTTGACCACTGGTACTCCAACGCGTACAAGAATGATGTCGAGGCCGTCAAGCCCGTCGTAGAGATCGACGGCTTGGATATTAGTTTCAAGCGGGCGAGCAGACCCAATGGATCAGATCAGCCAACGTGGGACTTTGGGGACGACGGCGATTATAGAAAGTAGTAACTACGTGTTTTAGGTTGGGTAATACATAGCGAGTTTTTAGTAAATTGTATTATGTCGGACTACACAAATTGAGGATCATTGTCATGAACAAAGTCGCATCATGCTACGCGTATGTCATACCATGATATAAGCATTGACGAGTAATTGAAATACTTATTTTCATGTCACAGAGTTTCTATGATTATTTGGAGCATTAGAGTTCATGTACACTAGGTACCAATTACAACCCATGGTTTTATACAGAACCACCCCCGGCTCACAGGATGTTTGCCAGATGCCGATCAAGTAACACCAGATTTGAAAATTCTGTAGCATCCCGTGATAGCCTCACTCTGGACCTGTACCTACATTTCATATCACCAACGATCGACAAGGAACCTATTGAAGGTTCCCTGCAGAAGGCGTAACGCATGATGATTGAGGAAACCTCCGTGCGCCACCCACCCCCCATTCGCCAAAGGAAGGACCGACATTTAGCGTTTACCGTATTCCCTAAATCCGTGATCCGACTAATTATGGGGACCACCCTTGAACTCCACCAACAAAATGCAATGCTTTGCATTTGTCTCGCGGGGCGAGAAAAGTTGGACCGGGCTGGCTTGCAGCGAATGATGAAATGCCCAATTCCCATGGGGCCCCAGACGGGATTCGTTGCTTAAGTTCCTAGGCCACATCATTATACAGCGCCGCCATTCACTTTGCAGCAGCAATCAGCAGTCAAGCAGCAGGTCAGCTGTCTCCCACACCGAGAAAAGAGAGGCAGAGTACTACTAGATTGGCCCATTCTGCTAGTGTATTCCGTAGGCGTAGTGATAGCGTGTTGGACCTACTGTATCATGGGGGAAAACCCCCCTCTCTATTCTCTACCTAGTCAAGAACGGTCGGCGCCAAATGATACCATCTCCAATCGCCCCAGTGCCGACAATGTGTGTGAGAAAGAGCGGAGACAGCACCTGTCGGGTGCAAACCTTACCTTGGCTTATGTTACCAAATCACCGTTGACTTGTGTGTCAGCAGCAACAAATGTTCCTTTGCTCCCAAGGACGACCGAGCGCAACTGCCGACTTCCGCATCCCAACCGGCGCGTTGGCGCGGTCGAATATGGGACTGGGGGGGCGATTATTCGGTTTTCCCAAGGTGGTCAGATCTTAATCACGTTTTCCCTTTGAATTGCGGAGTCGTTCCATGTACCCATAGTTTGCTATCAATAAAGATCACATTCAACTCAAACACCACTGGCATTGAATAAAGAAAAAGGGGTGTCTCTCTACAAACACATTCCCAGAAATCTTATTTTTAATCCTTCTCTTCTACTCATAAGAAAAAGAAAAAGATCATCATCTTCAACTCAAGAAAACACCATCCCCCACCACACTCACAGCAAGCCCAGCAAAAGACCAAGAAACCCAAAACAGCAAATAAACATACATCACATAACCAAAGAACCAGCAGTAGAAATGGGCTCTCTTTCGCAAGGAAACCACACTCTTGGAGACGAGTTCACCAAGGATGTCATCAGCTCCATGGGACCCAAGACGGACCCTCGCCTGAGGGAGGTCATGTCGTCGTTTATCAAGCACGTTCACGACTTTGCCCGCGAGGTGCAGCTCACGACGGACGAGTGGATGCTCGGCGTGCAGATGATCAACCAGGCCGGACAGATGAGTGATGCCAAGAGAAACGAGGGACAGCTGCTATGCGACGTTATTGGTCTTGAGTCGTAAGTTTGTGTCTTGTCTCTACTTCGCAATTCATATTCGCATGGCTCGTGTCTTGTTTGTTTTTAACATGTTCATCTTAGGCTCGTGGATGATATCACATACCAGGCCGCCGTCAAGAGCGCCGGCTCTGCCACGGCTTCGGCCATCCTGGGTCCGTTCTGGAGGCACGACACCCCCATCCGTGAGAATGGTACCACCATTAGCTTCAACACTCCCAAGGACGGCCAGGTTGCCTTTTTGCACGGCCAAGTCACTTGCGCCGAGACTGGAAAGCCTCTGGCCAACGCCACAGTCGAGGCATGGCAGGCGTCGACAAATGGTGAGTTCCTCCTAGTGACAATAAACGAACCCCCCCGCGCGGGGACTGCAGGTGCAACTAAATACTAATTTAACTTTTTCTAGGTCTTTACGAGCAGCAAGATGATGCCCAAATAGAGCACAACCTGCGCGGCAAGTTTGTCACAGACGCACAGGGTCACTTTTCCTTTTACTGCCTGCGGCCGACACCGTACCCAGTAAGTTGTATCACTTATTGCTGCAGGGATCACCAGTCTCGGCTAACCCGACGTTTTTTACAGGTCCCGGAGGACGGTCCGGCTGGCAAGCTGCTTAGACTCATGGACCGCCACGTGTATAGGCCTGCCCACATCCACCTCATTGTACGTTTGTCTTGCCCTTTTGGAATGTTGCACAAAGCCAAGGGATGTTGTGTAACTTTCAGCCACGTGAAGAACAAATGCTGACACATCTTTTTTTCTCTCCCAAATTAGGCACAAGCAGAGGGATTCAAGCCAATTACAACACAGATCTTTGACAGCAAGTCCGACTACCTGGACAATGACTCCGTGTTTGCTGTCAAGGATGGTTTGACTGTCGTGTTTGAGCCGCGCAAGAATGACCCTCAGGCTGAGTGGGATCTGAAGTACGATCTCAGTCTGGCACCTGTCTCTTCCAACTAAAAATATACTCAATTGGTCGCGGCGTTTGGCTGTTTTATTTTCTTTTACCTTGATGAGGAATGAGACGCGGCGTTTTCTCTGAAGCAATCTTGTCCAAATTGTGAACTTCGTTTGCAACTTATATGAATAAATATCCATGGCATGTGCCCCAAAAAAGAACAAAAAAAAAAAAAGCTCTGAATTCCAAGAACATCGTGCGCATCAAATCAAGGGTTTGACTTTTCATGGAAAATTCCCCCAGCTAGTTCGCGGTCTCGTGGAAGTGACGAGGAGCGGCTGATATCTCACTCTTATCGACTAGGCGTTGGATTGTCGCAAGTAATACCTGCCAGCACAGCTCCATGATATACGGGAGTGCTGTGCCAGTGAAATAATACTCCTTCCGCATACGTTTCGATATGCGGAATGGGTACAGTCTACTGCACATATCTTCGGATACCCCGGGCCTTAGCATGGAACGTCGTGCGTGGAGGGTCGGCGATGATGGCTGTATATTCCATAAGCTGGCGCTGCCATCGTTGTACCACTTGCGCTGTAGTAATTATAGCTATTTCAGTCACAAATTAAAAGAGGTAGCACATAAGCCAGGACGCAAAGTTGTGCAGACTAAGGCTGAAGTTGAGCTCAAACTCAAGGACTGTGATGCCGAGAAAAAAAGAGTTGCTTGATTTTGGTCAATCTTGTTTTATGCACTGCTCAACTTCTTGTCAGATAGTATTCAATGATTGCCTGGTTGCAAAGGGGGACTCACTTGTACTCTGACATGCCCCTTTCCTCCCACGCTTTGAAGTCTCCACAGAAACAATTTGCTGGTCCTTTATTCAGTACAAACGCCATTTTCTCCTCCTGTTGATGAAATGACATTCTACGAGATCAGATCTGCGACGTTCATTGGCATCTCATCGATCTGTGTAGAGTAGTACACTGTGCATGTTAGCGTTTTCCTCCGGTGAAACAGCAAATTGTACTTACACTCAATGTCGCGAAGAATGCGAACATCCTCGCTGGTCACAAAGTTGATGGCCACACCCTTCCGTCCGAAACGCCCACTACGGCCGATACGGTGAATGTAGTTTTCACGGTTGCTGGGCAAGTCATAGTTGATGACCAGACTGACTTGCTGAACGTCGATACCACGAGCCCAAACATCAGTCGAAATGAGCACTCTGCTGTTGCCCTGTCTGAAATCCTGCATAATACTGTCACGCTCCTTTTGGGGCATGTCTCCGTGCATGCTGCTGACGGTAAAGTTGGCTTCTCGCATCTTGTCGGTGAGCCAGTCGACCTTTCTGCGCGTGTTGCAGAAGATGACGGCTTGAGTAATTGTCAATGTGTCGTACAAGTCGCAAAGGGTGTCGAACTTCCAGTCTTCCTTCTCAACGGCAATGAAGTATTGCTTTAGGCCTTCCAGGGTCAACTCGTCACGCTTGACCAGAATGCGAACTGGGTCAGTCATGAATTTGGTGGTCATGTCGAGAACGTCGTAGGGCAGAGTGGCAGAAACCACCACAACCTGGGTAGCGGGCGGCAGGTATCTGTAGACATCGTAAATCTGCTCACGGAAACCTTGGTTGAGCAGCTCATCGGCTTCATCCAAAATGAGCATCTTAATATGACGAGTGCGCAGGTGGCGGCGACGGATCATGTCAGCAACGCGTCCAGGCGTGCCGGAGACAATGTGCTGGCCATAGTCGAGCTTTCTGATGTCCTCTCCAACGTTGGTTCCTCCGATACAAGCATGGCACTGGACATTCATGTAGTCGCCAAGAGCCATGACAACAGACTGTATTTGAGTAGCCAATTCACGAGTAGGCGACAAGACGAGAGCCTGGGTCTCGCGAACAGCCGTGTCGATCACCTGAAGCATGGAAATGGAAAAGGTGGCCGTCTTTCCGGTACCAGACTGAGCCTGGGCAATGGTGTCGCGACCCTTGCAGACCTGAACGATGGCACGCGACTGCACGGCGGATGGCGACTCGTATCCATAGGCGTAGATACCACGCAAAAGGTTCTCCTTCAACGACATGGACTCGAAAGTAGGATGAACTGTGACCTCCTTGGAGGTGGAGAACTCCATCTTCTCGTCGGCGCGACGATCGATACCTCCTCCTTCGGCCATGATGGTGATTTTCTTAGACTGATTCTGATGATTTGAGTAGCAAAAGCAATGAGACTTAGTCTCGGGATTGATGAGAATGGGCGATGACAGCGGATGAGTTGATGGAATGGATAAGGCTGCCAAAATTTCAGTGGGGCGAGTCGCGCTTTAGCCTCTGCCCCGGGATTTATTCAGGGCAGGTGGGGCAACTTTCTCAGCGTGGATTGGCTGTGGCGAAGGAAACGCGCTTGACTCTGGCCTGGAGCTGGCTGGCAGCTTTCCAAATTTCCAGGTTCCAATTCAGCCTCATCAAGCTCACAGTGTGTGCACCTAGCGCTGCTCGATTTCCAAATCAATTGCCTACTAGCAGCACCACTCATTCTTTTCTTCAGGTTCATTTTGATACTTTGCGCAACTGCGCACGAATCGCCGAGATGATCCTGGAAGAACAGCGTTTCCTCCACGAGGATCTTGAGCGCCTCGAGCAAGGTATTGCCGACCGCATTGGCGATGAGCCAAAGAACATTCGCGATCGTCTCACACGCGACCACCAGATTTCCCAGTTCCTCGATCGCATTTCCTCTCAGTCTTCCAAGCTGCTAGCTATCTACAACGATGCGGATAACTCGAGGTCAAAAGAGATTCAGCAGATTGGCACGGGCGACCCCATGGAAGAATTCTACAAGCAGCTTGGCGAGGTCAAGAACTTTCACTCGCGATACCCGAATGAGCCCGTCGAAAACCTCGAGCGCGCATACAAGCCCAAAAAGACATCTGAAGGCGACTTCATTAGCAATAACGTGGACTCCATGTTTACCGGAGAGGAAGCGTTTGGCCGCTTCTTTGACCTTCACACCTGCCACGAATCCTTCCTCAATCTTCCCAACGCCAAGCGATTGAGCTACTTGCAATACTTGGACCTGTTTGACAACTTCACGGCTGGTGCTGGTGGTCTCAAGAGAAGCGAAAAGCTGACCAATCAATACTTCCGTTATGTTGGAGAGCTGGCGCAATACTTGGAGTCGTTCATGCGGAGGACGAGACCTCTGGAGAATATTGACAAGGTTATCGCAGAGTTCGACAAGGAGTTTGGAGTATCCTGGGAGAGTGACTCGGTGGAAGGCTGGAAGCTCGAATCGGGTGCCTCCATCGTGCAAGCCAGCACAGCCGACGCTGTTTATTGCGAGGATTGCGAAAAGGAGTTTAAAAACGAAAATGTCTACAAAGGCCATCTCAACGGAAAGAAGCACATCAGAGCCGCCGCAGATCGCAAGAAGCGGATAGAAGAGTCGGGAGAAGCATCTAGCACGTCACAAGGGCCTAGAGGCGGCGAGTCTGCCGCTCGACTGAAGGAGCGCGCCATTGCCGAGAGAGAGCACAGAGTCAAGAAGCTTGCCGCTGCCATGAGCACAGAACGTGGCGACACGAGAGTGAATGTCGAGCGTAAGCAAGGTATGACGGAGCGTGAGCGCCAGCAGGAGCTGGACAACCTGTACAGCTCTACTGCTGCCGTCGTGCAAGGGCCAGAGAATGAAGAGGGCGAAGAAGGCGATGACGACGACAGGATATATAATCCTCTAAAGCTGCCGCTCGCATGGGATGGCAAGCCCATCCCGTTCTGGCTGTACAAGCTGCATGGATTGGGCGTTGAATTCCCCTGCGAGATATGTGGAAACTTTGTGTACATGGGCAGGAGAGCATTCGACAAGCATTTCAACGAGGCACGGCATATTTACGGTCTCAAATGTTTGGGCATCACGAACACTGCGCTTTTCAGGGATATTACAGCCATTGATGAAGCGACCAGGTTATGGGAAAAGATTCAAAAGGAGAAGAGGAAGGACAAGGACGACGGAAGTCTGGTTCAGATGGAGGATGCCGAGGGTAATGTCATGCCTGAAAAGGTGTACTACGATTTGCAAAAGCAGGGTCTGCTATGATGGCTCATGACAGATCATGTACAGTCGCGATTATTGAATGTCGCATCTAAAAGACTTGCCATGCGTGGACTTGCGAAATTCGAGATGATTGAAAAAGATTTAGTAGTCCTGAAGCCACCTAGATACCATCTTATTGCAGGGCTGGAATTGCGGACATGTTCAATACCTTGACACGAGATTTGGCGAAATTCATTACCGTGATTGCCATTCTACAGTCTACTCACTGCCGGTCGTCTAAGGAACTTTAACGGCATAGGAACGTGTACGGCTCGCAAAAATTCGGCGAACCCCTTTCCCAGGCTATCAAGCTTGGCCGAGCTGCTGACACCTCTGCCCAAGGCGCCGTACACGACAAAATGCACTGCTCTGATCCCTGGAAATTCTACACGCTCCATGTGGTACCAGTCCTTCCAGTCTTCTCCCATGAGCTCTTTGATGCGTGATCGAGTCAAGAAACCGCGCATCCACTCCCACGTATCGTCATTGTTCTGACGAGCCCTCGGTGTGAATCCGACATTGACATTGGCACCCTTATCGCCAGAACGCGCAAGGAGCACATCGCCGAGCGGAACCATGCGGGTAGGACCAAAGTCGCCGGATGCCCGGGGCGAGACGGGATCGTAGTTCTCCCTCGCTTCTAATGGTTCCGTCTTGAGCGGCACTCCTACTTCCCATCTCCTGACATTGTCCGTTGGGCCCCCAATGATGCTGACAGCTTCCTGGATCTCATCCTGACTCACGAGCGCGGGAAAGTATCCGAGGAACGGCAACGGGTCCGTCATGAGCCGCCAGTCGAGCGTACAATTCATGCCGGGAAAGTGCTGCATAAAGTTGTAAACAATGGCGCCGAGCACGGCTTTGACAAGCTCGGCTGTGGCCGCCTGCACAAAGATGCGGAGATAAGTCGTTGCTGCCAGCTGGCTTCTCGGATTGGCCTCGGGAACGCCAACGCGTTGAAGCTCCAGGAGATCGACCTTTTGCGTCAGGCCCCACTGCTCCATCTTGTCTCGGAGCTGTGCTTCTTGAAGATCATATTTTCGATCGACTGCATAGCCAGTAGCATTCATGGTCAACTCGCCCTGGAACCCGCCCTTGTAGAAGACAGCGAGCTTGGTAGTCGGTGGCGGCGGGTAGCCTTTGGCCCGGGAGACGTGAACACGATTTTCTCCAACTTGTTTGACGATGACGTTTTTCAGTTCTGCCTTGACATCGCTGTTCAAGTAGATTGTGCCCTGCAATTCGTACAGCATCTGGCACTTGACAACCTCTTCCGTGACGATCCCCCTAAGCTTTTCGTGTTTTGTGATCACGCACTCTCCCCTTTCGTCAATTTCTGCAATCGGGCATCCCAAATTCAGGAGATCCTCGATAGGATACTCATCAAATCCAGCATAGTTACCCCCTGTACCATACGTGCTGCACTCGATGAGGTGCCCAGCAAGAAGTGCACCAGCCAACTCATCAAATTGGTCGTCTCTCCAGCCATGCCACCAAGCTGCGGCGCCTATCACGGGGCTAGCATCTGCCACGCGTCCACAGATGATAATGTCTGCACCCTCGTCCAGCCCCTTTCGTATAGCTCGGCAACCAAGATATGCATTTGCAGCTACGATTTTCTTCTTTGGGTCATTGAGAAAGTTCTCAGTGTCCTTGGCCAACTGCACCTCCTCGTTCTTGGCGTCAAAGTGTGGAAGTTTGCCATTAGCATCGCGCTTGAGGATATCGTGAACCTTGAATGTGAGATCATCTCCTTCGACCCAGGCCACCCTGAGATCATATCCCTTCTCTCGCGCAAGCGCATCCGTCTTCTCGGCGAGCCCTCTGGGGTTCAGAGCCCCACCGTCAATGACAACTTTGATCCGTCGCTCGTGGATGGCGCCGAGGGAGAGCTGCAAGCCATCCCATGCCGTTGATACCCAGCCAGGATGCTCGCCCCTGGCGTACGCCTCGGCATACTGTGCGAGATTGGCCTCGGCCAGATAGTCGCCAGTGATCACATCAACTGGGCCAGCCGTTGCCTGGTGAAGCATGAAATCGCCCTGATCGGGTATGGCACCGGAGCAGTTGGCGATGCGTACGGCGCGTCGTGGCATTGTGTCAGTCTGGAATGAAACAATAGAAAGCTGTCTTCTTATTGTCGATTTGGGAGCCAGCATAGATGTCAACTTTTGGATACGGTAATCCGGAGTAATATTTGATCTATCCAGTCCGAAACGCCGTCAACTCAAAGATGCCGAATTCAAGATTGATTAAGAAGGCGAGTTTCAGGCACCGTCGTGGAAAGTTGATAGATCCCATCGGAGTATAAAAACCGATAAAATCCTTGGAAGAGCTATCTTTCATTGGTCGGCTTGTGCATGGGGTATACTGGTTCCCCCAGACTCTCCCCGCGTTGGTGTGAGGTTCTCCGCATTGCGTGGTTCGAACCTCGGCAGCCACTACACCATGACCGGCGATTGATGAACTCAATTTAAGCCTTTTAGAGCTATGGTCAAAAGTACGTCCAAGTGATGGGACGTCAATTGGTACTTTTCTTATATGCTTTGATTAATCTAGTGATCACTCATTGTCGAATAAGGTGGCGCGCCTGTGATTTATATGATCCCATTCAGATCACAAATCCCACCATATAAATATCATGTCGGTTCCCATAGAGGGAGACGATTTCCAGGCGAATTTGGGACAAAGTATGAGATTGGGAAATGGTACCGACTATGCCACAGGTACAAGCAAGCATGTATTGAGACGAGCCATGATGATTAATGATCTAATGATGTATAAAGAGCGGCGGTAACAGGAAATCACATCTTGTCGAACACAGGGGCTCGCGACCTCGACGGCTTCGAAATGGATGGCATTGCCAAGGGTTTCTTTGGTCTCAGGGCCAGGAGTCCATTTTCTTCGTCGGCTATGGGCCCAGCAGCACCCCAAATGCCGTGTTGCTGATTCCTCTTCTTGCGGTCCCTGCAGAAGCATTGACGAGGTGAGATCGTGAGTCGATCGGCCCGGGCAAAGATGGCCAGTATGCAAATCATCTGGAATGCCAGTACAATGGTCAAGGGCACCATTTCGAAAGTGAAGCTCCAGATGAGCAGCGAAAACATAAAAGTTGGCACGTAGAGCGGGCCAGCAATGATGGAACGGATTGGCCAAGTCTTGGAGGGCAGCTGGCCCTGGACATGTGCAATCTCTGTATGGACCGCATTGGCTCTCAGGGCTTCTGCGCCGGTGAATTGGACTGTCTGCAGGTGAGAGAAGCTGGCAAGGAGGCCAACATCGCGCTCGGTGTCGCGGACCGGCACGCCAGCCTTCCAAGTCTCCCACATGGCGATATCCTTCCACACTTCCACAACCCCTGGTGTAGGGCTAAAGAGTCTCAATTCGAGGTCTTCGTGATTTCTGTACATGATCCAGTTGATGAGGATCTTGTCCGTCCATCTGAACCAAGGCAAGACGGTAACGTGGTCAATTGAACCGGCACGTACCCTGGCCTTGAAAGGTTCGCTGAGGTATGCAACCTGTTCCTCTGCAGGCTGTGCCGCCTTGGGCCCAGCTAGCGTAGCTTCAGTGAGGTTGATGCGAGCCTCGCCCAGATGCAGGAGCAGACTGTCGGTGGTCCGGTGGCTCTCCAGCCGCCAATCAAGGATGATGCCATCGCACTCCGAACATTCGCGTGAGCCGCGATTCCCACCGAATTTGAACGACTTTGAGTATTCAACAATAGTACTCAGTTCGCCGCCGAGTCGAAGATTGGTTTGAATGTACTCGTCGCGCTGTGAGGTGGGCACTGACGGCGACGGGAAGAAGAACCACGTTGCCACGAGACAAACCCAGGTTAGTGGGACCAGCCCGAGAACGCGTGATATTGTGCAACGAGGCATTAGGGAGGTATCAATGAATGGACGCAGCTCACGGGAACAAGGCTGCACAGAAGAAATGTTAATAGGAGCAGGCGACCATGAGGCTCATGGTAATAAGAATAAATGGTTGTGAGATGAAGGCATTCAGTCGCTTTCTCTAAAAGTCAGGGGCCAAGGTCAAGGTCTTCGAAATGTTTTCCCTCCATACCTAGGGTACCAGGTGGGGCCCGCTAAGTAAACTAACTTAGGTGCCTGAGAGCCGGCTTGGCACCTTCAGGGGAGGTGGGGAGCTTTGGGAACCCTCCAAGCCCCTTCAACCGCCTTAAAGTCTGTCTTGCAGGGCTGTTCATGAATCATTAGTAGCGTTGAAGAAGCAAGTCAGGAACCGAAACGACCTCGGGAGCTCAACCGGGCAGACGATGTGCAAAAAAGACAAGTATCCTTGCCTCCATCACCGCTAGTGAGATCAGGAGTAGGGAAATGCTCTTATTCCGCGTTCAAGCTGTCTTGGTCATCAGATTGCGCCTTTTGGAACTATCCTACAATCTACTCGCCAATTCTCTCTCGCTTCCATCCAAGTACGATTTTACTCATTGCTTCAAGTCAGAATCTAATCCCAAGGTCATCCTACACTTAGGGCTCCAGTGTCTGGCGACCGGACATCAGCTCATGTAGATCACTGGCAAATTTCCGCTCTTTAAATTCCGCTTGAAAACTGGTTCATATACTAGATGACATTGTTTCTAGCCCAAAACTGTAAGACATGGATTCATAGGTTCAACTATACCAGTAACACTTCGTCCACTTCGAAGACTGACACACTTATATCAGACATAGTATTTCACCCAGATTCTATAATGCGACAAATACAAAATGATTTCACCTAGCAGTTGACTAAAGTCGTCTATAGTCGCCAGCCAAAATCCATCTATCTCCGAATAAAAAAGCCAATTTTCAATAACCACTACTTGGCAGCTTTTCCAACTTTGACTAACTGACAGCCGATACCTGATCCACCACCCCAACTCCGGTGTGCAGTTTGGATGTCCTCCATATCCCAAACAGTCTTGATAGGAACAGCAATGGTACCTTGCTTTACCAAGTCCAGCAGAGCCGTAACGTTTGGTATATACGTCGACGAACTTCTATAGATGCCATAGAAAGTGGTGCGCTTGCCACAGAAATTGAGATTGCGGGCAAAGAGCTTGACAATCGGCAGCGTTGGGTTTCTCTGTACCCCGTCGCCAAGAGAGTTCTTGTTATTTCCATAAGCGACGAGGATGCCCCTTGGACTGAGAATGGAGTAACTCTCGTCGAAGCTCTCGAACCCGAGCGGGTCAAAGACAGCATCGGCACCGCCCAGTGCTTCCATCTTGCTAATCCACTCCTTGTCTGTGTAGACAAAGGGCGTCGCGCCGTACTTGCGAATATCTTCGTGGTTGCGCCCGCTCGCCGTACCGTATACCTCGGCTCCTTGCAGCTTGCAAAGGATCATCAATGCTGCACCGACCGCACCACTCATGCCGTGGATGAACACCTTTTGGCCTTGCGTCACTTTTGCTGCCTGCATGACCATTCCGTATGCCGTGTTCCAATCGCAGGGAAGCGCAGCTGCTTGCTTGAGGTCGACGCCATCGGGCACCTTGACGCAGTACTTTTCAGGCTGATTCACCAGCTCAGCTTCTGCGTCGTATTTGGTCAAAACCGTCACGACATCGCCCGGCTTTAAGGTCGTGCAGCCCTCTCCAACAGCGCGAACGGTTCCTACCAGACAGTATCCTGGCGTCAAGGGAGCCTTTTTCTGAAGTGGGTAGAGCCCCAAGCGCATATTGACATCGGCGCCATTGAAGCTGGAATATTCTGTCGCGATCTGTACGTGACCAGCTGGCGGGTCTGGGCATACATCGTCGACTACCTTTACCACGTCCGCGTTGCCAAACTCGGCTATGACAACTTTTCGAATAGATGTCATATTGCTTTGGTGATAAATGCTAGGGGGAAAAGATGATGCAGAAGTTATTTTCTGATCACCCAAGAAAGTGAAAAGAGTGATAAATGGGCTGAGAGTGTGTGAATATATGATATCTGATGGAGTTGTTCAAAAGGTCAAGGACAAGTATGATTTTGCTGTATTCTAGTGAACTCGGTGCAGGCTTGTGCGAAGTGAAATAGTGGATTGATTTGGACAATTATTTCATTTTTGATCTCAAGAGGGTCACAATGCTTTATATATATAATCATCAAAGAGCTCCAAACAAGCAAGCAAACAAGCATCATGATCCTGCCATACTCCCGGAAGTTGAATATAGTCGGCGGCGGTGGATGTCAACCGCCGGGCATGTGGCAGTGCGCCACGGACTCGGTTTGGGCCGACTCTCTGGATAGCTAGCTGCTAAATTTCAGCGCTATCTTACGAGCAACGAAGTGGTCGGCAATATTGACTATTTCATTGAATCGACTGGCTCGATTAAAGATTTTGACCTTCTTGTTGACACTATTATAGGTCAAAACGCCTTCTAATCATATAAACTCGCTCCATTTGCGAGTATATACTCATAATTTCCTAATATGTAGTACATCGTTTGGCCCATTGAGGCAACTAACCTCCGTAATAAGTCCGCAGAGTGCCGACCGAGTGCTCCGAGCCACCAATGCCCAGACGGACCAAAGTCTCTCCGCCCACAGTCTGCCAGCACTCGCATCCTTTGTGTGACCCCTTGCCGCCAACCAGCAACCTGCAGCCACATCCTGTCTTGCAAATATAGCTGGTGTGGCGATGCATGCTGGATCATAGACCAAGGCGTCCATGAACTACAATGTAAGTGCGAGTTAATTCGACCGTTCGGATAGAATTTAGAATTCTTCACCCGGCACTCGAATTTACGGCGTCTTTTTCAACCGACGAATACGCATGGAGCTTACCTAAACTGTGCCGCAAGATATTGCGGCGCCTACCTATGGCTAACAGCTGCAATCACACGCAGTGATGCCGACAACAGTCCACTCATTCTGCATTCTGATCATTGGCAACATTATCGCAAGGGTGATAGCAACACTTCAGGCTCACAGAAAAACGAAAATAACTTGGTCTGTGTTGTTCAGCCTTTCCTTTTATGCTACTTGGCAGACTCCACAGACGTTTCGTACTCCGTAAGCAATCCTTCTGTTTGGATTTTAACCAAGCACCAGCAATGTCGTGTTGGTATTCAATTCTTGTGGCGGCTATTAATGAAATACGTTGTCAGTCTTTCCGATTTTCCACATTATACTTTGTGACATTACAGATTATAGACTAAATGTATTCATATGTTCATCACCCTCGACAACGGAGTCATCAGTATGCTGCTTGGCGTTTCATCGATTGCATCGCAATAGACCATGTATTGTATACAAATAATTTATGTGACAGTGTATCCCCACTTGCAAAAAAATAAGAATATATGGTTTGACTGAGTTACTGACATGAGAGGTTAAACACAGTCCAGATATATGTGCTTGACTTATCAATCCTTACCAACATGTCAAAAGCAGCGCAAAGGACAGTAACTGCGACGACATTGCCGAGTCGCTCATTGAGACTGGAATGATAAAAGAAATAAGCATATTCTGGTGTCAGGACAAAGCCGTGTACTTCAGAACGCGACCACCGATATCGGGTTTCGATATGGGTTCACTTGGTTTGTGCCAGTCACCCTAGATGTATGAACCAGGCCCTTTCCCAGGTCAAGTTGATCATGTCGGTAATCCACAGCGGAAGATCCTCCCACCTACCGTTCTCAAATTCGCCCGTCTGATGATCCCTTCTGAATGATTGGCTAGATAAAGGTTGAGGGGAAATAGAAGTTTGAGTAAAGACAGTGTGACCTTCACGACGTCTACTAGCTGTCAATTGACCTGGCAGCCAATACTGATGCCTCGATACTCACTGTGGTCAGGAAATACCTCTTGTATGGAAGATGCCATGTTCCCACTTGATACTATGTAGTAGGACCGATCTCCAGCACGCCATTAAAGCAAGGGGAAAATTTTGACATATGATATGGATTATTGAATGGGTTTGCCGAGAAGTACTCAAAGGATAGCACTTATTCACGAAATGCAACCTACCTAGGCAGAGCTCAAAGTACTGTGATGCCGACACGTCGGCCATACATTGTAACAAAACTCATTCTCAGACATGGACAACTTCTGATTGGTCGTAATCCATCCATACTTACACAAGCCGGCTATTTGGTAAGCTCATCTTTCTTTGCCAGCAAAGGTATACCTTTGTAGATCAACTTTCGACTATTAGAAACTACGCGCCCTATATGCCAATATTAAGCAGTATTATTCTATGAGCAATTGCTCCCATAAACCTAACCCTTGTCTTTGGCATCGGAACGCTTTCTCTACGTCGTGTGCTCGATATCATGAATTTTATTCCCTGGCACAGCACTAACTCGTGTTGTTAGCTGAACCGGGAGGATGATCCGACTTGTCCGTTTGCATCCTCAGCCACAGAATTGATATATACAATTGTGTCATACTAAGGCGAAAAGCTCCTGATGCGATGGGCTCAACAACCATCATGTCGGAGAGGCTATTTTCTCAACCATGCGGAATATCAAGATCACTCGTGAATCGTCTGATCCGCTTGGCACCGCGTCGGTATAAGACCATTTGCGAATGCTGTGTACCATTCCAAGGTCACGAACCAGGAGATCTGTTCTGATCAAGGCGGATTGCCACCCTATCAAGGTGTATGAAGGGCATATTTGACACATCAGACCATCCATGATCATGAAGATACGAAAGCCATCTAAATCATATAGTTCGCATGGATTTGAGCGTCTTCACTGCCTCTTGCTGTGCTTCCATGGACGCATATATACTCATAAGCTTGAGTAATCTGTTCTGACCGGCGGGCCCAGACCTTTTGGCCTCTTTCAGAGCTGCTCCAAGGTCCAACAGTAACGTGCTCCGGCATTTGGCCATTCTGTCGGCTGCTTTCTTGACAAAAGAGGTATCCCGTCCAATCGTATCGGCCAGCGTGTCAATCGCATTGTACTGTGTTGCCAGACCCGCCAGCTTGGTCACGCTGTTCCGCGGCACATCATTATCTTCATCGTCGTCATCGTCGTCTTCGCTGTCGTCGCTATCAGGGGCCGCGCCGTTGACTGCAAGCCGGCTCTCCAGCGACTCTAGCTTATCGTTGAGCTCAAGGATCCGGCGTCCTGCCTCGATTTCTTTCCGCGTGTCTCTGAGCTCGGCGTTGAGAGCTTTCGCTTCCTGGCCTCGATCCGCAACCTTGACCTTCACCTCATCTACCGCCCTTTTAAAGCCCAACAGCCCGACTCGCACATCCTCTACCCGCTCATCGCCGCCCTTCAGCTCGCTTCCTAGGCTGAGGAAGCTGGTGTAGTTGGCATTTACCAACTCCAGAAGCTCGGAGGATATTGCAGCACTGCGTTCCCTCAAATCTGAGCGAAGATCTTCGAGCGTTTGGTGTCGGTGTGGGAGCGAAGAGAGATAGTCTGCGGCATCGAAATCGGCAGCAAGGAAGTCGCTGCGCGGGAGTGCTGTCGGGAAAGGAAGAGCGGTGGGATCGTCCTCTTCCGTGTCTGACGATGAGCTCGAGGGAAGATTGAACGTCCTCGAAGGTGCAGACGTCGACGGCGACAAAGGATTAGAGGTCTGAGGCGGCATTGTAAGTGTTGTCGCTCGGAGGGCCGACCTGAGCGACAACCGGAACTTCAAATGCGTGGATGAGTAACGTCCTGCAAGGAGCCAGCGTACCTAGCTCGTAGGTAGGTGATGCAATTGGAAGTGTGGGGTTGTTCAAGGTGGGTTGGTTTGATGCTAGGTGGCCAGTGGCATCCAAAGGCGGCAGTTGAGGGCGATCTTGGGGGCACCCCACGAGCAGCGCTGCGAGATTTGGACGCGCGTAGCAAGGCTTCTTGGCTGTATGTGTCAGCATGCACAGGCTTGACAAAGCATCTTATGAAGTACAATTCCGATATTAAGGACACCTCATTATCATCACCATGTTCCATCTGTCAGGATATAAAGAGGCTCGGCCTGAAAGCCATGTAGAAGACGATGCCAACAATGGCGGTAACTTACCGACCACCGACCTGGAGGACACTGACCTTGGACCTCAGCTTCAGGGGATCCACCACCCAGTGACTGACCGACCGACCGATCGACCGACCAAACAACCACATGGCCCAGGCACCAATAACCCGCTAACCAGGACCAATGCACCACCATAAAGTCAATGCTCACCTCTCAAGTCAGACCTCGCGTGATACTCGCCTGTTGCTAAATTAGAAATAAGAACTCCAAGACTCCCCAAGAAGGGCCTGGCGAGACTGCAATAGGTTAGGACCTCCGCCTCGAATTCTGTCCGCGGCGCCCGCCTGCCCACTGTTCAGGGCCTTCATTCAACCCCAGCTCGGCGCACCGAACGGCGTTAGTTAGCAGGGCCAAGCTGGGCACACTTTCAAGGTCCTTGTATCTTACACTCAAAGCAGGCGTCAACTCCGGTCTCGCTCCTGGCATTCTACCACGCTGCTGGCACCAACAACGTCGATTAATCCGAGTGTGCCCGATCTTCTGCCCGCGGCTCTCCACCCATCTGAGCACTTTGCGCAAATTTTCAGTTGACGAATACGGATCATCCCTTGACCGGCGCGCCATGTGGGCACTCGGTTGAGGGATCCTGGCATTATCTTATCAATCTGATCAGTCCATCTCTGATCAATTCCATCTCTGCCTCATCCCACACTTACCGGACCCCCCTCTTCTGCCCGCCATCGTCTCCGGCGTAGCGGCATAAAGGCCTGCAAATTCTGCGTGAGGCCTTGGCAGGATATTAATATAAGGCCTTGACTGCCCATTCTTGCGTAATCTCTCTTTTTGCCCCTGTTCTCGCTTTTTCGAAAACAATCGTTGTCTATCTTGACGCACACCACGGACGGGATACAAGCACAGCCACCCCGACCCCGAGCCAGATTCAGATCATCGTGTCTGGACTGCAAAACGTCCCGGGCACTCGGCCGAGGACACTGGACACTCTCGGAGCTTAGTCCTCAGTAGTCTTGCCCACAATCTGATTATTCTGGTGCAATACCAACTTGACAACTCGTCGTTGCCGGATCATCTCTTGCTGTCGCTTATCACTGTGCCAAGTCGAGGGTTTTACTCTTCTGGTTTTCGTTGCCGCCAGTCCCTCGCTACTCCAGATCTGTCATTTGGTACCTGCATGTTATCCTGGACCCCGTGGACACGACTCACCTGAAATCCGAAACTCCGGCCCGCCTATCACTCCTGACCTACCTACTACGGAGGCCGTATGCACACCAACGTACATTACACAACTACTCACACTGCACACGAGCTTTAGGTTGCATTCCAAAAGGCCATGGCAAGCCCAACCGTTCTCACGCCCTCTATGCGTGCTGAGAGACCGGGCAAGCTGGCCATTATGCCCGTATCAGCTGCACCCTCACATGGCTCGGCGATGCATGTATCTCCGAGCTCTGGTGCATCTACGCCGACGTCTGCCAGCGGGCCTCAATTAGCCATGAAACCCACGCCCGCTGGTTCGCATCATATCCCCTTAGCAAGCATGGCTCCTACTCCAGAGCCTCATGCTCAACAGCCCAAGGTTGGCATCACCAGCAAGGAATGGGTGATCCCACCCCGACCCAAGCCAGGACGGAAGCCGGCCACAGACACTCCTCCTACCAAGCGCAAGGCCCAGAACCGTGCAGCACAGAGGGCATTCCGAGAACGCCGGGCTGCTCGTGTCGGTGAATTAGAAGAGCAACTTGATGATCAACGTCGCGAGCAAGAGCAGATCGAGTCAGACTTGCATGAACGCATCAGCGGCTTGGACCTCGAAGTGCACAACCTTCGGAGCCACTGTTCAACGCTCGAAGCCATGCTAGACAAGGAGCGCAAGGATCGAGAGATGCTTACGAATGAGCTTGAAGCTACTCGAAGACAACTTCGGGATGAAAGGGCGAGCGTGTCATCCCGTCATGCAAGCCTGCCTGGCTTACACGCTGCACTCTCGCAGCATCACACACCACGGAGCAGTATTGCCAGCACTCATTCGACCCACAGGAACTCAACCTTTGCTATATCCCAGCTTATCAGTCCACCGAATCCCGCGGAGTTGGGAAGATCCAACGATGGAAGATCCCACGAATCTGGTTGTGACCGCTGTGACCCAAATGGTCCATGCGCATGCATAGAGGATGTCCTTGCCCATGCAGGGCCTGTGGCGGAATGCGGCAACTGTAGCCTCGGATCAAGGTGCGAATGCCTCGAAGCCGCTCTAAACACATCAACCAATACAGACTCAGACCTGAAGCGAAGACAATCTTCCACCTCGCCACTCGAACCAGAGGAAAAGAGACAGAGACAAAACCACGATGAAAACGAGATCGACTTCACTGCCATGTTTTCCCGTAAAAGGACGACGGCCGTTGTCGAACCCGCACCAGAACCAGTACAACAGACCAACATGATGCCACCCCGCGACTCCTGCGGCTTCTGCACAGAGGGTACCTACTGTATGTGTGCTGAGGCAGCTGCCGCGGAATCACAGCTCGCGCCCATTGGGTCACAAGTGCAGACTCCCCCACCAGACTCGGACAATGACATGGGTCCCATTGCTATGGAGTTTACAGCAACAGGAGCGGTCAAGCTTCCTCGTCTCTCCAGTCTGAACCGTTCCAAGGCTGCCACCAACAAGCCTAGTAGCTGTGGGCCTGGCGGGCCTGGCACCTGCGCTCAGTGTATCATGGATCCCAAAGCAGGCCTCTTCTGTCGCAGTCTTGCTGCCACATTGGGTACCTCTGGCAGCAGCTCCAAAGCCTCCGGTGGTTGCTGCGGAGGTTCCGCTGGCGGCGGTGGCTGCTGCAAGTCAAAGCCGGCTGCTAGTCCAAACATTGGTCTGTCTGTGGCTGATGCTTACAAGACTCTGTCCAGCCATCGTAACTTTGACAAGGCATCAGATGACATTGCCTCATGGCTTCCCAAACTACGGGCTGTGCCAAGGCCACAAGAGGTTGGCGAAAGCAACGCTAGACGCTCTCATATTGAAGTTGAAACAGCAAGTATAATGAGTGTACTCAAGGGATTTGATGTCAGATTTGGAAGAGAGCCCTAGTAGATACGCTGTCTGTTTGTCATCTGTAAACATTTTTTTCGACGGGCACATGTAAATACCCTTGTGGGAAGGCATAAAAAGGGGGATGTATTGGACTTTACGGCTTGGGGAGGCAAAGATTTGTTTTTTTTCTTCTTACGGCGTTTATAAGGACATACCAGCACCAAAGAGTGCACTCATTGAGGTCACGAGACGATGACTAGAAGGGTAGTCAAAGGAGGAACAGCGCCATTAACCTATGTGGAATCATATATCACTTTGTGTGAATTATCACCATTGCTGCTGCCCATGCATACACGAGACTTGTGATGTACGGGTTTCATTTGCCTTTCACAAGCTTGTCGAATGGTATTGAATACCTATTTGCCCGGGCCTTCAACCCTAAGAAATCTTCTCAGTTCACGATTGTGTCACAATGGGATGAAGTCACGATAGCATAATTCAGTACATGGTTGAATATCTGAACGTAAATATTTGAGGAGGAGCAACAGATATACGTATAGAAGTATGTAGTGAAATACCAAGCCCGAAATGTAGGAGGCCAGAGGGCACCTACGTTCAAACGATTGTGCTAGAGGCGCTGCTGCTGGTGTACGACGCGGTGTCGCTATCGTAGTCGGTCGTCTTCTTCCTACGAAACAGGTTCCTGAGCCATCCGAATCGGAAAAAGCCCCCAGTGATACGCTTTTTTTTCTTGACGTCGACGTCGATAATACGAGGTGATGGTGAGTGGCAGTAGCACGAGCACTGGGTGCGGATTCGTTAGCATCTTACTTTATTGCAATAATGGAACACATGAGTCGCGATTCCGTCAAAGTCTTTGGATCTCTCAAACTTGCAAGAGCGACTAGCGCACAGTGATGCGGACCCAGCTCAAGAGATACTAAGATGGAGGAAATGGAGACATTGCTTACACAGCCACAGCAGGGCTTTGGCGGCTTTCCAAAGGGGTGGACGGGAGGTCGCATCGGCGGAGGCATTCCTGGACCCATCATTCCCGGGGGCATCCCCGGAGGTCGGATATTCGGATGACGGCGATTCGTCTCGAACGAGATGGTCAAGTCGACGGCCGCGGCGTAGAGGTAGTCCAGATCCTTGATGGGATCAACGATGGCCAAGCCCCTCTTGCCGGCTGCGTGGCAAAGCTTTTGGGCCTCATAGGCGAGATCAAAATCCTCTTCGTCGATGGCGGCAGTAGCAGCTTCGTCATGCTTGGTGTACTCATCGAGCTTGTCCGTTGCCGTCCTCTTTTTCTTTTTCTTTTCCGGCTCACGCGACAAGAGCGGGCTCGGGTCAAGACGGATGAGAACCTTGCGCAGCGCCTCGGGCGTGACGCTGCTGCCCTGCGCCTGATCGTCTCTGTCCACGGTGACAACCAGGGCTTGGCGCGGCAGGTACTGCCACAGACGCTTGGCTCTGAACTCGAGGGACTCCCACGTCACGTCCAGCATCGGCGGCGGCGAGGCTATACTGAAGAGCTTCTCAAGGTTGATGAGGCGGGCGTCGACATTTTGCAGCGTCACGTCGAAAAAGGCCTGGGCAATGTCGACGCCCTTGTAACCCTCAAGGGTGGCAATCTTCTGTACGAAGAGATGCTTGGCCATGGTGTTGCCTTTACAAACCGAGCCGGTTCTATTACTTGAAGAGACAAGGTGTGACAAGGGGGAGTCCCGATCGGCTCCTCTCAGAACATGAGAGGGAAGACCGCAAAGGACTGTAAAGGAGGGCTGAGGCAGCTTATATACCGCCAGGTATGTTTATCGGCAAGGCTTCACAAACGACGCCTTCTTATTCGTGACATCCTTGGGAGCAATGCGACAATCTATGTGGACCAGGCTTTCAAGTCCATTTGGCGCAAATGTACAAAAGTCCGCAGAAAGACGACATGTCAGACTCGCAACGAAGCTATACCGGCATTTGCATGGCATGGCGCGCTGCGCTGAAAAAGAAGGTGGTCTGTCACCCCTCGCGTCTGTATGGCCTTTTTCGTTTCGGTGAGCTGGATCGTGCATCATGCGCAATGGCTTTAGAACATGTCCACGTCTGCGCGCATACACAAGCGTAGCAGCGCCAGGCCAGTGGGAGTCGCGGGTCGCTTAGAAATTCATGCAAGGCTGGGAGCTAAAGAGTCTGGGGGACGGATGACGGCAGCTGAAATAGATGCAGGCATTTTCTTCTGCTCCATCTGTCGTTGAGCTGCTGACTCTTGTCTGCAGAATCAAGGCTACTTTGCAGAAGCCACAAAATGTAGGCGAATCATGTATCATGTGACGTGCAGTTCGTTTAACCCATCTTCAAAGTGCGCATGAGACGGGTTCCGAAAGGACCTCTACTCACCAATGGTCTTCAGTCTGGTATATCGCGAGCATGATGGCACGGCTGATTGGGGTTGAATTGGGGTCAGTGCAGTATATATTGACATGGGTGCGATCCGATATATCGTGGGCGCCGGAGCCCGACGACATTAGGAAACAAGGTCCTGTGGGACTAAATATCAATCCAGTGTCATGCAATTCAACATAGATAAAGTAACGTTCGAGTCGGCAACAACGTGGTTCGTGATCAACTAAACAATGTCAAACATCAGCGATGCCTTTAGCTGGATGCTCACCCTCCCATATCCTGCAAGACTTAGGCTGATGACTCACAACGCCGTGGCAATGAAGTCTGACCCCAATGAACGGCGCGTTCAAGGGTGTTGAGAGAAATACAATAGTATTGTTAAATTTGCATGCCCGACCAGGCTGGAAATATGTACATTGAAGAGACAAGGCTCCGAGTCAGATAACAAAAGCGACATCCATTGAGGCAGCCTTATCACGCTTAACCAGTGTGTCCTCAAGAGCTCATGGCTGGCACGGTGATCTTCTCGATATACCACTGGAGTCATGGTTAGTAAAATCGCTCTTACCAACAACACTGTAAGACAAATCCATGATACAACTTACAGTCTTGCCACCGTCCGAGGTGGAAGGAGTGGTGTACTCGGCACCATACTCGCCGTAAATGGTCGAACCCCAGTTCGCATCAGCTGCCTTGAGGACAATGGTGGTGTTGACATAGTACTGCGGCTCCACGGTGCCGCTGCCGTCGACGCCGTTAAAGTCCTGCAGCTCAATGGCCGTGTTCCAGAGGTTGGACTGCTGCTTGGAGACCTTGGTGTAGGTCGAGAGGACGTTGCCCGTGACGGCGTCGGTCATGGTCTGCGTCCACGAGTACGTCGACGTGTCGGTCAGCTCGTAGTTGAAGATGATGCCGTTCTCGTAGTTGACGTCGGCGGTGCGCTCGTCGCCGACGAACTGCGTCGTCGCGCCCGAGTCGTCGAGGCCGTAGACCTCGCTGGAGATGCACCACGTCGTGTCGGCGTTGGTGCCGCTGCACTCGCTCTGTCCCGCCGGGTAGGAACCGACGATGGACTGAATGAGGTCGTAGCCGTCGCCGTTGACACCAACGCCAATCCAGGCAAACATGTAGCCTCCCTGGTCCGAGGGCATCTTGCCGGGATACATGGTGGATGTGGTCGAGATGATTTCCGAGCTGGTCTCTTGGAAGCCGACAATGGGGCCCCAGCTCACATCACGTCTGCCGAGCCTTGGGTGAGATGCGGCGGCTGCCGTTGCGGCAAACAGACCGACTGATGTCTTGACGTGCATGGTGGCTGTAAATGAGAGAAAATGTGTATATACAGAAAGAATGGAATGGAATTTAGTACTTCTGACTCCCAGAGGCAGAATATTTTCAGAAACGAAGGACTTGGCAGTGCTGGTCTGTCAGAACCATTCTCATGGGAATCATTGCCATTTAAAAGTCGTCTCGATACCCCCGGGGCATCGTGGCTCCGCAGACTGAGAAGAAAGTCATGGTCACGAAAACGGATCGCGCCGTGACAGGGTGCTAAAGTGGAATCGCATCACTGGCGGATCACCCATATTTTGTATGAAACAATCAACACCCCACAGAGACAAGGATGGTTCGCCCACTTCAAGCTTAACTCAATTCGATTGTTCCAGGAACCCGGGTCAGTTGCCTCCGTCATATTAAACCCCCTTCTTCAAATATATGATGTTGAATTTTCGCAAACAGAGAAAACTTGCGATACGAGCTGGTAGTGGATTATACACTCGAGTTCTGACACTGCTAGTGCGCGGCAGTTGTTGAGGTTGCGTGTGGATGCCCATGCTGGAGAAGCAGGGACCCTTATTAACGGTAACGATGCGCCCACATACCGGAAATTGCAAAAAGCTTCGCATCCCTAACCCAGAAAGAAGTTGCGTGAATCAAGTCAAATATCTGGATTTGTTCGGATAAGTCATTATGTTCTGTGTATACCTGCAGAGTCATGATTGCGACTTTCTGTCTGTTTCGCAGGTTGCTCATGATAGGGCATTGTTTATAATTTCAGAAGACACAACAAATCCACGGGGTTCATCTCGACTTGAATTTGCTTGATCAGATGAGACATTTTGGTGTTGTCACCCATGGCTAAGAGAAATGACATGAGCTCCGTAATCGGCTAGCTACATTACCTGAGTCTATCGTCCGATGCAAGCATTAATAACGCGCACGTGAAATGATAGTTTACAAAAGTGTAGCAGGCCACTTGGAAATAATTCTCATAATGAAAAGGTTGCTATTTCGCTAGATCAGGGGCGATCCGGGGACTTTGGACAGACGCAGGTTATTATTGCGCGTTGGCAAGACACAACCGTTTGTCATCTTGTTCGACCCAGTAATCACTCCCGACTGCTTTGGGAGCATAAAACAAGTGGTTTGGATCGTATTTGTTCTTGATCGATAACAAGCGGTCGTAATTTGCGCCATAGAAATCGTTCTTCCAATTGACGTCTGCTGCACTGGCCTGGCGATAAATGTTAGACACTTCGAGTGATCCTGGTGTACAGACATACCTCGTTCAAGTAAGCGCCACTCTCTGGAGCAATGGCTTTGAACTTTGACATGATCTCGTTCTCTATAGTCTCCAGGCGCGCGTAACCGTCCGCAAGTGTCTCATTCGACGGTTCTGGCCTATACGCAAGCACGTTAGCTTGTACATCTGACGGGGTGCCCGCCATGAGGAGCACATACATGACAATCAAGGTGTAATATAAAGCCTGCCTCCACGCCTCTAGAACAGCATTATCAACATCACCGGCTACGGCCTTGGACACATTGAAGCCAAGCGTGCCTATGGTGGCCCCTGCAGCTGCTGTAGAGAGCACGGCGTCAATGAAGGCGTCGTCCATCTCTCCATCCGAGGCAACATCGCGGGGTATCAACCAGCTCCCGCCTTGAACATGCACAAAACTTGTCGAGCTGCCGTTGCCATAAGAGTCTGCGTAGGAGTCGTGTGAGGTCGTTGTTGGAGCATATGCTACACCATTTTGGTCGAGATATGCGAGAAATGACGACAAGAGCTGGCCGATTTCATCAGCAGTTGTGTTGGGGGCCAGCAAAGATACAGAAAAGTAGCCGGACGACAGGCTGTTGAGTGCATAGATGCCACGGTCCACAAGACTTGGCACGACACTGTGGAAGGAAGATATGGCTCCGCGGAGTGTGTCATTTGATGTCGACGCCATGGGAAAGCTCAGACCGTAGGTAACGACCGGGAATGTCTGGTGAGCTCGGACTGTGATGCGGTTTACGACTCCATACTTTGATAATTTGTGTCAGCAGTTTTGTTCCACGTGAGAATACTGCGCCCACGAGACAACCCATATCAAGCAAAGGTTGCTTACCGTACCGCCTCCCCCACCACTCAGTGCCCAAAACAGGTCGGAATTCTCCTCTCGATTTGCAATCAAGATATTCCCCGAGCCGTCGACGACTTGAAATTCCAAAGCATTATCCGCAGCCAGGCCAAACTTGGATGCGAGAGAACTATGTCCACCTCCTTGGGTGTATCCACCCGCCAGTCCGACACTGGGACAACTTCCAGTCACTGCCACGAGATCATGGGTTCCTGCAAACTCAATTGCCTCGAATCCCTGAACGCCTGCTCCAGCTCGGATAGCTGGTCCGGTATAGTGCTCGCCTTTCCAATCGAGGACCTCGAGGTCCTTCATATTATGTGTCCAGACAGACACGGCACCAGCTCCGGTTGATTTTCCAAAATAACTGTCAGAGGTCAGTGCCGTCTATATTTTGAATAATCAGAGAGCTTACTCATGTCCCGTATTCTTGATAATCAAGCGTATGTTCTTTTCCACGGCAAACTTGACAGTCTTGGCAATCTGTTCGACCTCGGACACGTTGACAGCATACTGTACATACGTTCCAATGACGCACTGGGCATCACGGCCCGTAAAGGGGTCGCAGCTCTGGTTCGCTGCCAGCGTACTCATGATACTATGAGGTGACTGATAGCTAAATATGAGAGTTGCATCAGTACCCTTGGATCACAATGACAGCTATTCAATAACTGTGCTTACTGCAACGTCGGATACGGCCAGTCAGCTTGTACTGCTGCACAGGCACTCTCATTATACTGCTCGCCATGGCAGACACTTGCGACTGGAACAGTCCGAATGAGTGCTCCACCCACAGATGCGTTAAAAGACGCCCAGTCGTCCTCAGAAGGCCAGCATGCGTCGCCTGGGAAGCACCGGCATTGTGTCTCGCACACGACCGAGCTGAGAAGGCTCAACAAGAATGTAATGAAGATTTGTTGTCTCATTCTGAACAGAGCAACCAAAATACAACATCGGATGGGTTTTAGGTACGAGCCTCGTCAATTGTCTGTTCACTTGGGGCGATATATATACGGTATTGGGCAGAAAGGCGTGGCTGAAAAACAAGCAAGCACCTGCTCGCATGTGACCTACCATCCTGCCCAATTAACATACTTGTGTTGCATCGCATGTCTTTGCCACGCCTGGGATCTAGTCACTCCTATTGGCCTTGGCGAGCATCTCATGGGTAGTACGCGTCAATGTTGAAGAATTGTGGCTTGATGCAAAGTGCCTCGCCAAAGGTGATTGATGTGCAGTCGCTTAATGTCGGCTAACTCTACAGCGGAAGCATACATACTAGAACCTGGTTGCGTCAGGAATATGTGTTGTGCAAACCCATGGCTGTTCTAGACTGGCATTAGTATTGCATCGATATTCATGCATATCAAGAAATTTCAAACAATTCGATTTATAATTTATATGCCAGATCTCGCTAGTCGCCACGGTATATTGAAATGTCCTGGCACTTCCCGAACAATTGGTCAATTTTTACAATCCTGTAGGTGGACATCAAATCACGTATACTTTTGTCTACTGCATTTTCCGATTACAAATATTACAAATAAAGCCAAATTGAAAGAATGTTGGCCATGAAAACCAAGCCAAGCAAGTGGTGTTGCCCACAAGGACTCATGGACTGGTACGCATAGTGCTTGGCCCAGCGCTATACCCCCACTATATCCTGCCCAGGCCCTTATCGCCACTCCACAATATTGCAATGATACAATAATAATAATAAGCCGCATTCTTTCAACAACCAATCAACAGGTCTTGTGGTCTAGTGGTATGATTCGCGCTTAGGGAAAACCCTGAACATTGTTTGCGCGAGGCCCCGTGTTCGATCCACGGCAAGACCCTTTCTTTTGCAATTTTTTGCTTTCTGGTCGGAAACTATAAATTGATTATTGTTGACGATTAGGACTTCTGTTGTCTCGCTATGTGGCAGCGTTGTTATTTTGTAAACTTCTTACGTTGTGTGAATGTTACTTCATAGGATGCGACAGGATGAAAAGATGCTAGCACTCAAATAGGTCCATATACTACTAGTCAAATGCCTCTCCATCGACAACACTCTCCCCCATCTCACAAGACCCCCACCTAACCCTCTTCCCTATTTCGACAGTCAAGTTCTCAAGCGCAAATGTAACCAGATCAAGAACCAATAACATTTATGTAGTGGGATTGTGGCTTTGCCATGCCATGACAATGTCAATAACAGCTGACAAGATGGTTTATGGGAAGATAGTCTTCCACTTATAACAGCAATGACTCCACCTTTGAGCTTTTCCATATTCCGTCAAGTCACATGAAATCCTATTTATTTTTTACATTACATACTAGCCCATGATATTGGGGCAACACTTATGACGTTGGCTCCGGACGAAACGACTCATCCTCCTCAAAAATGTTCAACTCATTCCAGTCGTCAATGAATGATTCAAGATTGCGCGGAACTCGCCGTGGCCCAAATGGTGGTTGACCGTGAAAGTTGCAGCGCCCTTCTGGACGGCCATCAGCTATCGGCCCCTCGAAATAGCCAGAAATCTCACTGGTGCCAAACGCAATCTTGCCCTTGGTGATGAGCGAGTTGTTGATGATTGTGTCGGGCATGTGGCTGGACGTTCCCCTCCAAGTAAAGTCGAAATAGATTGGATCAGGCCCGGCCTCGTCTTCTTCGTCACTGTCGACATCACGAGAAAACTCGGGCGGCTCGCGGTCGGGACCGTGGTCAACCATGAGCACTCCCTTGTAGGATCCAAAATCGAAAACTCCCCAAATGCGATCGTAATCCCACACCAGCATCATCTGGAACCCATGGCCACGGTCGGCCAAGTGTTCCAGCTTGACCTTGTAAGTACCTTGAATGCTGCGGAGATAGATCCGATCTCGATCCGAGAGGCTGGGATTATTGACAAAGGAGTTTGCCTTGAGGGTGTCCCATGCAGGGCGGTACTTGTCCATTGCCGGATCCGTTTGGGTGTAGTAATTCCCATTCTGGGGCCGAGGATTGGCCATGGTAATTGAACCTTGCTGCCAGGTAAGACGAGGTGATGGGTGAGCGTGGTGCAATTTGGGATGACGAGTAACAACAAATCAGGTTCGCGTGACAGGTGCGAAAGTGAGAAAATTGCTGTTTGATGAAGAAGAGATCAATGATCTCGGACAGAAGCTGTCTGGTAGAGGTATGAATTGCATGTGGTTGTCCTAGGGAAGTGGAGAGAAGGGAGGAGCTTCTGTTTCTAGTGCAGTTAGTGGAAGAAGGTGCCAAGGTGGGGGGCAATAGCACTATAGTAACTACCGGTACTGGAGCAACCGCCCCCATAGTCGACGCCCAGGGTTTCCGCTGTTCAAACGTAGGGCTAGGCCATTACAAATAAGAGATATATGCTATACCTATTCACCTTTCACATCTTCGAGCTCGATCCAGCATATACTGAATTATATCAACAATAAGTTTGCCAGGTAATGATTTGAGTTGTGAGTGGTATACTTGGCCAAAAAGATAGCTATGGTTAAGCTAGCTCTTTTTGTATTCGCTTCCACGCAGAACTGGACGGGCCGAGGCAGAGCTTTTATTTACTTTTTTTTTTCTTTAAAACAAGAAGAAAAAACCTGAGAGTGAACCGCTACTGATGCATAATAATTATTTTTTTAGTGACACTTCATTTTTGAATCCTCAAAAATTAGTTGTCATAGTATGGAATGCGTCCAGGCAGAGATGTGGCGGGCGATATTATCACATACTTGTCAACATCATATAGCACAACTGCTTGCGCATTCGTCTAGAGGAAATTATGATAACAATCCTACTCGGTAATCGCGGTTTACTTGAATAAAGGTTCCGAGACTTGAGGCACGTTCTACCGCCATTATATAATTGAGTGTGACCTACCACCCGATGGGGCGAAGCTCACACATTGCTTGCATATCACCAGGGTATAGTGCATCAAGACCAATGAGACTTTGCAGGTGACGCCACCGGGCTTTGTACTTAGCTGACGTGTAATTCCATCACGGCGAGATGCAGTTGACAGATATAGCCAATTATATTGACAGCAATTCGGCAACCAAATGGCAAGCAGTGAACCTCGGAAAAACATGGATGCCGTTCTGCAGCCTCATCCACGTGCGAGATGCCTGAAACGAGAAGCTTCAGAGGCTCCCAGCCCAAAGCAACTTGGTCATATGCCATTGCGCGTAAGTTGTATCCTGGAACCTATTTGTTATCCATGTGCGACGACTCGAAAATCCCTTACGTTGGTATCTATACTTTTCGCTTCTTTGCGACGTACTGATGAATCAGGATGGCGGCCGAAGGCCTTGGCTTGGCTGCCTCAGTTGCCGGCCTTGTGTCGTTAGGCTTGCAAATCACCGGTGGCATCGTCCAGTATCTCGACGCCTTGGACCGACGCGAAGACGACCTAGCTCATGCTAGACAGCAAAATCAGACTCTGACAACTACTCTATCCGCCCTGGAAACAGTGTCGGCCGGCCTCCAGAATCAACATCTAGTGTTTACCGATACGCTAGTCCAGGATATACAAAGGTGCAAACAGGCACTCAGTGATGCAGAGCGTCTACGCATTGAGCTCACTGATGGCAATAATGCAACTTGGACAACACGATTGAGAAACACAAATAAGAAGTTGACCTACAAGTTCCAAGAGTCCAAGCTTCAGCAACTTTCTCAGCGATTGCAGCAAACCAACGAAGTCCTACAGCTCACTCTGAATGGGTTGCAAGTGTATGTCTAGTATTATACGTACTCCAGGAATGATATCTTTACTTACGTGTGAATAGGGAAATTTCGATGCTCAATACAACCAAGCTGGTTGCAATCGAGTCATCTTCTCAAAACATTTCGTCTAAACTGCATCAAATCAATTCGAGAGTCGAGGCTATTCAAGAACCCTCTATGAGAATCAGCACCCATCTACCAGTGCTGCAGGACAGCGTGGACTCCGTCGCCCATCGGGTCGAGTACCAGTCCGGCCTCATTCTGGACAGGATCCAGAAAGGTAGCCAGAATGTCCAAGAGGGTATCCATCAATCTATGGAAATACAGTTCAAACAGCAGCAAGAAGAGTTCGAAAAGAGATTTGGGCAACTTTTCAAAATGCTCCAGCGGCCGGATCCAAACGTGTCTGTCGCGCCATCGACACTTCAGGAGTTATGTGACAGTGTTCAAACGCCTAAACAGAGGCGTGACCGAGATTTGCCAGAGGATACAATCCATTCAAATTCACGCGCTGTGACAAGAATGTCACAGGATATCCTACAGCGCACATCAGTCACCGGTCGGGAATGCATTTGTCATCGATCTTGGCGGGCAGCCACGGGAAAGAGTACACAGATGGGCCATGTCTACTTCTCCAGTGCATTTGCAACCCAGCGTCATTGGCCGAGTTGCCCACAGTCACAATGGGCACCAACTCAGAGCCGAAAAACATGGGGTGTGAAATACACTGGTCTTACCCGTATACTAAAGGCCGCTGTTGATATCTCATTCTCATACACATTCGGAGCTGGCGGTTTCAGTATTTGTCCCAACTTTACCTACTATCCGACAGTTAACGACGAAACGGACTGCGCCTTCCAAGTATTAGAAGTACTTTATTCGGCAAGTTGGCGGACGAATCGAGAAAAAATGGAGCTGTTGATGGCCTCCTGTATCAAGAAATTGGTAAAGATCTTTGATGGGAAGAAGGCGCTTCCATGGTCTGTCAACGACAGAAACGAAAGTCTGGTACACTGTATGACCGAAATAGTACGATTTAAACCCATCTTGGGAACACGTCAAATACTCACAGTTTGATCTAGGCACTGGAGCTGAGTGAAGACGCAAGATTACAGAGCTCGTGTCTAGAACTTTTGCAGATCTTGATTTCGTATGGCATTCCAGCATTCAGCTATGACTACAGGGGTAAACCTAGCAAGAGAAAGAAGTGATACAATATAGAATACTAATAACGAGTTGCAGGTGTATCTCCAGTAGTTCGTTTCGGATGAATAAATCCAAACTTCGCCAGCGACATGATTCAGTTCTTGGTGCAGGCGAATCGGGAGGATAAGTCGGCAATTTTGCATTCTTCGATTAAAAGTCCTAAGATGAGCTATGGATTTTACAAAGAGTCGGTCAATGAGCTACAGTACAAAACAAAAATGTACGAAATGACTCCCAGGTTTGCAGAATGTAGGCGCCACAGCAGTTTGGAAGTCAACCGTTCCCGCTAATGAACCGCAGCATGCGAATGTGGCCCTTTGAGTCTGGCCGTAATTCGCCATGACGTTCTCGAAGTATCTCGTATCTTGGGCCGATCCCCTGATTCACTTACTGAACGAGACATTTACGGTCAAAGCCCAATTCACCTCGCAGCAGCAAAACCTCGAGTTCTATCCCTGTTGGTCGAAGCCGCCAATATTGAACTTCTAAGACTACGCGATTACTCTGGATTCGATGTACTTGACATGGCCATGGCATACAGTTCGTGGCAGTGCGTTAATGGCTTCTCTCCTGATCGATGTCGGCAATGTTCATGCACCGAATGCGTCACAATTCTGTTCAAGGCTGGCTGCAGTGTACGCACGCATGAACCTATTGATGAAGACCATTCCCGTTCCCAATTAAACGAAGTTTTGGGCGGTGCATCTGAGCTCGCGCGACGGCGTTATATTTTCCAAATGAAAGTGATGCGGGCTGCTCAATCCCGAGCTTTGGCATCTCACAACGGAGTCCGGGAGCGGCACACGGACTGTAGATATAGTACCATCTGGACAGAGCCATACGTCGCAGCATCGATAGGAATGCCAGATACATGTGATGGAAAAAGTGGTGAGGAAGACTGGAGCTGGGTCTATTGCAAAGGAGGAGATCCACATCTCGGTGACCTTTTTTACAGGCATGGCTTCCAGCCTCATCCGTCGCTTTTCACTCTTCTCCCCTCGATAAAGTGGATGAACCTCTCTGTTACTTACATGTGCTGGTTGGCTGAGCACGGTGTGGACCTGTTCTTACGATCTACCCAACACACTGTTACTGACAGTTCCTCAACTGTCGGACTATTTGGTGCACACTTTGCCTTCTACCATGCATATTGGAACATCGATGTAACAACAGATACCGAGGACTTGGCAATCCTTTTGAAGCATTATGAGGCTGTGGAGATTCGGGGTCTGACAGACGGTTGTCACTGTGCCTGTACGATCGGAGGATGCAGTCCCTTTATATGGACGTCGAAAAAGCAGTTGGACCCAGACTGTGGCCTTGGCTCCGCTGCCGAACATCTGGCATCCAAATACCAGATATACAATACTGTGCTGACAAAGCTTACATATGCGGCAGCAATCAGATTTGCCACATTTGAAGCTTTGGGTCTCAAGCATACATGCTGCGAACCGGGTGATATACTGTATGTAGGGGAGCTGCATGACGCCAACGATGTAGGTGTCATGAACGAAGAACAAGCCAAGCATTTGGAATTGCATGAGGAACTGGTGGCAGAGTTCGAAGAGAAAGCCCGTGAATTCCTGGAACGACGGACTGATAATGGCACGGACTTTCCCAATTTCTGGTCCTCGTACTGGATTGATCGGATTCAAGAAGTTCTAGAAAGTCTTGACGGCGATGAGCTGACAGATGAGGAAAGACGAGGCGCGGAGGAGATTGGGGTACGTTGGTGTGAGCCACCTAAGCCAGAGGTGGAAGAAACAAACCCGTATGAGGTTAACTCGCTGGAGAGGTATTTTCACTGGTTGGATACAATTTGTCCGGAGTACAACGAACCATGGCCTGATGGGTTGAACCGGGTGACTGAAATGTCATAAGGTCAGTCGAGCCGACGGTATCCCAGGCCACTGCGATTCTTGGCTGCCTCCTGTGCTCATGGGCTTGGAAAGTTGTCATCGCTCGGTCATTTTCCAGCCGCCGCTGCATCTCTGACGGTCTCACTCGATCAATCCCACTAACATTTGGATGTTGTTGTTGCCCTGGGGATATGTTACATCACCTCACGCTGAGCGGTAGCACAGACAAGTCATTCTCCATATTGCCACGCAACACACTGTTTCTCGATCACGAAGCTGCCTTGAATACCGTGCGTAATATTCAAGAACTGGACGCGAATGGTAGAAGTGTTTGTCTACATGGCACGTGGTGTATCTATCCGGGATACTGTTCCCGTCTTCTCCAAGTCATTGAATGGCCTGAGACAGCAAGGACTCGATAAACAATACAATAATGGTTTTGCGGTGGTATCGAGATAGCAAATCGGTCCTCTCAATGGTGCATAGAGGGGGGATGGATGTATGTGCTTTATACAGAAGACCTTTTGTTCTGTTCTTAGATGGTAGAAACTGGGTGTATTATTTTAATGAATTGCTATTTATACGTTATGCCGCGAAAGCGTAACTCCCCAGCATGGCATAGACTTGCCAATATGATACATCAGAACGACTTTGCAAAATGTTTGCGATTGAATTGGCCGCTTCCATTCCACCGCAGCCTGCCATAAACTGCAAAACGCCAATGATCCACGTGCGCATTTTGCCTCGGGTCGACAGCTTAGCAGCCAGATATAATGGACTCAACAAAGTGTAGCACTGCAGCGACTGCAGAGGGGTAAACGGGATGCAATTCTCGGTCCTTGCCTGGACCCAGACAAATTGTGGGACGGCGGCGCAAATGTCACTACACAGGCCGTCTATTAGGCGCAAGGTCCTTGTACGGCCATTACCCACATCATCATGAGCATGGCAATGCTTCATTGTCATTTCGACTAAGAGCAGACGCATGCTCCGAGCAACGTTGCGCACTTGAGTCACAAAGTGATCTCGGTACTTGTCATAATGGTTGCCATACACCATCGGGAGCTCTTCCTCTGTATATATGCGTTCAAACTGCCATGAAGATGGGAGTTCGCAGTCCATCGCCGCGAGGCGGTTATCTAATTCATCAGCTCGTTGGAATAAGTCGGCTGGTGTGCATTTTTCTTGAGATAGGTCTGCCGCAAGGTTCACAACACCGATAACCAGGGCCGTGATGGCAAACTTGGGATCTACTCGACTATCCACCAGGTTCCGGTTGATAGTTCCACGATCGTCAATGTGAAGTGGAGTATCAGCAAGATGCAGCAAAAGGCCCATTCGAAATTCTTCCAGTTCACGTGGGACATGTACTCCAGCCACTCCGCAGCTGATGACCAAAGTCATGGCAAGCCGAGCGGCCAGCCGTCGCGCCGTTGGCGATGAGTATCTTCTTTCAAGACCACGGAAGCGGACCAGATCCAAGGCGCCACGCAGGTGACTCAACCATGGCCCTTGTATAACGATACTACTTTTGTTTTTATCGCATTGAGGGCCAGATGGAGTCCCGACCGGGCGCCTGCCTACACAGGCAAGCTTTTCGCATAAATCAAGAAGAAGCACCGCCTGGAGGATGGCATCCGAACGGGCGTCTTCTCCATGTGTTTGGTCACCAAAACTGCCAACTTGGCTAGAATGAGTTGTGTCGAGTACACTCGACAGACGTTTGATTGCTACAATGTAGCTTCTGCTCGTGAGACTTACTAGCTCGCTGGAGCTTGGACTCGGATGGACTGTGGCTTGCCCAGGGAATTCATGTTGTTTGGCCAGGAATGCCAGAGCTGCAGCGTCTACAGCAGATGATAGAACGCTCGTGGCGGACGAGCCAGCATACAACTGCGGCAAGGCGCCATGACTGCGCGAAAAGCCGAACACATAATGCGAGAAGAAGGCATCGCGAGCGCGAACCTCCCAAGAGAGAGATAGCAGAGTGGGTATCTTGTCATATTGTTCAAGAGGCAACACTCGTCCCATGTGGTTGGAAATGGTCGCAGCCGAGATCTCCAAGCCTTTACTGGACTCTTCCGGAATCTGGGTGGCTTGGAGGTTTGGATTTGGCGTTGGAATGGAAGAAGTGTTTGACGCCGTACTAGAACTTGATGAGGAAGATGGCCAAGATAATGATGATGAGTCCGACGGGTACCCGTAGTCCCACGCTGAGGACGGAGCAGAAGTTCGGGAGCTGGCCCGAGCCAAGACTTTTCGCTGGGCAGAGGCTGTCTCGTCCCGGATGATCAATTGGTTGAGATCAGGCCAGCCGAAGCAAGCGATGTTGGCTCGACGACATTGACCGCATCTTTCACGATGTAAATCACACTGTGGGCGAGTTAATTCTGAAGCTACCTGCATAATGTACCACGCCACGATAAGAACCGCTTTAGATTACAGTAGCAGGTAGTAGACTTACCCGGAGCTTTCTTTTCTTACACGGTTGACAGTCACGTGAAGGTCGGCCACGATTGACCATCTTGAACGTCCTTCCCGGGAATACAGAGCGACTGGTCTCTGATGTGGGAAAAGCTCAGAATAGTATGATTGGTCTTCGCTTCGCGCCAGGCGATCAATTCATGGGGCCCGAAGACGACGCCGAGGGTGCCGGGTAGTTCAAAGGGGTAAGCGATCCGTTCAACGTCATGAAGGCGTGAGGTTTCATGTAGCAGAACGAGCATGTGTATCAAAGGGTAAAGTGTTTGCCCCCGTCCGCCTATCGTTGCGTTCTATGTAGTGCGGGATGGGAGCAGAGAACTTTCACGTTCCAAGTAGCGCAATACTGAGGCTTACGCAAGCTGAAGCCGCTGGACCCGCCGCTGAATCGTTCCACTACTAGGTCCCTACGGGGCATTCGCAAGGTTATTTAGAGGGCCGGTAGGACAAGATTGCACCTGCATATCTGCGGATGGCTAGCCATTTCAAGACAAGACGGAGCGGGGTATATACTAGTATTACAAAGTGCCTGTAGTCTTATACAGCGATTCCGGAAGGCTAGCCTCTTTGAGACGAGAAACACTGACGGGGGATATGTGAGCTTTGAGCTTGTACCTGTCTTTGGATTATGGTTGCTCTATCGATTTCAACATTGATGACGAGAAGAAGAGTGCGTCATGATGGCTACAACTACTTATAATGTTCAAAACACCTCAATATCGTACCAACTACCTAACGTTGCTCTTTTGATTTAACCGCCCCTATACTTCTAACAATTGACTCTGACGATTCGATATACTCGGTATCCTCAAAATGCCTTTCACTTACAAGACCGTCCTCATTGTTGGCGCGACCTCTGGCATTGGTGCTGGCTTGGCTGACAAGTTCATTTCAGAGGGATCCAAGGTCATCGCTGTTGGTCGCCGGCAGGATAGACTGGACGCTTTTGTAGCAAAGCATGGCTCTACCAAGGCGGCCGCTGTCAAGTTTGATGTTACCGACAGCAATGGCATCGACTCCTTCGTCAAGAAGTAAGTTATTTACGTGTAGAGCCAACACATGATTCTTTCTCGCTACGAGCCACAGCTAACAACACACGCAGGGTTATCACAGAGCATCCTGATTTGGACTGCGTCTTTCTAAACTCTGGTATCCAAAGCTCGACACGTTTGTCGCGAGCGGCCGAGTTCGATCTCGCCAAATTCCATGATGAGATCAATGTGAACTTTACCAGCATCGTTAACCTGATCATGAAATTCCTGCCTCCCTTGCAGGCAAAAGAGACGCCCACGTCCTTGATCATCACGGGAACTCATCTGGCCATTGTGCCGGCCGTCACCATGGCAGGATACTCGGCTTCCAAGGCAGCCTTGACTTCCTTCATCGACTGTGTTCGTGAGCAAAATCGGCACAAGTCTACCAAGATTATCGAACTTTACCCCCCTGTGGTTCAGAGTAAGTCTTGTCTCGCCGCCTGATTCCATGGCACGGCTAAACACGGGAAAGCTGACTGGTTGCTATAGCCGAACTGCATGACTGGATGGGCGAGGAAAAGGGCCGGGCTCTGGGAATGCCTCTGAATGAGTTCAGCGACATTGCCTACAATGAGCTGCTCAAGGCAGACGATTTAATTGTGATCGGCTCCATCGCTACAGAGTCACGAGACAACTACATGGACTTGGTAAACAAGCGCCGGACGATATTCAACAAGCTTTCGGGAGCAATGCTGTCGCGCTTCGAGCTGTAGATAGAAGTCTCGCAGAGAAATTCCGATTCAGGTGATTCTGGTGAAACATGCGACAAAGCGCCTGCGAGGAAAATTCTGAAAGTGGTTACACAATTAAATTCACAGGTATTTGAAACGTGTTCTAGAAGAAAGAGAGAGAAAACATGCTTCCATGGGCCCATAACACTCTGAAAATTAACGAGCATCCCCAATTGGTCGGAAAACATCCATCTTCAAAGTTTATTCATGCATAGATGAATGACCATGTCCCAAACGTAAATTTTGCAAATGACCGACCCCTCTGTGTCGGAGATGCTCTAGTTGATAACATAATCCGCCCTTGAGCGACACATGATCGGCATCGAGTATAACTTGCTACAGTCGACCTGGTACCAAATACAATCAGGAGCTAAATATTTTGGCAGTTTTGTTACATGCCAAAAAATTGAAGACTTCTCTACGATTCGGATTGTGAAAGACTTCCGTCACGCATTGTGCCCTTCAGCCACGCAAGGTAAGGACGAGTACTTGGAGCGTGGCCAAGGTACTCCGTCATGGTCTTCATTTCTGGCTGGCGCCCACCCACTCGGAGAACCTTGTCGCGATATTTCCGGCCGGCTTCTTGACTGCTAGGGTTCTCTTTGAAACCAGTGTCAAAAATATCTAGCGCAAAGACCCTTCCCCTAACGCACAGTTAGCACAAAATGGTACTTGGTTGCGCCAAGGCAGCCCGGAATCTTACAAAATGTAGCTATAGTACCCAGCGTCGTAGCGATTGATTATGTTGCGGAACACAGTCTGACCGTGCCCCCATTCCCAGCCCTCTCCCAATGCCTCTCCGCCAGGAACCTTGTAGATGTCGGCGCGCGTCTTGTTGAATAGCTCTGTGAAATTATACGTCTCCAGCTCTGCATGCGAGGCAGGGGTGTGGACGAGCATATCGTATGTGGCAAAGAAGAGTTCCTTGAGCTGGTCCTGCACAGCCCTGCTCTGGTTAGTATGAGCCAGGCTGCGCACAACCTCGTCACTGAGTTGCAGCGGTACTTTGGGTGGGTTGGTTCTCTCTTGCTCGTTCAATGTCTTTATCCATACCTCCCTCATGCCCGAGTCAATGTGCGAGTAGTGGAAAGAGACGTCCTTGATATAACTCTCCAGCCAGAAGAATTGCTCCAGCATCAAACTCGGTGCTTCAATGAAATCCTGGTCAACGTGATGCAGAGCTGCATATTTTGTTTGCGTAAATAGAGAATGTAGAAGATGTCCAAGCTCATGAAAGAGCTTTCGCACTTCGTTGAGACTCAGCAGAGTTGGGCTTGTCGCTGTCGGGCGGATGTAGTTCATCACCAATGCAGAGGATGCATAGAATCGGCGTCCATCTAGCTTTTCGTGTCCCTGTAATGCCGATTGAGTACTCAAGCCATGTACAGGATCAAGGGAAGCTCACCTGCTGTAGAGAATAGTGACCAGAATGAGTATATTTACCGTCCCGTGGGAAAAGGTCTAGATAGGCGTAGCCAAGGGATTCCTTGGACCCATCAATGTTCCAGACAGAATACATCTGGACGTCCTCGTACCATACCAGTGGGCCGTGGGTTTCCTCTCGCCCTTGAACGTCTATACGCTGGAATCTTGCTCCAAACAGGTGCTCGAATAACTCCAAAAGCTTTGCTAGAGTGGTTTGAAGCTCAAAGTACTCCGAGATTGACACATCTTGCTTGCCTTCCTTGTCGCTGCGTCTTGCCGAGTAGTACGGAAGGTCCCAAAGGTAGAGATTGTCTGCAGTGACGCCGCGTGACTTGGCTTCGGCACGTTTGATACCCAGAAGCTCCTTGGCATCCTGCACAGCTAGAGCAGCTACAGATGAGCGAATTTCCGAAAGCAACTCTTCCACTACTTGCGGATTCTGCATCATCTTGTCTGCAGTTTTGAATGTGGCATGATTGGGATAACCCAGCAATCGTGCTGTCTCGTCACGAAGAAGAATGATTTCCCTGAACAAAGGAACATTCACCTTCATCCTATTTTGGATGGCGTAGTATATTCTTTTCCGTGTAGACTCATTCTTGGCATTCGTGATGGCAGGGCCGCTAAATGGGACCTTGGTTGATAGCCAGAGATTTTGTGAATGTTCGTCTTTGCCATACTTCAACCGGTCGATGAGGGATTGGGGTATGCCATCCAAATCACCTTGTCCGAGCCAGATGCCTGAGGCATCTTCGCTAAGATTCTTGTTGCATTCGCGCACCAGATCCCCAAGACGCTTAATCTTGACCTTGAACTCGTGCCGTTGTCCTGCATCGGCAATGGTGCAACCATTCTGCTGAAAACGCCGATGCAGTTTTTGTAGATAGTATGTAGACTCGGCATCCAAACTTGAGCTGGGATTCTCTTTTTCCTTCTGCATTACCTCATGTACCCGCGCAAACATGTCTTGGCGCGAGTACAGCTCAATCTCGCTGTCAGCAAAGAGCCTTGTGACTGCGCTGGACGCATCTCGCAGGTCCTTGGATGGAAATGTAGATGCATAAAATTGCACTACATTGCAATGAAGCAGGGTTAATAGAAAGCCGCGAAGCCGGGGAATGCAAAAGTGCAAGGTACTATCAAGTATCACTTACGGACACGTTGCTCCTGTGACTTGCTATTCTCATTCTGCGAGATGGGAATAATTGTGTTTTCAAAGGTAGCATCTTTGACTTGTATACTGGATACCACACAGTCCCACAAGGCAACAGTACCAGAGATTAGTCTCTCCGCATCTTTTTGGAGGGAGGAACATGTGGCGTTGAAGAATGGAGGCGACTGTCCTGAGAAGCTGTGATCTTGAAGTGAAGTCATTGTTAAGATAAAGGCGTTTGAAAAGAGGGCAAGTGCTTACATATAACCGTATAACTGCCAGTTAAACGAATGCGCTGGTCCTGAAGGGAGTGAATCAAAGGTAAACAGGCAAGGTTTGGCAGGTATATTTGGCCAGCCGCCCGGTCCTGGGCTTGCATTGGTAAAGTATAGTTATCTCGTAGCCCGCATAGGCGATGACTATAGCGCATTCTAGGCGGGGAACAATTGCCGTAAAGAATACAGCATCCCGGGCTGGTCCCACTATGCAGCCATGACATGCGAGTAGCAGAAGATAAGGTAAGTAGTATCACAACTACTCGGATCGAGCATAACGCATAAGGAAACGCGCAAAAGGGCAGTCTAGGCGCATGCATCCTCGGGCTTGTTTCCGAGCTGGTTGAGTCGATGGTGAACCGCTGCGGTACTGCGGCGTAGTCACTTGCTTGTTTCCTTCTTTTATTACCTCGCAGACCACATGAACAATTGCCTGGAATGGCTTTGAATTCACGCGAGAGAAAAGTCAGGAACACAAGAATGATTTTCCTATTTGTGTCAACTACATATGTACTGTTTAGCTGCTCGGACCAGATGCGCCTGGCTCAGACATGTTGTACGTGCCACTTAGTTCCTCAGTGATGTTTACCGAGTGCCACGCCACAAAATCCCCCTCATCCCGCGGAATGTATGAAGGAAACCCTTGCAATATCTGCTGAAGAACGCCCCATGATACTTGCGCATTTGCGTCATATGTTATGGAAGAGTCGAACGATGAAGTGTTGATGCTATGATAGAGCATCGGGTGTTCGTCAAAGTCGATCGTGTCGCTCATGTACGCATCGAGTTGGGACAAGGGCGTCATGACAAAAGCCACGCCCACGGCTGCAGTAAAGGTATAGGTATTGCCCAAATTGGCGTAGTGTCCCATTGTAGCCATTTCCGCAAACGCACCCTCCCACCAGAGAGCGTCGGTGTTGTTGGCATCCACCATGTATGGGAACGGGCCAAGATGCCAATTCTCCATTTGAGCGTGCATGGTGAAAGTCATGCTGGGATACTGGTGCCTGGTTTTGGTTATTCAGTATGTGAGTATCAATGCAATTGGGCTGAATATCAGACTTACTCTCCACACTCCAGTAGTCCGACACGACCATATGGAGTGGTGACGGCGGTGATTTCGCCAATGGTGCCGTCGGTAAACACTGCTCGTTCATCACCTGACGGCCTCAACTTGTGGCGATGGATGAGGATATCTCCTACTGGAGACACGAGAGCTTGAGCCATGAAGAGCAACGAATCTGTCCTCTCGGCAAAATTGATTTCAGCATAGACCCCAGCTGCCGCCACGCCATCAATGAGGCGGTTCCATTGCTCATCGCCCACGACGAAGCTGTTTTCAATGTAGCTAGGGAGAAACTCCATAGACCAAGATCCATCCATTCCTTTGGGAAACCTGCGCCGAGTCAGAAATTATATCCATGGCCTGTGGCGCATGGTGTCATTGCGAAGACTTACCCCGGGAACCACAGCTCAGGAAACATGACCACATTTGCTCCATTTGCCGATGCTTCGTTCAGCAAGTCTATGGCCTTGTCCACAGTCTCGAATATGTTGAAAACAATTCCGGTCCAATTATAGTTCAAAATAGGCAATGGCCAATTCGGTGGTGGGCAACGCACCATCGCAACAGTCAAGTTGTCATGATTCGTAGACTGACGCGCCGCGTTGCAAGCAGGTAAGACACCAGCCAACAATGGGCCCAGCAGCGCTGACTTCCGCATAGTGTCGTTTCGAAGGAAATTCAAGAGCTTTGAGAGGGATCGTTGAAAGAGATGCCATGTAGCACGATTGGTTAAGGATATCGGCCATGGTCTTTAAATATACGTCTCTGCTGGAGTGGAGAGCATAAAGCGTACCAAGTAGCTATTCATAACCAAGATTATGTCCTTATCTGAGAGACAAATAATAGTATCGTTCTCCATGGTCGCAGTGGGACTATAATTGATGTCGGGCGCTTATCATGGCGGTATAGCAAGTTCCGCCGCTAGACTAATCTCCACGGTCGATGAGGTGCAGTCACCTTGCTGCGAAATTCGAGTTGCGTTACTATCTGCCGAGAAAAAGAATTAGTTCAGAAAGACTTTGATTACATATGAATATCATACGGGTAGATTCTACTCGTCGTGGCCTGCCAGGAGAGATACGGATCGCTAACGTCTTTGACTAGGTACTTGGCCAAAGATATGCCCCTACCTATCTCTAGACGTATGGACGACGGGTGCAAGCAGTGCTCTGTGCCAATTACTCGACATTGTAGCCACGAACTTCTTCTTGACTATTGCCCGGTTCCGCTCAATTCACGAGTTTACGGTCGATTTTCTAGGACAGAGCATCCGCAAATGATGAGGAAAGCATATGGTGCAGGTGGACATGGACAAACATAAAGAAGGAAGGAATAACATGTATTGGCTTCATTTTGGTTTCGTGGTACAATCAGCAACGCCGCAACTACATGTAAGGGGTGGGCTCAGTGAGCCGAACAGGATAGGAACTCCTGTCAGGATATGGGATTCAGTGAGACTTCATAGCTATCACCGATATTGCCTGACAATCTTGAAACTAGTTTTGGCTCTTGCATACATGTCATATTTTGAAAGGTGGCTCACGAGGTGAAATTCCGCAGCTTCCCCCATGATTACCGCCTCGAACGGGCATGTCAAGGATATTCGTCAAACAGGAGATCCAGTATGAACCAGCACATGGCTCAAATCATTGACCTAGTGATGGCAGAGGATTCTCACCAAACTCCCTGGTAAATGTATACCCTTGGCCCCGCGCTCTCTATCATGGCGGCATTTCTACATCCGCCGCTAAGATCGCCCCACGCATTCCTCTTTTCCTCCTGCGCAAAACAAATGTCACTTCAATCAAGTTGAATGAGTCTATCATGTAATCATCTAATTATCACATGGATAACTAAAGAATTATCCTGTCGGCTCATTGTTCTGAGCCTCTGGCTCCAAGCATGGCTCGTAGGTACATACAGGGCCAGTCACTGCTCGGGTCTATGCCACGATTTGTCAAGATTCTCAACGTCACGAAACACCTTGGGCCTTGCGCAAATACTCGGTGTGATGATAAAATTCTTACTTTTCCGTTATATGAGCTACATGGCAGCCATGAACCACGAGTATCCCTCACGATGGTTCGCGGAAACTCCGCGGATAAGCACACCGGATGTCAGATGACGCAGCCTTATGAACTGCCGTGTGAACGTCCTTGTCAACCACGTGGATAGATCCCACGGACATATTTCTCTCAATAAGATGACTGTATGCATTTCTTTTATGCAATTTTTCAACGGAATAGTAACTGACGTAATATAAACGGCCCCCAATGAGTGAGGCATGGAGGCAGTGCACGACTCAGAGCCTCCATTTGCGTCGCAGCTACCCCGTAAGGCTGAAGCTTCACGTGTGTGAAACCCCAGTAACGTGATGGTGCTTTATAGATCGTGGACACACCGAATTTGCTCAGCCTTTGACGTACTAATTCGGGGGTGATGTTTTTCAATGGCCGTTGTGGTGTGTCCTCGAAGAGCCATATCGGGTATTGTATCCTTGCGAAGATGCAAATTGCGAGATCAAAGAGACTAAGAGGCCATCTGCAAGTTGAAAGTGCAAGATACATAGCTGAGTGGACTAATAATAGACAGAAGGCATCATGAACTTTGACATATAAGAAGCAGGGAGATATGGCCCAACATTCCAATCTTTCATCATTCGATTCACCTTCATCTTTGCAAATTAAGCACACAACTAGCTTCATACCACGAGAATGTCTGCGCTTCGCAAGCTTCTCTTTCCAGTACTCCTTCTCATGGGCATAGATACAGCACTGTCCACTACTCTGAACGTGACAGCCATTAATGCTCATGATGGGAAATCTCATTTTGAATGCTGGTCGCTCTCGGCGCCCTTTTTCTCTTCCTCCCAAGCTGGTATCGTCGGTACCCAGGCGACACAACTCGGCGATGTCACCAATATGACATACGGCGTCATTTCGCCAGGCTATGATGCCCAGTTCCATACTGCTCCTTATCCTCAGTGAGTCCGATTTCCACTCACTTCCTGGACACTTGACACGCAGACCAGTCGAAACTAGTTGGGACCCTGGAAATATAAAACATTAGCAAAAAAGATATACTAACTTGTGTTTAAAGATGGGTGGTAGTACTCAATGGACTTTTTACAATTACACTCCCCGATAATAGCTCCGACAGTTTAACATTAACAACGGGCGAGTCAGGCCTGCTTTTCGCAATGGACACTCCGGACATCAGCAAGAGAGGCCACGGTAATTACATTTACGGACCGGCTGAGTCGATATTTTTGCAAATCCCGACGCCGAATGGCTCGATCCCAGAGCATGAGCTGATATATTCCGATAAGCCCTGTGGTGCGCAAGAGTTTTCTGGGCTTCGAGAGCAGGCGACGTGATTGCTGCGAGGGTCTTTTTGTCCCGTATGTCGGCGGCATTTGTGGTATACATTGATAATGATATGCTTTCTATCCTAAATATGATCTGATTTTTGCCTTTAATGGCCGTTGGTCGGGATCAAATTCTTCGTTCACAGCAATAGTGACTAGACCGGCTTGGCATATATTCGACGTGTTATGGCTGGGCATGGATCTTTCCACCTCTGGTCTTGGCTGTCAGCCCTTGCGATCGGAGTGGAAGCGTGATCATGTGCTTTCACCGACTTGGCACGACAGCTAGTTGCACACACAATGCAGGGTCATGATATGTTTGTCAAAGCGTGTGCGCAAATTCAACCCCGCTCTAGGTGGTGATGGAGGGTAAGCCGTTAGTGACGTGGTGCGTGGCTGTTATGCTCTAGAACTATATAAAATTCAAAGCAACAAGAAGTCTCCGACTTCTTTCACTGTTCTTGATTTTATACGATAGGATAGTATAACAGAGTTATACGTATTTAGTTTACAACAATTCTGCCTCATTTCGAGCTAGTTTCTTCAAAAACAAGAAAATGGCAGAAGCTCCCGCAGAGAAGCAACCCAAGCAGGGTCTGAACATTTACGGAATTCCGGCCGTCAATCCGTACAAACTCACCATTGCAGCAGCAGAACTCGGGTAAGTCGGTAGATTCTAGACCACCCATTCGTACCAAACCACAAAAGCTCATGTATGGCCTACGCTCATCACAGTGTACCCTACAACTACATCGCCCTAGATGGTGCGACGGGTGAATTCAAATCCGAGTGGTTTACCGCCATCAATCCCAATGGACGTCTTCCCGCCATTGTTCATGTCAAGGAGGACGGTCAAGTCGTCACTGTGTTTGAGAGCGGCGCCTGCCTTCAGTACATGGTGAGCGAATTCGACAAGGAGAACAAGCTTTCGTATCCGGTCGGGACGCAGGAATACTGGACACAGCTGTCTTGGGTGAGTCTGCTTTTCCCCCAAAATCAACCAGCTGTAGGATGAACGTATCTAATCTGCTCTTACCAATAGCTCTCGTGGCAGATCTCTGGGTACGGCCCGTCCATGGGCCAATCGAGCTTCTTTGCTCGATATTCTCCTCAGCCCGAGCCTTTTGGGCTGTGGCGCTATCTCGCCGAGTCCAGAAGACTCAACCACGTCCTTAATAAACAACTGGTAAGTCGCAACAAGTGACCAACGGAGAGACTATGTAGCCAAACGCGGTATCCTAAGCCCAAGTTTTAGTCCAAGAACACATACGTGGCTGGAAGTCGCCTCACTATAGCCGACATCGCCGTCTACCTCTACGCGACCTCGTGCGCTTGGTGTGGGGTAGACATTGATGAATTCCCACACGTCAAAGCCTGGCATGACAAGCTCGCGCAACGACCAGCTTTCCAGGAAGGGATGAGGGTCCCTGTGCCTTACCCATTCACCCAGGAGTCTGTTTTCAGGCCTGAAACGCAAGAACAGATCAAGATGCAGCGAAAATTTGGTTCCAAGTTCATTCACTCTGCGTCAGAACAGTGGGCGGGCGAGGTCCTAGCTTTGCCATCCGATCACGCAAACCATAGCTAAAGATTTTCTTATTCGTGCTGGTGCGAGTCGGTATATGCATGGGCCTACCTATTCCCCAAAAAGTAAATTTAGCTATTTACTAGTTAATACACCGATCGTGCTTTGTCTCTCGTAATGAGGAAGGATAATCTCAATCACTCATTCAATCATGACTTTTCCCAACTGCTGAATCCAGTAGTCGTCGATGCCTCCCAATTGCTCGGGCCCAGAAAGAACGTCTTTGGCATAACATTCCTCATCGAAGCCATTCCACTTTAAAAAAGCATTTCTATCGGCCTGGCCCTCTTGAATCAACAATTTAACAATCTTAGTCCATCTGAATGTTCCATCAGTGCTGACATCGAATGGCTCAATCCATCCTCTTCGCTTAGCGTCGCGGAGTTGGGACAGCGTCAAAAGCCAAGGTGTGGTCCCTTGTTTCTTCTTGATGGGAGAGTCAAACTCCATGTTTGCAGTACCAATGAGCCTTCCAAGCACCGGATGGCTTAAATGACGGCTCTCGAGTAACGACTTGATGAACGCGGGTGAGGACAGAGGCATGATCGTCTTCTGACGTGAAGTCAGGAATTCCAAAGCATACGAAAGAAGGGGCGTCTCTTCCTTGATGTGAAGTGTCGAACTGTCAGTTTCGGCCGAATCGACGTGGCCCTCGTCTTCGGCAAGGTGATCGAGGGTGGCTAGAACATATTGTTCCAAGCCAAATTTGGTACACAAGGCCAGATATGGATGTTGAATGATCAACTTGTTACCTTTTCTTTGCTCATAAGTGCCAAAGCAACCTCTTGCCCAATGGTCGTACTCGTCCCCAGGTCGCCGTAGCCAATACCACGAGATTCCATGCTCGACTTGGTTCACGAGGGCAATCTGTGTATTCTGCCGGCGTGGTGTGTATGTCATGTACCTTGCATGGGACAAGGATAAGGCAATATCGGGATACCAGTCATCCAGTCGGCGATGATGCTCAATGGGCTCAATAGAGTGCCTCAGACGCTGGCAGTATGACTGAATGAGTCGTTCATGTGGGTCAAAGTCAGCAGCGCAATGACCCAGTATCTTACTCCAGACTCCTTGCTTGGCGATAAGATAATCTCGAACGGTGCGGTGCAAATACGTGACTCTGCTTTCAGCGAGATCGCGACCCTGGGCCCTAGTGTGATCGCTTCTTTGAGATAGTATTGGCACGAACCGGTCATCGCGTGTTTGATCTAGATAAGTCTCGAGGAGTCCTGTGGAGCTTACGTTGATTCTTTCAACTGTTGCATTGCAGCGAGCATGAATTTCATCGTTGGTGGCTTCCTCGAAATCCTCATCATCTCCCACAATCGCTGCATCCAGAGCGAAAGCCAGCTCCCAAATCGTGAGAGAGTTTGCAGATTCATCTTTGATGAAATTGGCCACCACCTCTCTTGCATGCACTAACTGGAACATGTGCGACGTTTCTGTTATCTGGGCTGGTGTCTGGTCCTGAAAGAGAAGTTTGTCAAATAGATTGTCAAGATCAGAGGGTAAAGTTTGCAGAAACGGCCGGATGCGTGAGAGATCCGGGTCGTGGCCATGGATCTCGAGAATCTTTCTGACAACAAGACGGACCCAGAGAAAGACACCCTCGGCTCGATGGACCACATCATGAACCAAAGAGTTGCCGCCAATTGCCTTTTGGCAGACTATTTGTTTCATCTTGGGATCCTGGCTAAGATTATCCTCAACATATGTTGCCATGTCGTTAAAGGTGAGCTCTTGCAATTTCAGATTTGGTACAGCGTATGCGAATGCCTCTTCGAAGACGGGCCAAGGTCGTGAGGATAGGCATAGCTTGACACCCTTCCTTTCTCCATCCTCGGCAATTGCTTTGAAAAACCGAATAATCTCCTGGTGATCACCGTCGAACTCATCTAGTCCGTCAACAAAGAGGCATATCTTTGTCGAATCCAAAGCGTGAGCTAGAAACCGGTGGAAGCCATCCATGAGCTCAATCGCATTCCACTCTACCGAGAAGCGAATCCGCTCTCGAGTGCTCATGGTAGACAGTTTTTGCCATAATTCGGGGAAGACTTTTGGCATTAGATGTGCACTGGAAGAGAGTAATTGGTGAAGCAGATAACGCAATAGGCCAGTCTGAGATCTTTGTTCCTCGGAGCCACTCGTCCAAAAGTAAAAACTTGCTTTGGTAAGCTTGTCCTCTCCTGCCCATGAGCGGAGCAACTGAGCGGTTGTTTTATGCTCAGAAATGTACCGCATGATGGTTGACTTGCCGCTACCCGGCTTTCCAGTGACTGGTTGGGAGTTAGTATAAATGTCCCACAAGATACGCCGCAGAGAGTTACCTACTCCAGTATGTGTTACCAAGTTCACTAGATTGTAACCATCTACTGAATTGATCGCCAAATCCACCCTCGCTCACGTCGCCGAAGGAGTACTTGAATATCCAGTCGAATGTGTTGCGATGGGCCTCGGCCACTTCTTCCTCACGATTTTTCATTGACTTGAAGCTGAGAGTTTCGAGAATGAAGTCGCTGAGAATGGATGCAGGCGTTGATAATGCTTGTGATATTTCTGTGTTCATCGCTGGATCTTTGATTTGCAGTGCGACTTCATGGATGGGTCGGAGACTAGACAACTTTTGCACAAACTGTGCTGTTTTGCTTGAAGAGAGCGTCAGTATGTGTCTGATAGAGAGAAGAGATGAGTAAGACCTACTCATCACTTGGATGCAGGCATCGCCATTGGGTGTTCAGCTGAAGAAGCCGAGTCCCTAACGCCTCAACATCCTGAGCTGTCCAATTAAGGGCATACGAGACTGGAATGATGTAGTCATTCAGATCTTGTTGCTCAGTTTTCTTTCTTCCCAGGCGAAGCAAGATATCGTGGGACATCTTCCAACAAGCCTTGATGAGCATCTTCTCCATGCCATCTGGGTTGTCTGGCTCGACGGCGGTGAGTTCGCTGTGCTCCGCAAGACGACTTGCCAAGATGTCAAAGGCACAGAAGAAGCTCTCATGAGAGGTGTTTTCCTCGTCATGTTTTGCTTCACTGTCCAGGGACAGGACATGCTCGTACAGGCGGATTGCCTCGGCAAAGAAGTCTGCAATTGCCTCTGCCATATTATTGAGCGATCACAGTGATGCGAGAAGAGGCGACAAAGGTCAATTCAGTAGTGTCAGTGGTCACTGTGGGTGTAGCTATGTACAATCTATTTAATCCTCGGATTATGTGCGATGCGGACTGGACTCAATCACCGGGCAGCTGCAATTTCTGTGCGCCCGCGGCACATGACTTGGCACACAAAATTCCGGACGTACCCGTAGTGTTTCCTCCTGGCATCAAGAGAAGGCGCAATGCTGACGAGAATACCTAGTAGTAGGGAACAAAACAGAGGTGGGGGGTTATGGCAGCTCTATAAATAATCAAGAACTACCCACGATCGCTATCGGCTGCCTGTCTCGGGGAGTAATCGCTAGCGTCCTCTCACTATTCCCAAAATCGCAGGAAAGAACTTTAGCTCTGATTGGCGCTTTGCCTTGGCCTAAATCGTGCCCTCCTGGTAGGATGTACAGGTAATATAATAGCCAGTCTCCTCCAGGGCTGTCTGTTTTTCGAATTTTGTTTCCTCTCCGTCTAATGTTATTTCCTCAAAGATGCCGTGTCACCGACCATTTCAAGGCGACTCTCTGTTGAGACAAGGCCTTTTTGTTGCGATACTTGCTTGGTACTGACCCGCTCAACTGACAGTGGTTGGAAATTCATGCATCTTGCCGAGTATGACACTGCAGAAACCCGCCCCGAGCAGCAGTGTTTCTCTGCAAGCTCAACTTGATACCGAGGATTGAGTTGCTGGAAAAGCAAGAAGCAATAAGAAAACGAGTGTTGAAGAATACTCGCCCAGAATAAAGGTCTGGGCTAATTTATGCAAGCCGTTGTTATCGCCAATCTTCAAACTGTATACTCTCTCCTCTTTGGTCCCCAATCAACATTACCTTAATATAGTGCCACTTCCATTGTCGTCGCTGTATCCACTGGCAGCGTCATCTACATAGTATTGCTAAGCGTCTAGCGTGATAGGTGGGTATGGTACAGAAGGTAGCAACACTCACGATTCAGCCTAGGGACTTTGGGAGGATACTACCCCTGAGACGAATGCAAGTGGTGTTGATTTGTTCTTTATTGAATGCCGGTAGCAAGTCGAAGATTTTGAACCCACGACGAGAAAAGGCCTTTCCAAAACAGCTCAACATAACGAGTAACAGGGGACTTTTCTTCTTCTTTCCCCGCACGAAATACAATCATGCCAACCAGTCAATCCACCCCCTGCAAGCAACCTGACGAGTACAGTATCACGAGCAAGTGAAAGCTTCACGTACATGTATCTCAACAAGAGGACAATTGCAAATCAACGACGATAAACAATCACAATTCTTGTCGTTTTCTTTGAATGCCTTTCTGGTTGAACAATTAAATGAATACATTTTTCGGACATCGCAGGACAAAATCCGAACGGCAAGCTCGGGGGCAAAGTTCGAGAGATCTAGGATCCGCGCCCCGTAATTTATTTCGGGTACGCCAATCAAAGCCTCCCTAATCATCAACGGTACGTACTTGAACACGAATGCAAATCAAAATGCGCTGGAGCTTCTCTGGCCTCAGCAGCGCTAGTGACAGTTGAGTGCATGTTGGTCAGCAGCGGTTGATTGCCAGATTCAACCTAATAACTTTTTCCCTTCCTTCCAGTTTGTTTGTCTTAACTTTTGGATCGGAATTCCCCTCGGCTTTCAGTAGAGATCATTCTTCTCTATTGAAATTGTAGCAACTTGCAAAGAATCGGAACGTCTATCATTCGACTGATCCCAGCACGTAGCACTGCCGGAGCTGCCGAACTCAATTCACTTGGACACGTTTGCTGTCGCGTCCTACGTCGCCCCGCCAAGTTGCGACATCTATCGAGCGATTCCAGGGGTCGCAACCCTCGGACCCAAGAGTACGGAATACCAGAACCGCTGGATAGACGCATCTGCATTCGAGAGCTTAGCTATCCATCGTACGACCGTTGAAAAGCACCTGCGCAAACATGGCGGCTTCACGCAGCTTGCTTCTTTCCTCCGCCAGGCTGCCTGCCACGTTGCTCCTGGCTGCGACTATTCCCATGGCTTCTGGACACGATCACGATTCTTCTGAAATCCCAGAGGGAGAGACCATCTCGCCAGAGCCACTCGTACGTCTTCTCTTCACCCAGCTCTAGTTGCAGCGCCGGCTTGGTCGAAGATCCAATGCTGTGATCTAAGATATGTTGGAACAGGCTACTAACAGCGATTATAGGACACGATATTATGGATTCACATCTTTATACAGATGCTTGCCTGGGGCATCATCTTTCCAGTAGGCATGGTTCTTGGTGTAAGTTCTCAGACGACTGTCTTCTTCCACTAGTAAAAGTCTTTTATTCTAACCATGGCACGGTCTGTAGATTGTCAAGAATCGATGGCATGCACCTCTCCAAGTCCTCGGAACGATCCTCGCATTGCTGGGTTACGCTCTCGGCCATATGCACGGCGGCCGCGAATTCCTGCACACCAACGTCCACTCCAAATTTGCTTCGCCGCTCATGTTCATGCTCTTCAGCCAAGTCATTATGGGAATATACTTGCGATTACATCTAGAGAAGGGCATTAATGGCAAGATCCGTCGCGTTGTAAAGCTAGGTCACGGCATTGTTGGCAAGGCTTTTCCTGTTCTTGTCTGGACCCAGCTGATCTTTGGAGGCATTACTGCGCTGGGTTTCTGCCAGGGTGAACATGTCGGCCAGTGTGCGGCTCATTTCATTATGGGAGGTGCCTTTATTGCCTATGGTATTATTCTGACTCTCATTTTGCTGGTGGGTCAGGTTTGGATCAAGCGGACAGGCCGCTCGCAGGAGTTCTTCGACAGTACCGTCATTGCTGCATGGGGCATGGTCAACACCTTCACCGAGCACCGCTGGGGTACCGCCTGGGTCAAGAATGACTGGCAACACACTACCATGGGCGTCATCTGGTGGGCTGCCGGCTTGGCTGGTATTTGGCTCAGCAAGGACCGTGATGGTCGCCCTCAGCGCAACTTTGTCCCGGCTTTTGTGATTCTCCTTACTGGCTGGGGCATGAGTGCTCATCCTCAGGAGCTGATGGTCAGCGCCATGACCCACAAGATGTTTGGCTGGACTCTAATGGGAGTCGGTATTACCCGTCTCATTGAAATCTCCTTCGTGCTGCGAGACCGCAACGGCCTTTCCGAGGATGGTCGCGAGACCAACAGCTTCCAATACGTTCCGGCTTTTGTAAGTCATTCTTCTCCATGATGTCGCCGACCATGACTGACTAGTTATAGCTTCTGTATGCCTCTGGATTCCTCTTCATGGGTGCCACCGAAGAACAAATGGCCTTGGTTGCAGCTTCGTCCATGGACCATGTCTCTTACATCTTGATCCTTTACTCGCTAGCCTTCTTGGTCTTCCTCTTCACCATGATGCTCATTTCCCTCTACGACCGCAATGCCAACCCAGTAGACCCAGCGAAAACTGCTGTCAATGGACGACTGGGTCCCAGGCTCAATGGCCACGTGCCCGTCCGCGATGCGCAGGAATTCGAGCTTGAGGGCCTGATGAGCGACGATGAAGACGACGAGAGACGAGACCGAGCCCACAGAAGAATGCAAGGAGACGAAGATCTTGACAGCCCTACCACGCTGGGTAAGAATGAGGAAACGGTTGCTCGGTGAAGCCGCTGTTGAAAAGGGAGCTATTCTAGGACAGTGCCAGGCTTGCAATACTTTACATGATTTTACAAAATAGCATTGCCTATTGGTTTTTCTTTTTTCTTGCATACTAAAGGTGTCTGGGACTTTGATTTGATGCAATCACCCTAGTTTGGAGAGATGAACTCGGTGTCAGCAAGGTAGATAATAATTGCGGAATACGCCAGCTGAGCTTATTTTATCTTTCCATTGATCGGCAATTAGCATACAACCAATGAGAAAAGGGGATTCCATCATCGCCTCAACTTGACGATACTTCGGATTTGCTTGTGATTGGAGCGCATCACCCACGACGGGTTTTCCTCGACATTTCTGGAAAAGCACGATTCCAATTCAAGACGATCTAGGTTGGATTTGTTCTTCCTGGTACTTGACCATATATATTCCCCCATTTCATCTACCAGGTCGGCTTTCTGATAGGTGCGCCTCTAAGCCAGAGAGTCACAAGCTCAAAAACCTTCAGTCACTTACTCATGCACCCCAGACCGCCACGGCCGGCAATGGAATGTTTCCACCAGGTATTTGCATTAGTTTCCCTCTTTGGATCACAGTGGAAACTTGTCCCCTGCTCTAGAATGTACGTAGTAGCCGCAATGCTGCTGCATCTTGGAAGCACTACGGTACCCCACGTATTTCCAGATATGGCAATTCTGGGGTATGTTCCGATCTTGGGCTCTTTCTGGATTCGGTTCCACCAATGGCATCAATATGGGTCGGTCACCGGCCGGACCTGGCATGCCACTCTGCAATATGTCATGTCAGAAAGCAAAGTGTGCCGAGGAGCCTCAGCCTCTCCGTCATTTCCGAGGTTTGCTTATTCTCGACGGCGTGTTGTACGTGCACTCACGGCTGCCCGTGTCAGTGGATCAGCTGAGTAGAGGAAGACAACCTCGCTGTGGGTAAGGGGACAACTTTCCACCACTGATGGTCTCGTATCCGCCTAGTTGAGTATCCATTCTTGAGACAAATGCTAAATTTTGAATCAATTTCCCGACAACGAACTTGAGATGGCATGTTTATTCAAATAGACTACTATACCCCTCGGGTTCCTGATCGACAATGCGGTTTCCTGAGTTGTTGTAAATCTGAGACGCTTCCCGAGCCCTCGACCAGCAAAGTATAGCTTATCACCCACCGTGTGACAGCCGTCAAAGGAACATAAAGAAAAGAAATCGGTCATTTCTTGGTAGCCATGTTCTTCAACCGTCTCTCCGGCCTCCTGGCCGCGGCCACAGCTCTCGTCGGCTCGGTCGCCGGCTACGCCAACCCCGGGTCCTGTTCTGGGAGCTGCTGGGCCCACGATCCTTCCGTCATACAGCGAACCAGCGATGGTGTCTACTTTCGTTTCAACACGGGCAGTCTGATTGGTATCTGGAAGTCGAGCGCTCTGGAAGGCCCCTGGACGTATCAAGGAGCAGCCATTCCTGCTGGTAGCATCATCAACCTGGCTGGCAATGATGACCTTTGGGTATGTACTTGATGTTGAAGAAAGTTCACTCATCATTACAAGTAATGATCTAGAGAATGCTAATTCAAACATTCTATAGGCTCCCGATGTCCAAAAGGTCGGCGATACGTACATCATGTACTATGCCGTCTCAACCTTTGGTTCTCAGAGCTCTGCCATCGGTACGTGATAATCATTTTGATAGTATACATCTCCATCTTTCAGTCAAAACATGTCCTCTAACCGTAGCACTCAAAAGGTTATGCAACCTCCACAACCATGGAGTACGGCTCCTGGACCGACCATGGCGCGACCGGCATCTCCTCTACATCGGCCAAGCCGTACAATGCCATTGACCCGAACCTGATCGCCGTGGGCTCGTCGTACTACATGAACTTTGGCTCCTTTTGGGGCGACCTGTACCAGGCGCCTATGGCGAGCAACGCGCACACGGCCGCGTCGTCGTCGTACCAGATTGCCTACCAGCCCTCGGGGTCGCACGCCCAGGAGGGCTCCTTCATGTACTACCGCTCGGGCTACTACTACCTCTTCTGGAGCGAGGGCATCTGCTGCGGCTACGACACGAGCAAGCCCGCCTCGGGAGCCGAGTACAAGATTCGCGTCTGCCGCTCCACCAGTGCCACGGGCGGCTTTGTTGATGCTTCGGGTACCAGCTGCTTGAGTGGCGGCGGCACCACTGTCCTTGCGAGTCACGATTATGTCTACGGACCTGGTGGACAGGGTGTCTTTGCTGACAGCACGCATGGTAAGTGACCTCCTACCCATATTACAGCTTTGGAAGTTGTTACTGACGATCAATCTTGTAGGCACCGTGTTGTACTACCACTATGGTGAGTTTTCCCATGCTTACAAGAGGCCAGGTTTCCCGAGGAGAGCATCAGCTGACCATTCTATAGCGAATACCAACATTGGCCTTGGTGATGGGGATTATCAGTTTGGCTGGAACGTCGTTAGCTGGTCGACCGGCTGGCCCGTCGTCTAATCATAAGCCACAGACTCGAGCAACGGGGACATCTGGAGCATCTCTCCACCGTTTACGCAAAACAGATTTGCGCCCCAGAAAATGGTTTCCTCACATGTGCCCATGATTTTGCTACTCTTCTACTTGTATATACTTTTGACTTGCAAATTGAATGTAGAAATGTATATATAGTACCCATCTTTGACTACACTCCTGATGTAGCATGTTTCTTCGCCACGTTTCTTCTAGGATCCCAAGATTCCAGAGCTGCATAGATACTATTTTTTGAACGAATGACTGAACTTTATATGTGCTATATACAGTGAGCGTGTGCTCCGCTTGGGATTATGTACATGAATCAAGACAAATTAATGATAGGATTCCTGTCAAGGAGAGAACATAACGCCCACTTCAAGCAAATTCCATTCAGGAATCCGCTCCCGAACTCAGGTGATCTTGGGCGTTCCGGGAAAGTAGGTGCCCTTGGGAAGAGACTCAATGGCGTCGCGATTGATCTCATCGAGCTTGGGATAGCCAGCGACATTCATCATGATATCAAACTCGGCAAGTAGAGCCTTGATCTCGTGTCGCACCCCCTCCTCACCCCCGGCGCCGAGAGCCCACACCCAGAGCCTGCCGATAAAGACAAACTTGGCCCCGAGCGCGAGGGCCTTGAATACATCAGCGGCGCTCCTGATGCCCGAATCAAACATGATCTGTAGGTTTTCCTTGTATTAGTGTTCCGTCTCGTGCCAACCACAATGACAATCTCCGGTTTGAAAACTTACATAAGTCTTATCCCCAACAGCATCGACAATCTTCTCTAGCGCATCGAGAGACGCAATTGCCCCATCAACCTGTCGACCGGCATGGTTCGATACCACGATGCCGTCGACGCCCATCTCCACCGCCTTCTTGGCATCGGGCACGCTCTGGATACCCTTGATACAAAAGGGCTTGCCCCCAGAAATGCTGCGCCACTACAACAACATGTGTTAGCAATAGCCCAATAGGGTAGATAAATGAGTCTGAAGCAGCTCTTTCAAGTAATTTGTCTGAGCCTGCTCTCTCGGAGCACCAATTTAGGCAATGCTTGCTCATGAGACAACCCAGAAAAGGAGAGAGATAACATCGGAAGTTGCTTACCTGCTCCATGAGCCAAGGCAGCCGGTCCCAGGAAAACGAATGCCCGTGCCAAATGTGCTTGTCAATCCACTCGGCGCCGACCTCGCGGGGGTTCTTCTCCGGGTCCAACCCTTTTTGCTCGAGCGACTCGCGGAACGCCGGGTCCCCGAGCCCGAGGTCGCCGGCGCCGTGCTCGTGATAAAACGCGTAGTTGCCCATGGCGACGTCGTCGTGGCGCCACGCGAGCTGCCACGTGTCCGTGGTCAGCAGCAGGGCCGAGTAGCCGCGCGCGTGCGCCCGGCGCAGCATGGACAGGGTCACGGCGTCGTCGGGGCTCCAGTACAGCTGGTAGAAGCGCACGCCGCCGTCGCCGTTGGCCTCGGCCACGTCCTCGATGCTGTAGCTCCCCGCCGACGACAGCGCGTAGGCCAGGTTGAGCTCCCCGGCCACCTTGGCGGGCGACAGCTCCCCCGTCGGGTGGTAGATGCGGTTGATGCCAATCGGGGCGAAGCCAATCGGCGCCGCGACCTTGTGTCCAAAGATGGTCGTGGCCGTGTCGCGGTGGTGTGTGTCGACGAGCATGCGCGGAATGACCTGGTGGCGATAAAATGCCAGTCGGTTGGCATAGTGAGTCCATGACAGACCGGCATTGCAAGACGAGTATAGCCTTGGTGAGAGGGCCAATGTTTCAGCTCAAAAGATCACACAAAAGCCTTCAAGTGATTTCATAGCGGGACGACTCACCAACCACGTTTTGAGAGGCGATCCTCGGCGGTTTCCTTTAATTTGTCGGGATCTTTTTGGTCATGTAAATCCTGATTTGGCTGAGAGATGATATGAAGCTGGGCAATACTCACCCGTGTTGAATGGAGGATGTTTTCCTTCGTTTGGCGCCCAGAAGAGTTCTCTTTGCATCAGACCCCATTGAGGAGTTGACCTGTTGTTGATATTTGGGTTGTTTGGATCGCTCATTGTGTAAATGTGAGAATTCTCTGGGCTGTGATGAATGAGAGGTCAGAAAAACATGTTCCACTGGATGATGTCCCTTTATTTATGTTTGTAGACTCATCGCGGTTAACATAATCGTGATTTGATAGTGATGACATCAATATGCCGTGAATTCAATCCATGCAAGTACCGTAGTAACGAGAAAGCCCACATATGGGTTGTTCAGGAACCAGTCAATTGTTTTACAGTGCTTATTGGCTGGTCGTAGTGGACGCTGTTACACTAAAGACCCCGATCAAATTCCACACGACCCGAAAGGCCGAAGTGCAGATTATACTCTATCGCTGGGTCTTGGCATTTAGCCTGGCCTAGCCCATGTCTATCGCTTCCACTGTTGCCAACTCGTGAATCGCCGCTTACCCGTAATATCCGTGCCCCGATATACCCGTTGATTCCATTCTATCCGTCGCGATCTTTTCGCGATCTGGGGATTCGCATAGAGGTTTCCTTTTCCTTATTTATCCATCTATATTTCAAGTACATAGAATGAGCCACCAATGATAACTTCACAAATCCCGTGATTCACCTTGTGCAGCTTTTTGCATGGTATCTCTCCAAAGGCACAAAACATCCAATGGCAATTAAAGTTTCGAGTACAAGCAATGCATTGGAAAAACTCAGTTGAAACGCCGTGTCTCCGTCCTGCATGTGAAGCTTGCATAAAAGAATTGCGATGCTCAATCTTCACGACAAGGGCCAATAATTGTGGAAAATCATGATTCGTGTAGCAGGGTTATATTGCTTTTGTTACCCCAATAAATCATTCGGACGATGCCGCCTACCCTCTAGAGATGCTCCAGTCTAATGCTACTCTATTCGATGTCAATGCTTCATAGTCCTTCTTTATATAGGAATCCCATCCAGAGCAAACCCAATGCACCTATCGCTTCGCTTGCTTTTCGCTAAATTTATAAACAAATCCAGTTGTTGTTGTTGTTGTTCCCAAAACTTGAACAGGTAGAAAGAGAACCCAGTATTCAAAAAGACCAAAAACGCCCAGTGAATGGTCTTGTAGTGTCGTATGTGATAATTGTGTGCATGAGGGAAGAATTAAAAGGTGAACAAGCCACTACGACGCTTGCCCAAAGGATAAATCAAGAGCGTGGCAAAGAATAAGCCGACAGTAATGCCGACGGCAATTTCAATCATGCTCGCCGCAACGTTGAACACGATCGTATCGAGGGAGTCGTCTCCGACAGAGACTGTCGTGGTGCCATTCACGCTTCCCGACGAGTTGGTCAACTCGTTGGCAGTGCTCAAGCCGCTCAACAGACTGCCGGTAGCGGCCAGCCCACTAGGGACCTGCACAAAAATGGCAGGGAGCAGAGCGGCGGCAGCGACACCGTGGCGGACTCGACTGTACAGGTTGGCGCAGATGCCAACAGCAAGAGCGCTAATCGTATTGCAAATCTGAGAGCTGTTGGGAAATCTTGCAGTCAGGAAATAATTGACAATGTATCCAACCATTGCTATGACAATCTGTACAGAGTTAGAAAAGGTACCGATAAGTAATTATGTTGGGAATAGGCTTACCATGACAGGCATTTGCTTCCATTTGGCTTGGTTGACATATGTCAGGCAGAAAGCGAATGCAGGCACAAAGGCAAAGTTCCAGTGAGAGTCAAGTGTATTGCGGCATGTGGTTTCCGAGGTCGCACTGTCATCTATCCATCCGTAGATTGCCGTGCCAATGGTGATGCCAAATCCAAGAAACAGGGAGTAGATGATAGCATAGACCATACGAATGGAACCTGGGACAATTGCTTTCGATTGCAACTCCAAAGCAGCACAAAGAACGAGGTATCCGGGAAGGATGAGACAAATCGAACTCTGAGCAATGGCAGAGAAGCAAAAGAGCTCGCCACCCCGGATACTTCCAAAGGCTCTGGCAAGGAAACTCGTGACCACAGCGGCACCAATTTCGAAGACATTGTTGACCACATCCGACCGTGGGGCGACAATGAGCTGGAGGAAGCCAATAAAAGAGCCAAGTAGGAAGCAGATGGGCATGTCGATAGGCCGCCCATCAAAGGCAAACGGTGCGACCGTTGCACTAGCCAAGCCGTACATGAGGACACGCGTCCAGGGATTGAAGTGGTCCTTTCCGCGAATGAGCCCGTCTAGTCGGGCAATGGCCTCATCAACCTCAATCACGGCATGGAGGACTTCTTTGTAAATTTCGTGGGCATCTTTTAGTTTACCCAGGTTCACGCCTTGTGCTGATCGAATGATCTTGACTTCGGTGGTGTGTGTCGACATGTCGTCAAAGGAAATGATCATGCAGGCTGGCAGGTACAAGAACTGGCCATCAATCTCTAGGAAGCGAGCCATCATGCGCAAGTACTCCTCGAGGCGGTGAGTTGGCGCTCCGTACATCATTAGAGCTCGGCAGAGCTTGATGATGAACTCCTGACGCTTGAGAATGTTGGCCACATGGATTGTGATTCTCGCCTCTTCTTCCATCCTTGGCCTGCCGCCCACCATGCTCTTGAACTTGCCGCTAGCTGTTCTCTTGTGCTTCATGCGTGGACCGTTGGTAGGATTGCGGTGCTTCTTTTCATTTGGGTTTGCAAGAATGGCCGAGGCGGCTGCCAGACTGGCCAAGGTACTAGTAGAACCATTGTTCTGGTCATACCATTTCCGACGAGTGGGTGTGGCAGTGCCAGACGATGCCGGCGTAGTATATCCGCTGAAGTCCTTACGTGGCATCTCATCCACTCGGTAGAGTTTGAGGAGGTTTGTGAGAACACCTTCACGAGGCTTGCCCGTGGGACTCAATAGAGCTTCATCCTCGTAATAGCCGTCAAGGTTGTCCAACTGACTGGCAGGGGCTCGTTGCTCGTCGTTCTCGGTAGGGTCCTCTCGCAACGTGTTCGCGAGCCCGACATGTGCACGAACGAGTTCGTACGCTGCCGTATTGATGTTTCTTCTTTCCTGTGCCTCCCGTCCTGCTCGGTCAACTTCGATAGACACCTTCTCACTTGTCTCTAGAGGCAAGCCCGGTGATAAGAGATCATTGCCGCTAGTGTTTGGTGACATGACATCGATATCAGAGTCAAGCGACCCGCGCCTGGATCCGGGAGCCGAGTGTGAGCCAGACATGGCAGCAGCAAAGGTTTGTGCACGCTGATGAGCAGCCATGGCCGACTGGAGCTTGGTGGGATTCAAGGTGTGGTCGTCCATCTCCATATCAAGCACGGAATTGTAAGAGCTGCCTCTAATGATGGATGGTCGTGGCCGACGAATCGGACTCGAGGGTGAATTGTCATCGCCTCTCGATGGCGTAGGAGATGGTGATAACTCAATGTTCACTGTTGGCACGGCCGGAGGATCACTCGACGCAGTGCTGTTGAAACGCACTCTGCCCTTCTCCTTCTTACCAGGCACTACAGTTTTCTCCTCCATCTTGAGCTTTTCGGGTATGTGGGTTGTAAAGCAAAGTGGTTTCGATGAATAGACAATGAATGTGTATTCAGTGAGTGCTAGATGGGATGACCGACAGTACTAGACTATCCGACGAGAGAAGATCTTGGCGGAAGGGCAAGTGTCGACGATCACGTCGGTTTCAGGAAGTTGGCTCTATCCAATAGTCCACATGCTCGCGGTGGAGATTCTGAGCGTAGAGATTATATAGTAATAAGTAAATATCAACAAACGAAAAACAAACAAGCTGAAACGAGTGATGGAGCTTCGGATGGTGAGTATGCAGTCCGTGGCAGACGATGACTGGATGAGTGATTGATTCGGTACGTCGGGAATAATAGAAATAATTATGAAATGACGTTTTCTTTTGGGCGGTTGTTGAGTGAAGACGAGCGAGGGCAGTCTAAACTTGCTGTGTAACCAGGCGAGGTGACGACAGGCAAAACAGCAGACAAGAAGGAACAACGCAGCGCTAATATGGAGCCAGTTGCGTATGACTATCCGCTGTGCTTAGCAAGATGGTGGCGAGGTGGAGCTAGAAAAAAACAGTCGACACTACGTACTAGGTACGTTCGTTCTAACGAGAAGTCTATGTATCGACAAGGAAGGCGTTTCGAGCGGTTTACTCTGTTCGTCCGGGATCCGGATTGTTTCGACTGACTGAAAACGGAATACCAAGACCAAAAATAACGAGGGACAAGAATTGAAAAGGGAATAGACTTTGACGGCCCAAAGTAGGCTGCCGGCCTAGATTGGACGGCCTTACTTATGGGGGTTCAGTAGCAGTAGTGTCACGGCGATAATAGGAGAGAGAGGCGCCAAGTTTGCACCATAAGTTGGCCGTCTTCAATTGTAATCATTGATGTGCCAGACAACGGGCCGATGAGCTGCCCTTGCACTGGATAGAGGAAACAGCAAGAGGGGTACTCAACCAAGGGTGACCAAGGTTGCTAAGGTTGCCTACCACCACCAGAACGGATCTGCGCGGGTAATCGCTCCAGGATTTCAGGTACTGGCAAGGCCTTGGAGGCAGGGGGAGCTTGCGGCTTGGACGGTACCTACTCAAAACTACAGCCATCCACTGGGACGTGCTGGGTAATTGGCAAAGGTCACGACAGTGCCCATGCAGCATCTGCGTGATGAGATGGATGGTGGAATGGATTGCAGCATTTTGGCACTGGCGCTGAAGGCCTGCTGGTTGCTTGGTTGCTTATCTGGCAAGCGTCGACAGCTCCACCACCTGCGAAGATCCCAGCCTGGGTTTGGCAGCAAGGTCCGGTTTTGCGACAAGTCACAGTGGAGCAGGAGAAAGGCGTGAGGTTCGGAGTTGAGAAGCTGCTCGTATCAAATGAGTCGGGTGACGCAAAGGTGGGACGGTAAGATTTCAGAGAAGCGTCTGGACAAAAGTGGACTTTGGTGCTAGCAGCAAGAGGAGGAGGAGGAAGTGGAGGGTACATTGCTGCAAGAAACACCAAGGAAGATGATCGTGAGTCTGGACGTGCGGCAAGAGCTTTTCCCCCTCTCCCCAGGCGCTGAGAGAGTTGGGGGCTGGAAAAAAAAAGTCCTCCCACGCAACTTCACTGCTATTGTGGGTCCCGCATGCTTATGATCCATCTTCATCCCGCACAAGAACCGGAGCACAGATAGTCGGTGAACTTGAGAAAGGAATCGTCTGGCTGGGCGGAGAACCACTTTGACAATCTAGATGGGCGTGGCGCAAAGTCAACCAGCAGGATTATTTCCCGAGGACATGTGCGAGCGCAACCGTAACCTGAAGCAGCAGTGCTTATAGTCAGTGCTATACTTGCATTGCGCAATAGCGCCCGTCTTGTTCGCCGGCGGAATGGGTGATGATGATGACACTGAACCCGTATCTCGAATGGTCGTATCTCAAACGGGAATAATGTTTTCCAAGCAAACTGATACACGGACGGCGACCGGACTGCCGCCTTTAAGATGTGCTTATGATATGTAGGTTCTAGTGAACGACGACTAACTACTCACTAGTGTACCCAAAGTTGCAGAGAGATACGCAGGGTCTCAGTAATCTTGATAGGGAATACTGATGGACATTGCATAGTCGATACAGCCCTTCACAGCCATCCCATCAATGCTTGTTGAGCCGCACCCAGGCAGGTCGATCATCGTGCTTTTCACATGCATGAGATCGACCTTGACGTGCTGGCAGGTACATCCATATCTTGTTTCACACTATCGAATCCTCGGGAGGGTTGCATCCAATACTAGTAATGTAGAATAAAATGATAGGCAAAGGAGGGATCTGGACGAGAAGAGAAAAACTTCTTGACCTGCAATGGGATATGCAGCGTGGGATGGCAGATGCAGCTCTTGCATGCATTTTTTACAAATCACAGATATTTGAGTCATGGTTTGCTCCTGGCCGGACAAGCTCCTCCCCTGTGGCGATCAGCCCTTTCCGTTCCGGAAGATAAGGGTCGTCGAACTCATTACTTTTAGCGAAACCAAGTTTGGAAAGGCCACTGAAGGCCAATCAATTGAGCCGTGTACCTACGAAATAGCACCAATCAATTCAAGCTGCGAATCATCATCAGCGCCCGCGAAACCAATCATGACACAAGATTTTGCCATGTCTTTCTGTCGATATCTGATCAAAACTGGCGCTCGGACACGATCAACCCTGAAAGCAGATCGATCATCAGTCAGTTTTGCCCTGCATAGTACATAAAAATAGTCGAAACGATCTAGACTCCGTGCTTCCTACTCGCTCTGTTCAACACTGATACCTCTTTGTATGAACGAAACGCTTTAGGCTGATGAGTAGAGAGCACTGCCGCCAAAGTGGTTCCATTGCGACAGTAGTATAGAGCTTGACAGCACAGGCACCGCCCTCTCTGCAGGTACGATAACGAGCTTGGGGGGTCCTCTGCTCCATAGTAGACGGGGTTCGCCACAACTCCCGCTCTCCCCGTTCGAGTGCTCTGGACACAAAATGGCCAGAGAGACCCTAGATAGAGGAACAACGAAAGTACCTGGAACAGTACCTGGAATAGAGGATATCCATCAATGACGGACATGGATCTTGACATTGAGAAAGGCCGGCCACCCCCAGCCCAGCGGGTCTGTCAAATCTCAATCCAGATCCAACGGGAGGAGAGAGAAGAAGAAAAAACTTTCCAGACTCCAGAGCAAACTGATTGATATCTACACTAGCTCTCGCATTGCCCAAAACGGCAACCCGGCTTCACTCACACCTGATCGCTAAAGGCCTCCCTCCCGCTATTCGGATCGATTTTTGTTTTACATTGGTATGTCGATGGTTGTCGTTGTTTATGTTGCAAACTACGACATGCACAATAATCTAGGTAGCCTATGTGCTCTGTAGAGCTCGTTGATTTAACACAGCTCTAAAGGATACATAGCCTCGGATACAGGACCAAGGTAGCTCTCAGGGCGCCTGCCTTGTCAACAGAGTGCTTGCCAGACCTACTAGAGGTGGTTTGAAGTCGCCCCAACCGAAAAAAAAAAAAAAAAAAAAAAAAAGGTGCCCTCGGCCTCCGAAATGCCAAGCCTGTCGTTTTTCTAGGTCTATCCATTCCTCCTCTCCCTCCTATTTCCGCCCTGGCACACACCAGATAAGCAAGCACTATCGAACAGCTCTTTTTTCTTTCTTTTTTCAGCCTCTTGACTAGAAAACGCACATACCCACAACCTATGTTCTGCATGATGAACGCCACCATCGGCCACGTTTTCTTTTCCTTTCTCTCGCCTGGATTTCAGGCGCGCCCAAAATAATCAATGGCGCCATTCGGACTGATACTAAAAGTTCTAACGCCTAGCTGAACTGGACGAGCGAGCGAGCGGGCGAGCGCTTACGAGTGCCGCTGGCCTGGTCCCAAGCATCTGGTTCCATTCCCAAAATTGCCAAGATGGTGCCGGGGGCTGGATATCCTGCACTCCCGACAAGGCCGGTTCTTGCGACGGGAGCTTTTGTTAGCGCATCTGCCAGTGCTAGTATAGTTCTCGCTAGGATCCTTTGCCAGGGACCTCCTAGGAACTCCCACGCAGCACCCCTGAACTGTTCACGACCCATCAAAAAAGCTTCACCTGCATTGCGAATCCGGACGTCCGCCTTTACACTACACTTGAGTGCTACCTATGTAGGTATGTAGCAAGTAGTGTACTGTACACACAATGGAAGTATGTCTGTAGGTACGCAGGGCACCAGTGGCAGCATTGATGGACAAAAGCACAACATATTTGCCAGTCATTGCTCATCATCTCTACTATATCTTACAGTGCCGTGGTCGTGCGAAAAAAACGAACAAATGTACGTTTGTAGTAGCACGATCGGCCGTGGGCCTCGAGAAGCTCATACAACACAGCCTCTCGCCGCCTTTATCCTACACGTCATTATTCCTCTCGTTGTATTCCAATGACTTTGGGGCTACCACTTTGGCAACGCAACACAACGCGCAACCGCGTGTGTATACGAAGATGCACGTAGTAAGGCTTCTATTATCAAGCAGCAAAGACGAAGAAAACACACAAGTCGTGTAGTACTATGCGAGAGACGACGTGTCGCCTAAGCCTCCTCGGGGCGGGCCAAGGTGCCTACCTGCACTAAATCTAGTGCAGTTCCCGCCGGCAGGGTCCCCATTCCCATGTTCAGGGGTGCCTGTGTTCTAGAAGCTCTGACGGCACAGCGGCCGGTCCAATACCAGTGGGCCTCGGGCAGCAAATTGTCAAACTCCATCGTTTGCACTCACACCAATGCCCCCTTTCTCGTGGGATTATCGTTGCTACCCAACCGACAGGCCCGGTGAGTCGCGACATGCCTCTTGCTTGTCAAGTCTCTTTTCATATACATAGTGGATGTCGGAACCGCACTGCCGCATATATTTTTTGATAGTGCTGCTACTCGGGTATTCCATACCGGAGAACATATCTCTTACTGGCATGGTGGACACCTTTTTTTTTTAACCATGCTTGTTTTTTTTCCCTTCCCATCACGAGTGTCCCCCAATAGTTCCACCATCAACGGTTCATCAGATGTTTCGAGTCTCTTCCACTGGTGTCTCGCAATGTTCAACTTGCCATGTTCCCCTCAATGCCCCAGTCTCAAGTCCTTCCCATCCGAAGTTGTCGCCGAAAAAAATGAAGTGCTGGCCCAGATAATGAGCCCACCGTGATGAAGTTCAAACAGATCGAACGCCTACCTACATTCCATACCGTTGAGATCTCAGGACCATCAGCCTTGTCAGCAGAGTCTTACGCCTCGTTGATGATGTGCAATTTCCGCATCCTGGAACCACAGGCTCTGTGCTGCTGCTAGCATATCCATTCTATTAAGACTGTATGTCTAGAAACTTAAATGAAGCCCACCATGCCCAGATGTACTTTGCAAGCAGGAGCATCATCAAGTGGATGTCCATGCAAGTTCAGAAGCTGTCCCAACAAGGCAGGCTCTCGGTCCAAAGCAACCCTGGCATAACCTAAAAGGTACGAAACGGGGAGGGGACTGTATACTCCCGGAGTCCGTCACCCTTGAAATGCCATGGGTTTGAACCAAGGAAGAGAGGAGGTTAAAAATTTCGGTGGGTTGATGCAATATCTGGAACTCGTTTCGTTGAGTCCCGCCATGTTTCTCATGTAACACATTGGGCATTGCAGCCCAATCGCTCATTGGCATGCGAGTTCTCGTCATTGCCAACAGATGTGTTCCGGTGCACGACTGGCCATGATACACAATATGTTGTCGTTGAATCTGTTATTACATAATTGTGACTTGGTCTTATATCGACCAAATCTCGGGCAGGCCGGAGAGCACCTGCCATTAGCCCTCCGTCGGGCGTTGCAACCCATGTGAAGCACAAGGTATCCTGTAAACCAACTAGACGCGTACCACTTCGTATTCATTTCATTCCTTCTTTCAGACATGTTTGACAGGTTGGCTACCCTGATCTCTCGACAAGTTTCTCAAAAATCTGCTTGAAGACATCGGCGTCCACCGCGCCAGGTGCCTCAAACTGCCCATTGATCCTGATGTTGGGCACACCCGTGACGCCCACCTGCTGCGCCCTCGTGACCTCGGCCTCAACCTCGTCGATACCCTCGTCCGAATCCAAATAACGCTTGACCTCGTCGCCATCCAGGCCGGCGGCCTCGGCGGCACTGCGCAGCGTGGCCTGGTCCGTGATATCCTGCTCGAGCTCAAAGTAGCGCTTGAACAACTCGTCCACGACGCGGTTCTGGGCGTCGGCGCCGCCCTGGTGCCGGGCGTAGCGGATCAGGCGGTGCGAGTCCTGCGTGTGGCCCGTCCGGCCGCCAAAGCTAAAGCTGATGCCGGCGTCGCGGCCCACGGCGGCCAGCGTCTGCTGGACCTGCGCGAACCGGGCCTCGCCAAAGCGGCGCACGTAGCGGTCCCGCTTGACCTCGCTCTCGCGCGGCGCGTTGGGGTCGAGGTAGAAGGGGTGCCAGGAAATGCTGAAGGTGTCGTCGCTGCCCGGGTGCGCCGACTTGTACGCCGCGATGCCGGCTTCGAGGCGCCGCTTCCCCACGTAGCACCACGGGCAGACTGAGTCGCTGATGATCTTGATGTCAAACTTCATGTTGACTTGAATGGTGACAGAAAACGATATTCAAGTTTGGTATTAGTTACAGATTCTCAAGACGTAGTCTTCGCAAAGTTGAGAATATACAGACCATGTATAGTGCCATTTGATTGGTTGTTGATCACGTCAGCGGGTGGGCGCGGGAATTGTGATTTATCAGCATTGAAGCAAACCGGGCCGCCGCCGCCGCGCATCCCACCACGCAAAAGCGTATCCGCCGCCGCTTCGGGTGGCCACTGTTCGGGCGGAGAAGACAAGAAAATTGATGGTTTCCCAGTATCAGTAAAGTTGGCCCAATGGTAGAAAACAATTATGAAGTCTGGAAATAATTTCTTTTCTTTTCTTCTATTCTCTCCAGTTCCTCCCCTCTCTCTTCATCTTGTCCCGCCACTCATTCTCCAGCATACCGTAAGTGATATAGTCTTCCCACTGGCCATTGAACCAGATTTCCTCCCTCTTGCGCCCCTCCAGCACAAACCCAAGCCGTTCGTACAACTGCATGGCTCCCGTATTATGGCTAAATGTCTCGATACCGACACGGTGCAGACCAGCCATTTGAAACGCATAGCCTAGCGCCCACTCAATGGCCTCGCCACCGTAGCCTTTGCCCCGATACCCGTCCAGAATGTCGATGCTGATGTAGCTGTGGCGGTTCTGCTCGCCGCCCTTTTCAATGTGCTTTAGAGCAATAATGCCTATGGGCGTGGGCTTGGCGTCTGTCGCGTCTGTCGTGTTGGCGGGCAGACAGACAATGGTGCTCATGAGGGCGCGTTCCAGCAGGTATTCCTTGAACTTGTTGCTCGACTTTTTGTTTTCCGGCACGAGCAGGGAGGCGCTAGAGCCTGATTGCGCCTGAGCATCACGTTGAATTTTGTGAATGAAGTCTTCGTCGTCGCTATTGTCCTCTACGGCTCGGTATATCAGCCGTTTCGAGGTGAAGGGGTTGAGTGTTCTGCTCATGGTGAATGAAGGAAATCAATATGCCAAGAGAACAACTCTACGTGATATGAATGCTTCGGATCTTGTTATGTAGGAAGGCTTCCAATGTCTTTTATATACGTCGCGACCATCGCGAATACCCCAGAATCTCACCTACCTAATCTCAGCCATTGAAGCCAAGCTAGACCAATTTCAGCTCGCCGTGTCGGCTACCATGTAACCTCCACCCGAGATGCGTGAGATTCTCAAGTATATGCGCAACTTTGAGCCGGTGAGTCACCGTGTGAAGCGTCATGAGCAAAGTCTTCCCTTGACAAATTCTCATGATCACTGTTGGTTTGCTTACGATGCTGAGCTGGCATACGACTGAATAATCCGGAACTTTGTGTGCACCTCATACATCTCTAAAGCATGAGAAACTCTTTAGCTCCCCTTCCGCCTGCATAACGTCAATGAAATTGGGGGGTTTGGATTGATTTTCACTGAAATGGATGATGATAATAGATGAGCCCATTTGAATATGAGTAAGCTATCATTGACGCATTGGTACTCTGTTGCTAGGCACACAGGCTAGCGATCGTTGATAGTGTCACGAGGGTAGAGAGAGGATACAAGACTGATTTGAGTTTTGAAAGCGAGTTTCTGTCTCTATCATAGGCCGTTGAATAAAAGGCTACCTCTGGGACTAATCGCGAAGCTACATTCATATGGAATAACTCTGTCGAATGAAGAGAACTTCAACGAGCTGCTTCTAGGCCTAGTTCGACCTGAGCATGGAACTTACATTCTATATAGGGCAATGAGCGGGAACCTTCAACCTGGTAAAATCTTTCTGTCGTTAATATGAAGATCATTCCGAAGCAGAGAAGTCAAAGCTTCTTTGGCAAGAATGGCTAACTTGATGATGAAAGCCATTGCCATAAACTCGAGTCATGATCAGGTTACCGAGGCGGGCGAAAAAAGGCAAGCCGCTGATCAAACGCTCAGTCAATTTAAGTCATTTGCTTGCAACTAATGTAGAGGAATGATGCATATATATGAGCGGTCTGCGATCAATGTATTGCAGATCACTTATCCTCAGTCATCATGTAGGGTCTTGCTCGGTTGCCTTCCAGGGAAAATGCATAAGTAAAAGTGAAGATTGCCAGGTGCAAATTGTCTCTCAATACATGTGCATATCAGTGTTCAAGCTGGTTTCTACTTGTTCTTGATCACTGCTTGCACATTTGATGGAGAGGTTACTTGTCTATCAATGCCTACTGAGATGTCGAGTATTGTCAATGTATAGCAATGCGCTTTGAAAGGTGGAATCATAACAGGTAGAGGGATTCAATCAATTATATTCTGATATAGGATCCAGAAAGAATTGCCCTGAGGAGAAGGTCTGACTAATCGGATGCGATTGAAGTATCACGTGGTTTCCCGGTGTGCGGAAGCATCTGTTGAGGGATAACAGCGTGATGAGGGCAGTGATGGTATTGGCTGCAATCATTTCGAAAATGACAAATAAGGGTAGTAATCAAAAGCAGTAACAGGTTAGCTCATCACAGCACTGACGTAATGGGCAGCACCTCAGTCCAAATCCACGATGAGAAGTGGGAGTCGTATAGTTTCCAGAGAGGACTCGTTTATTCACCACAAATCGCTAATAGCCCGGCAAACCATCAGGGTCATCAATCCTTTTACGATGTATGTCTCTAGATATGGTTGTACTAACGCTCTACCAATATTCAGAAGCAGTGCGTGATTTGGTCACGAAAAGCTTTTAGGGCTTCAAGTTCCAATTCCCTATGTACTTGAGCAAAAAACAATGCTCCGAGAGAAGTTGCCCATCAAGGATTTGAGCTCGGGCTTTTCTAGTCCACTGAATAAAATTCACGGTTGCAGCGGTGTTTAAAGAAGAAAGAAGAGGAAGAAGGATAATACTAGAAACAAATTCCGTTCGCCGAAGATGATGGCGAGCATGGGAAGCAAGTCATTGTCATAGACCAATAAAGCGCAGAAAGCCAAATGCAGAGATGTCAAAGCAAAACTTTTGCATCTCTCAATGACAACCATAGTATGAGCATAACGTGTTAGCTTTACTGACATGCCAATGTCATAGTTGTTGATATTCAAATGGTCGAAAGAGATGTCTTCATTGTGACTATCGATGGTGACTGTTGAATGTCTATCCGCTATGAGGCCGCTTTTCCGTGCGAAATGCCTTTTCAATGAGTATATGAATACAGCAGGGCTTTTGAACCACCACCACAGCACCTCATGGAGATGAAACGTCAACGGACTGTTGGGTGGACCAAGGTCAGTCAGGTGGCGGAAATTCGGCACACTCTTGAACCTTGGATCATGAAAATCACGGCGAGCCATCAATACTCATACCGAATACTCGGGCATGACGAGATCAGATCTCTCCCCTTACCCATAGTTCCAATCAATTCCATTGGAGATGAGACGAGATGAATTGTTACATTTGCAAAGATCAACACATGGTCTACGTTGGTCGACCGCGGTCCTAAGCAGGTACAAAGTGGACACCGTCTCTGGATGCGTGGCACAGACGATCTTTTTTATTCCTTGGCTAGCAATGCCTTGAGTCTTTGGCATCACTTTGTAAGCTTATTTCATCCTTCTCTGGAAAGCCATCCCGACTTTTATGATTAAGTTGCGGCATAGTTGGCGGGTCTCGCTGCCGAGATGGTATACCAACTGGGTTTAGGTCGTCCGTTGTGTGGTTGCACATGCAGGGACTTGACACTGTATCGGGTTTGATCTTCATTCGCTTAGTGCCAAGCTCAAACCCAGGGAGCCCTCAGCACCCAATCGGCAGCGACAGCGAAAACGACAAGATCCCGATTTCAGGTGAAGGGCCTCGGTGCAAGTCACCAATTGGACAAGCCGAGACTATAACTTCAGACGTAGATGGAGATCTGAGGCTCTGAGGGCTCTGAGCCACTTAGTTGCTGGGAAATCTCCACAGGGGTTCTCGCGATCGCTACCTTTCTCGTCTGGTGTCAAGAACAACAACCCCTGTCGTAGATCGCGGTGGATCGCTGTCATTATTCGGATCAAGCCATCTTGGCGGCCATATGCTGTCCCCAGCTTTTTTTGCGCAGTCACCGCCATTGGCGACATCGTGAACGTGGCGCAATGGAGTCATCCTCGCCGCAGGCGCCTGCAATGAAACCGAAAGGCGACCCCTTGGGTAATTAAAGCAAGTTTACACGATGGCATCGTCTTCAAGATATATAGTCCATGTTGCAACCTCCAATTTCTGTTCACGAAATACCATCATTGATTGCATCTTTACAACACAGATTCCCACGACTGCCTCTATTCACTGCACTGAATTCATCGACTGTCGCTACACTGCCCACCATACCCAAAGTCACAACACCATCACCGTCTCTTCGCCCCTACCGCCTTCGAAATCACAAACAACCAACATATCACATCCTCTTCTCCCGCCTGACCCCAGCATTGCAACTACGTCCACAACTCTCCGAATCGCCTGCTTCACAACACTACTACTACCTTGTCACCCGCCGTCCTCCATCACATCATCAAACACACTCTTACGAAACATTGATTTGTTCCCCGTATTCCACCCAGCACAGCATCCATCACCTACTTAGAAAACGCGACCCCGATTCCTTGACCCGGCTACACGACATGATATCCTACCCAACACTAGCACAGCCTCGCACCGCCTCAACCTATCCATCAACACCATGTTTGACATCCTAACTCCTAATCCCATGACATCCAGCCTACCTAATTGCAAAGACCTTTTCCCCACCGCAGCCCTACCTTCTGTTCCCGTGCACGTCTATGCTCCTTGTTCTTATCCCGCACCGTGATCTCTACCATACCTGCTGCCTTTGCCATATATCACTGCCCCCTCCCTGGCCGTGATCACCGTTGACATCTACTCTTCATCTGCCTCGAGTCCCCTCAACAATCCTTCTTCTCCCTGCACATATATATTCACATATTCCAATCATCCTCACATGCACCGACCCTTCATCGTATGCCTTGTCCCTCTCTTGCATCCACCGGTCCCACCACGTGCCTCGACGTTTTCCTCCCCCATACCCAAAGTCCCATCCTTGATTCCCCCAACCCAGCCATCAAGACACTGCCAACTGAATCATTTCCATACGCTGCACCAACTTGAGACAGACAGCCTTGCCACTATTCCATCCAGCACCCGCTCGAAACCCGCATCATTGCATCGTAGCCTTATCCCACTCGTGTCCGTGCCTCTTCATCTCCATAGACTCCGCGACCCTTTTGATTCCTTTCCCGAACCGTCCTTGATGCCTCGCCCTACTTTCCAATCCATCACTCCTATCCCACCACTCCCATCGCTCCCATCACTCCCATCACTCCCATCACTCCCATCACTCCCATCACTCCCATCACTCCCATCACTCCCATCACTCTTATAACCCTATCCAGTCCACTCCAGTCCCTCTATCCGTTACCCGTCGTCACAGATCCCACACCGTTGTCCCATGTCTCTTCTCCCGTCACATTATGAAAAAAACTGGCAATCAACTTATATATGATGATTCACACCACACACCTTTGGGCTGGAAGTCAACCGTCCCGTGTCTTCGGTGTCGCAACCCAATACTTTGGGCATGCACAAGAGTTTGGACTGTGGTGAGGAAAAGGTTGAAAACGAGAATGAAAATGTGCACTTGGGTTTGCGAAGAAATTGCTTAATACCAGCCATTTACTCGCAAGTGGACAAAATGGGTGGAAAGCATGAAATGAGCGTCAAAGTGTTAGTATTATTCAAGACTTCATTTCTCTCCAAAAGAGTCTAATAGATATCATGTTAAAACCATCCAAGTTCTAGTTTCACGTATGCTCTCCAACCCTTGAACAAACAAAAGTCATGCCAAAACTATGTAGTGCAGCAGCAATCCAAAAGCCATACCCGGTCTCAAGCAATAACAACCTAACTCAAAACACCGAGTAATGCATGCATATCATTCACATGCGTCGAAACATGAAGATACCGAGGAGAATTATCCAAGCCATCATGAATCTGACTCCTTCTTCATGGCGAATCCCTCTCCAGCGTCCACTCGCGATGTTCTCCTCGCCGTTCACGGTGTCGTTACCGGCAATCGATCCATTACCATCAGTTAAAAGGCTTCCACGGGAAAAGACAGCACATGCCTTGTCATCTGCCCTGAGCCCCTCGCCTACACGCCAGCGCAGGTTCACAACCACAGCTTGCGAATCCCTGACGTCAATGTTGATTGTGCCATCAACGCCAACCTGGAATGATTTGCCGCTGAGTCCATCATCTATGGGCGTTGGCGTCCCGTCGCCACTGCTTTCATACTCGATATTGTTCCACGTCGTGTTCGTGGTCGCATCGGAGCCTGGTCCGCTCAGATAGGCTAAATGAACCATCTTGCCCGTCAATCTCCTTGGCAATCTTACGATGACGCCGAGGCCCGACTGGCTGGCCTGTGATACATTATTCGGCATCGAGTTGATCACAACCAAGCTATGCCATTTCTCATCCTGGTATACGGCATAGACTCTGACATACCCGTCATAATCCCCGAGCAGCTGATCAGTCACATCGATAGAAGCAACCCGCGCCGTACATGTTGGTCCAATGACTTGATCAAACGCCGCGTAGCCGTAGTAAAGCGGTCGAACAAAAGGCTCTCGATCTGCTATCTTGACAGGCTGCCAGGCGGACGCGGCGCTATTGTCTGTCATGTGGAACTGGACGCCCGATACACCCAGTGTTGCGGCATATAATAGAAAGTTGAGCGTCCACAGTGCGGCGGCAAATGTGTCGGTGATACCTTCGAGTCCAACTGGCCCAACGAGACCCATCTCGCGTAGCGCGTACGGGTAGAGGGTATCATGCGCCTGGCCAACCTGTTCAGCCCAGGCGGTGAACTGATCTTCGACTGTGCTCAGTCGCTGAAAGTGTGCCAGCGTCAGCCTATAAGTCGACACACCAACAAAGTAGTAATAGTCGTGCTGGTTCCAGGACGTGATGAACGAGGCGTTCGAGTTGTTTGCCAACCCATCGATACCAAAGCCCACCAGGTCAACGATCCGGAACGTTGTACCAATGGTCGAGGCCGTGCAAGCCGGCTCGAAAAAGGCGCTGGTGATGTTTCTGGGCCGGAGGACTTGTTCGTACAGAACGCCGACGCGTTCGAGCCATTGTTCTGTGTATATCTTTCCGTTCCACTCACCGGATCGGAAACCGTTCTTAAGGTACAGATCCGGCTCATTTCCAACTTCGATCGAGACGAGATCCAGATTCGGGCAGTTCTCGAATACTTGACTCGCCATGGTTGTGATTTGCTCAGGCCAGTCATCCTGTGCATACGCAAGATTCAATCCCCATGTCACTGGGGTGCCAGCTGGGAACCTGTTGGCCGCTTCGAAATATCGCGGACCGATTACCATGTGGTCGGAAGGGAAGACGCCCTGGCCGACGGCATTGTGGTTCTTGACCCACGTCCATTGGGTTTGGTGCTCGTTAAAGACTTGATAATCTTGAGTATTCCCACCGATACGAATATGAGGAGCCTTGTCCGTATAGCTGACCAGGTTTTGGATCAGGTTAAATGTGAGCAAGTTGGGCACATCTGTGCCAGTAAATGAAAACAAATTCGATGGCTCAATGCCAAAACCAGCAAACGATGGATTAATCGCAGCCGAGGCATGGCTGGGAGGTTCTCTTGAAACACTCAGCTGGATTATTGTACGAGCCAGCACAGATTTGGCTAAGCAATGGATGCAAAGCACGAGAGCATTGACAGGCCGCATTGTCTTGACACAGGGACGGTTGCACGCAGCAGTATAGAGTTTGTGGTGGTGAATGCTCGTGGTAAATGTTGCGCACTCATTGCAAGAAAGCTCGAGGTAGAAGAGACGCGGGATCGAGGTCGTGTTTCTCTGGTTGAGCAATGATCTTGACAAACTTATGCAGCGATGCAGCCTCTAAAGTACGGCCACGGTTGCGGCATTGTTGAGTCGAGTGCTTAGGTGGATAGAAGGGGTACGAAGCAGTCGGGAAGTCGGCACCAACGTTACCGTCGAGAAAATAAGGTCGTCCGAAATGCAAGTCCGACGCATAATTCAGACAGACAAGACGCACATCCATTGGGGTGGTGGAGTGGAGAGTGATCGGGGAGGGGAGGGGAGGGGAGGGAAGGAACAATCGATACTCTTGACCTACTAGAGCACGATTCCATTCACGAAATATTGTTACATTTGCCACTCAACATGCCAAGATGATTATAATTCCCATTTTCAGAGGAGCCACAACGTCAATTCTCAATTACGAAATTAGTAATGGAGGAAATGAAACAAAAGCTCGGTCGGTACTACAGCAAATGTAACGCCTCTCTAATGCGAAGAGTCCATGTATATCGCCCCTCCCCCCTTTTTTCCTCGAAAAAACTCCTTTGTCCTCACCCATTACTCTTGTGTACGACGCCGTGAAATTCAGACGTGCCATTGCCAGTCAAATAATACAAATTCTTTTTTTTCTTGGCGCCCTCCCCTAACACCTCCCCATCTTACAAACACTGCAAACTCCGGAAATGACTGTTTTGGGTATCTTCTCCTCATCAGTCTGAATCCATCATATCCATGGCATCACGTTCGGCCTCAAAGTTCTCCGTCGTCATTGTAGCAACTGCAACTCTTTTGCCCTCACCATCGTCATCATCAGCGTTGGTGAGATCCAGAAACATCTTGTCGACGTCCTTGTCGTCCCCATCTTCTTGGCGTAGATCCCCATCACCCGTCATGCTCCGCGATCCTCGGAGGCGGCTCTCAGCATCCCAGACGTCAGGCCCAAAAATTTCCTCGGCACGGCGGCGGCCTTCCTCGGTCCGACCGAGAATCTCAAGAGCCTTATTCTTCTCGGCCTCGCTTTGCAGGTTCAGATTTAAAGAATCATCTTGGCCACTCAGAAGACGTTCTTCGAGCGACAGCGGTTCCCGATCGCTGGCCATCAAGCGTGGACCGGGACCCCCACCTTCGCCCCCGAGAAAGAAGTCGGGTTGCATAGTGGAGCTATTGTGGCCATCAGGATCCATCGAGCCCCCATGCATTGCAGAGCCAGGTCGACTGGAGGAATTCGAATCGGCACTGCGGGCTGGATGGCCATGTGAATTCCCAGGTAGGGCCGGAGTCGGTGGCTGCGACGTGCGCCCAAAGTAGATGTGACTTGCAGAACCAAAGGATTGGGCCGACGGACTGTGGCCGGGTCCTGAACTTGACGACGGACCACCTGCTGGGTTTACACCCGCACTTTCTGCGTTTAGTGCTTTTCGCTTCAAACTGACCGCTTTGGCACGCAAACTCTCTGGAAGGTCCTCGGGGTCCTCGACCCCGTGCTGAGCAAGCATTCGCTGCAACTTGGTCGGACGCGGCTTTCGTGTGCTCTTGGACACGTCTAATACTGGCGGTGGCTCTGGTGCCACTGGACTCCATTTGTGCAGCTCCTGTCGGAAAAAGTTGGTTTCGAATGCGAGTAGAATTTCTGCTCCCTCAATCTTTCGCAAATAGAACCGCTGCGTCTCTGCTTCTGATGCAGTCGCCATGATTGGGTTGCAGTAGACTGCTATGTGATTGCGGAAGTCTTGCGCATTGTCAATGATCTTGCGCAGAATCTCCTCCTCTTCGGGCTGGAAAGGCAGACCGGAAATTTCGTCTTGCCAGGAAATCAGATCCTCAAGCTTTGGCCGAGCGGCATCGCGAGGAATCTTGACGCGCCAGTCACAGATCGGGCAGGTATACTTGTCATCTTCCTTAACCTTGCCACGCGCAATCTTGAGACATTTGCCGTGATACCATTCGTGGCAGAGCTCGCATTCGATCATCATGCCGGCCTCAATCCGGCGACAGATGCAGAAAACCTCTCTGAAAGCCGGGTCATCCCAGGAGCGGGGTACTTTGTTGGCGTCTCGTTCCTCGCTTGGGGCTCTCGATGCAGGCTCTGCGGGTAGTCGGGGTTTATCACTAGTTATGTCGAAGCAGTCCAGGTTGCGATCCAGGACGTATTCGAGGTGATTCTTGAGAATGTGCAATGGTGCATTTGTCTTCCCAAAAAGTTTCTTTCCCTTCCGCATCCAGTCTTCATGGCGACGTTGTTCTCTCTCTAGATCAAGCGTTCCCGTGGGTTTAGAGTTGAGATCCTCCAGTTTCTTCATAACGTCGAGGACATCTAGATACTTGGGCCGCTTCGTGTAGTCTTCGTCCCTGGATCGGTCCATGAGATCCAATATTTGACGATGTGCCTCCCGCTGCTTGTGAAGAATTTGATCTACTGCGTGAAGTGTTTCCTGGGACACCGGCAGGGCGCCATGTTGGACTTGGTTCGACAGAGCTTCTAGCTGGGGGTAGTGGACCGTCTCAGCATTGATCAGCTCGGTGGCTTTGGCCTGCCACTGTCGACCGGCAGCAAGCTTCTCGTTGAAGAACTTCATATGATCATTGTATGGCGGAATGTCCAGGCGAACACCTTCCTCGATCAGCTGTGTGACATCATCCAGAGTCATGAAGACGGTGCGATTCGACTTGGCTTTCGTATTCCAGCGTTTCTGTTCGAGGATAAGCTGCAACTTGTCGATTTCAGGCATGTCCACATTGAAGCTGCGACCCTGCTCCAGCAACTCCTCAATCTGTTCCTCCGATTGGATAATGATGTGTTCCAAGGCCGATTCGGCATTATTCTGAAAGTCCTTGATGGCTTCAGCGCGCTCCTTCAATTGTGTAATCTCGGGACAATCGAAACCTATCCGTTCAGCGTCCTCAATCAGCCGATGGATGTTATCGACTTTTCGCATCTCGCGCTCCTTCTGCTCCTGGTAGGAGTTGCCGATGGATTTGCGCATCCCGCTTTGCCAGACCTTGTCGTTCTTGCGGCGGTTTTGCTGCTTGCGGACCGTATAATTAGTCGCCTCTTCGACCCATTCATTACAACGATCAACAAATTCTTTGAGCGCTGGTAGAGAGGGGAGGTCGTACGGAATGCGTTCACCCTCACTAAGAAGGTTTCGAAGAGTCTTGAGCGTAGGTGTGCCACCTTCGTCAAGAAGCTTATCATACTTGTCCTCCCAAGCCTCAGGAAGAGTAGCCTTTTCGGCAACCTTTCGATGCGTCTCGTTCATGTCTTCCGTCGTCTTGCGATAGAACAGAATATGTTCTTTTCCGGCGAAGCGGTCGGACTCGGGTAGATCGCAGCAGGCATGAGAACCTGCGTGCTGGATACAGAGGTACTTGTTCGAGCGGGTACACTTGAATCTCGTGAGGTAAGCATAGCACTTGCAATATGAACACTGGTACTCTTCTTCCGGCACGTCTTCGTCCATGATCTGGAACTTCAGGGTGCAGGGCTCGTGCTCCTTCGCAGTAATGACGCATGCGTGCTTGTTGCCTTCGACATGCTTAGCGTGGAACTGTTCCCGTTGCAGTATTTCTCGCTTATGTATGCGCTCTAGAGCTGGAGCGAGCCACCTGGCGGTCTGGATGGTGAGACCACTGGAAACCCCGTCGGCTGCGGTCCAGAGAAGTTCGTCGTGAGAAAAGCATGACTGCTTTCGAAACTCCTTGAGTCGTTCCACACCTGCAAGGCCATATGGTTCCCAGTCATGAGGCGCAAAGTTGACGGCTTCATTGAAATTAAAGCCGTGATTGAACCCAGCATGATATGCTTGTGGAAATGTCACCACGAGTTGGCCTGCTCTTTGGTCCAAAGCATAGACACGTACGCCGGCCTTCTTCAGTTGCTCTGGTGTAAGAAGAGTAACAAGTTGGAATAGCAGATCGGGCTGTGTTTCAAACAGCTCCGGCACAGCGGCCTTCATGGCAGCTTCAAACTTTTGCGTATCTTCCGCAGGGATACCATACCAAGTCTTGGTGGCCCCAAAATGTTGGTAGTTTGCTGAATAAGCAAAGTGATCTTCATTGTGCCAGCAAAAGGTGGAGAAAATCATGCCAACATACACCCACGGGACCGTCATGCCGGAGATGTCAGATTTGATATGCCTGAACAGACTCTCCGGGTGCAGGGGCAAGACGTTGAGATTCCAAAAGTCGGTGGAGTATGGGTTGGTGGGATTGCGTTCAGACGTTGGAAAACCAGAACCATGCGTAGTGCAATGGATATCCGCGCCGTACTCGACTTCCACTGTTTCCTCGATACTAGTGACGAGGCGCCAGAATTCGCGTTCGACGTCATCTTCCGTAACCGGGCGAGAGCAGTTGAGAACTGGATCGAAAGGCATTCGGTTCTCAAAATATCCTTGCTTGAAATCCGCAGCCTTTTCTTGAAAGGATTTGAGGGAATAGAGACCACCCTCTTCGAAACCGAATTGGCCATCGCCAACGAGGCATCGCGGGCAATTCCATTCGGGTCCTGGGTTGGACTTCAGCGGAGGATCAATACAGGGGCCGTGGTAGGCAAGATCGCAGCCTTCACAGACGGCAACCCAACCGGTCTCTTCTCCTTTGCCACAGTTCTCACATCGCTGTCGATGTTGTCAATACACCAAATAATTTACAATAACAGAGCACCGCAAGATGTGGCTTACCTCTCCGGGTGGCAGGTTTTCGTCACGCGGTAATCGTGGGCCAAGAGGACGGAACAAAGACATGTGTGAACCAGCAACTGTGGGGACAGTATCTGTTGGGGCATTACATTAGCTGTATTCAGTAGATCACGGAAAAGCAACAACCATTGCAGCGGTGACATTGGTCTCCCGCATCGATAGCCAAGCGCTCTACGGAAGGCTGCATGGGCTGTGGTATCAATCTGGTGAATTGACACACGGCACATCTCTACAGCCTCCAGGAATGGCCATCGAAAAGTAGTGTGTGATCTTTGCCCCTCAAGAGGTTGCAGAACTCTGAGAAGATGCCAAGTCATATCGGGATAAGTTGCTCACTCACCTTGCTTAAGTCGCTTACTTCTGCGACTGCCATTGTCTGATTCATCCCTGTCGGCACCATTCTCCTTTTTGGAAATGTCGAGACTGTCAGTACTGAGCTGGCGCTTAAGAGGATTTGATAGTCCAAGTGCAGAGGGCCGGAAATCGGGAGTATTCTTGGCCGAAGACATGGGACTTCCGTATTGCTTCGGAGGGGTGAAGCTTTTTGTATCGGTAGAATGCGGTCGATTAATGCTTGTAAATCCGGCGTTGACGGCTGTGAAACCACCTGATCCACCTGAATTGATGGGAGTAAAACCGGACGTTGGTGCCGGTGCGGATGTTGGTGTCGGTGCATCGTTCATGACCATTTCCCGCTCATGTTCCTGTTTGATTGGATTCAAAGAAAAACTAGCTTGTAGTGATTCGGTTGCATTTCGCGCTGGTGAATCTCCACGGAGGCTCGAGGGCGTATTCACTGTAGAGCGCTTCATGGGGCTCGGAGCCGGACTAGGGGTCAACGGGCCACCATATTCGAACTCTAGTTGCTGATAGACGCCAGGCTTTGCTTGCCGAAGATAATTCTCGTACGGGGTGAGCCATCTGTCGTAGGAATTCTTAAGCGAAGTCGACAAGGACGACATGATCTTGCCGCTGTATCCCAGGTCTCTGCCAATCTCTGCCCATTTCTTTGCTTTGCAGACCTTCTCGAATCCACCTCGGGCTTCAACACATTTCTTGAGACGATAGAGGTCGAGTGGCTTTTTGTCAACATAGGGCAATCTATTGAGGTTCGTTCCTTGTTGCTTGTGAAATTTCGCAAGAGCGTCAAGGTATGTGAGATTGGCACGTGTGCCTACAAGGGAAGGGACGTCAGCTTCTCTCTGTGTTCTGGAATCAGAATGTCCAAAAGTACTTACTTCCTTCGACAGAGTTCAATTCCTGCTTGCGAGTTCGAAAGTGGAATTTCTGTAGTAGCAAGAACGTGTTAGCTAGTTATTTTAATATTCTGGAAGCAGAAAAGCGCTTGTAAAAGGCGGGCAGAACAGTTGTCAAGCCCTGTTGTGGTTGGGATGCGCACCTCGGTGTCGATCGCAAAGTCGGGATTCCATGAGTCCGGGGGTATGATCTTGCACAATCCAAACTTGTTCGCTTCACCACTAATTTTGCGTATGTACTCGAAAGGGTCCTTCCATTCTGCCTCTGTCGGACGATACGAGGGTGCTTCTTGCAGTCCGAATGGCCTGCTTCGCTTTGTAGTCTCTCTGCTCGCAGTCGGTTGACCTCGTCGTTCAACAGAGCGCAGATCTAAGGGTGCGCTGCGCATGGAGCTCAGCGGCAATTGGGGATTTGGTGGGTGGTATCCGTTGCCATTGAGGTTGGCTTTTGATTTGGTGCCATTGGTTGTGGTCGTATGGCTTGCGGAGGATGCAACCGCTGGAGATGCTCGGGAGCTGCCATTCAGGCTGCCTGCACCGCTAGCAGAGGCGCCGACTGCTGGTGTTTGAACCATAGCGGACGGCGGTAATGTGCGGATTGTGATGCGGATCGCAGGGTTGGTCGATTGGAAGACTGAGGCGCACTATGGGCGCCATGCAAGTGAGGAAGGGATCTCTATTCACGGCGCGGGTCGGCGCATCCCAATCAAGAAGCCTTGCAAGTACAAGACCTGTAGGAACGGCCAAGCCGAATCGGTGGGGCGGTCGGAGGGAACACAGAATGCGATGGTCGAGGAAATGAATTCAATCGGTATTTGACGAGGTACGGTTTCTCGGCGCGATGCTGAGGGGGGGTTGAAAGTGAGGGTATGTGGGAGAAGGACAGTTGAGAGAATTGAGGTATCAGGTAAGGTTAGGGACGACGACAGACTGGGAAGACGAGGGTGGCCGGCACATGCACCACCACAGTCATCAGTCCCAGCAGCGGACGGGAAACGACGGTTGGTCGACATGGAAAGTCAGTCCAAGTGCTGCAGTGTGCATACGTCCCAATAGGTACGTCGGCTCCATACTTAGAAAAGACGGCGCCGTTCCCCACAATAAAATTAGAGCCATCGTTCGACTCAGGTGCAAAAGCTCACGACGGCATGTCTAGAATTGAGACTTTTACAGACCTTTTCTGAGTTATATTTTGATTTGGACAATCATTTTTTTTTGTTTTGTTTTTGTTTTTGTTTTTTATTACTCCTTTTTATATATAGTGAACTGGGGAATGAAAAGCAATAGCGATCAAAGCATTTGTATGGAGTGCGTCCAACCTTGTCGTCATGTGCGCGCAATTGAAGGTACAGACACCGTGAGGCTGTTCTTTTGTGACCTTGCGCATTGCAATAGGATCGATATGTGAGCAATAGGGTTTGAGGGTAGGGCGTACCTTATTAGGTAGGATATGTAGTGTGTAGAGGGGACAAGCGGGATGTCCAAAACGGGGTGAAGGAAAGGGAGTGCGAATGCTGTTCGACAAGGTGGGCGGCGGATCGGATGTATGGAGGAACTTCAACGACATGCTGTTGGGGGGGCCAGATGACATTAATCGATCAATCCCCAGAGGTTCAAGTTCCAAGACGGGTGGTGGGGCTCACACACATATTGGAACTGGTACTTGGTGGCGGACACTAACTACATACCATACCACCATACATCCAGATATATTAGGTGTGTAGGTATGTCACCAACAGTTATTATGTCAATCAATATCGGCGGGCTTGAATGTCGATACCCTTTTATTATCACGTCAAATATAAGCAAGTCATGTCTGACAACCATGCACTGGAATTGGTTGAACAAATAGCTCTTGTGTATCGTGGCCAGCTAATGTTTTCGGTATAGGAGCACCTGCCTAGGTGACCGAGGAGGTATTCGCTTGGCTTTGGGCGCTATCAGATCATATCATATGCAGCTTGACCTATTCAATTCCTTGCATGGAGACAAACGCATCACACGTCGGGAATGTACTGCCATAAAAGAGACCCCAACGACCCCGGTTACATGGATTGTCAAAATTACAGCCAAGGGAGGGCTACCAAGGAACTAGTCCGTCGATGCGACCGTGCATGTGGTTCGATATCCTCAGGTGTACTGGGAGCACTGGCAACTGAAATCATTATCACGGACCGATAATGATGGCAAAGGAGGAGAATTTTATTTTACCCCGATGAAAGGTACATCAAATCTTATCCAGATATAGAGTACAACTTTTGGGGCAGTGTAGGAAAGAAGGGCAAAGGTGGCATGAATCGCTACCCGAGTGCTATGCCACTAGCTTTTCCATCATGACGTCCACAGTAACAAGAGGAAGATTAAAAGCGAGAGACACATGAGAAGCCCCGGCCCCGAGCCACGACACAAGACACCCATATGCAGGGATCGCCGGCTGAAGATGAATAGACGCAACTAGGTTCATGTGTGCCATATGTGTATTGCGCATGGTGCGATTTCCCTGTTGTAAATTACGCCGGACAGTTCGTGTGCACCGATATTCAATTATTAATCTTTTATATAAGAGCCTTTCTTTTCCCAGATTGTGGCTGCAAGGTTTACTATCTTTTGCATGAAACATTTGCAGAAGAAAATGTATTTATTGGATGCAACATGGTATTATGGTGCAGGATGGTAAGCAGAGAGTTACAAAGGCGGTGTATAAAATTGTCGCTATGAGCAATGTCAGATATATCCTTGATGAAACTTGCATATCTGCGGTCTGTAGCTCGTGCAAACCCGTAAAGGCCAGCGATGAGTTGGCAGTTTTTGCTTGGATGCAGCAAGGCCTTTGACGGGCGACGACGAAACAAGCGCAGGGAGGCACTTTTGGCACTCTGATATCGGAGCGGGGATCGTCAGCCCCAGATTATTCGTCATGTTCATTCCAGCCAATCACAAAGGAGTGACGTCGAGAAAAGGTGGGTGACCCCTGGCCCCCTCTGAGTCGAGAAAAAGCCATGGGCCCATACATTCCTGGTCTAGGAAAAAATGGAAATCCATGGGAAGAGCTTGAGAGGGGAAGGAATAAAAAAAAAAAANAAAAAAAAGGACTCAAGGACAAAACCAGGGGCAGTGTGAGATCCAGTTCTGCGGGGACAGATTGCAAAACCATCTGAGATGCACCAGATCAGTAACCGGCAGATCAGAACGTCACAAAATGATAAGATGTCATATTGAGCATTGATCAGCAATCAGCTGGACATGAGAGATATGATAGCCATGGTACCGTAATATCCCGATTGATACCAGCTTCTACAGCGTCTTGGGGGTTTTCTTCTTCTTGCATCGTACATGTAGGTAGTTGTCGCATTCCGATCTGAAAAGGTAAAGTACACGGTCCCTTCGTACCTTACATTGAGGCAGATTGATGCCAGTTTCCCTACAACGTATTTCATACCTTAGCGGCGGCAGAGGCGCTAGCCCAGTCCCGGTGGGTAAAAAAGCGCCACTGCCAGCTGAGAGCTCGTCTGCTAGCCTCTCGGGGGTTATTCGAGGTACTACAGACTTCGCTCGGGAGAGGCCATTGCTGAGATTGGGCGATGCGCATCAACGAATATCCTGTAGGTACTCTGCAATTGCAATTGCACCGTCGTTTTGAAGGGTAACATGTTATGAAGATTTCCTACCATATTAATTGAATACTCTATTTTCAATATTCTACTAGCACATTCCTTGTACCCCACGTGTATTGAACATCCGATCTCTCAGATGAAGCCAGTGGCCAGTGCTTGCTTGCGTAGGGTCTCTCCAGGACCCTTTGCCCCTCCAAGGCTCCAGCCGGACCTAAGAATTGGAGAATGGCGTTCCACGCGCCAAATCGTGACGCCAGTAAACATTTCACCATTTCTGTCAGACCAACACCTCGGTCCTCAACGTAGATGCTCTCTCTGTGTGCACTACCTTGTAGGTAAGATAACATTGCTGAATTCAGACATCACTACAACTTTAGCGATATCATCGTAACCATCGTAGAGCATTCAGAATCCGAGAAGCTTCAGATGCACGCTCAGGCAAGTCAAGCTTCCTTCTAAACAATGACCACTGCACGTCTGCATCTGCACCCATCAGAATTGCCCCAGAGGCTTGCGACAAGTAATTTCGGGTAACAATCACTCGAGCTATTGTCGACATGCCTGTGCAAGCCAAACCCATCCCACCTCTATATACCGTCTATATACTACGGTCCACAGTTCGTCACTCGTCTCTCTACATCGGCAGCACTCCTCATCCGCCTCGCCGGCTGAAGCAGCATAATGGCCAAGCCAAAGGGGGCGCTGCCCGGACGTCGCGCAATACCTTGCGACCGTGGGAGATGGTCGGTCTTGTGTCGGGCTTCCCTGGATCAGTTGCGGCACTGAAGTTTGAGTATGGACATGAATCTACTCCCGGCCATTTCCTCTCATGCTAATCACATATCTGGTGCAGGTGGGCCTTGACAAATCCGCATCTGTCTCTCCACATACCTTCTGGCTCGCGCATCACGATCGCGACGCAGAAGAAGCGCAACGGCCATGCGAAACGACCTCGGCACAGTCTGACCTCCATCCTCTCAAATCTGCACTTATTGCTGCGAGTCCCCAGTTTTGCTAGGTGGCCCCTTACTCTTCACTTCTTTGCGCCAGATGCGTATAACGCATGGAACAAATGGTGCTCGACTGCCAGTGAGCCATTGCGAAAGAGCTTAGAGGTTTTTCCTGACTTTGAGCCCGCCAGAGCTACCTTGAATAACTCTGAGCCCACGATGCAGCAATCTCGGTCGTCCAAAGTTGAAACAGAATCCTGGGGTATCCACGCCCTTCCACTGGATTATACACCGCTGAAGGAGTACGTCACCAAGACCAAGTCTATCTTCAAATCCGAACGAGAAGGCAATTGCATTATCTGCAATGAAAATCTGGCGCCCGGCGAGGGACTGTATGCCGTCTGCTATAACGAAGGCTGCGAAGGTGTCGGGCACGTGACCTGCTGGAGTCGACATCTTCTGGGCAAGGAGCAAGGTGAACACGTAGTGCCGGTGTCTGGCCACTGCCCAAAGTGCCACGGCAATCTGGTCTGGGGTGACATGATGAAGGAAATGACTCTACGTCTGCGCGGACAAAAAGACGTCGCAAAGCTACTCAAGAAGCCCCGGAAGCGCAAGGCAGCAGAGTCCAGTGATGAAGACTGAGCTCTTGACAAAACAGTACCAGTTTCTATCGAGCCCAATAATACCATGCAACAGAACGATGATCCAGAACAGACCAAATTGATCCACTCAATCCGAGATTCAAACAATTTGCTTTCAGTCAGACGGAGACTGCCAATCATAATTGGTTTGGCCCTCTATTAGTAACAAGTCTGGCGCCTGACTGGATGACATGAACAAAGAGTACTGGCTCAGTACCACTGTGCATGCTTCAATTGCCATTCTATAATGTGGAAAAAGAAAATCAATTCCGTCCAATTCCTCCTGCCTTTCTGGGCTGGCGCTTAATACTAGACGAGTGCGCATAGCCATTTAAAGACCCATCGCACTCCAGCTTGGCATTTCTTGGCTATCGGCACACCAAGGCGGTTGAGGAAGTTGCACCCCATGCCACAACTATGAGCACGGCTGCGCATACAACCTACTACAGTATTTCATCATTCGATATTCGCTTCATTGGACCGGTAATTGTTAACCTTAAAATAAGCGGGTGGAGTACTCGTATATGCAGTGGATAGCTGCCCTCTTCTGTTGCCTAAATAGCATGAATCCCTCGGAATGTTACTAACAGACGATCCGACTTCTTATTCAAGAAGGGCTATGATTCAAAGAGAGTAAGGATAAAGAGCCGCCGCTTCGCCCGCCATCTGTTGCAGATCTGCTCATCCCAGAATCTTTCCGGGGCGCAAAACCAAGATCAGTGGTTCCTCAATCATCATGGTTCGCTCAATTCTCTTCGCCGCAGCGGCGTTGGCCGTCTCCGTCTCTGCCATTCCCATGGAATCCAAGAGGGATGCCTTGTTCAAAATCTCAACAGCTCCCGGCTCTATCCAGGAAGTTACAGAGGCACAGAAGTACGAACTGAAGGCTCAGGGTGTGAAGTTCTTTGACTTTACGGATGAGGGATCGCTGCCGGACGAGGTCGAAGTCGCTGCTGTCACCTATCCTACCGCTGTTCAGCAGGCAGATGCCGTCAACGCTCTGCTCCCCAGCCTCAGCGAGGACAAGCTCAAGACCACGTTGACGACCTTTGCCAGCTTCCACAACCGCTACTACAAGTCGACATACGGCCAGCAATCCTCTGCTTGGCTGCTCAAGCAGGTCCAGGCCATCATCACGGCCGCCAGCCCCTCGGCAAACGTGACGGCCACGCCCTTTACCCACAGCTGGGGCCAGTCGAGCATCATTGCCACCATTCCTGGCCAGACGGATAACATTGTTGTCCTCGGTGCCCACCAGGACAGCATCAATGCCCGCAGCCCCCAGAACGGCGTCGCCCCGGGTGCAGATGACGATGGTTCCGCCTCCATGGAACTCATCGAGACTTTCCGCGTCTTGCTCACTGATGCAAAGGTGGCTGCTGGCGAAGCTGTGAACACGATTGAGATTCACTGGTACTCGGCCGAGGAGGGTGGACTCCTCGGCAGCAAGGCCATCTTCAACAGCTACAAGGCCGACGGCAAAGTCGTCAAGGCCATGTTGAACCAAGACATGGCGGGATACGTCAAGCCTGGAACGACTGAGAGTATCGGCTTGTTTACCGACTATGTTGACACATCGTTGACCACCTTTATCGGCAAGGTCATTGCAGCTGTAAGTCACGATCATATTGGGGCCGTAACATGGGTAGAAATCCCAGCTAACAATTATCTTTTCTAGTACACTAAACTTCCAGCCGTGTCCACCAAGTGCGGTTATGCCTGCTCTGATCATGCCTCAGCACGCAACGCCGGCTACCCTGCTGCCTTGATCTCCGAGGCTGCTTTCGAGGATACTAGCCAGCTTCTGCACACTGCTCAGGATACTCTGGACACCATTACCTTTTCCCACCTTGTTGAGATGGCCAAGGTTGCCTTGGGCACAGCTTACGAATTGGGATTTGCTACTTTGTAAATAGCTAGCTTATAGTCATGTCAAAACCTGTGAGATATAATTATATCAAACATATCCAGCCATGCGTATTCCCAACAGAGTGTTTTGGGTCCGTCTTCCCGTGAAATCTCGGGGCAAGACAAAAAAGACGGCGCCGAAGGCTCCAAGCTGCTTATTTCGCGGTGGAGCTTGTTGTAGGGTTGCCGTGTCGTCTCAAGAAGCATTTCCATTGATCTGAAGCTGAGAATTCTCGTATGGCCGTGATACGGAGATGTCTTATCAGCGAGTGAACAGTAGACGGGTCAATATGTGGCTGTAGAATTTCATCTGTAGAGCCAAGTAGATCTCAAAGATAGTTTATCTTTCTACATAAATCGTTGATGCCGGCTTGTCATATCTACATATACCCATCCAATGACATGTATAATGACCATGGGTTCTATGAATTTTAGTTATGAATAAACGCCGTGACCATTTCGGCTAATGTCACTACGACGTGACTGGCCCCATGCTCCCGATGCCCAAATGCCTGACCATGATTTCGTTTTTATTTTCGTTTTTTTTTCCCTAGCCAAGTCGTTGCACCATCCTGGTGAGACAAGAAATGAAGAAGTAAACCACCAAGCTTAATCATCAAACAGAACAGGAACTCATCCTTGGGCTTTGACCCCCAACGTGAGTGAGAATGGAAACGTAAAAAAAGAGGATCGATGGACGGGCTTTTCAATTGCCAACCATTGATGAAGAAGTGAAGTAATGCAAATGCCACTCATTGGCAAGAGAATGAGGAAGTGATATTCAGCTCCTTGGAGCGAGTGGGAGAATTGAAGAGGGGATAAGGGGGTGATGGATGCCTGCGGAAGATTTGGTTTGTTTCCGATGCCAGAATCAAAATTTTCAAGAGGTGAGAGGTGCGAAGAGATTCCCCATGAGAAGCAACAGCTCTAAGAGCTCAGAGCCTTGACACCTGAGTAGTCGTGAATAGCGATACCCGCAAAGCTAGAGTATGTGGCGGCCTGTGTGTGAATGGTGACCAGGTCCGAGGACAGGACAGAGAGCGTCTTGCCAAAGTAGCTAATGAGCAGAGCATCGGCGGCATCGACGGTCTCGACGGCGAGCCACACGGGCTTGCCGGCCGAGTTGCCCGCCTCGAGGACCGAGGTCGCAATGTCGAGGAGCTCAGTCGCCGTGTTGCGGTACGTCATGAAGGTGGCCGTGTCTAGCTGGTCGAGCATCCAGGCATCGAGCGTCTGGATCGCCCCCGAGGTCGCCGTGCAGTTGATCGTGTCCGCCCAGTATGGCAGGTCGGCGGCCACGGGCAAGCCCAAGGTTGAGCCCAGCGACGTGACTTGCAAGACAATGGACTGGAGGGTGGCGGTATACGTCTCCTCGTTGGAAGTCCAACCGTCGAGACCCCAGGGTTCGACATCAAAGTGAATTCCGGCAAACGAGGTGCTGGTTGTCGCGTTGCCCTGGTACTGCTCGAGCCAGGTGAGTTCATGTTCCAGAGTCGGGTCGCCTTCTCCAAGGATCCACTCCGAGTTGCCCATCAGGGCCTCGACGGCGATACCGGCTGCGGTACATTGCTCAATGAAGTCCTGGAAGACGGTAAAGCCCATGTCACGGTCAATGAGGGTATAGACGGTGTTGATGTCATTCGATTCGGCAAACGACAAGAACTCCTCAACCTCGGTGTCATCCTGGATGAGATTCGACTCCCAAAGCCATACTGCTCGACCTGGGGTGCTGGCAGAGGACGTTGCAGAGGCCGTTGCAGCGGCCGTCGTTGTCTGGCTGGTCTGAGTCGAGACTGCATACGTCGTGATTGCCGCATAAGTCGTGGCCGCCTCAACTGCTGCCGTTGCTGATGATACCACTGCCTCTACTGCGTCGACTGCCGCATCAGCGACCTCGTCTACTGCCGTTGCGCTGGGAGCCACTGATGAGCTGGTTATCGTCGTTGTAGGACGTCCACAGGCCCGAGACCAAACTGGCGCAGCCAGTGCAACCACTAGAATACTCTGCAAATACATCTTGAAATCCGACCTGGTGAGAAAAATAAAAAAGGAATGGCTACGCGACAAGTCGCATACGAAAGGAATGAATACCCAAGGGTGAAAGAATGTAAATGAAGGCAGCAGAAATGGCCCAGCAAAGGAAGGTAAACAAGAAAAGAGGAGGTCTCAACCGTCGACTATTGCGTCCATCGCCAGAAAGATGTATGAGGCGCTTAGTGACACTCGAGAGGGGACAATAAATCCCGAACGCGTGGCACAAATCCTAGCGGCATCCTGTAATCTCTGGTGTTGGGAGAAGTTCCCTGAAGCTCCGGCGCATGGATCATTGCGACTTTCAGGGGCTCGATTGGCCAAGAAGGCGCCGTTTACGTAAATCCGCCCGCTAAAAGCACTATAAGCGTTTGTAGGATCAGTGGTCTCGATCATGGAAGCGAGGGCGCTAACATCCGCTAAGGAGACATCAGATGAACTTGTTTCTGCCGAAGCCCCACGATCGCGGGCAACTAGACGGAGTATAGGTCGGGATATTCTAGCTTTATGCTGGCCGATATATATTACTTGAATATGTTTGTTTTGATCATTCCAAGCCATTTGAATTTTTTACATTTTATCGTTCTCGGTCGCTATGGAAATCGTATCTCCGATCAGACCAGTTGGAATATCAACGGCAGTGGCACTGTACGGATTAGCTGCTGGGACCGGCGGTAAACAGTCTTCAAATGCCGCGAATACCTACTCCAGCACTATATTTTAGAGGTGGGGACCTTGGACTGGAGATATCCAAGGACACGCGTGGATAGCATTATATTATTCCGTACTATAGTAGGCAGCATTGAAACAACCCATCTCGAGTCTGCCATGTTTTCTAGGCCTTTCTCGTCATAGTAGGACTTGCCTATAATCATTCAATAAACCATCATGCGAATTACTTCTTTTGAATCACTTAGGTCATATTCACTACCTACAAATATGGATCGAGCACTGCGAGACGCGTAATAACGCAAGATGGCTAGTGGAATTTATGATCGAAGAAATACAAAGGATGCCCAAGACACCTCGTCATCATGTTAAACAACCTCGTCCACTTCTAGCAGTTTCCGCCGACATCACCACCAGCCCTTATTTATTATGCGAAAGGGCTTGATGAAAATAACGGCGTGTCCACTTCACAGACCGTGTCCGGAGCAGGCAGCTTACCATTGACAAAATAATCTCCAATAATACTAGCGGTACAGTTTGACGGCTGGCTGAGAGAAGAATGCTGCGATAGACATTAGCAGAGTGGTAACATGTCGAAAGGCATAATGTATGGACCTACCCCGAAACCGTGCTGTTCCAACACGACGCTCTCCTCAAACGTGGCACTCATGTTGTATGCTGACGCAAGAGGAGTCGCCGGGTCATAGGTATTCCCGAGAAACAAGACTGGATTGGGCGTCGTGACGTTAAAGTCACCCTCGTAGCGCTCCTTGGCCTCGAACGGCCACTGCGCATACAGGGTGGCGTGGATGGTGGTGAGGCCCCAAAAGATGGAAGTGGTCTGTTTCATATAGTCAATGGTCGGCAGGACGCCGTCCAAGGTCGAGTACCGAGGAATGGTGTCCCCGCCCTTGATGCCAAGGAGGGCGTCGGGATTTTGCAGGATGCCTTGGCCCTCCAATGCCCGATAGACGGCTGCTATAGATTCCAGGTTCTCTCGGTTCAAGAGGTTTAGGATCAAGGGGGCAAATGATTGGAAGCCGGATGATCTGATGGAGAGATAGTACAAGTTAATCACAGCTGCGTAGTCAATGATGATCCCATCAATAGCAATTGGGAATTTTCTGATGTCCTCGGCAAGAACCAGAAGTGTGGCTTGGAGTTCGAGTGCCGTTGAGTTGACCTGTGACAAAGCGCATAGCTCTCCGGCCTCGATGCACTCGCGCAAGGTTTCTGTGAATGCGGAATCGGCAGATAGGAGTTGATCAACGTCACTATTTGTTCTCGTCAGTCTCTTTACGTATACTAAAAGTTTCGAGGTTCTGCACTAACATGCCTGACTTGTGGTAGTAATTGTGGCAATTGACAACACCATCGAGCAAAAGCTTGTCCATTCTGTCGGGGAACATTGCTGCAACAGTCGCACCAAGAACAGTGCCATAGGATATTCCTGACAGACAAGATGAGCAAGTAAGCTGATGTCTCAGACACGCGGTACTCACCCCAATACCGAAGCATACCATCTTCTCCCAGAGCGTCAACAATCTGCATCATATCCCGAGCCACAAATGCAGTACCAATGTAAGGTGCCGTATCCTTTGTGTTATTCAGACATGTTTGGGCAATGGAGCTCCCTATGGCCCAAACTTCACCGAGTGCTTTGTCGGAAGAATCAGAGACCGGAGCTGGAGGTCTCTGGGCTGGATCAGGATAGCAGTTGTACGCGAGTGCTTCTGCAGTGCCACTTAACAGTCCCGTTGTTAGTTTCCTGTATAAACTCAAAATGAGAATGTATTTCAGGTCTGAACTCACCGAGGATCAAAGGCTATCAGGTCATGCTCGCCACCGGTCGACCTGAACATCATATTAGCTTATGACAAAGGCCTGTATTCCCTCATTCAAAAATATCAAAACGTGATGCTACGTACCTCATAAGAGTCTCTTCATAGGATACAAGCGTGTTACGGGCCTCTGCGCCAGGGCCGCCAAAGTTGAATAATATGCTGCCTTTGGAGGTGGTGTTAAGACTGGGAATCCTCAGCAGAGCGAGGTCTATGGTCCTAGTATCGCTGACGTTTGTATAGTCCAGTGGGACGGTCAAGGTGCCGCATTGTATAGGCAGGGTAGAGTTGATTGATTCCTCGCAGGCCCCCCATTCAATTGTGCCAGATGTCGAATTCTGGCCAGCGCGGATGCCGAGTGGTTTTGCTGAGACTGCAAAGGCAGCACTCACTGGGAGCATAAATTTCTTGAACAGCATTGTGATCAGCTGATATATAAGGAAAGATAGACTTTGTGAATATGCTTTTGAACATCTCCACTGGGCATTTGACCTCCGCATGCTACATGCTGGTTCTTATATAGTTATATCAACCCGAGAATGCCTACAAGGCAGTGCACAAACTCGCCAATCACTACGCAATGATGCGTATCACGGGAGAAATTATTACTTACAGCCACTGACGATGATCTTGCCATACAAGAAAGGCACTGTTCATTTCATCTCAATTCCTTTGTACCATGCTCAGCACTAACCATGCCAAGTTGTACATGGGGCTGACACGCAGAAATGCCAAGACAACAACGGCGCGATGGATCATGTACTTGGTACACCTGATTACCCTTTTCGGCAGTATATCTGCTGCCAAGTTGACGAACGAGCACTAAATCCCGACTCAGCCGTTGTCCAACGTGGAGAGTGAATGTCCTAATTTGTCTCTATGACGAAGTGCTTGAAACGCAACGTCAAGGCAGTATACCAAGCTGCCAGTGTGAAGATACTGGGCTGTGCCTGCATGCTGATTTTGATCGTCTTTGGAGCGATCTAGTTGGCATACTGCAGTGATCTCTTGCCGCGGGAACCGAACAAGTTTTGTCTCGATCCACCTCAGCGCAACTTGTGGCAGAGAAGAGTTGTAATCACTATGCACATTTTGTCGGTTCTGTGAATTAAGAGACTAACGCATATGTTACTGGTATGCTGTTGCAATGCACGGCTTTGGCCTCATAGCTAATAAGTGTGTGTGATGGGAATTTATGCCGTGCAAGTCATAATACTTCTGATGATTATCTTGTTTCGATCACCAGGTTCTCTCGATGGTGAAAGAGTGATCATGGTCAACATGCCAGCTCTAAACTGTGATTCATGGTATGTCAAATGTTAGAGAATCGCCAACACATGCGCTTCTAGTCGTTGATATTTGATTCTTCATCATTTCTTCGTGGTATTTTGATCCCTAGACAAATATTGCAATCACTCTAGTCCTCACTCTTGATTCACATTTCCCGTGGCCCCAGACACATCTATTTCTTGCCAGTAGGGATGGCGAACAAGATAATCTTGCCCTTCTCCTTACCCTCGTCGACTCCCTCGTCTACTCTGTAGAAGCCACGTCTCTCGAGCTGGATAATGTCGTCCTTCTTGAGGTTCTTGACGCCCTCATCACACCATGCCTCCTCCATGGTGGCCGTGGTAGGGTTCAGGAACTTCTCCAGGTCATCTTCCTCCTCCAACTTGTCCTTTGTGATCAGGTAGTCAAACTCCCAAAGTTCAGCCTTGACCAGCTCCTGGCCCTGGGTCGAGAGCCAGGTGACCTTCTTGTCTGTCGAGCGAACGTCACCCTTCAGGTTCAGCTCGCAAGTGATGGATGGGATCGGCTCTCCGGCAGCAATATCGCGGACGAATGCGTTACCCCACTGCATCAGAGTGATCTCCTCGTCCTTCTTGAAAAGCTTGACATCGGCTTGGTCGAGGAGAACCTCCTTGCTGAAAGCAACCTTCTTGGTTCCAACGGCGGGGTTCTTGGGGTGCTTGGGCTTGTCCTCAGTGTGGGGCTCGGCGGGCGCCTCGGCACCAGTGATATTGACCTTCACGGCATCCTTGACAGTGATGGCTGTGTGGCGAGGAGCGATGGGGTCAATCTCCTTCTTGTTGGCAGCCCAGAAAGCCATCCAGTCCATTACAACAACGTTTCGCGAAGGGCCCTGCTTCAGGATAAAGTCCCGAAGAGCAGGAATGGTCATACCACGCCTGCGCACACCACGGATAGTAGGCATACGGGGGTCGTCCCAGCCCCAGACCCTTCCAGCGTCAACCAGCTTGGCAAGCTTTCTCTTGGATAGGAATGTGCGGATGAAGTTCATGCGAGCAAAGTCCCACATGTGAACCTGGCGCAACTTGAGGGTGTCCAAGAACCATTGGAACTGGGGGTTACGGTCGGTGTATTCGGTAGATCTAAGAGCGTGCGTGACGCCCTCCAAGCTGTCAACGACGGGGCAGGCAAGATCGTAAGTGGGATACATGTTCCACTTGCGGCCTGTTCGGTGGTGAGGGTCCTGGACATTGCATCTGTAGATGACCGGGTCTCTCATGGCCTTGTTCGGGTTATCGACGGAGATCTTGGCACGAATGCAGTTCTTGCGACCCTCTTCGGTGCCGTTCTTCATCTCTTCAAAGATGTTCAAGTTCTCCTCGACAGTACGGTCTCTTCGCTTGGAGGCAATTCCCTTTCCTCGCTCGTCGCGCATGGTCTCGACATCGGTATCGTCGGCGTAGGCGTTGCCACTCTTGATCAAGCCCAAGCAGGTGTCGTAGAGGTGGTCAAAATAGTCGGATGTGTAGCTGACAAAGTCGGGCTTGATTCCCATCAGGGCGAGATCCTCAATGATGGCATCTTGGAACTCTTCCTTTTCCTTGCTGGGGTTTGTGTCATCCAGGCGTAGACGCAACTTGCCCTTGTAAGCTTGGTGGGCAAAGTAGTCGCTCAGCAGGGCAGCCTTGGCGTGTCCAATGTGCAGGTAACCAGAGGGCTCGGGTAAAAATCTGCACACAACGCCCTTGTCGGCGTCCTGGAGGGCGAGGTTGTAACTTCCACCGGCCTTGCTGGCGGCTTTGACATTGGCCAGGCGGGCGTCATCGGCAGCTCTGACCTCGGCCTGGATCTCGGGGTGGACCTGCTCAATGTAGGCAAACCATCTGGCCAAGTTGGCGTAAGAACCCTTCTTGACGAAGGAAACGGCAGCACGGTTGGTCTTGATAGCAAGCCAAATCTTGGTGTCGGGCTCGCTCAAGCTGTAGCCGGCGAGGTAAGTTCGTAGGACAAGGTGCTTCTCGAGACGGATGAGGTGGGGCTCAATGGACTTGAAGTCCCCTCCTAGGGAGGCAGAGATGGCGACGAGCTCATCGACCTTCATTTTGGAGTGTTTGCGGAAATCGATGAAGCGTCAAAAGGGTCTATGTGCAAGCTCAAAAGTGCCCAATATTTACGGCTGGTGGATTTTTGTGACTCAATGACGCCCCAGGCACCTGAAGCAGGACACACAGCAGCTCTGCGGTGGCGGGGTATCCAAAAATTGTAAGAGCAGCTGAAGCGGGGTGAGTCGGGCTGGCGCCAGTTGGCTTGGGAGAAGAACAATTACAGGGGGCCTGTTGATAAGATAAGAAACGCTATTCCGGGTTCAGACTAGCGCCCATGGCACCGGGATTGGCCCGAGCTCCAGAAATTTTGAAGAGCAACGGTTGAGACGTCGATTGGGAATACCGTGAGAAGAGAGGCAGCTTTCACTGCTCGATGTGACAAACGAGCATCATCACATTGGCTCATCATGGCCACCACGAACCAATGTCTCGCCTCCCTGGCCAGACTCAGCATATCCGGCACTTCTAGACCGGCAGCCACGTCGATACCGAAATTCCTGGCCCCGTCCATCGTCCAGGCGCGATGCGCCAGTGGACCTAATTCGGCAATGGCGATACGCGTCAGAGAAAAGGAAAAGGCCAAGAGGAAGAAGAAGCAAACGAAATTCAAGGAGTACAAGTACGCAGTGCCGAGCAAGGAGGAGCAGTTCTCGCTCTGCGATGCTATGAGGTATGGGCAGATTAAATCTCGTCTCCGTGGAGAGTAGAAACCCCTAAGTTAATGCTAACACTCTGCTCAGGTACCTCAGAGCTGCAGAAGTCGGCCGTCCTCCTTCATCAGTCACATACGAATTATCGGTCAGGATGCGAAGTGTCAAAAACGGTCCCGTCATTAGAAACCGAGTCCGATTTCCATACCCTGTCAAGAATGACACGCGCATCGCCGTCATCTGTGCCGAGGGCAGCTCAGCCATGGCGGATGCGCGCTCTGGAGGAGCTGTTGCGTTCGGCCAGGAGTCCCTGTTTGAGTTGATCAAGACTCAATCAAACAACCTACCCTTCAACAGATTGATTTGTCACGTCGATTCGGTACAAGCCCTCAACAAAGCCGGTCTGGGAAGGATATTGGGTCCCAAGGGCATGATGCCGTCGTTGAAGACCAACACCATCACCAAGAGTATAAAGGGTATGATGCACGAAATGGTCGGCGCCGAGCAATACAGAGAGAAGATTGGTGTCATTCGCATGCCGATCGGCAACATTCTCTTTACACCGAAGCAGCTTTCCGAGAACATCAGTGCCCTTGTCTCGCAAATCAAGGCTGACTTGACGGCCCTGGTGGACAAGACTAATATCAACAAGGACTTGATCGAGGTCGTTCTGACATCGACAAACGGCCCCGGCTTCTCGCTAAACGGAGGATACCTGTCAACTGACGAAAAGCTTGACGATTCGCATCTGAGCACAACCATGTAGATTATGCAACTAGCCAGATTGCCAGAATGTATCAACAATGTACAACATGTAAATCCCATGCTTGTGTCGAACGTGCAATGTGCTCAACCCCTTGCCTGCCACGCTCTTTCAAGAACTCATTAGAGAGCCTTCATATGTGGTGGACCAACAGTACAGCTTTTCGTTACAGCTAGAACAACCTCGATTCAGCGTGGTTCTGGCTGCTTCTTTTATTCTTCTCCTTGCTGAAGTCGCCGGGTCGTTTCCAATAAAATGAGCATACTAGCACCCGCCCGCTTACTATACGATTACAATCATGATACAAGGCTAGATGAATGGGGGACTTCGCAAATTTCAGACATTGCAGAGTTATAAGATTCTCTGCTGGGAAGAATGTACCCATGGGGCCTTGACCGTTGAGCACTTCACAATGATGTACGTAATGTGGTATGATTTGCGAGCAGCCGACTTGAGATTAGGCAACTATACAGTAAATAGTTCTAACCTACAATTGTTTCATCCTAATATTAAAGATATTGAAGGTATTTACTAATGCCAAGATAATAATCATTACATTTGATGGAGAGATGATTGTCTCAGCTCGAAACTCACAGAGGCTGACACCAGTCACGCAACCTTATGATAACATGGGCCGACCAACTCGCAACCATTCGTCCAAGTCGGCGCGCTTTCACCGAGAACGGCACGCGGGAGAACTAGTGCTCGCGACTACGGAACGAACGATTTGCCCTGGATGCCGTCCCATGGTCCGAACCTTTGAGCCGCTTCATACCGGCTGTGATATTTCTGCAGGAAACAAACTCGACTCTGAGTGGATCGTGGGACTCACTTCTACGCCGTAATAGTGGTTATCATTCCGCACGAGGGGTTAATCACTGGTCTCGGTTGGCTTAGAATACGTTGCCTGCGTACCAGAGGAAAAAAAAAAAAAGGTTCATGGCGGGACACTGCCGCGAATAAGCCACTGGCGATCCCAATACCTAATGAGAATGATTACCTGTCTCTTATACTTCATGCTTCTGTCCCTGGATATAAAGGTAGACCTACGTCTTAATGATCAATAAGTCCTGTTTCGTGCTTTTTCAGTCTGGTCTCATAGATTCAAAAGGCAACAATCTTCATTCTTCAACAGAGTCGCGTCATATTCGCCTCAAAATGCAACTTGGACTTATCAGCCTGATTATGACGAGCCTGGCTCTGACAGTCGCGGCGGTACCAGCGTAAGTGCTATTTGAATCTTGATCAGATGATTGACTGTACGGATGGCCGATCCATCTGGGTCGAGGTTCTGGTTTTGTCCATTATTGGATGATAGATCCTCAAAGCAATTCGGTCGGTCTCTGGTATACTCAAAGAGTTTGTCGCTAAGTTTAGATCTTGCAGAGATTCGAATCACTTGGAGAGTCGCAGCATTGTATGCCTAGCCACTTGCACAATATACTACAAGAAATGCTACTGGACAGTCGGCACATCAAAGGCAGCGTGCGCAACCTGGTATAATGCGTGCATCGACAAGTGCTAGTATCGACCATCGGTGGCTGAATCTGGAGCGACTGGGATCGCCAATGATATTTTCAAGCTGGGCAAGGAATATGGCGCGATTGTTCGGATAATACACTTAACACTTACCTTTTTGGTCACTCAGATGAATCTCAGGTATAATTGCGGAGAAGAATGGGTATAGCTATCCAGTCTCAGTGGTAGCCAGAATGCAAGACTTTCATAGTCAGCAGACAAGCCCAAAAATGGTGGGGTCAAGATTAAATCTCCCAGACTCTTACCTATGAATATCAAAATAAGATACGTAAAGTAATGCGAAGTTTGCGCCGACCCTATGGCCAAGTTGATTCATTCAGCTCATTTCATTCTAGGCTGCCACTATATAAACAATGAGCATTGCTGTAACGGGAAAAATGCAAGAGGTGGTGCAAATTGAGGCTGTGCGATTGAAATTATTACACTTTGATTTAGCGAGTCTTCCACGGAGCGAGTAGGTGTTCATAGAAACAATGTCTTGGCATCCCTCAGCCTTACCACATTCGTCAGATGATTACATGTTGGGGGACATTTTGGAGTCCAGGAAATTGCAACCTGAACGCTAAAATTCCGAATCTCTTTGCTTTTCCTCTCTTTATTGATTCTCAGCATGTTTCCGCAAGAACACAAAACCTGTTTTCAAGAGTATGATGGCGGCGACAAGCGCAATCTACAAACCGCTTGACCCAGACGTCAGGCAGATTCGTCTCCTTACACTGCATCGAGCAATCGATCACACGAAACTCATCTCCGTGAAGCTCGAGACAGTGCCATTCACCCCTGAAACAGAGTATATCGCTCTCTCATACGTCTGGGGCAATCCTAATGTTGGCGTGGATATTCTCGTCAACGAAGTTCCCTTCTCAGTTGGTGTCAATCTGGCGTCTGCATTATGGGACTTCCATCAGCACAAGCTCCTGTGCGGGGTTCCCGACGGAAGACCCCTGCCACTCTGGGTCGATGCCATTAGTATCAATCAAGATGACCTGCGCGAAAGGTCAGAACAGGTGGCCTTCATGGGCGCAATCTACGGCAATGCGAGGCATGTGTTCTCTTGGCTAGGACGTCCGGATGAAAAGAAAATCGACGTGGCTCTTGACCTGATACACGATATCATGGGTTGGATGGATCCCGAGTACATCTCGGACAGTGATGAAGACATTGATCTGGGGCGCAGCGGGGAGGGGTCCGAGATACACTCAGATGATGATTATGATGATGCTTGTGCTTTCCGAAGGCCCGATGGAGGAGACAAAGTCCAAGATTCAGAAGAAGCCGATGTCGAGAACTGCAATAGCATCTTCGATGAGAGTTCTCTGGATCTAGAGTCTGTCAGTACTCACATTGGAGTTTACGAACATTTGCCGTCGAGGTATACTGATTTGTTGGATCCGTGCTATAACCCTCACGAGCCCACCATCAAATACTTTCTGGAAGGGATTTCGAGACGACCAGATCTTTGCGTAAGCAATATAGACGACTTTATTATGCCAAATGAGCTATGGAACACTATCTGCGAATTGTTTTTTTCGCCATACTGGACTCGGGTGTGGGTGCAGCAGGAAATGGCATTGGCACGACAAACAGACCATTGTCATAGACTCTTCTGCGGGCGTTCGCACCTCTCTATGAAAAACTTGGACACGTTCGCTAAGATTACAGATGGTGCTGCGACTTTAAGGCTACGTCCATCTCAGATGGACGAAACTCTCTGGAACGTATTACACACTGGAATTTGGCAGTGGCTAAATACCCTTACGTATATTGTTCGCCGTCTTCGACCGGCCAGGCAGGAACAAGGATTGGACAGAGTCTATCCACTACTTTCCGTCGCTACTAGTTGCAAAGCTACAGATCCCAGAGACGCAGTCTATGCACTTGATGCTGTTTTGGGCCTCGGCATGACTCCCAATTATGATTTGCCGGTGAAGGACGTGTATCTCCAATGGTTTCACCAAGAGCGAAAGAAGCTTGAACTGGAATCAGGGAACCTCAATTTTTTCTATACAACTATATTGAATTATGCCAGCACTACCATAGGGGATGACCGGGAAAATTCCATCCCATCGTGGTTGCCAGACCTGCGTGCAGTCCGAAATCCAACTATATGGAATCGGTTTCGAAGAGACAAAATTGATCACAGCATCATGCCTCAGACCTTGACACATTTCAAGGGGGAAGAGATGAATGTTTGTGGGTGTATGTGTGGCACAATCGAAAGCCTTCGTCCTTTTTCAGGTCTATGGAATTCGGAAGAACTGGAAGATATTGGAGAAATTTTCAGGCAATTCGATGACTTCATGAAACAGCAAACGAAATCTCAAGCGGACATCAGAGAAGTGTTCGAGCCAACCCTTGAAAAGGCACTTATTCAGGCGTTGTGTCAAGGACGAGACCCGAGACATAACGACAACCGGAAAGTAGACAACTGGCAATTATTCTGGAACGTTATTCGATATTGTGCAACGGAAAACCCTACATTGACTGGGGTATCCAAGATACTGCTGGATGATATCAATGATCTAATACAAGATTTCCCGGTAAATCCAATACGAGGCTCGCATATATCACAGGCATCTATATCGGCACCGCTTTTCCTAAGATTGATGCAGAAAAATCTCACCACCTCGATAGAATCACAGATTCTGATGACAAAGAATGGATACGTCGGTCGGTGTTATATGGCTGTTCGTCGCGATGATCAAGTTTGCATTTTGAATGGGATCGACTATCCAGTTGTCCTAAGAAGAGTGGACGAGTCTTGGATCTTTGTCGGCATGTGTTATGTTTATGGTATTTCGCATGTGGACGCAGCTGAAGTCATAAAACGGGACGGGCTCGAGGTAGAATGGTTTTCAATTCGCTAGATCTTTGCTTGTGAGCGAGAGAAATATTCCCAAACTCATCTCAATTTAATGAAACCAAGCCATAAAAGTTTTCATGAGTGCACAGAGCAGAGCCTGACCACGAGGCAGTTGCAGCTACAACAAGACTAAAACAACAGAATGATCAATGCTTCTGTGTTTCGTCGCCTTTTGAGTCTTTCATCAGCCGAGATGTTGTAATTTGGCTATGACAACGTTTTCTTTCAAGGTCCCATTGAGAATTACGCCAAATGGGCCCGACTCCAGAGCACAAAAGGAGTCATTGCCGGGCAAGGCATTGGTCTGGAAATAAGCGGCCATCTTTTTATAGGCACATGTATTTAGTGTAGCACTGATTCCGTGCTTTAATATTGTTAGCATAACGGCTTTAATGTGGAATTCAAGCACCTACCCCCATGCCGTCTACCGTCAGTACCTGGGCGTTCTTGTATCTTGGTGCAGAGGCAAAGGAACTGTGGGCCAAGTCAGTATTTGCTTTTATGGCTACAACATGTGAACGAGGTATTACTTTTCGATGGGTGTCACAGGATCATAAGTGTTGGAGACGAAGAGCAGAGGCGTCGCAGTGTCTCCTCCAAATGGACCCTGAAATATCTCCGTGGCCTTGATGGGCCACCCAAGGCAGCCCAGCATCGACTTGCTCCAGACTTCTCCAATGATGCTTTGACTTTCGAGTTGTGCGAGCTGTGGTCTCAAGTCCTCAAGTGTCTTTCCATACCAAGCGTTGTTCTGGTCGGAGCAAAGAACGCCCAAGGTCCACTCGATATTTGTGTTGCCGACTGGCGTGGGGTCATTGTAGATGGCTTCTGCCGCTTGTGTCCAGGTGCTGATATTCTGTGCCGCGATGGACGCTTCAAGGCTGACCAATACCTCGGCGAATGTGGCAAAGTTTGTGATCGGTGAGTTGACTGCAGTCAGTATTCCAACCTTAAATACTACAAGCGCAGCCTCAAGATCCGTGGCGTTGGACCAGTTCTCAAGCTGCGCTCTTTGCGGATCCAGCTGCGAAAATGATTGATTGAACCTGTCGAATATGTCCCGAGGCGTCGATCCGGTGAAATAAGGACAGACAGATGGCCCGGCTTCGTGGCAGTAGATGAAGAAGGCAGCAACGATTCCGTCCAGATCAGTGACAGAATGGGAGGTGAAATTGGCCAAGTAGCCTTGCGGGCTCACTACGCCGTCCAGGGCCATGTTCCCAACACGTTCCGGGAACATGGAAGCGAAAGTCTGTCCGAGGAAAGTACCGTAGCTGATTCCATAGTAGTTGAGAAGTTCCTTTGGCTTCGCCGCTCGCATACCGTCTTCCGTCGCTGCAAAGGCATCCACGACGCTGAGCATGTCTCTTGCTGTTACGGCCGTGCTCATGTGTTGGCCTGCACTTGTTTCTCCTCCTATGAGACTCTCACACTGTTTGCCAACGTCTTGACCGTATTCTATCCATTGATTGAAGAACTCATCAGTGACTCTGGGAATGGTCCGTGAGCTCAGGTTTGACTGCCCGGTTGGCGTGATACCATAGGAGCAGTTGGCCAGCGGCTTGCTGTAAGCAATACCTCTCGTATCAAAGCCAATAATATCCCAGTTTGTTCCAATGATTGACTATAGAGTCATTGATTCCCGATTAGTGAAGGAGTCAGAGCCAGACAAATTGAGTCCACTCACTTGAATCAGCGTACCATTGCCGAGTGCCGTCTCTACGCCTGAAGCCCCGGGTCCTCCAGGATTAATGAGTATCATACCCTGGTACGGACCAAAGAGCGAGTCATTTTGTGCCGGAACCTTGAGTAGTGGAATTGATGCGCGCCCAATCTCAGGGTTTTGGTAATCGAGTGGCACCTAAGGATAACTTAGTAGTTGTAAAATAGTATGCGGTTCATTGGCACGAGACTATACATCAAGTCGGGCACAGTAGAAACTCGTATAGCAAGGACACCAAGTGAGATTCTGGGATGGTATGATGCTGTCAAATGAGCATGTCTGCGAACAAGTTGCTAACACAACAGGCAATAGAGCAGCCCAGGCAATTGGACTCTTCATCTTGGAGACAATTAAAGACGGAAGTTGGAGATGAGGGCAACAGGTGGATTGAGGACATGGAAGTCACTTACACGGGAATATTGATTGACTTATAGTTACTTGATATATGCAAAATCTTGAGACACTGACCCTCTCTTCATTTTTGCCCAATAGTTTCAATGAGATTTGGCAGTATCAGCGCCACGTCCGTCACTTGATTAGTTGTGCAGCCGACATGCTTCCTCTGGGAAGATGGTAATTTCATACTCGTATTAATCATCGAAAGAAGACGAATTCGTTGGCTCTTTACAAGCGAATCTTGTTTATTAATCGACATGTGAGATGAGAGATACAGAGTAGAGATGCAGAATGACGGACTTTCTGACTCGTTGTCTCACTAAAACAATCGAGACTAGAGAAAATGACTATTAGCTAAGCGGACCCCTGGCACCAATGTGCAGATCTGGCGACAGGGTCCTTACGAGCCGGCCAATGATATGATTAGTCCGAGAAGCTTAAAGCAAAATCCCGAGCGCTTTTCAAGGTACGCAGGCATCCAAATTTAGTACCTTGTCTTACCTGGGGCCAGTCCCGTTGCCGACTTTATGGTCCGATTACCACGGGTTAGCATTGATTGGCGAATTCTGGAATCTTTGAACACAGCCTCCTCGAAAGACCGAAAAGGCGCAAGTGCAACAACGAGGTGACGAATCTCTTTAACAAGGTCAATGCATTCCATCAGGCAGCAGTCAACGGCTAGAATACTTGACGGATCAATCGGTTATATCTTCAATCTACTAATTGAAGATTGAAGGACCACTGAAACACACAAATCAAGGCTACAAGACTGTGGGCACGAAAAAAAAAAAACCATTGTCCTGGATTGTGTTAACAAGGCCATGAAATTGGCCAATCGTATCTCCGCATTGTTGAGCTACCTCTCCAACCGATTCGCCAATGCCAAAGGTCGCCAAGGGCGCGCGCAAGCGTGAATTCGCCCCAAAGACAAGGACTGGATGTATCACCTGCAAGAGTAAGGGCCATTGGACAGTTTATGGATTTATAGAGGCAAGGGCTGCTACTAACAAAGCTGGTCTAGTCAGACGAGTGAAATGCGATGAGGCCCGGCCAGCTTGCGTCCGATGTATGTATTGATCCTCGACTTGGCATATGATCCAAAATTTCATCGCCGCTTTTGGTTGTATTGATGACATGATAGGTACATCCACTGGTAGAACCTGTGACGGGTATCCTCACATCTCCACGGCAGAGTCATCATCATCGTTGTCGTCTTCATCATCCCCGGAAAGGTTGACAGTAACACTTCATGCTGGCCCCAGTGTTCAGTTATTTGATACTCCACAATCGAAGCGCTCGTTTGCGTTCTTCCGGCAGCGAACATCTCCCCAGCTTTCAGGATTCTTCAAGTCGGAATTCTGGGAAAGCCTTGTGTTTCGGGTAGCTTATCATGAATCTGCCATACGGCATGCCGTCGTGGCTCTTGGCGCAGCACATGAAGCCTCCGAGCGCCGTTCAGCATCGCCAAGTGCCATCAAGACCTTTGCTGTGGAGCAATACAATCTCGCCATCAAGGAGCTATTGATCCCTTTGGCACGGCGGGGAGAAGGAGCCGTCGATGTGTGCCTGATTGCATGCATTATGTTTGTAAATTTCGAGGTTATAAATTATCTTTTCTCATTCGCTCGCTCGTTTGGCCTCGTACCCGCTGACATGCAACAGAGTTTACGGGGATGCCACACGGCAGCAATGGCCCATGTAAGATCCGGCTCCAAACTACTGCGCGAAACCGTGTACGACCAACAGACCGGTCAACTGCGCCATTCAATACTCGGCCCTGGAAGCCGTACCGACTCATACGTGTTGCTGGACGTTATTGCCAGAATATTCGTCTGGCTCGATGGTGAAAGTGGCATTGTAAGTGGATTGAATCGTTATTACAACATGAAGGCTTTCTTCTGATCGCGAACAGACTATCCGAGACTATGAATATGCTTCTTACGAGAAATTCTTCTCCCCAGATGCGGACGATTCGAGTCCCATGTTCTCGAGCATTGGAGAGGCCAGGAACATGTGAGTAGTCAAGCTTTACCTTGCTCTAGCTTTATGTGCCGTCCACTTCTAGTAGAGCCTGCTTCCAACTTTGCTCTCTGGTCTCGGTCTCGTACCCCTTCCCTTGATGCTTGTAACAACTCACCGTAATTTGGCCATGTGGAAAAATACGGCTTTGTAGAAGAAGTATTGGGATTGAACGTTGACATATTTTGACTTTCAGATTGGAGTATGGCGTTTGTTACTACACATGTAGTGGAAGCCCCCAGCTACTAGGCGACCCTTCACAATCAACTTCTGTTGTGCAAGCTCACAAGGACTACTACGTCAGATTACTCTCCAGGTTCACCACGAGCTTACAACACTTGGAAGATTCCCAACCGGGTGGGTTTAGCTCCAAAGATGAACTTGCCATCAACGTATTACATCTCAATGCAACGAGCTTTTACGTATCTTTTCATCTCGATTATCTGCCACCAGACCGCCGGGACAGGTGGCAAGACTTGATGCCCTGCTTTGAGAGAATGGTCGCGCTGGGAGATAAGATTGTCTCGGCCATGGTGGCCGACCATGAATTGGGCACTGCCAGGACGTCCTTTTGTCCAGATATCGGATTTGTTATTCCTCTCTTCAACGTGGCAAGTCAGTGCCGGGACTCGAGCCTGCGCCGGCGAGCAATCGCACTACTGCGGTCCGTCTCGCGACAAGAAGGGGTATGGAATAGCATGGTTACCGCGCAGGCCGCTGAGCGCTTGATGGAGGTAGAAGAGCAAGGATACGTGGTGACACCTGTGCGTTGTCAAGAGACAGGGGAACTCGGGGCGCCCACGGCCTGGCCGTTGCTCAAGCTTGACGGGCTCGGAGCTCGTCTAGAGTATATGCGACATGGGCACACTGACAAGATACCTGTCAGAGTGAATGAAATACTGTCCACATGGGAGCCTGCAGAGCTGCTTTCTGGACAGACGCGTTGATAACGAGTATAATTAGGTATTTCTACTGTCTACCCAGTTTGGACTATTTGTTGGCACAGCATCAGCTGATGGTTAATACTGCCACGCCATAGCGCCGCTGGCGGCTGTTGTGTATACCACGACCCTAGTGCACCCTTCCTGTTTCGACTGCTCTGTATGTACATATAGCGAATAGACGCCGTCCTCGCCGCCCGGACAGGCTTCAAAATCACCAGTCTCAGTAAACAAGAAGGAAGTTCCATTCTTGGGTTTGTCGCGCCCAAAGCTTGCAGTGATGATGCCTTCGGGGGAACAAGTGGAATCAGGCGAGTTGTAAGCCAAGGCATTATCCCAAGTGATGTAGACTGTGATGATTAATCAGTGCAATGCCCGTCACTTCGGAAAAGCATTGAGTACCTTGTTGTTGACCGGGTGCTCCCACGTTCAAGTAGACAGAGCTCGTGGACGTGACGCTGTTGGCGCCAACAAAGACAGTTGCGTTTCCGGGAAAGTTATCGCAGTATGTCCCTATATCTTGCTGTGGACACGAGGACGATGGCGCTTTGCCAACCCAGAAAGAACCGCCATTGGCCTGGATACTGGCGCCCTCCAACTCGGCCGGCAACTTCGTGACAGAGCCGGGCTGGCTTGCAATTGTAGCTGTCCAGGAGCCTGGCGGCGCCGGGTAAGCCGCAACTCCAGCTGCCGTCAACAGGATATGGACGTAGGACTTCATTCTCAATATTGGTAACGACAAAACAATTTGGTCTCAAGTCTCATCAAGGTCGAGCTTGGAAGGTGTCTCATCAGTCTTTATAGAAACCATTTGCCGCGATTTATCTATGTTATCAGTCGGGATCAGCTCATCCGGCTAAATCAACATTACCCGAGTATATCGATTTCTTCTTGTATTCGTGCATGTTTCCAAGGCGGGATGAAGAATCGAGGCTCCCAAAGGCCCCCAAATATCCATCATGTTTGCTTGTTTCTGATGCATTTATTGCAATCATGGTGTCGCACTGCAGATCTTTTGTCCAACATCTCGTACTCGCTTACAACTAGGCACAATATTCGAGGCAGGCTGCGAAACAATGTCGTATTCTGTAGTGTATACTTCTTGGCTATAATATCCGCGAGAATGCGGCGCAAATCGTTTTCACTCTTTTATCTATCTGCACAAGATCACAGTTTCGCGTCGATGCGCGACCTACCCCTGAACTCATTGACAAGCGCTCCGCCATCAATCACAATGGCATTGCCCGTAATGTGCGCGGCGCCCTTACCCGCCAGGAACAGAACCAATCCGGCAAAATCCTCGGCCTTGCCCACGCGGCCGCTCGGCTGTGCCTTGAGCAGCAGCTCCATGCCCTTTTCCAAGCCAAAGTTGGACATTCTGCTGGGGAACAGGCCCGGGCAGATGGCGTTGACGGTAACGTGCTCCTCCATGAGCTTCGAGGCCTGGATCTTGGACAAGTGAATGACGGCCGCTTTGCTGGGCCCGTAGCTCCACGCGCCCTCGCCCGGCGCGGACAGGGCACCGCCGACGCCGGTCGTGTAGCCAGCCGTGCTGGAAATGTTGATGACGCGACCGGGGGCGTCGGCGGTCGCGCCCTTGGTCAGCAGCGCGTGCAGGCCGACGGTCACGTAGTAAATGGCCTTGACGTTGAGGGCCATGATCTTGTCCCAGCCCGACTCGGGAAAGTCGTCGTAGCGCGCGCCCCATGTCGCACCCGAGTTGTTCATGAGCACCGTCAGCCTGTCGGTCCGCTTGCGCACCTCGGCGCAGAGGGCCTCGCACCCGGCCTTGTCTTTGAGATCGGCCACGACGTACTCGGCCTTGCCGGGTCCCAGGCTGTTGAGTCGCGATGCAGTCTTTTCCAGCTCGCTCTTTTTCCGGCTGGCGATGATGACGCGGGCGCCGTTTTGCACAAATGCCTGGGCGGCCATCTCGCCTAGGCCTGTAGCGCCTCCGGTAATAAGGACAATATGATCTTGATAGCTAAAGAGATTCGATACGGCGAGATTTGCCGAGCCTGCAGTGTGAGCCATGACTTTTGGTCGGGAGTCAATGTAATTTCAATAGCTAGCTTTGGTGTTACGATGACAAGCCGTAATCTGGGATACAAGATTGAATTGAAAGAAGTCATAGCCATGGCTTCTCAATTGTTGATTACCCCTACTGCGGGGTTTCGAGCCGAGGCATCAGCTCAGCTTTGTGATATGATCCAGCCCGATTGGCACTTTGGTTCAAAATAGAAGAACATGAATGGCGACTGTAAAAGAGCCTCAATCTTGTCAAAGCCTTACCCATTCTCATATCGCAGTCGCATGGTCACCCGCATGCGAATAGCTGCAAGACATAAAGTCCATGATCAAGTGTAGATTGTCATTCGACATCCAGGATAGGCACGTCATAGCGACTTGCCAATCGTCAAGAAAATACACAGCCCAAGTACATCGGGATCTGGAAACAGCGTCGTACGATTCATCAAAGATCAGTCACCTCTGTATATGCACTTGGGAATACCACCTGGAACTATATATTGACTCATGTGTTTGCCTGGGCATGGGCAACAACCAGATGCCGCCGATGATGCCGCCGCTTAAGATAGTGCTTTGCGGCAAGTGGAGTCCGCACGTGTTTGGCGTCACTGGCCGTCAAGGTCGCTAAGCTCAAGATGGCCAGAAAAGAATAACTTCATGGACACCCCAGTGACTAGCGCCATTAGGAATCGAACCTAACACTCCATATACCCCCTTCCAGTG